TGTAATCGGGGATCTTGAAGTTGTGGTTTTCACACTACATGACTGATCAGCCGGGGTCACACACTACAAAATCTGGATACCGAACAAGATACCGAACCCCAAATTGCTCCTGATGCTGTGTCATCGCTGTATGAATGAGTTTCCGTTTTATGGACAATGGTCTCTCTTGTCTCCAAACTGTTTCATCAGGAGTCATTAATAACACCACTATTCAAAATCAGGCACAAAGGGCAACCTCTTATACAGCATAAAGAACCTACATACATCCATACAACAAGCTAATAATAAGCCTGAGCAGCCAGTGTCATTAATCAATACACACATTATTAAATGGAAAAATGGAAATAAAAAATTGGTCACAACTTACTTACTATGAGAAGATGCATATCTGGCATATGTCAACATATGTGTGCCACATTAATCCATCAAACGGTGTGGCGTTTCAATCAATCAATCAATCAATCAATCAATTCAGTTAATTGTCCTCCAAGGGGCAAATTCATGTCCACATCACTTCACTATACCAACACCATACACTCAACAAAGAAACACGCCATCCACAATTAACAAATCCACAAAGAAAAATAATAATGTATAAAATAAATAATACATGACAGGTTACACACTCAGTGCGCCCCTTTGTTTAGAGCAGCAATAGCTGCAGGGATCAGGCTTTTTCCGTAGTGATCTCTCTTGCATCTCAGTGTTCGATACCTCCACCTAGAAGGCAGTGGGGTGAGATATTTATTGAGTGGGTGTGTAATGTCCAGTTCTATTGTGGTTGCAATGCGTGAGATGGCCCTGTTGTTTAGTTCTGTGAGATTGGGTGTGGGGAGTCTGATTATCTTGGTGTGGTATTTACTAGGGTTTTACTCTGGTGCCTTTTTATAGTGCCCCTCATGACCACACACCTGTCTCAGCCTTTGTTGCTGAGCACTGAGGCTTTAGATGTGTGTCTGCATGCCTTCACAGTGGAAACTTGACAATAGTGATCTTTGCAATTGAAGAGTTCATTCAGTCCTGTGAAAGTCATCACAGGACAGTCATCAAGTATAATACATAAATTAAGCCTTTTGGAGCATTTAGAGATTAAAATGCAACAAGAAAGCAACACCTTGTTTAATAAACACATAAGTTATTACAGTTTTACATATATTTTACATATATATATATATATATATATAGCTTGTGGCTTTTTGCCTTAGATAGGGACAGCTGAAGAGCGACAGGAAAGGGAGAGGAAAAAAAGGGGATGACAGGGCCACAAGGTTGGATTTGAAACCATGGCCGCTGCAGCAAGGACTCAGCTTGGTACATGGGGCACCAGCTCTACAAGGTGAGCTATCAGGGAGCCTCCATTTATAAATCACAATGTAAGAAATGAATAAAGTTAGCATATTCCTAGATTCTGGAATTTTAACATATTATCTGCACTTTAAAAACAAATATCTTGGCTCAACAAAAAAAAAACACTTTATGTCTATCATTTTGAGTTGTGAAAACATAGAATGAAATTATGTTCAACCAATGAACTATATTAAGTAAGGTGAATTAGCTTTTCCTCTAAACTGTTTATTTTTTTATTAACTTTTTTATTGATTCCATTCAGCATTTTCCCATTAGCATTTAACATCCCACCCATATGTTTTCCATGTATACAGAGCATATTCATAATTCACAGTTAAACACAAAACTCAGTAGACTCGAAATGAGTACATTTTTCACTTCAATACACATTTCCATTCCCCTCTTGTAAAGACCTTTCTCTCCTGGTGAAGGATAATGCCGAACACAATCTTATGAACATTGAACAGTCAAAATTTGTAGCAAGAACCAAGGGGATCCATAAGATACATTGTTTTTACCAAATAAAGTCTGTTCCCAATGGTGTTACAAAATCAACCCAGTTATTCCAGAAATTCTTAAATTTATCTGATCCTAGTTTAACTAATCTAAGTCAACTTTTCCATCCTGTAAATGTTGTGCATTACTTCGACCCAATCCTCCATTTTAGGTACCTCCGTTTTCAGCCACTTCCTGGTGATGGGTTTTTTGCTTGCCACTAACATTATTCAGAATAAATATTTGTCCCCTGAATTTGTTATTCTCTGTTTCCCTTTTCCAAAGTACAAATCAAAAAATTTAAATTGAAGTTCCACTTTCAAAATCTTTTCCATGCATTTCTTTAATTCGAGCCAGTAAGGTATAATAAAGGGGCATTCCCAAAAGATATGAAAATTATTATCTTTGCATGTTGTCTTCCATTGTTGTTCATTGATCTCTTCCCATTCCTCCTTTGACAACATCTTTCCCACCTCCTTCTACCATAAACTGTTTTTAAGTTGATTACTCATAAAATTAAGTTGTTGCAAATAATTTCCCCACATTATTTAAAAGGCATTTTAAGTGTCATGTACTTAATAACTTTGAAATGGTTTTTAAGTTGACACACATTTTTAAATTTTGTTTATGTAAGAAATTAATTCATTCGATAACAAAACTATTTTGCAATTAACTGTTTTTATTTTGAACTGCAGTTTCACAGTGTTTGAACACACAAATTTAAATTGTCCCATACATGGCCCCCAATCTTCTCAAGGTCCTGCAGTCTTTTTTACACATTATAGGAAAGACCTTTTAGATAAATTTTACAAAAACTGTACCAGCAGCAGATTGTCACTATCAATGTACATTTAGGTTCCAATAGCTCAGATTCCCATCAGCAAAGCCCAACACCGTGGTATATCCTTTCCCTCCAGGATTTTGGTTCCTTTGACCATGATGGTTGCTGTCATATGGTCAGATTCTGGGGTGTACTGGTCACCGATGGTGGCAGTTCTCATCAGCTGTCTATCGAGGCCTGCCTCAAACGCTTCTGTGCTCTTGTATTGGAAATTAAAAGAAAAAATACATTGATTTATTAATACATTGAAATTGTTTTCCCATGCCATTGCTGTCAACACCTATCTGAACAGACCATTGTTATGATATTACAGATTGGGGTGTGGCCAGAAGTGTAATATACTTAAATCTTTAATGGACAAGGAGCAGGTTTCTGCCCTGTGTATTTATACTGCCCAATGTGGATTTCATTTTCTTTCAAGATGTTGAATTACTTACTCTAAACTCCTTGAAAACGGTCCTCTTCCTTCTCTCCAAGGCAGTGGATAGCTATGTCTCTGTGTACTTCAATTGTTTTGGGCTATTAAAAAAAGGAAAAAAGTATCAAAAGAAAGTAACTAACCAAATATAATTTGAATTGGTAACTGTCAACAAAGATTAGCCTAATAATTTCCATACCTCAAGAAGCATGTCTTTTATACATTATGTCTGGTTGTCACTCCTGTAGCTCCTGTCCTTGATGAGACTACATCCATCATTTTTGATGTGCAATGGTCAAGTCTGGCCATTTTCTCTGGAATTCTTTATTTATCTGTAGATGGAAACGGAAGAATTCAAAATTTTGTTCCAAGTAGTCGCTCTCCTAAGGGGCAACTTGGAAACAAAGATCAGGCAAGATGGGCCAGTCAAGTACCCTGCTAAATTATTAATATGAGAAGGGCTAAACTACGCTGCTAAATATGATTAGCCAAGTACAGGTCCATTTACCATATACCATCTTTCCTTTCTGCCAGGTTTGATCGCACGCTTGCAGTGACCTTTGGTCCAGCAGGTGTGGTTGTCTGGACAGGAGATGCTGTGAGCAGTGATCGTCTCAATGTCCGTTGCACTTAATCCTATCCCTGGACTATGCAATCAAAGCAGTCTGGCTTGCTGTCTACATGATGTTGCCACACCTCAGTTTAGTGGCCTTTACAGAGCCTTTAATGCAGGAGCTGTACAATCTATACATATTTAAGAACAGGAGCCAATTGGTGATTAGTATCAAACCATAATGCCTGATACTAATCACAGCATCTCTATTGGCAAGATCAGTGTTGCAACTACAGACAGTTACCAAATCACCAGATCTGTAGGTTTAGTTGGATCCATGTCATGTTATCTGATGGAAAACTGTATCCTGCAGAATTGCTCAACAAACAGCAGTGACTCGTAAACAGACACAGAATCAGCAAAATGTTTGATTCCAGTGTGTCACTGACATGTTCATCTGTGCTGCTGAGCAGCACAACTGACAGTCAGACTCTACACTCTACTGTCCACTGATAACCTGCACCAGGGTGTGTAGACATCCTGAACAGGTTGTTGTCGCTGTTGTTTAAATGTATGATTCTGTGTAAATGATTGTTAAAAACCATTAAAATGAATTTATCATGTGTTGAGAATTGTATATATATATATATATATATATATATATATATATATATATATATAGAACTGCAACTATTAGACTGTTAATTGATTAGTTGATCGAAAGAAAATTGGTTGCCAGTTATATTGATAATCGATTAATCATTTCTGTCATTTGTCAAGGAAAATTGTCAAACATTTGGTGGTTCCATCTTTTTTAGTGTGAGTATTTGTTGTTTTCATTGTCATATATGGCAAACTGACATTATTATGAAGGATAAAACCTACAAAATTAAAAATAAATAAATTAAGTAATGATTAAATAATTAAATATGCCATTAAATGAACCAAAAATAATATTAACCCACAATGCCCTCCCCCTTCTATTTGATTGGCCAAAGAACTTTGGGCAGCAGAGCAAAATCTGTGCACATTCATACCCCTAATGGAAACCACTTCCCCTCTGCCACCTTCCTCTCATTTAAATGACTTGAGTTACTGCACAGCGCTAAGATGTGTCACCTATATTGCACATGTAAAAACTGAACCTATACTTTGGATTTGAGCTCTCTGCCTGTCTGAATGAATCTTTGATCTACCTTGATGCTACTTCCAGACTTCCTACTTCCTCTGTCCTCTCATCTCTTTCTTCATCTGATTTCTCCCTCCTTCTTCAGTCTGCTCTTCATCACTCTCCTTTACTGTAATTACATTTCTCTCTCTCTCTCTCTCTCTCTCTCTCTCTGTAGAGCTAAGGGGAAGCAGAGCAGACCCTGCCCATTCGAGAGGGAATCACGACCACTGCTCCAGCCACACAGATCATTTTTGCCTCCATCATGCAAACCTCCATCCTTCTCCTCCTTTCCTCAGTCCTTCTCCTGTCTCTCCTCATCCCCACATGCTCTTCCCAGAGCGAAGCAGACCTCATTGTTCAGACACGAACTGGTCGAGTCAGTGGCATCCGCATGCCGGTGCCAGACCGCAGCTACGTCACTGCTTTCCTGGGCATCCCTTTTGCCGAGCCACCAGTAGGGAAGCGGCGTTTCCGTCGTGCTGAGCCCAAGCGTCCGTGGACAGGGGTGTATGAGGCCCACTTCTACCCCAACGCCTGCTACCAGTTTGTGGACACATCGTTCCCTGGTTTCCAGGGCAGCGAGATGTGGAATCCCAACAGAGAGATGAGTGAAGACTGCCTGTACCTCAATGTGTGGGTGCCCTCCTCAGCCAGACCCCACAATCTCACTGTCATGGTGTGGATCTACGGCGGAGGTACTTGGTCACGACTTACTCAGAATGAGTCCAAATATAAATACATTAGACATGACTCATTCTTCCAGCGAGGACATTGGGTCGGTAATGCATTGGAAACAGAAACTAAGCCCCTTTTAAGAAGAGCTATGATTCTCTGCCAAACCCAATTGCAGCAGTTTTGGGCCTGAACCTGACCCGAACCCAGCAGGCCGTGTCTGCCAGTGATTGGGGTCGGGTTGGGTTCATTTCGGAATGGGACTGAATTAGATTTCTTTTTGAATATATATTTAATATTTTATTAACAATACATGCAACTGTAATTAATGGGTGACTTTGTTATTTAGTTTTGATAATAATTTGCACTATATTATTAGTTTACTTTAGCTTGTAATAAATGTTAAATTACTAATTCTATTTTCAGCAGAAATTCAGGGTTGGTTCAGGCTGGCACAGAATTTTTCCAGGGTCAGGCCTGATTTTTTCGGTCCTACTTTTAAGAGGGTTAAAGCTACTTTTATAAAAGTACATTAATATGTGAAAAAATTTGGTTCTTCTGGCTCTGATTGTTTCGTTCAGGCCTGGTGGGTTCTTGCAAATGCCATTAAGAGCACTTCTCACAGATTATCTGTCTCGTGCTACTGTCAGGATATAGTGAAAGTTTCAGCAAATATGACAATAAGTTATTTTTATAAAAATTACCTACTGCAGCTTTAACAATATCCAGCTAATCATTCCTATAGGTATTAAGAAATAACACTTTATAATGTGTAATATGTATAATTGTGTTAATGGTTGTTAATGTGGTAGCCATGTACCAAGAGGGCTGCCACCTTTTATTTGAAATTCACGTTCACTACTGTCTGAACATGAGTAACAACTACGTGTATGTTCTGTATTCACCTGTTTCAGTTCAAAATTCACAGTGTATATGCACCATTCTTCTTTTTCAATAGAAGACGTCTTTTTGATATGCAACTACCATGTCCACTCCTTCACTCTTTGTAGGTAGACAATCCGGAAGTAGTCATTTTCACTTCAGAAAGCATTGAATCACAGGGAATCAGTCACAGTGCCTTAGATTGAATTTACACTAGACATGGCTGCCCAGTTTTGGAGCACAAGAAAGAAATTTGATAAGGCAACCCAGACTATGACAGTGTCTCTTAAGGCCTTTGCATTTTTCATATGAGCTTTTTTTATCCGTCATCTGATAAAAAGTCATTTTGCCTTGAAACCTTGCACAGTCGATGTGCTTTCACAAGTGTTTATTGTGAAATTCACAATACGAGACATCAGGCAGTGAGGATGACCAAGCTGTGCACCTGTCTGTCTGTCTGTCGCTCTCTCTCTCTCTCTCTCTCTCTCTCTCTCTCTCTCTCTCTCTCTCTCTCTCTCTCTCACCCCAACTGGTCGAGACAGACGACCACCCACCTAGAGCCGGAGGATCTGTCCTAGGTTTCTGCCTTTTAACAGGCAGTTTTACCTTGCCCTTGTCGCCAAGTGCTTGCTCATGGTGGTACTGTTGGGTCTCTGTAATTAATGTTAAAGAGTTCGGTCTACACCTGCTCTGTTTGAAAAGTGTCCTGAGATAACTTCTGTTATGAATTGGCGCTATACAAATAAAATTGAATTGAATTGAATTGAATGTCAAGAACAAGGAGAGTTACAACCGGTGATAAAGGAGCTTTCTGCTCTTCTCTGTCTCTTTCTCCTTTCGCCTATCTTTTCCCTTGCTTCTCTCCGCTGGAGGTTCCTACGCAAGCTGTCGCCACTCTTTGCCTGCAGCTTTCATTTGACACCATAGCTACAAGGGCCTGTGCTGTCCTCAGCCTCTATTTCTTTTGACAGCTGCGGGAAAATCGCAGAAAATCAGTTCTTAAATCTTTATTGACAGACAAAGGTCCAGAGTCAGTGATTGACACAACGTGAGGTCATAATACATTTTCAGATGAAAAATATGGATTTGGTGTACTTTAGTCTGATACCTTTTCAACTGTTTCCTTACCTACTGGAGAGTATGCATGACTCTCATTAAACATTTCAAACTGTATCCTTAAATTACTGTGGACATTTAATTTTAGATGGCAAAGCTTCTATCTGTTGTTGGAGATTATGATACAATTGGTTAATATAATGCTATGATATTCAACATTTCTAGGGTTCTACAGTGGTTCTTCTTCTCTGGATGTATATGATGGCCGTTACCTAGCTCACACTGAGACAGTCATTGTAGTTTCCATGAACTACCGGATCGGTGCCTTCGGCTTCCTCGCTCTGCATGGCTCCTCTGAGGCTCCTGGCAATGTGGGTCTGCTGGACCAGAGAATGGCGCTGCAGTGGGTCCAAGACAACATCCATTTCTTTGGTGGAAACCCCAAACAGGTTAGTGTCTCCCTTTTTTTTGTTTATCCCGCTGTTTTAACGCTAATTGGGGTCCTGATCTCTCTATTTGCTCTCTTAATACTTAAAACAGGTGACAATATTTGGTGAGAGTGCAGGTGCCGCTTCAGTAGGATTCCACCTCTTGTCTCCAGACAGCCGGCCTACCTTCACCAGGGCCATCCTTCAGAGCGGGGTCCCGAACTGTCCCTGGGCCTCTGTCAGCCCCACTGAGGCCCGCAAACGGGCCATGCTGCTGGGCAAACTGCTTGGCTGCAACGGAGGCAATGACACCGAGATGGTGGACTGTCTGCGCAGTAAAACTCCACAGGAGCTCATCGACCAGGAGTGGCAGGTAATTCAGAGTCAGTGGGCGGCAGTAGCTCAGTGTGTAAGGACTTGGCTTGGGAACCGGAGGGTTGCCGGTTCAAGTCCCACAGACCACAATATGGAGTGTGGACTGGTAGCTGGAGAGGTGCCAGTTTCACCTCCTGTGCACTGCTGAGGTAACCCCAAGAAACTGCTCATGGGGCGCTGTTAACGTTGCAGCCCCATCACTCTCCCTGTTGTGTGTGTAAAAAAAAGGGGATCTCCTAAGGGGATTAATAAAGTATATCTTCTTCTTCTTCTAAACAGTCAGAGGAGTTCATTCCATTTTAGGCCTTGACATACGGGCAGTTTCAGAAGGGAATGCAGTTGGTCACTTCCGCAAACAATTAGCTGAGAACATATTTTAACAAGACCCATAGTCAGTGTTTTTATATTTTTTAACCACACTGTAAAGAAAACGTAGAAATTCAACTCAACTGTCATCATATTGTTAATCATAATTAATTAACTGTTTGTTTCTAGTTGAGTTTTTCTAAAGAAGAAAAGTAAACTATCTCAACGAGAGATTATAGCAGAGGTTAATTTCAAATCTTTGAGTTAGGGCTGGGCGATAAATCGATTAATTCGAATTCGTAGTTAAACACGATTTATTTTTAGTTAAAATCGTTTTTCTCTTGAACTTCCACAACACCAGCGCTCCCTTTGGGCTCCCGTAGGTCAGAGTGCGCTGACCCCTCCCCCCACCTCTCCACAGATAAACACAACACGGCGGCAAGCCAGGATGAGCTCGTCCCCAAAAAAGGCACAGTGTCGTCGGTTGTTTGGAACTGGTTTGGTTTTGTGGCGTCCGACAGCGAACAAACCACGACCCACTGCAAAGTTTGTTTGAAAGCTGTTGCAACCAAAGGTAGCAGTACGACCAATTTATTCCAGCACCTCAAGCAGAGGCATGCAGCCGAGTAGGAGAAATGTAAATCGGAGATTTTACTTTTAAGCCATATCGCCCAGCCCTACTTTGAGTTGAACTTAAAAGACAGTTGGCTTGAGTTTTCTTTTTTTTACATGCAAGTAGATGGTTAATTGTCTGTACTTTCACTCATCGAATAGAAACTAACGCATTCATACACATTCACAGCAATTCGGGGTTCAGTATCTTGCTCAAGGATGCTTCATGTGGCGGGAGGGGCTGGGGATCGAACCAACAACCTTCCAATTTGTGGACAACCCGCTCTGCCTCTGAACTACAGCTGCTGCTTGCTTTAGTTTGACCAGTGGCAATCAAAATAGAATTCAGACTTCACCTGTTAAAAATATATCAGTGAGCCACACTGCAGTGCTGTTTCTTCATTACTATCAATATTGATTCAATAAACTAGTGCAGTGTAGATTAATCCACAGGTGGTCCCAACAAATGCACATTTCCTGTCTCAGTAATGTTTGTTAAAAACTACAGTCTCCAGGAAATTACTGAGCCTTTGTAAAAAATAAAACTATATACAGTGGCAAGAAAAAGTATGTGAACCTTTTGGGATTTCATGGTTTTCTGAATAAATTTGTCATAAAATGTGATCTGATCTTCATCTAAGTCAAGGGTATTGACAAACATAATGTGTCTAAAAATAATAACACAAAAAAATTCTGATCTTTCATGTCTTTACTGAACACACATATTCAACATTCAAAATGGCAGTGGAAAAAGTAAGTGAACCCTTAGAATTAATAACTGGTTGACCCCTCATTGGCAGCAATAACCTCAACCAGGCGCTTCCTGTAGCTGTGGATCAGACCTGCACATCGTTGAGGAGGAATTTTAGCCCATTCTTCCTGGCAGAACTGCTTTAGCTCTGTCATATTCTTTGGACGTCTCATGTGTATGGCCCTCTTCAAGTCAATCTATAGCATCTCTATTGGCTCTGACTTGGCCACTCCAAAAGGCGGATTTTGTTTTTCTGAAGCCATTCTGTTGTGGACTTGTGTTTTGTCGTTGTCCTGTTGCATCACCCACCTTCTACACAGTTTCATCTGACGTACAGACATTCTCACATTATCCTTAAGAATTGTCTGATATAGTTGGGAATTCATCTTCCCCTCAATGATTCCAAGCTGGCCAGGCCCTGATGCAGCAAAGCAGGCCCAAATCATGATGTTTCCTCCACCATACTTTACGGTTGGGATGATGTTTTCATGATGATATGCCGTGCCCTTTTTACGCCAGATGTAGTGCTGTGTGTTTTTTCCAAATAGTTCAATCTTAGTTTCATCAGTCCACAAAACATTTTGCCAATACCGCTGTGGAGTGTCAGTGTGCTCTTTTGCAAACTTCAGGCGTGCAGCAATGTTCTTTTTAGTAAGCAGTGGCTTCCTTCGTGGTGTCCTGCTGTGGATACCCTGCTTGTTCAGTGTTTTACGTATTGTAGACTCATGAACAGAGATGTTAGCAAGTTCCAATGATGCCTTCAAATCTTTGGCTGTCATTCGGGGTTGTTTCTTTATCTCATTGATGAGTCTTCGTTGTGCTCTTGGTGTCATTTTGACTGGGTGCCCACTTCTTGGTAGGGTAGCAACAGTCCCAAAGTGTCTCCATTTGTAGATTCTTTGCCTAACTGTAGACTGGTGAATTTCTAAAGTCTTTGAAATAACTTTGTAACCCTGGCCAGCTTTATGTAATTCAACAATTCTTGATCGTAGATCCTCTGAAAGCTCTTTTTGGCGAGGCATGGCTCACTCCATGGAATGGCGCCGCCAGCAGCCTGTCATGGCAGCTCCTATCATTGTTGTAGTTTTAGTGTGTTTTCAGTGTGTTTTTAGCCTGTGTTTTTTTTCTATTTTTAACTGTTTTCTTACTTTATTACTACTTTGTTCACGTCGCCTAAATACTTTTTTGGCTTTTTTGAGCACTTTTAATGTTTTGTTTGCACGGGTCTCCATGGCGACGGGGAGTCGCATTGTTTACACCCGCGACCAGATTATCGCCCTGAGGCACCCGAGCATCTTGACTGGAGAGAGACCCTCCATACTGAGGAGGAGCTGAGGAGGAGATGGCGAGGCTGCAGAGTGGGGGTTAAACGGAGGATGAAGAAGAGGATGTTTAAACTCTTCATCCCTGCAGTCATCACTGGAAACAAACGTGGCTACACGAGCAGATACTGGACTCCAACGTCACCATTCCCGACTTCCAGATGGTTCGAGCTGAGGGACACCATCGCGACCGGCAAGAAGAAAGGAGGGGGACTTGCCGTGCTCATAAACAACAGGTGGTGTAACCCCGGGCACGTCTGTGTAAAAGAGCGTGTCTGCAGCCTGGACATCGAGCTTGTTGCTGTCGGACTTTGTCCATGTTATCTGTCACAGGAACTTTCCAGTGTTATCGCCATCACTGTCTATATTCCTCTGTCTGGGAAAGCAGAAGCAGCGTGTGACGCCATCCACACTGTGACTGCAGGACTACAAACGAAACACCCAGAGGCCTTAATCATCATCATCACGTGGGATGATGCTGAACATCATAACATCATCTTTTGCATGGATTACATTAATAATTAACTTTTATTTGCTTTTTGTTCGTGGGGCTTTTGTTGCACTTGCAGTGGCGTTGTGAGTGGGCAGCTCTCTCTGTCTCGCCTCTGACCTGCAAACACACATCATAGCGACAGAGACACGAGAGAGATTTGATGTAGGAACACTGTGCACAAAAGGTTTTGACATGTTCTTCCTGTGGCTTTTAATGCTGACTAGAATACATATAGGCGTTTTTTACATTCAAGTGCAATGCAAATGCAGTACAAATCCAAAGCGTTTACTTTCAATTCTTGCCAGTCACTATACAAGTCCAAAGCAGTCCAGCATTTTCATGCATGGGCGTTGTATCATATGACATGATTTAAGACCCTTTGCACGTTCCAGATGTGCTGTGGTGCAAGTGAAATGGAGTGCTAGCCTGGATATAGGAGTTTTTTGGGTGTAGTTTTGCAAGTTTTTTTTCCATTTGATTACATTGACATTTGCCATTGTCAGTAATGTTGCATATGGTCTGTTATATGTGTGCATGTCACTCAGCTAAACTCAATTCTACATTTGAGCTTGTCTTCCTGTTCTGAGCAGGTCCTGCCATGGTCAGCCCTCTTCCGATTTTCATTTGTCCCTGTCGTGGATGGCGATGTTCTGCCCGACACTCCAGAGGCCATGCTCAACTCAGGCAACTTCAAAGATACTCAGATCCTGCTCGGGGTCAACCAGGACGAAGGCTCATACTTCCTGCTGTATGGAGCGCCGGGCTTCAGCAAGGACAATGACAGCCTCATCTCCAGAGAGGACTTCTTGGAAGGTGAAGCTCACTCAGCTGGAAAGAACAGATCGATACAAAAGAATACTGTAAAATTCTGTTCAAGAAAAGTAATAGATATGACCAGCGTTAGATGAAACATATGGTCACCATGAAACCAAAGTGATGCAATAGTTTATAAACTGTTTATGTCAATGTGAAATTAAAGCTTAATGTGAATAATCAGAGAGAGTCACCACTATCAAATTTAACCCAAACAAATGTTATCAAAATCACCTAAAAACTTTAAACTTCACTGTTCCAGGTGTCAAGCTGAGTGTACCACATGCTAACGATATTGGCCTGGAGGCAGTTGTACTGCAGTATACTGACTGGATGGATGAGAATAACGGAGTGAAGAACCGCGATGCCATGGACGACATTGTGGGCGACCATAACGTCATCTGCCCGCTGGCTCACTTTGCTCGCTCCTATGCCCAGCACAGCGCCCTCAAGGCTAACATGGGTGGAGGCAGCTCTGGGGCAACAAACAGTGGAGGAAACTCACAGGGTAAGATAACCTCATTTAGAAGTTAAAACAAAGACGGATATTAACATTAAATACTTAAACTGCCTGTCGTAAATGCCCAGTACACTTGGCAGAACTGCTTCTTGTTCAACCTACTGCGAAATACAATCATGCACGCACAGGGCTTGTAGACATGCAAATGTGGACAGATGGTATGGGTGGCCACGTAACGATGCCGTAGGAACAGTTAGGGTTACCTTGCTTGAGGGCGGCTACCAGTCCACAGTCCATACTGTGGATCGTGCTGGACTTGAATCGACGACCCTCTGGTTCCCAAGCCAAATCACATTGTTTTACAGCATCAAAGATGGTCTATGAGAGTTTTTTAAAGTCAGCGCGAGTGTCTCGTACACAAATTGTACCAGCGTCTGAGTGCTGATGTCAGACCATTGCTGTAGACAAAAATTAACCACTGGTGCTTTTCTTATGCTGCTCCTAAAGCAGGGGCCTACCTCTACCTATTCGACCACCGAGCATCCAACCTGGCCTGGCCGGAGTGGATGGGTGTGATCCACGGCTATGAGATCGAGTTTGTCTTCGGCCTGCCGCTGGAGAAGAGACTCAACTACACCCTGGAGGAGGAGAAACTTAGCCGACGCATGATGAGATACTGGGCTAACTTTGCACGAACTGGGTGAGGCATCACAGACTGAAAAGATTGAATCTGCTATGTACTTATTAGCTATAATGAGCCACAGAGAGAGTAGAGTATACCAGAGAGGAAAGACCAGTCCATTTTGATTAAGTTGCTTAGCTGCAGAGTAGATAAGGTGGTCAGTTACAGTCCAGACCAGAATTGCAAAGCACTATCCAAAGCAAACCTCCTTCCATGCAAACATTTTCACTGTTTAGTTGTGGAAGCAGCAACCCAAGTCCAAGTAGTCTAAATAATTATTTTCTTCAGTCAAATCATCAAGTTACTTATGGGGAATTTATGGCATTCACAGCTGTGATGGGAACGCCATGGGATTGGTCGGTCAGTCGGTCGGTCGGCCTGTCAGTCGGTCAGTCAGTCAGTCCACTACTTTGGTCTAAACTGAAATATCTCAGAAATACCTTGCACTCCACGCAACTCGGGGTTTGCTGCAGCCGCGTCACGTGATTGGACCACGTACACTGAAGTTGTGAGGACGTGTTCAGGGTGGGACTGTTACAGAGTATGTTAAGTTTAGTGGACATTGGACATTGTACACTGAAGTTATGAGTACTATCTGTTTTATGGCCAATCGGCGGAATTCGATACGTCGTCATGGGCACGCAGTTCGACGTATAGTCACAAATAGCACAACTTTTAATCAGCAATGTTTTTGACTGAACTGATCAATTTTGAAATAGATCCGATAAATTCCCTAGTAGGAGTTCGTTCAAATACAAGGCGAAACATTTGCCGAAAGTGAAAATGAAGAGGCCAAGAGGCTTTTCTGTAAATCTCGGCACGTTACATGTGCCTACCAAGTTTCATACATATCGGTGAAACGTGGCACCGGGTCTGCTTTGTTGAAATACTGTAGGGGGCGCTACAAACATGATTTTTGGTGTGGAGCTACAGGCACCAGTCTACACGTGCCCTGTGAATTTTATATTCATAACTATTACGGTCTCCGCACAGTACCACTTTGTTATTTAAACTGCCACCAGAGCGCCACCTAGTGGCAGATTGTTGACACATTTTTTAGCGAGCCTCAGGGAGCCATGCACAATCATCATTCGTGCCCATGTCTATAATGTGATGTTTGGATTCTTAATATAACTGTGTCTTACTCTATTGACTCTTGAACGAGTCAACAAGTGAACTTGAGTGTAGAGATAATATTTAAAATCATGTTTTATTGTTTTAACCTATTAATAACTGATGACTATAGTATGTTAAGGAAAACCCTTAGAGATGGAAGCAAAGAAACTGCTGTTTTTATTTCACATATTTATCATGCCTTAATTGGTAGACAAGGTTGATTTTATTTTAAAACTAAAATACGTTTAAAATTATTTTATTACTCATTTTATCCCATTACTATACATCATAAAATGTATCTTAGGTCTGCACAATACAAATATTAGACAAAGAATATTTTTTCTTGACGTATCTATAACAGTCCAGAATATGTGTTTTAAAATTAAAAAATCTGAAATTCCTAATTTATTGATTGAAAAAGCTACCACTAGTGACGATTGACTAAAAGAAGGCTCATACTTTGACCGATGTGAAAAATTTCAGTGGATTTATGAAAAAAAATCATGGATTAGCTCAGTTAGAACTTTAAGTGCTGTGAAGGAAATTATAAAATTCAACTGTGTGCCTCTTTTACCTCCCCTCGTCCACCTCCCTTTCAGAAATCCCAATGTGAACCATGACGGGATGGTTGAAAGCAAGAGGCGCTGGCCTCTGTTCACTATCAGCGAGCAGAAACATGTTGGACTCAACACTGAACCATTGAAGATCCACAAAGGTCTGAGGAACCAGATGTGTGCTTTCTGGAACCGCTTCTTGCCACGCCTCCTCAACATCACTGGTAATCACTACTTCCAAATATTGCTTCTACTCAACACATGACATCTGTAGTGAAAAAAAAATACATGTCATGCTAGTTTGTCAAGAATTGGGTAAATAACGCTCCAAGGTTAGGCTAAATTTTGGTGATGGAAAGACTGGCAAGGCCATTTTTTAAGGGATTCCTTAACCTCTGATATAAGATATCTGAATCTGGATTAAATGGGTTCTATGGGCACCCATGAGTCTCCCCTTTGCAGAGACTTTCTGCAAATCTCATTCAGTGTTTTTTGCGTGCAGTATAAATACAAACTGTTATTTGTGAAACTGAAACTGTACAACCACAAACTACTGACTAAGGGCATCCAGAGGATGGATGCCTATCCTAGCTCTATTGAAGCCACTGACCATATTTTAGTTGTACAAAAACTGTAGGCTAGGCTGAGATTGAAAGGAAGTTGATATGAAAAAGTAATAGTTATTAGGTATTACCCAAACCCTCAGGTGTTACCACGAAAACAGAGTTCTGGCTTCTGAAAAAATTTAAAACACATGAAAATATAAATAAAACACAAATGAATGGTCTTTTTTTCTTTGACAAGTGACCATGGTATAAGTGGGATTATGCCTCTTCAAGGTGTCCATTATCAGGAGTTAATGTGAGTAGTCCATTAATTCCTAATAATGTACTCCTCGTCAGGGCTTTATTCCTTACATAGTCTCCTGGTGGCTTGTGCTCCACCAGTTACACCAGAAATAAAAACACTGCAGTAGTGCAAACAAGCTTACATACATTGCTCAACAAAGTCCAAAAAAACAAGGAAAGGGAGAAAGCTGCTGCCACAGGCTGCCTACGTAAAATGCTTCAATTCAATTCAATTCAATTTTATTTGTATTGCGCCAATTCATAACAGAAGTTATCTCAGGACACTTTTCAAATAGAGCAGGTCTAGACCGAACTCTTTGTAACATTATTTACAGAGACCCAACAGTACCACCATGAGCAAGCACTTGGTGACAAGGGCAAGGAAAAACTGCCTGTTAAAAGGCAGAAACCTAGGACAGATTCTTCAGCTCTAGGTGGGTGGTCGTCTGTCTCGACCAGTTGGGGTGAGAGAGAGAGAGAGAGAGAGAGACATACAGACAGACAGAGAGAGACAGAGAGAGAGAGAGAGAGAGACAGAGAGAGACAGACAGGTGTACAGTAACAACAGTATTGGCAATGGCAATCTAGCAGGACCATGACAGGAGGCTCCACCAGGATCGATAAGAACCTGCGAGACGAGAAAGCACAAGAACTCCGGGGAAGAAGTGAAGTTAGTAACATGCATTAATGGGACATGAATGAGTGCAGAAAGAGAGAGGAAGAGAGGAGCTCAGTGCATCATGGGAAATCCCCCGGTAGTCTAGGCCTATAGCAGCATAACTAAGGGATGGTTCAGGACTCACCTGATCCAGCCCTAACTATAAGCTTTATCAAAGAGGAATGTCTTAAGCCTACTCTTGAATGTGGTGAGGGTGTCTGCCTCCCGAACCACAACTGGAAGCTGGTTCCACAGGAGAGGAGCTTGGTAACTGAAGGCTCTGGCTCCTGTTCTATTTTTAGAGACTATAGGAACCACAAGTAGCCCAGCATTCAGAGAACGTAGTGTTCTAGAGAGGTAATAGGGTACTATGAGCTCTTTAAGATATGAAGGGGCCTGACCATGAAGAGCTTTATAGGTGAGGAGGAGGATTTTAAATTCTATTCTAAATTTTACAGGGAGCCAGTGCAGAGAAGCTAGTACAGGAGAGATGTGATCTCTTTTTCTAGTTCCTGTCAGTACTCGTGCTGCAGCGTTCTGAATTAATTGGAGCGTTTTAATGGACTTATTGGGGCAACCTGATAATAAAGAGTTGCAGTAATCCAGTCTTGAAGTAACAAATGAATGGATTAGTTTTTCTGCATCTGTCTGTGATAGGATGTGTCTACTTTTTGTAATATTACGTAAATGAAAGAAGGCAGTCCTGGAGGTCTGCTTCATGTGGGAGTTAAAAGACAAATCCTGATCAAAGATAACTCCAAGATTCCTGACAGTGGTGCTAGAGGCCAAGGTAATGCCATCTAGAGTAACTATATCTTTAGACAGTGAGTGTTTAAGGTTTTTGGGGCCAAGAACAAGAATTTAGTTTTTTTCTGAGTTTAACATCAGAAAATTGCAGCTCATCCAGGATTTTATGTCCTTAAGACATGTTTGTAATTTAGATAATTGATTAATTTCATCGGGCTTGATCGATAGATATAACTGCGTATCATCTGCATAACAGTGAAAGTTAATGGAGTGATTCCTAATAATGTTGCCTAAAGGGAGCATATACAAAGTAAATACTATTGGTCCAAGTACAGAACCTTGTGGAACTCCATGACTAACTGTAGTATTTATTGAAGATTCATCGTTAACATGTACAAACTGCGAACAAGTCTCTGTAAAAGAATATCATGGTCAATGGTGTCAAATGCAGCACTAAGATCTAATAATACAAGTACAGAGACAAGTCCGTTGTCAGAAGCAATCAAAAGATCATTATTAACTTTAACCAGAGCTTTCTCTGTGCTGTGATGAACTCTAAATCCTGACTGAAAATCCTCAAATAAACTATTGTTATGTAGAAAGTCACACAACTCTTTGGCGACTACTTTCTCCAGAATCTTAGAGAGGAAAGGGAGGTTAGAGGTTGGTCTATAGTTGGCTAAAACCCCTGGGTCAAGAGTGGGCTTTTTAAGAAGGGGTTTAATTACAGCTACTTTAAAGGACTGTGGTACATATCCTGATAATAAAGAAAGATTAATCATATCCAGTAAAGAAGTGCCAATTAAGGGAACAACTTCTTTAAGCAGCCTAGTTGGGATCAGGTCTAACAGACAGGTTGATGGCTTTGATGAAGAAATTATTGAAGTTAACTGATGAAGATCGATAGCAGAAAAACAGTCTAAATATATATATATGTTTACATTAGTAAAAGTCTCTGAACTTGGAGAGCCACTGATAACTGTTGATGGCAGTTGGTGATTAATTTTCTCTAATAGTAATAATTTTATTTTAGAAGAAGCTCATGAAGTCATTGCTACTTAAGTTTATGGGGATATGTGGCTCAATAGAGCTGTGACTCTCTGTCAGCCTGGCTACAGTGCTGAAGAGGAACCTAGGGTTATTCCTATTTTCTTCTATTAGTGCTGAATAATAGGCTCCTCTGGCATTACGGAGGGCCTTTCTAGAAGTTTTAAGATTATCATGCCAAATTGAGCGATATTTTGATAATTTGGAAGAGCGCCATTTCCTTTCAGATTTCCTAGCTATTTGTTTTAACTGGCGGGTTTGGTGTTTAAACCAAGGTGCTAGTCTCCTATGTTTTAATAATTTCCTTGTTATAGGAGTGATAGAGTCTAATGTTGATCGTAGTGAGCTGTAGCACTATCGACAAGATTATCAATTTCAGAGGGACTAAAGTCGTTATAGGACTCTGTTAAATTCAGACATGGCATTGAATTAAACACTGAAGGAATCTCCTCCTTAAATTTAGCTACAGCACTGTTCTGCTGTAGGAAGTTTTGCCTAATGGCTTATAATCTAATAATATAAATTCAAAAGTTATTAAATAATGGTCAGATAGGAAAGGATTATGTGGGAAGACTATTAAATGTTCAATATCAATGCCATATGATAGAACAAGGTCAAGAGTGTGATTAAAACAATGAGTTGGTTTATTTACACTCTGACAGAAGTGATATAAATGCGTTACTAAGGCTGTCATTGTTAACATCCACATGAATATTAAAATCACCTACAATAATTACTTTATATGATTTAAGGACTAAACTTGATAAAAACTCTGAGAATTCAGATATAAAATCAGAGTACGGTCCAGGAGCGCGGTACACTATAACAAATAGAACTGGCTGCAGTGTTTTCCAGTTTGGGTGAAAAAGACTAAGAACAAGGCTTTCAAATGAATTATAATTTAGTTTTGGTATAGGGTCAATTAAAATGCTCGAATCATATATGGCTGCTACTCCACCTCCTCGGCCAGTGCCTCGAGGAATGTGAGTATTAATATGACTGGGGGGTGGATTCATTTAGGCTAACATACTCCTTGTGGGACAACCAGGTCTCAGTAAGACAAATTAAATCAATATCATAATCTGATATTAATTCATTCACTAAAACAGCTTTAGAGGACAGAGACCTGATATTTAACAGTCCACATTTCATTCTTTTATTTTGTGCTACTGAGGAGTTAGTTTGAATTTTTATTAGGTTTTTATGTTGAACTCCTCTTGTTTTTATTTCTTTAAGTAATTTAGGTGGTCAGACTGGCTCATATTATACAGGATCCGTCTTGAGGTTGGCATCCAATCAGAAGATAAATGACAACCTGTGACAGCATTAGTGCAAAGCTCTACAACAACTCCAGTATGCAGTAATGGCTTAACTGCTAACCACTTTGTTCCCCTGTGTCTCTGTGTTTCTTCTCAGACAACATAGATGAGGCAGAGCGTCAGTGGAAGGTGGAGTTCCACCGTTGGTCCTCCTACATGATGCACTGGAAGAGCCAGTTTGACCACTACAGCAAGCAGGAGCGCTGCACTGACCTCTGAGAGCCTCAGCAGAGAGAGGAGAGAATGATGGGGAGGGGGGAGGCAGAGAGAACAAGCTATGGCCATTTCCCTCCATAGCCCCTCAGTGAAGTCTAACTTCATTCAACTTTTTTTGTTATGTTTTCTGTTTTACTACACACACACAAACAGGTACTGTTGATCTTTATTTATATTATTTATACTATTTATTTATCTGTCGTTTTTCTCAATGTGTGTCTCTGTGGAAATTTAGGGCTATGGAGGGAACATGTCATCAGTATGGAGGAATATTAGAAATGTCAAAGATGTGTCATTACCTCGGGTGTATGTGTGTGTGCGTGCGTGCGTTTGTATGTGGCTTGAAAGCCCACTGTTTAACTCAAATCTCGACAGGCCCATAACACTGCACCACTACCACTGCTAGTTTACTGTTTACTCACTGTTTGTGTTGATCTCATAAACTCATCTTTTGTTTTCTGAGGATTCCTTTTTTCCAACATATCAGGGTTTTGGTTTTTTTTTTGGACTCAACAACACTGTTTATTTCTGTCGAAGCCTTTAAGTCTTGTTCGTTGCTACTTTTATGACCACTATTCCCATCGCCGGTCGTGTTCTGCTTAACTTTGCCCCGTGTGTTTCTCACGTGGTAAAGCCAAATCCAAGTTGGGTTTTTTTGTAAAAATGCTCCATGTAAACATTAGACTACCTAGATTTTCCTTTGTGGTTTATAAGTTCGATCCTTCCATCAGCCCAACTGATTGGTGCCTAATTTAGATTACATTGCAAAATAAAATCAGCTTGAAAAATATCTACTGATACTGTGAAAAAAAACAAAAAACAAACTTCATTGTAAAAGATTGTAAAATAGTGTAGAAGACACTACACAACTCATATATCTTAGCATCGTACATGAAGGTAAAATGGAGTCAGAAACAGCGCCACCCCCAAGTTAAAGTGATGCTGTGTAACTTGTGTAACAGCGGTCTCTGTGGCCACAAGACAATGGTACATTTTCAACAGTAGTACAACTGAGAAGTGTCATAAAGTCAGTGAAATGACAATGCCTTTTAAGTAGGGCTGCAGCTAGCAATTATTTTAATTATCAAATAAACTGCAGATTATTGAAATGATACATTGATTATTTAGTTCATATGATATTAGAAAACAGTGAAATACCTATCACAGTATCCTAGAGTACAAGGTTTTGGATTACCAGTCCAAATCTGCAAAATATTAAATTTGCTTTAAGAAAAGCAAATTCTCACATTTCAGATTCTTCACGCATCAAGTTTTGGTAGTTTTGCTTCAATAGGGACTTAATTGATGACTAATGTACTGGTTCTCAAAATATTGTACAAGCTCCCTCTATCATTTTTACAATGACATAAATTAATTTAATAAATGTAACATATGATGCTATCCAAATACTACAACATTTTAAATTAAAATACTTAAAGTATGAGATCGCGGAAATGTAATTTTAACATGCGTTTTGCATTTCCTGTAATATTTTGTTTCAGTATCAGCCTGCTACATAGTCACATTTATGCTTTGCAAAGCCTGGCTAACAACAGTCAACAATAAATAATCTCTTTTATGAAACCTGCCTCCTGCATGTACTGTCTGAATAGCTGAATAGAGTGGGCCTAGCCTGCTGTATTTTAACCTCGGTCATAATGGTGGCACTTGTATATTTCCTGAGGTGGTATGTGCTGTAAAAAGTTTGAGAAACAATCAATATTTGTATATATCAATATTGATATACATCCTAAATGTGCTAACATTAGCTATGATAAGCTTATGGTCATGGCAGACCAAGAAAGATTGTAGCAGCAGAGTGTATTCAATTGAGCAAGGTTGTAAGAGGATGATTATGTTATTTCTTTTTAAAAAATGGTCTCACTTTAAGGCCACAATATGTAGGATTTTAAAAATGTCTTATCTTGGTGCATTTCAGTGGAAGTAAGGAATCAGTTCATTTCAATACACCCATTATAATATAATAATATCCACCTTTGTGCTACTGCACTCTACTGTATAATAGTATATACTAGGGATAAACAGATTATCTGACCTGATATTCAGCATTTTTCTGTCACTATTGTTTTAAGTGATTGCTGATTAATTAATTTGAAATTGAGATACTTTGATCTGCCACTCTGCTGAAACTTTCACTATATCCTGACAGTAGAACATGAGACAGATAATCTGTTTAACAATCAGGTTCCTCTGGCTCCTCCTAGTGCTCCTAATGGCATTTACAAGAATCATACACAGCTGAACGAAAACAGCCAGAGCTGAGAAAGCTATATAAACATATTGGTCAAAGTATTAGTATATATTTGTATTACATTTTGACATATTCTTACATTGCAGTGATTGAGTGGCCAGTGGGAGCAACTTTGTCCTTCAAAAACCCATATTGACTGTTCTAGCAAACAGGAAACATCAACATTATCGATGTCTATGTCTGTGCATTTGTGTGTGTGTGTGTGCGTGTGCGTGTGTGTCTGTGTGCTGGTTTCATGCACAGCTGTGATGTATTTCTGTGACACCCCTCCCTCTCTGTTCATTCCAGTCCTGACTGCTTTATCTCTCTGTCCTGTCATCTTTTCACTTCTTTTCGCTCTTCTTATCCTTCCACTTCGCCTCATTTTTATTCCTTACAGTTCCCCTCTCCGTTCCTTTCTTTTCCTTCTTTCTATTTTTCCACCAACTGCCTTCCCTCATATCTAAGTCATCCTCCCATCTCCCTTCCATCTCCCCTGTCCTCTCTTACTTCTGTATCCGTTCCTTTTTCTTCCATCACGGCCCTGTTGTCCGGCCCCTCACCCAGCTTTCCATCTTCCTCTCTACTGCGGCTGTCATTTTTGTCTTCATCTCTAATCAACCTCCACCCACCCTCCTGTCTTTCCTACTCTCTCACTCCCTACTCTCCCTTCTTTCTCTCACTCTTATATCAGACTCCTCTACCCCCCTCTCATTTCTCTTCCTCCTTCCACCTCATCTAACTTCTCTTCATCATCTCCCTCATCTCTCTTCCCTTCCTCATCCATCTCTCAGCTGCATCACTCTTCCCCTTCCTCCCCCCTCCGCCTCACGCTTATCATCCCCTGCCCCCTCCCCCATCTCTCTCTCTCTCTCCGTCCTCCTGCTTTCTTGTTAGTCTAATGGAAGCAGAGTAATTCACTTAGCGGCAGGATAATGTGACAGAGTGCTGGCTCAGCCCTTGGCCTGCCAGCCAACAGGACACGATGGATTGATGGATGGATAGATGGATGGATGGAAAATGGAGGTGGAAAGGTAGAGCGATTAGGCAAGGAGAAAGGGGCAGGGAAGGAGGAGAGAGAGGGGACGAGAGATGACAAGGCAGAAGGAGAGGTGGAGATGTGATGGATATATGAAAAGACAGTCAGAGAAATACATCATTACATAACTCTAGTCATTATAAACACTGTGTGTGTGTGTGTGTGTGTGTGAGAGAGAGAGAGAGAGAGAGAGCGCTCCAGCATAACGTAACAAATGATTCAGATGTAATAAAAAGTTGGTAGAGATACACTAATTACCAGCTTATTTAATAATAAACTATGATATTCTCCCCAGATTTAGGTTTCAGGGCCGAACAAGGCTTTTACGGGGCCCCTCCCAGGATATCACCTCAAAATAAATGTACACATGGTTACATAGTTTGATTGTGAAGTGGTGTTGGAAGATAGCACTAGTTAGTGGCTTAAGTAGTAACACAACAAACCAACAGACAGTTCTATTTTGTACCCAAAGAAACAGCTAAAGCAGGGTTATTCAACTGGCAGACCCTGCCACATATTTCAAAATGTGTATATTTACAGTATTACAAACTGGGTGTCTGTGGCGGAATTCTTATAAAGATGCAGTTTTAAGTTACTGCTAATGCAAACCGAACATTTCCTACTGCTGCAGATTCAAGTTAAAAACATTTAACCAGCAAGTTCACTTTTATTATGAAGTAGCTGTCACAGGAAATGCAATATGTTTGTCACTAAGCTTGACACTGATTTTTGGCTTTCTTTAACAGCAGATCAGTTTAAAATACTGCAGGGAGTAAATAAATAAGTAGGAGCAGCCCAATGAGCTTCAGGTTGGTTAGAAAAACATTTAAAAAAGTCCATCCCCCACAGTGTCTGCTCAGAATAATTCTGGCCTTTGGGCAAATGTAGTTGGAGACCCGTGGGTTAAAGGTCCTATACACATAAAGATGTATTATTCATATATTTTATTTACATAGATAACCTTTTTGTCAACTTATTTATTTTTGTTTTGAATTTACAGTGAAAACTTTTATTTAACAGCAGTCACTCACATTTGCAGATATAAAACTGTACGGAAAATACCTACATTTTGCCAAAAGTTAAACAAACTCACTTATAATTTCCTCATTTCAGGGCCCCAAGTGGCCTATTACTGTACTGATGCTGTTAGGCTGATTTTGATTCTACTACAAAGCCCTGAAAGTCCTGAAAGATGATATCTTATGTGCACTAGATAATTACTCAGTGCAGACAAATATACTGTGTACAAGTTCATATCTTGTTCGATCCATATGTTTTAAGTTATAAAGATAGTGAGTCTCAGAAGTTATTAGCTGGTCTGCAATACATATGGACCTTATTTTCCACAAGATAATAACTGCGCAAATGTTCCATATGTTGTGTTGTTTTGTGGGAACAAGATTATTCACATCACAAGTTTTGGGAACAAGATCGATACAGTGTGTGCAAAAGTTATCCATATGTTGTAGGCACTAAAAAAAGTATTTAAGGTCCCCTCCAGTCAGAAATCTGTTTTTTTCTCGTGCTACAGTGTGCTGTTTGAATGATGTCTGTGCAGAGTTTGACACTAGAAGGATGTTTTCACATTGATCTATGAAAGTGGAAAGTTTCTCTAGGCTCATTGTAAATCTTAAGATTCTTCTTACAAATTTGAGAGGACAGGGCCTACAAGCATGATTTGTGACATAACAAATAGTTAGGAAGTCAAACCTGGTCCCCAGTATGCAACTTCTACTATTGTGATGTACAAACCTAAAGCCACCAGTGCACATACACTGAAAATGTACTTTACAGTGAAGTAGGAGACATCTTTCATATTCAAAGATTTTGGAATTTCTAATTAGGTAAAAGTAGTGGATTACTCTTTAAGGAAATCTTAAGGATTTTAATCCTTTTTTTTTTTTTTTTTAGAAAAAAACAAAGCAAACTATTTGTATTATGTCCACATACATGGAGGGGGTCTTTAACAATAATGAATTAATAACACTAGTGCATTCTAGATAAATAATCTTTCAGGACTGTTGCCTCTTTTAAAAAAAAAATCACATTTGTAATTTATCATTTGCTGAACAGGACTCTTTACCTTGGCTGCCATCTCACTCCATCTGAGTGTGTGTGTGTGTGTGTGTGTGTGTGTGTGTGTGTGTGTGTGTGTGTGTGTGTGTGTGTGTGTGTGTGTGTGTAAGTAACGTAACCACTGTACCTGTCTGTCAACCTCTTCGCTGGGACAACTGTCAGCCATTTGGAGCGCTGATTTCAGCTCCCTCCCAGTTTTCAAAATAAAATGGCGAAGTGTCTCTGTCGGCATGTGAAGCTCCTATTTATGGACCGGAGTAGTGTAGTCTAGCTTTAAAAAGAACTAAATATGAATAAAGGATTGTACCTGATGTCTAAAATACCAGTGAAGAATGCATGTGTGACTGGCTGTGTGAGTGACAGCTCCTCCAGCTCCTCTCATCCAATGGGAGACCCCGCTTAAGCCCCACCTCCTTTCTTTGCCCTCCTATCAGATCCTTATGCATGTCCTTAAGTCCACCCGTCCCCAGTATATCCTACAAAACTTGGACTGTTATTTTCTGTAAAATTTGTACTTTTGAACAAAACTATTATCAAGTGATATATCTCTAATGTTAGGTACGTTTAATGTTAGCAATAACGTCAGTAAAGGAATATATTTGATATTTAAATGCAGTGAAAATATAACGTGATAAAACAACAATGATGATGGATAGAGGTTGTGTTTTAAAAGCAATATTATTCTTTAGTATGAACTAAAAATGAGTGCCATATGTATTTATTCTTGTATTTTCTGTTTGTTTGACTTTGTTTCAGTCCTCTGCCTCATTGTTGTTTGTTCCAGTCACTAGTACTGTAAGTGTTAAAGGCTTCTGTAGCTTCCCAGTATGTCTCTGTGTATCATGAATGCTGACTTGGTTAAGCTATAGCAACAGAAATAAAGACATCCTGCTGCTTCTGTCCACCTCAAGCTTTTATTGAGTCTCAGCACGCCACGTCAGCTGTTGGATCCAGACCACGATACAAACACTCCAAGGTTCATGGTGCAAGAGTTTTACCCTTTGAATCAAGGTTGAAAGGCTCAACTTTTATGTATAGCTCATGTATTATGGAAAATGAAAACATTTATATCCAGGAGCAGATTTAGATGGGTGGTATGGCTAAAAATTGCCTGGCCACCCCAGGTGTCAAGTGCTGTCAAATTTAACACATTAATTTATATAAATTTTTCAAATAATGTGTTAAAGAACTGAAATTTACACAAGGAATTTAATGATACTATGGACACATTTTAAAATGTATGAAAATTTGAAAATTTGGAAAATTCTAATGCCACCTTCCTAGAATAAATATCAGGAAAATTAATCTCTGACCAATCTTCACAGCAAATAATGTGCTCAAAATTCAACAAATGTACTACACTGAGTTAGGGAAATAAGCTTTTCCCTTACAATCAAAGAGGATTAGTTAGAATTTAATTAGGCTACTCATAAAAATGAACTTCCAACTAGTTTTTCCACATTATTTATGTAAACACGACTCTTCGAAATAATGTTTGCGACTTAAAATATTTATCCAAATCAATACATTTTAAGTTTTATCTTGTAAACATGCATTTATTTAAGTGGTGACAATATGTCCACTGAATTATCTTTTAGAGTGCATCATTATACTGTTTATGGTCATCATTGAATTGTAATCATTGTTTGAAATGTGGTCATTTTATCACAATAAAAACAAAAAAAATTTGAATGACATTAAATGCAAATGACATAGCACTGAATATCTGAAATTATACATTTTATCTACTTAAAATACTATGTCTCACTGACTGCTAATAATAGAGTCTGACTGTGCTTCACTGTGGATGCTCATTCCCACTATAAAAAGAAAAAAGAAAAAGGAAAAAAACAACAGTACTACAACTACATGACTATTTTTATTTTTGTCATAATGAACTGGTTTTGAAGCTCCTGAGGGACTCACTGATAATGGTGTTATGCTGTCACCTAGTGTCCTTTCTGCGTACCTAGCAACTGAACAGATCATTTTGCTCACTGCCATTTGTTATTAGGTATTGGTTGTGTTAGTTTTGTTTTGTAGTTGTTACATCAATATAAATATTATGGCTTATCAAAATCCTATTTAAGACATTTTAAGGTCTAAATTTTAGATTTTATACTTTTTGAGACCCCAAAGACAACCTGCAGAGAAGAATTTTATAAGACGATCAAGTTTTTTATATGTAAAACCTTAATCTACAAAGCTATAACTGCAACTTTTACTACAGTGTAAAGAGTAAAAAGTACAATAGTTTCTCCTGTAATAGTAGTAGAAGTATAAAGTGAATGCAATGAAAACACTAAAGTACAAATACCTCACAATTGTGCTAAAGTACAGTATTTTATTAGTAATACCACTGTTTGGTTTGTCCGTTCTGGACTGTAAAATCACCATTTTACAGCCCAGAACGGTGTCAACATGGCAAAGGAGGACTCGGCCCCTCTGTAGATGAAAACAGTTAATTCTAAGGTAATAAAAACACAGGATTTCTATTTTCAGGTGATTATACATGACTCAAAACTATGATTATTATATTCCATTCCACAAGTATTCAAGAAGAACATTCAATGTAAATAGAATTAGCAGTTTTGCATATTCAGATTAAGCATTTACGGTTCAACAAATTAAATAACACAGAATGTCTTTTGTAATTATTGATAATTTATTGTGTTGAAAGCCATTCTTGTTGTTTTTGTTTGTGTGACACAATGGCATAACATTAGACTGACCCATACACTGTATAAATAAAAACTGACATAGTTAGTTAGGTTTCTGAAGAGCCGTTGGAAAGTTCAGTGTGGTCGACTCTGGCCTTCCCCATCTTGGCAGTGCTGACTCTGCTGGCTCTAAGTAATCCAAATATGGGCAAAGAGGTGGAGCTTGGGTGGAACTGAGGTGGGCTGAATGAAGTCTAGTTACTGACAACAACCGCCTGTGATGGCAACTACCTGTCATTAAAAGCGACCACAACCTTATTTATGCATAACTTTAAACGTTAATATAATTTAAACAGGTGAGTTATATAAAAGGAACGGAGGTTGCCTCTTGGATTAACCCCATTCCCCTTTCAAGATCTATAGAGCAGATTAATTGCATTGGTTATCATAAAAACATATATTTCAAATACAATGCAACTATAATAGAATTAGACATATGTGCTACTGTCAACTGTAACAAATCTGTTCCAACTCTCTGACCTGCTGTCAGTCATAATGCTCTGCAGGATCTGATTATTTCAGTCCATTGAGGATTTTGCAGGATTTGTTGCAGCTTAAAAATCAATGATTTCACAGCAGTTACAATGCACGTTGCAATGTTTGAGTAGGGCGTGTATTGTGTACTGACAAGAATCTGTCAATACGATACATATCACGATATACAGGGATTATGATTCAGTATATTGCTATATATTGCAATACTGAGAGCGAGGTGATATATTGCTGTAGCACGTCGAGCTACAGACGGGGTCCCCTCAGCACACAAACAACCACACTCCGTCGATGAATACACCACTTTTATTCAGCGTACTGCTCACACGGCACACAAAGTCTAGCTCGGTCGCCTCTGGCTCTCAGTGGCACTCCCAGTAGCGTCTCTCTGGCCCAGCACACTACTGCAAGAATAAGGGTAGAGTCATCAGGTAATCAAGGGCAGGTGAGGTAATCAACTCACCTGGTGCCGCTCTCCCAAGCCTTCCCCACACCTCTCCCTCCTGCAGCTGAGCGCAAACCACACCCACCTCCACATACCCCCACCGCCCGACTTAGGCCGGGGAGCCATCCGGCCCAACCTACTCCCCCCCTTCCGAGTGAGGTCGGTCAGGGGGCTGGTCAAGTCCGCAAAGTGCGGAATGAACCGCCAGTAATAACCCGCCAGCCCCAAGAACCGCCTCACCTCCTTTTTGGTCTTGGGCCGTGGGCTGGCTGCAATTGCTGCTGTCTTGTCTACTTGCGGACGCACCTGCCCACTGCCCAAGTGGTACCCCAAATACCGTACCTCCCTCCGTCCAATGGCACACTTCTTCAGGTTGGCCGTGAGCCCCGCCTGCCTCAGTGACTCGAGCACCGCCACCACACTCTGCACATGCTCCCGCCAGCTGTTACTATGGATGATATCATCATCCAAGTAGGCGGCAGCATACGCAGAGTGCGGCCGCAGGACCCGGTCCATGAGACGCTGGAAACTGGCTGGGGCACCAAACAACCCAAAGGGAAGTGTGACAAATTGGTACAAACCGTACGGAGTGGAGAAGCCCGTTTTTTCCTTAGACTCTGGAGACAAGGGAATCTGCCAATAGCCCTTGGTTAAATCCAGTGTCGTGAAAAAGCGAGCAGTGCCTAACCGATCCAGGAGCTCGTCAACCCGAGGCATCGGATAAGCATCAAACCGTGACACATCATTCACCTTGCGATAGTCCACACAGAACCGAATAGACCCATCCTTCTTAAGTACCAGAACAATGGGGCTACACCAGGCACTGTTGGACTCTTCTATTACCCCCATCTCCAGCATGGCCTTCAAGTCCTTCTGAACCACCTTTCTTTTGTGTTCAGGTAACCGATAGGGCTGTGACGCTGTTGACGCTCCTGGGCCCTGAGCAAATTCTCCCGTGACAACTGACCCAATGTGTGGAGTTTTGCTCTCAGGTCCAGGACGTACTGAACCTCATTTTTACTTGGGCTCGGACCTTCCTCCCAGCTTTCTTTAACAAGGTCCAGAACCCCCCTGTGGTGTCCTGCCAAACAGCAGTTCAAAAGGAGAAAATCCCGTTGAGGCCTGGGGCACCTCGCGCACTGCAAACAACAGAGGATCTAGCCACCTATCCCAATTACGGCCGTCATCGTGCACAAACTTACGGATCATGGACTTCAAGGTTTTGTTCAGACGCTCGACAAGGCTGTCGGTCTGAGGGTGGTACACACTAGTCCGAATTGACCTGATGCCCAACAACCCATAAAGTTCCCGAGTGTGCGTGACATAAACGAGGTGCCCTGGTCTGTTAGGATTTCTTTTGGGATCCCAACTCGGGAGATGACCTGGAACAGTGCCTGTGCCACGCCCTTTGCAGAGATTGTGCGCAGAGGCACTTCTGGATATCGAGTTGCATAATCCACTAGGACTAATACAAAACGATATCCACGTGCGCTCCGGTGAAACGGCCTGATGAGGTCCATGCCAATACGCTCAAATGGAACCTCCACGAGTGGTAATGGGCGCAAAGGCGCTCTCGGGATGGCCGGTTGGTTAACCAACTGACATTCAGAGCAAGACGCACACCAGCGGCTTACATCTGCCCTAATGCCAGGCCAATAGAATCGGGCCATTATCCGGTTAAGTGTTTTCTCATACCCCATGTGCCCCGCCATTGGGTTATAATGAGCCGCCTGGAAAACTGTTTCCCGGCGGCTGTCCGGTACCAACAACTGGGTGATTTCCTCTGCTGTCTGAGTGTCACGACTCACTCTGTATAGCCTGTCCCTAACCAATGCGAAATGCGGATATGTCTGCACCGCGTCAGGGCGCACTAGCTGACCATCAATTTGTATCACTTGGTCAAAGGCAAAGCGCAGAGTACTGTCACGAGACTGCTCGAGTGGAAAATCTTCCGTGGAGCGCCACATGGGAACCTGTGGAGCCTCTGGCGGAGGCACCACAGGTCCCCCCTCCCCCTCTGCAGTGTCGGACAACCTCGTGTCACCACTGAGCACGGCGCACATATCCCACAACCCTACCGGTCGTGAACGCACCCCCGCACACTGCCCCACTAATCGATTAAACCCGGTCCAATCCGTGCCCAAAACCAGGGGGTGCGTCAGGCGGGAACTAACCGCGGCCTTAACAGTATGCTTTTTACCCTTATATCTAATTTCCACGGGCACAACCACGTATCTGTGAATATCCCCATGTACGCATCTAATGTCCACCCACGATGCCTCTACCAAAGTCCCGGGTCGAACCAGGTTCTGATGAATTATAGACTGCGTGCAGCCCGAATCCACCATTGCCCGATGTATACCCCCTTGAATCCTTACCGGGACGCTGTATGTCCCTCCTGGACCGGGGGAGGGTGTTGGTGGGCCGGCAACCCGGATCACCTGACCGACCTCCATGAGAGGGCACTACCTGCGGAAATGTCCGGGCTGCCCGCATCGCCAACACTCCTGCCCTGACGCCTGAGGAACCCTCTGTGGGTCGAGAGCGGCACCCGTAGCGGCTGGACCCTGGGGAGGAGAGAGAGCAGAGGGTTGGTTAGTGCGCGGCGGAGGGAGAGGCCGGGCAACAGTTTCCAGACGGGCGGTAAGTGGGGGTCTTCTGCGAGGCGCGGGCACGGGTCGGGTGGGTGCAGAGGGCCGCCTCTCCAGAGCTCGGTCCCCACTGTGGACGGCCAGGTGATCCTCGGCGAGGGTGATGGCGGCCTCCAAATCCACCGGACGGTGGCACTGCACCCACTCCGCGGTCCCGGTCGGGAGCCCCTCCACAAACTGTTCCAGCACAACCTGCTCCAGCATCTGCCTCTCTCCGACGGTTCCCCCCGGCTGCAGCCACCTGGTGGCAGTGTCCTTCAGCTGCTGCGCATAGACAAAAGGACGGTCGGAGGGTCCCAAGGTGGCAGACCGGAACCGGCGGCGGTGATCCTCAGGGGAAAAACCCATCCTGTCCAGGATGGCTCTTTTGATGTTTCGGAACTCCCCCCGAGAAGAAGCTGGCAGGCCGAGCGCTGCAGTCTGGGACTACGATACTGCTTCCCCTGACAGCAGGGGAAGCAGGCGCACGGCCCACTCCGCCGCCGGCCAGCCACACGCCTCCGCCGTGGCCTCGAACATTTCGAGGAAGGTTTGGGGGTCATCCGCCGCTGTCATCCGGTGCATGGTGATACCGGAGAAGGAGGAGGGTGGAGGAGATGGTGCCTGAGCCCCCGACCGGGCCAGCAGCCCCTCGAGCAGCTGGTTCTGCTTCCCCGCCTGGTTCTGGAGTGCCTCCAGATGCCGCCTGTTAATCACCGTTTGCTGGCTGTGTACTGCTGTGATCTGCCCCAGCATCTCCCCCAGCAGTGAGACTAGCTGTGAGGGCTGCTCCATAGGCGGCTGCGGTGTCGGCTGCGGAGTTGGCTGCTGTGGAGGCCGCTGTATAGGCGGTTGTGGATCAGACATTGCTGTGTGCCGGTTCCTGTTCAGGCGCCAGGGTAGCACGTCGAGCTACAGATGGGGTCCCCTCAGCACACAAACAACCACACTCCGTCGATGAATACACCACTTTTATTCAGCGTACTGCTCACACGGCACACAAAGTCTAGCTCGGTCGCCTCTGGCTCTCAGTGGCACTCCCGGTAGCGTCTCTCTGGCCCAGCACACTACTGCAAGAATAAGGGTAGAGTCATCAGGTAATCAAGGGCAGGTGAGGTAATCAACTCACCTGGTGCCGCTCTCCCAAGCCTTCCCCACACCTCTCCCTCCTGCAGCTGAGCGCAAACCACACCCACCTCCACAATTGCGATTAAAACAAATACATTTCATGAAAACATAAATAAGTCATAGTATAAAGATCATACCATCATATGAATAAAATCGGACTAAAAATATCGACTTTTTCATGCAATGAGAACAGTGGGATTTGCAACATCATAGTCCTCATTTTACATTTGCAACACTACCATCTAGTGGTTAGGAGTCTTAACACAAAAATAGATAGTGCTTTTGTGAATTGCGATATGATATTTAATTAGGGCCTGAGCACTGACCGTGCAAAGGCCCTATTGTAATTAAAGGAATTCTTTTTCTTTTTCCTTTTTTTTTTCCTCCCAAACAAACGCATATTTGGAGGCTTTCCCATGCTCGAAAACTCAATGAAACACGGCGCACGTCAGTCGTGGCAAATAACATCATATTTTTATACTTTATACATTTACTATGTGCATGGCAAAATGTCCCCTCAGGGACCCATAAACTTTACCCCTTTCACCGATATGCATAGAAATCGGCACACACGTAGATCTTATCCAGAAGAACAAAAAATTCAGTGGGCGCCATATCCTAAACCTAACAGGAAGTCGTCCATTTTGGATTTAGTGGCCGTTTCTGGCGATTTGCACACGTTATATTTGAACATATTTATTGGATCGACTTCAGATGGACACAGCCATCTAAAGACATTCACGATTAAAAGTTGTGCTATTTACGATATTCCGTCAAACAGCGTGCTGTGGCGTGGCATGGAATTTCAACGACTCGCCATGAAAGAGGGATTTGTCATAACTTCAGCGTACATGATCCAATCTCAATGAAACTTTACATGTTTGATAAGAGCCCTGAACACGTCTACATGACAATATTCAGATATAGTGATAGAGCCACCTACTGCCAACAGGAAGTAAGCGCTGCTTGGCGATTTTGATCTGATTTATGTGAAAATTTCATGTTGTGGTCCACATGTGCTACGCTGGCACATGACGCGGCCGCAGCACACCCCAAGTTGCGTGGAGTGCGATGGCCCGTTCACTACAACAATTAGTGAAACTCAAAGGAAACTACAATGATTGGTCAGATTTGCAGAAATGTTGCTGCAATTGGACAAAATTGCAAGGCCGTGCCGGACTCACAGGGACTGGTTGAATTAATTGTTGCAATTGCAACTTCTTGGAGGAACTGATATTTGCATAGTGGTGATTTATGTACTGCAAGCAGATGTGATAAATACACTAATACAACTATGAATTTATCACAAACACCTCAGGTCAGATAGTAGACTTATACAACCACTAGGGGACGATCAGGTATCTTTCTCAGCTCTGATTGGTTGTTTTCATCAGGGCCGATGGATTCTTGCAAATATCATTAGGAGCACTAGGAGGAGCCAGAGGAACCTGCTTCATTCACAGATTATCAGTCTCATGTACTGCTGTCAGGATGAAGTGAAAGTTTCAGAAAATCTTTTTTTTTAATAATTGTATCGGACCCTCCCAACCCTGGCTATCAAGAAGGCCTTTATTTTGAAGGCAGCGACAGGAAGTTGTTTTCTTCTTTGCCAACTTGTTCCTCCGCGTGAAATTCCTCAAGTTCGAGTCTTTTGTTCCTGTGTTTGGACCGACAGCGAGTGGATATGTGGTAAAAAGGATAAAGCCGCAGAGACACGGTGTAAGTAAGAGTGCAGACTGAGACGAATGAGATTGTAACGGCTCTTGCGGACGGTTTCTCCGCTTCGTTTGTCCGTTTAAGGGAGTGAAACTCCTGATGGGAAGGCAGGGAAGGGGGAAGATAACGAGGAGGAGCTGAGGAAGGAGCTGAGGTAACCGGGCTATGTGGCAAAACTCTGCGCTACTTCTCTGACAACAAGAGCTGTACGGATACTTTTGAGAAAGCGGTAAGTCTCATCTTGAACCACTAATAACAGCTTGGTGAGATAGACTGTGTATGTGTTTGACACTTCCGCCAAATATTCCAGGTAGAAAGTTCGAAAACACGCTGCTCTGCCCAGAGTTTACACAGGGCCGTAGCGAGGATTTCAAAAGTACTGAGGGCAGGAGTCCCCCAGCCACCACCACTAACAGAGAAAAGTTTCCAGTCTCTCTTTGTAGCATTTGGTTATTTCATCATTTGTTCTTTAACTGGTATATGTAGAGCTGGATAGTGTTCCAGTGTGTAAGATTTAGGGGCGGTATATTGCCAGAAATGGAATGTAGTAAGTAGTATAGGTATGCATGCCTGGAATTAGTCATTTCAGGGCAAGGCTGCTTTGGCCTTTTTATAAATACAAACACAAAGGTTTTTGGGCACCAGTGCCAAAACTACTACATAGTATAAAGGAGAAAGCCAGTACGAAAGTAATTGTGGGATTTTCCCAGCCCATATGAGTCTGATATGCCAAACGTACGTACAGCACACAACACTTAACAAAAATACAAAAAAATAGCGTGGATTTGTCATTCTCTCACAGAAGATATAGTTTTTATATAGTAATTTTTTCACTCTTTGTTTACACACACAAACGCCTGAAATACAGTCATCGACACACAGGGCTTATAGGCATGCAAATGTGTAGAGGGGTGGGGTGCCATGTAACGCTGCTCCGGGGGCATTTAGGGGTTTGGTGCCTTGCTCAAGGGCATCTTGGCAGTGCACAGGAGGTGAAACTGACACCTCTCCAGCTTCCAGTCCACACTCCATACTCCATAAGCCAAGTCCCTGCAGACTGAGCTACTGCTGGAAGTTTACTCGGAAAGTTGTTTTGGACAACGATAAGTAAATTCACGCAAGCTGTAATTTTTTTTTTTTTTGGAGTGATGAGTTGTGTTTATTGGTGTATGTGTCATATCATTGGCAAATGATTTTTAACACATCCTGAATTGAGTTTGAGTTTTTCCGTATGGAGTCAAATCAGGTGGAACTGCAACAGGAGTCACGGTCAGGATGAAAGTAACACATGTTTCTTTCTCTCCTACAGTAACAATGATTGCTATCGCCCCTGATGCGGCTGTTTTTCTTGATATTTGTCATGCAGGTCATAGTGACCTCTTCACACTGGAATCTGATATTGGCCACATTAAAAATATAATGTGAACAGCCAAACACAAAAAATCTGATCTGAGCAATTAGTCAGAATTAAGCGCTGATGCATGCAGTGTGAACGTAGCCTAAATAACTCTAGTTAACCAAACTAGATTTTTCCCTACCGAGGCTTTGCTGTAGTTCAGCATCTTCAGTATGAAGTCATTGGTAAATTACAAAGCTATGCTTTCAGTGTAGCCTCCCCAACACTGCATATCTATCTATATCTATATTGATTTTACTTTTTGTTATTTTATTTTGTCATTAAAATAATGTGTAGCTGCCTGGATTGGAAATAGTAATACACAAACAGGGGCTATTAAGTCATTTTTTATTTGCTATAATTACAACATTTTACGTGTTGTATACATAAGGTTTTACCCCGTGTCCTGCTGCTTCCGACCCTGTAGAGATGGAAGGAGAGAAGGAGAGACAGAGGCAGCAACGAGAGGAGAAGGAGAGTAACGAGGCAGAAGATGGCAGGAGGAGCGAAGATGATGCCGACAACGAAGAGGAGGATGATGAAGGTTCAGAGGGTGCGGCGCTAGTGTGGCAGGAAGGCTACGGTGAGGACAATCTGGGCCTTCCCATCATGCACTGGGAGGCGCTGAGCCTGCGCATTGCTGAGCTGGAGAAGCAAGAAGAGGAGAAGAAGGAGAAGAAAGCAAAGGTCAGAGGTCACAGTCTGGGAGAGGGGAGTGTCATGTTTAGTCCTCAGCTGGAACCCTTTGGTTTTTAATCCATGTTGAACCCCCGCGTTTCTACGGTAGCCCAGAATGAAAACAACTAATCAGAGCCGAGGAAGATAGAAGATGCTTTGGTTTGGAGGCAGATCTGTGTCATATATAGTGAAATATGGATATAACTTTAAATTTGGACTTGACATCAAAACTGTAATTTGATTAAAATAAAATTGACATTTATTATCTATATCTATTATCTTATTAATAAATGTTTTATAAATTGTATTACAAATGTCATTTATACTGCAGTAAGGTGACTGAGTGAACTAATCTTCATCCTTTGGGGTCATTCTGGATTCTCCATCAAAATACGCTTGTAGAAGTGTGTGTACACTTTAACAAACACTGAGGCAATGAAGCACATTACAAACTGTGAGCAGCTCATAGTCACTCCTCTAGAGTTCTGACTTATTTTTTGGAATTGTCTTACTTTTAGTCTGAGGATAAATTGTGAATACTGTTGGTGAAAAAGAAATCCTAAAAAGATAGATCAACAGTACAGTATGCACGGTAGCTCACCTGGTTTATATCACACTGAGACCAACCCAGTGGCGTGGCTCCAACTATCATTAGTTTGTTATCAGTAACAATATGACGCTGTGTCTCCTCAACAGAAAGCTACACTAAGCTTAGCTAATGAAGGTCAACAGGCAGTAAAGAAATTACAGAAGCAAATTGCAGTCACACCAATGAAAAAAACAATATTTATACTACTGTGTGTGTGTGTGTGTGTGTGTGTGTTGCTCATTTATAAACATGCCTGCTGTGTGTTTCAGAGCGGAGTCTCTCTGGAGCGAGGCAGAGCTCCAGTGAGCTGGATGGAGGACAGGGGGAGGAGGGCCGAGAGCTGGGAAGACGGAGATGACGCCTGCAACAGCCACGTGCTGGCTCTCACCTCCCGGTACACACATACATACACACACACACACACACACACACACACACACACACACGCCTCCCACTTCTTATGAGACCGCTATTACTCATGAGCATGGTGTTGTGTGTGATGTCATTTGGATTTGATGTGTCTCGTCCGTAAATCAGGAAGAACATCAAGAAAACCTAAATGTAGAAGAACAGGACTAACAGACTGTTGTAGTCCTGTTGTAGATTGGTGGCAGTCCCTGCAAGCTGCAGTTTACATAAAGCCCCACAATATGAAAGTATTGAATGATATACAATTTATGGGTGGAGTCTCAATTTCCCTTGATAGTCTAAAGCCTGAGGTGGAGTGAGTAACTAAATACGGTTTAAGTCAGAAGTAGCCGTACTTAATATTTTGTAGCATTGCCTTTAAAATGTTTAACTTGATTTCAAATATTTCAAGTAGCCTTCCACAAGCTTCTCACAATAAGTTACTAGAAATTTGGCCCATTCCTCCTGACAGAACTGGTCCCACAGAGTCAGGGTTATAGGCCTCCCTGATGCTCTCACACGCTTTTCCAATTCCAAGCTTTCACTTCCTGTCTTTCACTGCAGTAAGGACTTCGCAGGGGCATGTAAATACTGTTGTCGCTGTTTCCTCCAGCATCTTCACAAGGTGTGATTCTGCGATTGGTTTTCACTTAAGTACATCCATCTCTAGACTGCTGCATTGTCCCCATGTCTTTAGACTTGTGTAATTACAGATACAGATTAACCTTCATGCGGTTGGATATTGGTAATGGTAAATGGTAAATGGACCTGTACTTGTATAGTGCCTTTCTAGTCTTCTGACCACTCAAAGCGCTTTTACACTACGTGCCACATTCATCCTTTCACACACATTCACTCAGTGATGGCAAAGTCCATTGAACAGAAACTAACGCATTCATACACATTCGCACACCGATGCCTCTGAACCACAGCCGCCACCAAGGATGAACCAAATTTTTTAGGCTGATTTCCATAATATAAGTAAAGAGGCACTGGGTTTGAATATATCCACAGGCAGAGCGGGTCGTCCCCTAATCAGAAGGTTGTTGGATCGATCCCTGGCTCCTCGTGCCACATGTCGAAGTATCCTTGAGCAAGATACTGAACCTCCAATTGCTCCTGATGCCGTGCATCGGTGTGTGAATGTGTATCAATGTGTTAGTTTCCACTGGATGGGCTTCACCATCACTGTGTAAATGTGTGTGAAAGGGTGAATGTGGCACGTTGTGTAAAAGAGCTTTGAGTGGTCGGAAGACTAGAAAGGTGCTATACAAGTACAGGTCCATATACCATTTTAACACCACACACCCTTCCATCAGTCAGACATGTTCTAGTATAAAGCCACTACATGGAGTCTGTCTGACTATGTCTGTGTCCTCCAGCCTGCAGACACAGATGAATCTCCAGCTCTGTTTCATCAACAACAGCGAAAGTGAGGAGGAAGAGGAGGAGGGAGAGAAGGAGAGCAGCAACACACGAGTAAATACAACTAACACAAGTTCCTGACAGAGTGCTACAGTTTAGATGAGAGAAGCTCAAACATAGTTATGTCTGGTGTAACTGAAGGATTGCAGCAGTAAAATCTTAATTTTCTTCTTTGCTGTCCATCCCTGGTGATGAAGAGAGGGACTGTTCAGGTCCATAACAATCCTCAACCTCCTGCCAAGCCAGAGAAATCTAAATCCAGAGGCTTCAGGAACACTCTGAGGAACCTTCGAGACCGACTGAGAACAGACCACAAAACTCTGGTGAGAGTTCCACATTGAACCCTGTGGATGGGATTTTTGTTTTACTCCAAAATACAGTTTATCACAGTTCTCCTCCTCTCCTCCTCTCCTCTCAGACTGCAGTCTGTAGTGATCATGTAGTCCAGAGAAGACATTTGGAGCGCAGTGATTTACAAAACTTCAGTATTAAGGACCTGAACGCCCTTTCCACATCTCTCAGCAAGGCCATACAAGGTACCCACCTGCTCACAGTAATTACACTGTGTGTAGTTGAAACATTATTAAAGTCTTATTATTATTATTATTATTATTATTATTATTATTATGGAAGCGGAGTGCTGTTCTCTTTACTGTGTTTACAGTAAAACCAGGCAGCAAGGGAGGGACTTATTAATTAGTGTTTACAGCTTCCAAAAGTTGTTGTTCAGTTTAAGTGTATGTTATATTCAGAATATTTCTTCCACTTTACCTCGCTCCACTTTACTCTTTTCACACACACGCACACACACCTATTCTGGTCTCTCTCACTGGTACCCCGCCTCTCTCTGTTTCTCTCTTTCTCTCTCTGTTTATGACTGTATTGACTTTCTTCAGCAGTAACTTTTATAAAGTCAGTCAAAAAAACCCTCATGTTTGGGACTTTTTTCACCTGCAATTCGGTTTTAACAACAGCAGGCGAGGTGTGTGTAAAGGAGGCTTGTTGTTAATGATACGGTACTGTAGACAAACAAGAACCATAACATTTTCAAAACCTTGGCATACACTTGGTACAGAAGTATTGGTTGACATATGAGTTAAAAACACATTCATTTAAATTTAATTAATTTAACTGCAACTCTGAACATAATGAACAAATTGGACGTTTTGTAATCATCCTCGTTGGTGACAGCATTGGCTGCAGGCATTCCCGTGTTCAGTACGTCTGTCTGTATGTCCATCTGTCCCATTCTTGTGAGCGTGATGTATCTTGAATTTGGCACAAACATCCACTAGGATGAACTGATCAGATTTTGGTGGTCAAAGGTCACAATGACCTGCATAAAACATGTTTTTGTCCATAACTTAAGAATTGATGCTGTAATTATGACAAAATGTCACACAGATGTGAAATGAGATACAACCATGAACTGATGACATTTTTTACTCAGAAGGGTCAACTTCACTTTAACATCATAATGTGTTGGAAGAAACACTTTTTTGCCCATTATTCAACACCATACCTCAGAAACAGAAGGGAGATTGTGACCATATTTCACAGTTGGTTGGACACTAAACTGGTAACATTTTTGACTCAAAGGTCACTGACCACAAAATGGGTGTTTAACCATAATTTAAGAATGAATGGTGGATATGAGATTTCACACACAATAAGATGCACAGTACAGGCTTTAATCTTTTCATCTCATCCATTCTGCCTTTCACTGCCTCATTCTGAATTTCACCTGACTGCAAACAGTAGTGTAGTGCTGAGCAAATGGTGATCCTGTGAGTGAGTTTCACCTGCAGCTGATAGAGAAGATTCACATCTAAAATGCCAGGAGAAAACAAGCACCACATTTAATATAGCTAAACTATATAAGAATCCATCTTAACATAGTTATCAATTAGGTGTGTGTGTGTGTGTGTGTGTGTGTGTGTGTGTGTAATCATTTTTTTGATAGATATGGAGAATAACTTCCATTTATTTATTTCTATATAATAAATTCACCAAATATATTATGAGTCTGGACAGACATGGATGTAAACTGGCTGGCTAGGCATACAACCATGGGGCAGTAATTCTAAATTTAAAACTTATTTTTCATCTATTCACATCAGACCTGAGCTCAGAGCTGGTGGGTCGCCTGCAGGTCCGAGACCAGCTGAGAACGGAGCAGGATGCCATGCTGCTGGAGGTCCAGGATCTGACCTCACTGTGAACCTGCCCATCACTCTCAGCTGAGGTTTACCTGTCGGAGCAGTCAAGAGGGGGTTATGTCATACAAACTTTTTAACGGTTTTTTTTACCAAACGGTGCCACAGCGGCCTCAGCACACATCTCAGTCAGTCCCTCCTGCTGTCAGTCTGACCAGCCAGTCACTGTGAAGAGTGTCACTCCCTAAAAGGACTTGGACACTCAGTTACAGAGTATTTTTTTATTTTATTTTATTTTAGTTGTTATCTGTGTTGTGTATTTATAAGGGAAACTTTGTCTTGGTAAAGGACATCATCAGTGCTTTTAAACTCGCATGTCACATGAGGACAATATTGTGTCTTTTAGAGGGCCAAAGTGTACATCTGTAAATTGAGGGTTATGTTTTGTCAACCCTGCAATACTCATGTTGCCACACATGTTGTGTTTAGCATCTCTTCTAAAGGCTTCATATGCAATGTAAAAGGGACCCTGTTAGGAAGCTGCTAATTCTGCCAATGGAACAATCTGTCTTTTTTCTACTTTGTTTAGTATAGTCATGTTCTCTGGTCTTCGTGCTTTTTTTTTTGTATATGTAAGGGAAGATATTTTTTATTTTTAGATTCAATCAATTAGATTTTTTTTTTAGTCTTGGCACATGTTTTTGATAGTGTTCATTTAACGAACACTACAAAAAGAATGTTTACTTTTTATCTTCATAAATTCAGTCTAATGTACATTTCCACAGCACACTTCTCATATTTTGGAATCTTGCAAATGCCATTAGAAGCACTAAATGGAGCCAGAGGAACCTGGTCTGTCTCATGTACTACTGTCAGGATACAGTGAAAGCTTCAGCAAATGTGACAAAAAAATATTTTTGATAAAATCATACTTACTGCACCTTTAACAAAATTCTACTCTTCTTTTTCAGTTTGCTGTCAGTAAAACTCAACACTTTCTGCGTGTTTCATAATAAAAGCCTTTCACTTTCACTCACTCCTATTAAGCTGTCTTTGGGTGTGTTAAGTTTCATTCACAGCAGCTTAAAAAATGGAAAAGTAGAAGCTATTGACGCTACCTGGCATTTATTAGAGACAGCCAATTCCCTGAACACCAGCTTTGATTTCTGAATTAACAGCACACATAGATACCAATGTTTTGGACCAAGTGGCATGAATTTTAAGTCAAGTCTTTTCTAAGGGTCTTAATGCAAGTGGGTCGGGCTCTAACAGCAGTGAGTGGACACTACAGTACACTCCAAGTTAGTGTTCTTGAGACAGATATCTGTCCAAATTCCTCTCTCATTAGTGGTCAGTGTTGACATTGTTATAATTTAAGCAGTCTTTACCTAACCAAAAGATGTACTCTTTAATGTTGTTATTGCTAGGGTTGAGCGAGTAGCCGGTACAGAGATCATACTTTTTACAAGTATCAAGAGTAAAATGTGTCAGTATGCGTACTTATAAATGTAGCAACTTTCATTAAAAAACGTATTCTGTAAATTGTTCTCTTAATCTAAAACATTCCTCTGTAGTTCAGTTCTGTAAATAGTTTCCTAATAAATATAATTATTGGTTGCTTTTATTCAGTGGATTCTTGCAAATGCCATTAGGAGCACTAGGAGGAGCCAAAGGAACCTTTTTTTTTTCAGACTATCTGTCTCATGTACTACTGTCAGGATATAGTAAAAAAAATATATGACTAAAAGTTGTTTTTATAAAAGTTACTTACTGCAGCTACTCACTAAGAAAAAACAATGGGTAAAATGCTTCTTGGCATTTTCTATTTCCTTAGGCAACAATAACAACAATCAATGTTTAGGTTTTTTTAAAGACCTGACTTTTTTTTTTTAAATATATAAGCCTCTACCAATGAGTTGAGGAGTCGCCTCAATGTTAAAAGTAAGTGAGTATGAAAAGTCATAGTTACAGTAACTTTTTTGGAAATTATACAATGGAACAACATCAAATATATGATATAAATAATAATATAAGTAGTAGTAACAGATAATAATTTAATCAACAGTTCATCATACAAATTAGTATTTTTTATGACTTGTTTTTTAAAAGTAGCATATAGGGAACTAGATCTAAATTTCCTCCTACAGCCGTATGTTGCAAATGACAATAAAATAACCTTGAATCCTTGAATATTGACAACAGTGGATGTTCATAAATCTTTTTGTTTAATAAAAATTCCACCATCTCTCTCCATGTTTGCATGTCCACAAGCCCTGCCTGTGTTTGATTGTGCATTTGTGTGTGTATAAAAGTGTGTGTATAAAAGTGAAAAAAATTATTTGTCCAATAGGGGATTAATAAAGTAAATCTTAAATCTTATCTTAATGGACAATTCAGCTGTTTGGTTGAGCATGTTTTAATAAAAGTAAAAAATCTAACTTGATGAATGATTTCAGCAGATATATGATGGAATAACATTAAATGTGTTGTTTTACCAACAGTGAATGATCAGAAGTTTTAAATTTTGTAGCAAATTGTAAATCAATATTTTCCGCTTAATCCCACCCACTTTTGCTTTAAGCACCACCCTTTATGAGTACGGCTATGAAAACAGATAATTTAGTTAGTTTAACAGATACAGATATTGGTGTACTCGCTCATCCCTAATTACTGCACCCAATAGTGCCTCAACTTTCCTCATATGATCAGCACTCTGCCAATCATACAAGTACTGCTCATGGTCTCAACATGTTTCCTTTTTTTCAACCTGAGTGTGGACTGTTATCCAAGAGTAAACAGCTGCGTTCCAAGAACCAAATTAGCTGGAAGAGAATTAACAGGATTAAACATCATGTTAATCTGGATTAGTTAAAGTATATGTACAATAATGCTATCCTGTTAAACTCTTTGTTTTATTTACAAAGGAATGTAAAGAAGTCAATCATTAATCATTTAGACTTAGTTGTTGTTAATGTTGTATTCATCTATGTATTAAACTATAGATCAATTTGAGATTGATTGCATGCTCCAGTACTGTGCTTTTAATTCTGTTGGTGGGTGGAGCATTTTGTTTACATTTGGTAAGAGGTTGTGTCTTTAAATGAATAAAGTGTTATGCCAGTCAGTGGTACAGTGCAGTCTTTACATTGAGCTGGTTGGTGGGTTTGTGTTGGTCAGTTGATGAATAAATTGTCACCTGTCACTTCATGTGGATATTAGAACATACATTTTCTCATTGTGTGTTAGCTGGGCTACGAGCTGAAAACTTCACTGATGTTAATTAATGTTGAGTTGTGATTAAGGTTAAAGACTATCAGTATATCAGGATCATATCACTCGCCAAGGGTGCAGTGACAAACATTGCTGTGCCATTCAGCAGCCACAGAGCTTGAACCTGTGCTTGGTTTACGTCATTTTTATAATTTTGAAAAGGTCTTTGTGCATGCCACCACCGCCACACAACCCCAGCAGAAATTGGGGATTTTGTCTCAGAGCTAGAAAGTAGAAAAAAGGCCTGATACAGCTACTGTATACGTTTTATAAAAACTACCTATTGCAGCTTTAAGGAGGGGCTTTGTGTCAGAATGAGGGACATAGCTTGAAAACTGCTGTCTAAATGAAAAAACAAACTGGCAGTTTGACAGAATAATATATACTAAAGGACCACTAACTATTTTTTTACTAGAATGAACCTTCATGCTCATAAACAGTGCGGTTTGGGTGGAAAGTTGGGGGTTTGGGGTTGTTATTGGGCACCACAAAAAAACCAGGGAGTGTATAAGTGATGATCATTGTTAGTGTACAGGGACTGAAAACAGTCAAACTACATCAGATGTACATAAATGTGCATGAACTGGTGGGATCCATTCATCTGTCTGTGTGTTCTCAGAGTGCCTGCAAAACATCCAGCTCAGCTCAACAGGTGAGAAGAGAGGGAGTCACACACACACACACACATACACACACACACAAAGCTGAAGCAGGGAAGAAGAATTGGATGACACACAGTGAGAGACAGAGGGAGGGACTGAATTACCATAGAAACTGCTCAGACTGTTTAGAGAAGCAGCAGAAAAAGGTGAAAGCTGAAGTGGTCCAACTGTCAAGGTCAGCGGTCACCCAAACTGCTACCACACTGATCGCTGCTTACCACCGATGTTTGCTGAACTTTTTAAATAACAAGGAAAAGCTGTGTTTTGAAGCTGCTGACATATCAAAGTAAAAGGATGTTTTTGTATTTCTTGTGATTATTCTGACGGGCAGCAGATAGAACAGGAGCCATATGGAGTAAAAGTCATTTGTGTCGCAGGTAAGATCTTTGTCTAACAGCAGATTGTAGTGATGCAGGTATTTATGAGATTCCCTCTACACAAACACTAAACTCCTAATGCATTTCTCAAGTGCTTATTTTTGGCCTAGAGTGTGTGTAAAGCAATAAAATGGTTGCTTTTTAAACATCAATTTAAGGATTATTCCTGTAACTAACATTAAGAACATTAAAAACTTGGCATGGAACATTTCTAAATGAGACTGAATATGAATTCAGAGGCAGGTGATATATCAGGCTGCTGTTTGTGTATCCTTGGTTTTCTCAGAAGCTATTAGCTGCTCCTGGAAAACAACCTCTTCCTATTTCCATCCAGTCCAGGATCTTTAACTAAACAGTAATTATGACATTGATTTAGTCAAAACTAGTTGTATGTATGTCCTTAAAAATATTAAATTCACTTTTACAAATATCAGGCCCAGAAATTAAGAATTTAAGACTTAATTTTAAATAATGAGATTCTATCTTATTTGATATATTTCCTTTTGGTCACAAGAAGTGCATTTCTTCAGCAGTAGAAGGGTGTGATCACCTACAAAATCCAAGCTAATCTCATCCTAAACTCTATGTTGAACCTCATATACTTTCTGTATACTGACCAACCTATCATACTGAACTGCATCTAACAATGATTGAGATAAATTATGTCTTATATATAGACTGTGCAAGTTTCAGCACCATAAGCAAAAGTAATGTAGGCAGCCATTGACTTCCATTTATTTCTATATAGTATAAAGAGTCTTGAAACATACTCAGAGTGAACATCAGAACATGTAAGACTATCCTTGCAAATTTAATTCAACCAAACATGGGCCAGTAGTATTTGCACATTGTCACTACATTTCTGCTGCTTGACTTCAGGGAGTGAGGATCATCTTGAGATTAACATTAGCCACAGAGAAGGTGCAGATTTTGCAATCAGTACTGGCTTACAGTATGGTGGGCTACATGGTTATGCATTTTGAATGACGTATTCCTCATTGCTTCCATCCACTCATGAAAACTGGACTATATGTCATGCTTTCGCCATCCTAGGGGGGGAAATTGCAGCTCACAATAGTGAATGATGTACAATTGGATTTGGAAGTGGTAATACCCAATGCTGAGTTAAAAATATATACTCCTTTGTACAATAGCATGTTTTCTTAAGCATCATGTACATGCCAAAACCCAATTCCTCAGCTAGATTAATCCAGGAGAAAGCCCATGCATGTATAGATGTCATGTATAGATGTAAGCAGGTTTCTAATCTGCTTTTGCATGTGAGCGCATCCATGACAAAGACTTTACATGGGAAAATCTCACTGTGACAACAGAGCAGTAAGGTGAAGGGATAGATCATTAAACATAGTGATGTATGTTTGTGTTCATTGACATTCACGCTGTAATTGAAAAACTGCCAGATTTTTATATTGTATAAAAATTAATGGAAACCAATTTGCTAGGAAGAAAAAATGTTACTTCAATTTGTAAATTGCTGCACAGGGTTATTATTAAAGGGGTTATTACACCACTGTATGCAAATGATTGTCTGAATGGTTTACCACATTAATAGGAGGTTATTTCATTAACCATTAACAGTCAAATACACCACAAAGCTGGTCTAAAATGTCATACTTTTTTTAGCTCTGAGACAGAATCATTCAGCTTCAGCACATTGATAGACTACTGCATGTAAGACTGCTGTAGGATCATGTTTAGGTTATAGGATGTAGACCTTTTACATGTTGTTAGGGTGTGTGTTGCACTGTTAATATGTCATGTTACTGGTTGACACATTACCCTTATTTACATGAACTCTATAGGGAAGTGGTATAACTCGCAGATGGCTCACACAGTTGCACCTGCCTGTGTGCTAATCAAAATATGCAAGGGTAACAGCTGATGGAGGGGTTTTCACCTGCACTGTAAAATCTGACAACACATCTTAATAATAGAAGTAAGTTAACGTAACTTAATCCTCCAAAAAAATCACTTGTTTTGAGTGCACTTACATTTGTTCAGTATTTTAAGTACAGGCTATATATTCCAGTTTGTTCCACTGACTCATTTTCTCTAAGTAGACTTAATATAATTTTTAAAATGTAAGCAAGTTCCTCCCATCAAGTTTTACTGAGTGAGAGCCAAATAAATTCTGTTAAGTTAAAAAGTATAGATCTGAATAGATTTTTAATCTGTATGTGACATAAAAATAGATTCAGTTTTATGATTGTGAAGACAGCATGAGAAGTTACAGTCAGACTATATAAGCAAGACCAATGTACCAATAAGGGGTGCATGGAGACACCTACGGGAAGTGTGGTTACTTATTGCTGAGTTAATGGGGTGAGAAGAAGAACTGAATCAGCAGCATACCCTTGTACACAGGAAGGCAAACAAGCACTAAGAATCAGCAGCATACAACAGGAGGTCAAACAGATTGTGCAAAGGCCCCAGTCAACAGTCAGAGAGGAGGGGGAGGTGGGGTGGTGGCCAGCACTACCTCTTTCCATTCCTCCCCCTCAATATGAGCCAAATGTTCAAGAGCAGAAAAGCTATACATAAGGTGACCAGGTGCCTTGTCCCATGCCCACATATTGAGACAATGTCATGTGATTGGCTTTAGTTTTCAAAAGTCAAATCATTGCAGGACGGACACTGTTCTAAAATCAGTTTTTTTTTATCCAGTGGTTGTCAGGGTGCCATGGGGAGGTTTGGCTCCTCTTATTAAGACACGAGCTGCCCTGAAAACCTGTTTTTTTTAATTTTGGGGGGTCTATCAAATATGTTATTCCTAGTTTTCTGCATCTTTGTCATAGTTCATGTGGAAAATTAGGCTACTATTGATGTATTATTCATACAAGAGGGGGATTCATCAGTGATCATTATTTTCACTTTTATAAAGTGAATTACCATTCACACATTCTTCATTACCAAGTGTGGCAGGCAGTGCAATATCATAAACTTCACTCATTTTAACTCAAAGGGCTAGGTATGTTAGGTTTGATATTTGACCCTTGATTTTTAAATACCAGATGTGCTGACATAAAGCAAGTAGGCCGTTGTAGCTATGAATGTAGAAGAGCCACAGTCAGTCCTCTCCTTGAACAAGCGCACACACCCCTGGATGAAAAAGTGAGCTCCCCCAAAAGCCTCTTGGTATAGTTCACACACTGATGGCTATGAGGAAATTAGGGACAGCAAAATCTAGCTAAAACTCTGGGGAACAACTATAAGCTGGTGGAAGGCAACTGTCGCTAGTTTATCGCATAAAACTGGCTTCAGATCTTTAGCTAAATTTTATGGTTACTGTATTTACTTAGTGTGGGAGTTGGGAAAGTTGTATTCACATGCTAAAGGCCTAGCCTGCAGCCTGACCAACACTAACCTGTCCACACAAATACGCCTCACCCAATACGATGTTGTTTCGAAAAAAATCTCTGTAAACACGGCGTCGTTTCCAGAAATATCTGCGTCCACACGGATTCACTGAAACGACCCAAAACGCTGTAGTACATATGCCAGGCCTGTATGTGGTGCTGTGACGCCGCCACACCAATACACTAAAACTGGAAGAGAAGCCATGAAGCATGCGCTGTCTACAAACAAGTAAATGGTAAATGGACCTGTACTTGTATAGCGCCTTTCTAGTCTTCCGACCACTCAAAGCGCTTTTACACTACGTGCCACATTCACCCTTTTACACACATTCACTCAGTGACGGCAAAGCCCATCTAACATTAACTAACATACATACTCACACACCGATGCGCAGCATCGGGAGCAATTTGGGGTTCAACATCTTGCTCAGGGATACTCCGACATGTGGCACCAGGAGCCGAGGATTGAACCCTCAACCTTCCGATTAAGGAACGACCTGCTCTGCCTCTGAGCCACAGCCGCCCCAAGTAGTAGTAGTCCACCATTGTTGTTGTTGTTATGACGCATCTAGCGGCAGTGGCTGAGGTTAAAGGCTAGAGAGGCGGGGCTAATCCGTTTTTGCCGTCCAGATGACTCCGGGCAATCCAGCGTTTTCGGATTTTCCCACTCTGGGACCCGTTTCCAAAAAATACAGTTTTCACACCCCGAAAACGCCATATCCGTCTGGACGCGAGGCCGATACGATAAAGTATTTATCCAGATTCTAAAAAAACATATTCGTGGACGGCATACTAGGTCCCACATTTGATTTGATTTGATTTTAGGTATGTTTTCATTTGTGTATAATCACGTGAAAATAAGAATTGGGTTTTTGTTACCTAGAATGAGCCGTTTTTATCTACAGGAGTGTGTGCTCTTGTACAGAGTCCACCGTGTTGAACCGCCATCTTTCTACAGTAGCCCAGAACAAACAAACCTGGCTCTAGATCCAGGAAAATACTACTGATTTTACTGTTAAGCTGAGATATAGTCTATCAGATGAAGTGAAATCCTAAATGACCCCAGATTGATGACGATGAATTTGTCTCTTTCTCAATAGGTGAATACCTGAAGTCATCTTAAAATCTACTGCACAGGATCATACAAATTTACCATTGAATGGTACGGAGACCAAGGATGACAGAGAAGAAGCTTGACAGAATCCCAAACGTACAAGCCACAGCCTTATTCAATTTCTCCCTCACATGAAAATCACTTAATCCTTCACAATGTCATCCAGAGGTGGAGTTCCTCCCAACATCAGTGCCTCAGTACTCCAAGACTTCCTCACCTCCTTTTCGCCTTCTCCCTCAACCAGCCCTCCATCTCCATCTTGCAGCATAGACGAGTCTTACAAGTACATCTTCCTCCCCATCTGTTACTCTTTCACGTTCATATTCAGCATTTCCCTTAACTCTGTCATCCTCTACCGTTCCTTCCGCCGCACCAAGCGCTGGAATGCCTCGCTGATCTACATGGTCAACCTGGCCTCTACAGACTTCATGTACGGCCTGTCGCTGCCATTCCTTGTGGCGAGTTACATCATGCGTGATCGCTGGGTCTTCGGGGACTTCATGTGCCGCCTGGTCCGTTTTCTCTTCTATTTTAACCTCTACTGCTCCATCTTCTTCCTCACTTGTATCTCTGTCCACAGATACCTCGGTATCTGCCACCCAATGAAAGTCATCACACTGGAGACCAAGAAGGCTGTCAAGTGCACTTGTGTTGTGGTTTGGATTGTAGTGTTTGCTCTGACCTGCCCCATCTTCCGGTTTGCTCAGACTGGTCACGTGACAAGATTGGCAGGGCTTAGCGGCAATGCAAGCAGTATTGACAATCCAAGCCATGAGATATCATTGATAAATGGTAATGCCAGCTATGGTAACTTGGAAGGGGTCATTGAGGAGTACCAGAACTGTTGGGACGATGCCATAGATAAGGAGTTTCCTGATTACATACCCTATGGCATCATACTCCATCTGCTGGGCTTTTTTGTGCCTTTTTCCATTATTGCTTGGTGTTACTCTCACGTTGTTCTAACCATATTTAGGACTCTGCATTCACAGCCCTCGTCCCGGAGAGTACATAGAGAGGGAGGGCGTGAAGGAATAGAGAGAAGTAGCCCTGGAATAGTTGGAAGAGGAAGAAGAGGAAGCAATGGAATGTTGAGGGTACTGGGAAGAGATGAAGGGACTTCCATTTTCCTTGGCGCCCACTCACCTTATGCCAATCGCAGACGTAAGTCTATCAAGACCATCATCACCATCACCCTTCTCTTTGCTCTGTGTTTCTTTCCCTTCCATGTTACTAGAACCATCTTTCTCCTGCTGAAAGTGACCAAGGGAGTCCCCTGTCACACCATGACCATGGTCTCCATGTGCTATAAGATCACAAGGCCTTTAGCATCATTCAATGCATGGCTCAACGCTCTCCTTTATTTCCTGACTAAAGACAAAGGGGGAGCTCACTGCTGCCAGGCGGTAAACACCACCACCCAACAACACGGTGGGTTTCTATTGCCACTGAGGATGATGGGAAAAGGAGAGGATGCAGAGGAGGGAGGGTTGGAAGACGGAATTGACAATAAGGAGGAGAAAGCATTTCACAACAGTCTGTCATATATGAACAGAGCAAAAGTTAGATATATAGTTGAATGAATGTTTTCATGAGGAATGAGAGAATGAATTTTAGATGCACTGTAGCTTGTCTTTTACTGGAAAACAAAATATTATATAATGAGCACTGTAGGAAAAGTAATGATTAAAGAAGACCCACCAAGAATCTTAATATGACTTTTATTTCTAATTGTATGTACCTATTTCTGGTCTGCTACAAGTTATACTTTGAAAGTTACCTAGAGAGTAAATGCAATATGAATACATATGTGACACCACATTATTGTGATAATCTGTTATTTTGTTTCACAGGGTGTGTATTTATAATGTCTGACAAGATACACTGGGATCACTGATTTCCTTTTATGTCTGGGGTATGCTTGGAACAAGGTCATCCAACCACATCTTAAGGAAAAAGTGTTTTACCTGTTCCGAACAGCTGTACTTGAGAAGCCTGTGGTCACAAAGAGGGGCGAGACCATCGAGATATAGGCTAAAAGATAGACATAACGTCTCAACTTCCCCCCACTGTACAAAAATTAAGCTAAAATATAGCAGATTAGTCTCTGCCCTTCCTTGCCATTCAGTCTGCGCAGTAGTGACCGGGGTTAGCGCCACAGAATCTAAGTCCCGCCTGGTCGACTCAATTGCAAGCAGCACTCAACTGTCAATCATAATGGAGTTAGTTTCCACTGTTGGGGCCTAGTCAGACATACGCAAAATCAACATTGGCAAATATTTTCCTCCTGTTCACTTCCATTCTATGCAAGCAAACAGGCGAAAAAGTTTGTGTAGAGCTCAATTCTGGCAAATTTTAACCGGCAAAGTTGCAGCCTCAACCAATAGCAATGTGGCTGACCCCTAAACTGACCTTACCACAGTATGAAGCCTTTTGCTGTGATTTAATTGCAATAAACGCATCAAAGAATGCCAAAATAACTCGATCATGATTCCAATTTGTAAATTGTATTCATTCATACTTTGTTTAAAATGCTTGTTTTCTAAATGAAGTTTGGATTGATCAGGGCTATATGCTAAAATTGGTTTACAATTAAGTGAAGCTAATAGTTGGAGTCAAGTCAGCAGTCAATAGATGCATATTTTCATCACTTACCAGGTAGTCCAGCTTCATTGCCTACTTTTACCCAGTCAATCTCCTTTTCAATGCAAATTCATATCCATTTCCATCTTTGTGAAAAATTAACTTTCTTTGTGAATCGTGTGTGATGCCGTCAGTGAATCCATGTCCATCTATCAATGACTATTTACTGTAAACAGATAAAATTATTATTATATATATATTATTGTTGGACCAGCCAAACACAGAGATTTCCTCTGAGATGTTTCTTTAAAGCCCCTACAAGGAACTTTTATTTTGTGTTGATTCTGGCAGCCCCTGTGAACAACAGTGTTTTTTCTTCCGCCTTGTTTCATTGATTTCAAGGGGAATCTGACCAAATCCAACCCAGGCAGACATTAAGAATAACCATATAGAAATAGCCAATCTTCTCATTGATGGTCTTGTTTGTATACATAGGTCATATACAGGCATCAATATTAAACTGAAAATGTTGACATAACCAGTTAAAAACTCCTTGTAGTAGGTTTATGATATGACCTGATGATTATGGTATGGACATTTCAATTCAATTTAAATTCAATTCAATTTTATTTGTATAGCGCCAAATCATAACAGAATCTCAGGACACTTTTCAAAATTGAGCAGGTCTAGACCGTACTCCTTATAAAATTACTCACAGAGACCCAACAGTTCCCACCATGAGCAAGAACTTGGCGACAGCGGCAAGGAAAAACTTCCTTAAAGAGGCAGAAACCTCAGACAGACCCCGGCTCTAGTTGGGTGGCCGTCTACCTCAACCATTTGAAACACATACTTAAAAGGAAGTGCATTTTATCCTGTGCAGTGATTATATCATAATGGACACAAAACGGCACATCTGAGATGTTAAAGATGGACATCGCGTCTCCACTTCCTCCCACAAAAATGAAGCCAAAATATCCCAGATATGGCAGCTGCCATCTTTCACCACTCGGAATATCAAAGTCCAACTCATACACCCAGCTAACTCAATCGCTAGCAGGGCTCAGCTGTCAATCATGACATGAAACCCCTTTTTTTATAAATAAGCAATGTCTAGCTGGGTTAGGTTACTGATCCACTTGGACGGGGAAGACAGAAGAAGGATGACAGCTGATTGATCAAGATTAATTTATCAAGGTATCGCAAGGTAACGCTCCGGTTCAGGCATTGTGGCAACATAATTATTAGAAATGTGTATAAAACAAAGTTTTGTTAAATATGAAATGAATGCATTCAAATACAGGTCAAATTGCACTGACATCAACTGAATCTTTTGTGTTATATACCCCAAAAAGAGGCAGGACCGTGACATTATGCTATGTACCTAGATGTACCAGTCTGGTCCATCATTTGTTTACAATCTTGTTCCTGTAAGTCTCTAGTACCTCCTTTCTAATGACATCACACAGACTGTGAAAGAAGGAAACCTATGACTGGTCAGGGACCAATGTATAGTCTGTCATGTGTCTCGGTCAAGGCATGGCAACAATTTATGAGTAGCCTAATCTGAAATAATGACCTTAACCATTGACATATATAAAGATGGATGACATGAGAACTCTCCAAAGGTGAAGCCAAAACATCTATGGTGGCTAATTGCAATATAGGTCATGAAAGCCCATTGCCTCCATGTTGCCTGTTGCCTCCAAGTTCACGTTAAACACATTTTTCCCAAAGACTGTTTCTGATATTTTATTCAGTTTAGTTTTATTTGTATAGTACCAAATCACACCAGAAATTATCTCACCTTTCAAATAAAGCATGTCTAGACTGTTCTTTTAAAATCATTGACAGAGACAGTTCCCACCATAATGATTGACAGCTGAGCCCTACTCACGATGGAGTTGGACAGACGTGGGGGCAGGAATCCATCTTCACTTCTTCTTTGCAGGCTCTGTGTGGCATAAGATGGCAACAACCATATCCAAGAAATTTTGGCTTAATTTTTGAAAAGTGGAATGAAGTGGAGACGCGATGCCCATCTTTTATATGTTGATGAATATACAAAAATATTGTGTAGTCTGGACCCAGCATTAGACATGTTCAAATGACACTTTGTATAAACTAGTGTATTTGAAGCATATTGAACCCTACTGTCAACTCTGCAACGTAGCCAGTATTCATCATTTTCTTTTTGCAATTTTGCAATTTTTAGGAACTGTTAGGCATTGTCCTTCTCAGATTGGATCTTGGATATTTTGCCGACTAACTCGCTAACAGGCAAGAGAAATGTGATTGCTGAGTGTTTTGTCTTAATGGCCTGGCACTCAGAGGATATTTTTGTTGGTCGCCAACAACCAGCTTTGGACCACTGTGAAGTTGGACCATATTATTGGCCCCTATATATCGGCATGTACAGTTGTACATGTAGTACCATTCTACCTTGCAAAAGGCTTCTAGTTCTCAATATTCCTGGGCTGATTGCATGAACAGCTCTTTGAAGATCTACCCACATATTTTCAGTGATGTTTAAGTCAGGGGACTGTCAGGGTCATTTCCAAACTTTTGCTTACAACTGTATGTTGTCCGATATGCACTGATAACTGAAAACTGTTTTTTCCAGTATATAATGCAAAAAATATATAAACGTGTAATTTACAATACTGTGGCAAGCAGCACAGAGTAAGAGAGAAGAAGCAGGTCTCAGCAACATCAACTAGAATTCACTGATAATGTATATGTTCAATTATTGAGATTATTTAGCTGAAATATTCTTTGAGTTGTTTGTTAGAGAAAGCAGCCTTAATAATAATACATTTAATTTATAGAGCGCTTTTCAAGAAACTCAAAGAAACTTCACATGAGTTTAAAGGAAAAGAAAAAGCTAAGAAAAACACACTAAGAAATTATAGCTATATCTATAATATCTATAACTGTGTTTTTGATGAGAGATTTGGGACCGATAATGATTATTTCAGATCTGTCACACTTGAGTTTGAGGAAGTTGGCATGCATCCATGATTTGATTTCAGTGAGGCAGTGTGTCAGAGTGGAGTGGGTTGTGGGTGTTACAGATATAGTGGAGATGTAGAGCTGGACATCATCGGCATAACAGTGGAAGCGGAGACCGTGGCGGCGTATGAGGTTACCAAGCTGGAGAATGTACAGGATGAACAGGAGAGGACCAAGCACTGAACCCTGGGGGACGCCTTGGGACAGGGGAGCAGTGGAGGAGGTGCAGTTGTTGATATTGATGAACTGTTTGTGAGATATGACCTTAGCCAGGAGAGGGCAGCACCAGTGATGTTGAGGGAGGACTGAAGGCAGGAGAGAAGAATGGTGTGGTTGATGGTGTCAAAAGCTGCAGTGAGGTCCAGGAGGATGAGAATGTTGAGGTGACCAGAGTCTGAGGAGAGCAGGAGGTCGTTGGTGACTTCAAGGAGGGCTGTTTTTGTGCTGTGTTGTGAGCGGAATCCGGATTGAAACGGTTCAAACAGGTCATTGGAGACAAGTTGGCTTTAAATTGGGAGGCAACAAGACGTTCCAGTATTTTTGACAGAAAGGAAAGATTGGAGATGGGGCAGAAATTGCTCATGGTGTCGGGATTAAGACCAGGTTTTTAGACTTCTGAGTACCTTTGCAGAGTCATATTGGTGCAAAATCCACATAGAAAAAAAGTATTGATTTGCATTCCAGGTCATAATTCACTATATATTGGTAATCAATTCTCCTATAAAATCATTATTGGTGTCAAATATCCCATATGGGTCGGGCTCTACTGTGCCAAAATAGCAGCAAACACCAAGTCACCAAACTACTTGATCTGGATGCCTGAGGAAACCTACATGAGGATGGGAAGTGCAAGGGAGCAATTCAGAACCCAGAGGTACATATTACTGAACAAAAAGGTCCTTCAGGAACTTTCTAGCTTGTTCTCTGCACACACTACCAGCTGTTACACAATCCTCACTATGCATGTACATGCTGAAGATCATTATTCTCTTACTGGAACCAATTACATCATTGGTGAATTCCAAATTAGTCACTGTGTTCTTTTTGGTTGTTCCTAATCTCTGCACCATCTGGTGGTAGTATCAGAAAAATCATTGTGGCAGACTGCATCTGATGACTGCACTGACCAACATGGCTTTCTGAGGATTTTAAAAACAGAAAACCAGATTTCATAGGATTTTAATTTTGTATAGGATCACAAAAAACAACTGCCTCAAAATGTATCAGAAACTGCTGACAGAACAACACGTCCTTAAGTGTAGCCTTATTGACAGACTGCTAGATAGTGACCAAGATTATAATAAAATAGTTACATTCTGTATTCTGTAAATTGTTATACTTGCATAGTGAACCTTGTACAACCTGCTGTGGCAGTACTGCAGTGGTGGAGGAAGTATTCAGATATTTTACTTAAGTAGTAATACCACACTGTAAAAATACTTAAGTAAAAGTCCTGCATTGAAAATGTTACTTAAGTAAAATATAATCAAGAAACAGTACACTAATACATTTTTTTATTTCCATCTGTCTGCTAAAACTGGCTTCCCATTCACAGTGAATAAATATTGTGATCATGATTGCGTTTGTTGCTTTCTTTTTCTTCTTCTGTGAGGTTTTACAGCAAACTGTAAATAATCAAAAAATTACTATTTATTTAAAGAACCTTTTCTTTTTTCACATAAAAAGACAAAATACAATCCCATTATTAGATAGGACAGCTGAAGATCGACAGGAAAGTAAGTAGAGAGACAGGGGATGATACACAGCAAAGGACCACAGGTCAGACCCGAACCCTTGGTCGCTGCAACAAGGAATCAGCCTCTGTACATTTGGTGTCAGTTCACCAGGTGAGCAATCCAGGCAACCCACAATTTCTTTTACAGTGCAATCAACGATCAAGATAGAGTTCCATCATCATGGTTATGGTTCTTATCAGCTTTCTTCAGGCTCTGCTTGATAACTGTGTCGCGCAATGGCTGCAATTAATAAAAAACTGATGCTGTGTGGCAGAAACACTGCAGTTTTACCATCAATTCTGTGACATTTCATGAGTTACACAACCTTAGGGGCATGTTTAACTATTTAGTTGTTACTCAAAGTTAAGTTGTAACTTATCTCCCTGGTGCAGCAGTTTTTATTTTTGTAATTCATAAATCACAGCTTAGTAATTAGTATGTTATAACTAGGCTAAGTTTGAACTTGCACACAGCTGCTGCAACAGATCAGATAACTTCTCAAATATACACACACACAAATGGGTGAGAAAAGGGTTAAATCTCTTTTGATATGTAGGCTACTACTACAAATATATTTAAATTCTTCTATAGTCATGCACATACTGCTGTGTAAAGTCACACTGACAAATAAAGATAGGAAAAATGTATACAGTATGTGCACACCATTGACAGTATATATAAAGTGTGTGCATGCACACACACACACATACACACACACACAGACACAGACACACACACAGACACACACACACACACACACACACACACACACACACACACACACACACACAGACAGACAGACAGCACCACACACACACACACACACACACACACACACACACACACACACACACACACACACACACACACACAGGCCCTGCAGGGGGAGACACTGCCTTCCTCTCGCTCACACCGGTTAGAAATTCAAAACACAACCGCCTCGCACAATTTCCCGTCGTGCACCGCGGCACAGAAAAGCCTCTGACGGTTATTTTAATTTTAAATAAAAAATAAATAAAAATCACAGGAGCGATATTATTCAAAAGCAACCGCGGCGGTCGGTCGTGCTGGTCGACAGGCACATTTTGGTACGGGTGGAATAATGCTGCGGCTGCGTTTGATTTTCTATTTATTTTTTGTGTGTGACGGCGGTGTGCTTGGAGCTGAGGAGCGGAGCGGGTTGGCGCCACTTTCAAATCCTCCACTGACACAGAATGATCCCGGCTTCAAATACATGTACACACCACTTCATTTCTACTTTTAATTATTACTGTAAAACAAGGAATATCCTAACACTTTTTCTCTCTTGGACAATGTTTTTCTGCGGAAGGTAAGAAAATAAAATTTAACATATTTTTAAATTATATTTGAGATGCATAGTTTTTTTAAATGTTTTTATTAATATGTGTGGTTGGGTAATATACTTTTTCGCTAGTTGTAGTTTTTGGGAAGGGAAGCGAAGTGAATTTACTGTGTAGTAAAGCCGTTGTGTAGCGTCCTGCTTTGTAATGAACGACTGTTTGACAAAGGAACTGTGTGCAGCTTTTTTTTTAATGGGACACAGCCTTTGTCTCAGACAGCTGCTGCTTTTCTACACAGAGACAGCTCGGTTAAAACCCGTTTCTCTATACAGGCTAACGGTAACATTTTAGGAATTGTTTTATATTTCTGTACAAAAGAGTTTTAAGAGCCGAGGAAGCGGACACTCCCCCCCCGTCACAGCCCCCTCCCCAAAGACCCCAGCCCACTCTGTCTATCCCCTTTGACTATATACACTTTCCTATTACACTTTAGCCGTGTTAAAACCGCTAACAGCTAACTTGTTTTTGGGGCTGGACTTTAAGGCAATGCTAGCTTAAAGCGGTTCAGCTCACGTACGAAAAAAAAGGAGGAAAATCCGCTGACTCAGAATGACTGATGGGAATTATGGTTCATTTTAGTGAACCAGTTATTTTGGTTCAGCTCAGGTAAGAGTCGGCTCTTTCGGCTCCCACATGGATCTTCATTTAGTAGCACTTTTGGTTTTGACAATTCAGCCAAATTTAGCAATTTTTGACCTATAAATGGTGTAAATGCTCATATATCACTTAAATTATTGTATGTAATCATACTAAACATTATAGTTTCCTAAATACCATAAATTCACATTATAGTTGGTATAAAAAAACATCAAACACTATTATACATGTGTATTTTTATTTACATATATATATTATTTTTATTTTTACTATATTTATACTGAACTATGTCAATTTGGTATACATTTTTTTATTTATTTATTTATTTTAAATGTGTGGGTCTTAATGGTATTAGCAAAATTTCTGGATCATATGTAACAAATGTGTTATAGAATCATCCTAATCTGTACAAAAACAAAAGAAGGAAAAGAAATCAACCTAAAGGAGCCGGCTCTTTGAGCCGACTAGTTCAGCAACAACACATCACTAGTTGTCTTTCATCCTGCCAGTACACTGTTAACACACTGTCTACATTTATCCACGGCTCCTGAGACATAATGTTACAAGTTAATTACTTTTAAATGTCACAAATAAGGCACTTTCTTTATTAGTATATTATTGATTGTCACATTATCAATATAACTTAAGTGTTAAGAGTTGATTCTCAGCTGTGAATACCAGTAAAACAGTTAATAATATATAATGAGCCATGTACAAAACTGATGTTCAATTTTCCAGCGAAATGTTAAATAGTAACAGCAGGATTTAACTTTACTGTCACTTAGCAGAAGAATGGCTAGTCTAACCATGTACAGTGCAGACAGTTCTCACATATGGATTAAATAGGAAAATAGTGGTCCTATTTGAGGGGACTTGAAAGCATTAAGAAGTCCACATATTCCTTCATCTACCTCCCACTGCTCAGCAGTAATAACTAGTAATGTGCACTCTCACTATTGGATAAACTGTACAAGTACCATCTCAGCCCTACATTGGAATTGAGATCATTCTGTCTGCCTAGATGAAATGTTTAAATTATGAGTTTGGATTTATTTATTGTGAATTATCTAAGGAAATGTAGAGTAATTCAATAGAACTGTGTCTTATTATAATGTCCTGTATCTCTGAGAACTTATTCTGAGATAAATACAGTTGAATATTACTAAAACAGGTACTCCCGTAAAAGTAAAGTGAAATGTCTTTTCAGGGGCTGCACCTGTTGATTAACTTGCTATATTGATTACTTAATTTTATAGATTTCATCAATAAAAATAATTAGAAATGGCCATCACAAGTTATACTAGCTAAAAGTGATGCCTTCGAATATTTCAAACAGTCAGAAAAAAGAGAAACTCATCACATTGAAAAACTGTGACTAGACAGTTTTTACTCGACAGTATCAAAATTGTCATCATCCATTTCCTGACTAACTGATTATTTATTTCAGTGCTACAAACCTCAAAGAGGTGGTAAAGAGTGGGTTGTAAAATGAATGAACAAGGACTGAGGATTCTCCCAGTTCTTTCACTAGATTCAATCAGCACTCAATATGAGACTATAGAGAGCTGAGAGTGAAATGTAACATTCAAATAGTCCAGAGACTTCCTCCAACTCTCATTCCAAATATGAAATTGCTTTTTATCACTAAAATATATTAATCAACTTAAATGTGCCACAGCTTTACCCACATGTTAGCTTGTAAACTATATATAACTCAGAGCTATTAGAAAACAAATGTACCTGTCTTTTTTATTTTATAAGGAAGAAATCTTCTAAGCAGTTTTGACCTAGATTTTTGGTTGAATTATTTAGTTTATGAAATGCCAGAAAATAGTGAAAAATTCTCATCTCAGTCTCCCACAGCCCAAGGTGACATATTCGGTCTTCACATTTCAACCTGACAGTTTTTGCTTGGTAAATGACTTAAACAGTTTAATGATTTAATTATTGTTAAACGATTTCTTTTAATCTTTATTCGAACTGAGCGGTTGAAATTCCTCTCAAAACTAGAGCTAGGCATTGATATTGAAAGTCTTTAGTGGCAGATTGTGATTATTAATACTGATGAAAATGATCCATTCAATTCAGTTCAATTTTATTTGTATAGCGCCAATTCATAACAGAAGTTATCTCAGGACAATCCATATAAACCTTATTTCTTTTTCACTTAAGAGAACTGGCCCAATTTCTCAACTGCATCAGTTTTTAATATTGTCTAAAACCATTGGACTAGAGCAGCAGCAATTAGTCGTTATTCAAATAGTTGTCAATTATTAAATGATTCCACAACTAATAGATTCAACGTTTTGAGTAATTTCTTAAGATAAAATGTCCAAATTCTCTAAATTCAGCTTCTCAAATGTGAATATTTTCTACTTTCTTTAGTTCTCTGTGACAGTAAACTGAATATCTTTGGGTTGCGGAGACAAAACAAGACTTTGAGGATGCCACCTTGGGCTGTGTGAAACCATTTTCTGACATTTTATGGTCCAAATAACTAATGGATTAATGGTTCTCAAAAGGTTTTGAGGTTCCACATTACTAACATTACTGGGTTCGTCTGGAGCCTGATGGTCATTATTACACACTGTATCAGTGAGGTGATTTCTAGTGAATGAATAGCAGTGCTCTGCATTGTGGGGCTTCACTGTGTTAACTGGTGGTAAACTGCAAGAACGTTCAGTCTGCTTGAAGATTTGTTACAAGTCAGAATTTAACCAGCACAGTGAGAGCAGAGCCTTTAGAACTTTTTTTAATGTACACTACGTTTTCTTGTTCTGTGTGTGTGTGTGTGTGTGTGTGTGTGTGTGTGCGTGCATGTGTGCGCGTGTGTGTGCGCATGCACGCGTAACAGAACGGGGTGGGCAGGGCCTCGGCGTCCTCTTGGTAAAGCAGTGTGGTTTGTGAGCAGCACTTTCAGCAGATTGGGCTTGCCTCCTTCCCCTTTTCCTCTCATGACCAAATTACATGTGAAAATACAGGAGAGGCAGTCGAACTGAGCATCAGCAATTAACAGCATATTTCTGCATTTCTGCTCAGCCCTTTCCTTCTGTGTCTCTGTCTATAAAAGTCGACCTCTTGCACTCACCTCCCTCATGTTTTTGTTGTGGTTTATGGTTTTTATTTTTCAACTTTACCTTTGAAAGCAGACTTCTTAAACTGTGTGTATGGAAGCGTAGAGAGCTTCCTCCCAGAGCCACACTTTCTTCATTTTACCCTCCTCCCTCTCCTCCCTCCCCGTCCCTCAGTCTTTTTCTTTCAGTCTGACAGCCGAGCAGCTTGGCAGGCTTACAGCTCAGTGCTCCGCGCAGCACATCGGCCCCCCTTCCACAAATTAATTTTTTAGTTGCGAACGGCAGCTACGTCAGACCACTCCTTTCACACCTGTCTCACACATACCCGCACGGGTGACCTGATTTTTTTTCAGATTTTTCAGCACCCCCAGAAATGTTGATTTGTATTGTAGAAAGTGATGGCCAGGGAAAAAGGCTACAGCCTTGTAGGTTTGTATGCCTACTGAGCCTCCTCACTGTCTCAGTGTGCGTAGCGAGGCAGCAGGCAGCACTGAGGACTGGGAGACACACTCATAGCTAGGAGGTGAAGGGCCAGGAAGGAAGGATGAAGGGGAGGACAGTCAGCTTTTGGGGGGCCAGTTTTTGGGACGGGGACCAGAACCCAAACCCCCCAACCCCCCCAACCCCCCCTGACACTCCCCCTCTTACTACCAACAGAAGCAGGAGCAACCAGAAACCCCTAACAGGCCTTTTTTTCTGCTCTCTCCCTGTCACTATAGTAGACTGAGTATATTCCCATTGATTGTGTTTGTGTGGAGTGTGTGTGTGTGTGTGTGTGTGTGTGTGTGTATATATATATATATGTGTGTGTGTTGTAGTGACTTTTAGGCCTGCCGTTTTTCCTGTTTTCATTTTTATTTGAAAATTTTTGACACTGTAGCTGAAATGCTGTGTTTTTATTATTCATATTTGATTATTTTTTTTAAGACTAATTATAACTGTGGACTAGGCCTATGGTGAGAGCATCCACACAGACTGAGGGGAGAGGAAGTATGATTACTCTGATGACTAGCAGTGTTGTTAGTTAGTCAGTAGTTAGGACTAGTTAGTCCTCCCATCATTTGGGTTATGATCTGAGCAGCAGACGGTAAGTGAATCTTTTTCTTTCTCTCTCTGAAGTGTTTAAAATGGCCTCTGTTGCTGTGAATGGAGGGAGCTGCAGGCCACAGAGTAGCTTTTCTCAGCTCTGTGTTGCTTCTCTCTCTTTCCTTTCCCTCCACCACAATTTTAGTTGCACTCTTTTTTCCCCTCTCACCCCTCCTGTCTACCTCTTTCTCTTTTTCATGTTTTTTTTTTTTTCTTTTTTCTTTGAATGAGGCTGGGAGTTTGGGTCTGATTCTAATGCTTGTCTGCTCTCCCTGCATGACCTCTTGTTTCAAATGCAGTCACCTACCATCAGCAGAGATCCTTCTCACTGACTGTGTGCTCGTATGGCTCTATAAGGCTTCATGTGAGCAGTCCTGAAGGCTCAGCATGTGTTACACTTCTTTTTCCACTTGACATGTTTGTATGTGTTTCAAACACTGACCTCACTTTTTAAATTCCTTGTCTAATTTTTTTTAAGCGTATTTGTTTCTATAATATTTAAGTTGTGACAGAGCATTTGATATCTATGAGAATTTTTATCATTAAAACCATCTCTTATGAAAGTAAAAGTATAAAGTCGGGTGTGGTACTTACAGGCCATGATTCTCTCCCCTCTCTGCCCTCAAACTTTATTTCAGCTGTAGAGATAGAAAGTGACAGCACAAATGTTAGTTTGCAGTTACACCATATATACTGTATATATTGTATTTTAGTGCAGAAACAATAGTCACTTATTCGATTGGTAAGTTGACAGAACATCAGGATAATTGTGATAATAATTGTGATCCTTTTTAGGCAAAAATAACAGAAATGATCAGGCTCCAGCTTTTCAAATGTGATGATTTGCTACTTTTACCTGTTTTATTTCCTTAATCTTAATATGTTTTGGTTGGTTGGATAATACAGACATTTGAAAACATTACATTGGACTTTGGGAATCTACAATGTGAATTTCTTAAAATTTTAGAGACCAAACAATTTAATCAAAGAAAAAAACGTGCCCGATTAATTGTAAACATTCGTTAGTTGCAGTTTAATAGAGCACAACTCAAAGTTTGCAGCTACATCCTATTAACAGTCTAATAGTTTAATACTGGGATGAATTTAACATGAATGGATTGTCCATCAACAGAAAATAACAATTGACAACAATTTTGATAATCAGTAACTCATTGAAGTCATTTATCAAGCAAAAGTGAGGATTTTTCTCTATTTTCTGACAGTTTGTAAAATAAATGATTAGCAATGATTTAGGGCTGCACAATTAATTGAAATATTATGGAAATTACAGTATGGCCACTGCAACATCCAAATGGCAGAAGCTGCAGTTGAAGAAGGTAAAATGTTTGACAAACAGCATTATGATGAAGTTCTACAGAGATGTCCTGACCTATAAATCTTGTTCTCCAGATGTTTGTTTGGTACAGACCCCAACAAAATTGCCATCATCATAATTTTTATAGGAATTTATTTTCTTTGTTTTTGTGAAAATTTAATTTGTGATGCAAAAATGATCATTTCCACTAATCATGAATCATATTGCAATTGTAGCATCTGTCAATATCATTGCAATATGTTTTTTTTTACCATATCATGCAGCCCTACAATGATTGTTAGTTGTAGCTGTACTGTAGGTGTAACTTTGTACTAGCAGATTTTCAAAAACTACAAGGTATCATAGCTGTCTCAGAAGATATCACAGTTTCCCAGTATACGGTATCACACAATCATCATTATTATTTTTTAAACAAACTATTTAGTAGATATTCACAAAATATCACGTTTTATATATATTTTTTATTTTTATAATTTTTTTAATACATCAGAATTCAGTAATTTTTTAAAATAAGACTAATAAAGTAGATCTCAATACTGTAGATCAGCAAATGTACACGTCAGTTTTCATACCATGGTTTACCACTGGAACCATACTTTGTGGTAGTGCTGTCTGTAGTTTTTAGTAGCGATGTCTGAGACATACATTTGTCAAGCATATAAATATATGAATAAAACAAACGTGCAATTTTGTCAACCATCAAATTTGGGCTGCACGATATGGTAAAAAAAAAATAATAATATTGCTATTATTTTGACAGATATTACAATTGCGATATGATTCAAGATTAGTGGGAATTATTATTTTGCCTCAGTTTCCATTTTCACTGAAAAAAAATCCCATAGGATCATGATAATGCAACATCTGTTGGGGTCTGTACCAAACAAACATGTTTTCTTACATCTGGAGAACAACTGTAGGTTAGGGCATCTCTGCAGCACTACAGTACTTCATTATAATGCTGTTTGTCGCACGTTTAACCTTTTTTATTGAAAATTCTATCTGCGACTTGCATATTGCACTTGGCCATTTTACAATTTCGATAATATTTCAAGTAATTGTGCAGTCCACATCATAAATACAGAGGTGTCTATCTCTTTAAACTCAGATTTTCTAGGCAGATTGTTGATACAACTGGAATAGACTGACTGTCTGGTATTTAATTCACTAAATTAGGCAAACAGACTGGATATTTTATTCATTAACAATTTCTCGGTTGATTTTCCAGAAAATATACCATGTCATATAAAATGATCCAGATTTTGACCCATATGGCCTAGCACTAACTGTTAATTATACGGTATATTGTACATAACCACAATATACAGTTGTATAAAACAGTTGTGTTCTTCTTGTTTGCACACTTTAATGACAGTGAAAATCAACTCGCAATACTACTGATTTTAATACTAGATGTAGTCTCTGAGTCTGTGCTCTGACATTGTTCCTATTAGAACCCTCTATAGAGGATCATCCTGCTCACATGGCTCAGGTCTGGTTGCTTTGGCTGCTCTCCTTTGTTTATGTGGCATTAATATGACTGCTTTGGATATGGAAGCAGTTAGCTTCACAACTAACAACAACAACAACAACACAAGGCTCTTATTGCTATTTCTTAAAATATAGGGTATACAGGGTGTTCACTGTGTGGGTTTGCTTTTTGTTGTTTTTTTTTGTTTTGTTTTTTTTCAACATACGTTCTTGAATCAAATCTAACACAAGCAGGTTAGAGTCACTACTTCAGTCTGAAATGTTGGATCCTTCTCGTGTGTAGGGATGGAGAGCCTTGAGCTGTGTTAGTTTTAACAGTGCTGCATGTGGCACAAGTCTTGATTATTTACCAAGGGCCACATCAGCAACACATGACCCGCACACAGCCCCCACCCCCTCCCATTAACTCATCTTTTCCTTTTCCAGTGTTTAATGTGCAACCCTCTGCAGGCCTGCAGGTAAGATGCTGATCACACCTTCCCTCTGGATCTTTCTTCCTAAAACTCCATCTGCTGCACTTTTTATTTCAGCCCCTTTCACCTGCCTCATTTTGGATTATTTAAATAGCAGTAATGTTGATATTCTTTACCAGCTTTTGACAGCAGAAGTTTTATTCTTGTATGGACAGTAGACACTAAAGCAGGGATGCCCAATACTGAAACTTAATGGTGGGTCACACGCTGAATGCAAATGCCTATTATACTGTATTCTTTTCTTGTTTGTTTTTGTTTTTGTTTTTGTTTTATTTATTTATTTATTTATTTTGGGTCTTTCTACACCTGAAGACAGACAGAAAATGGGAGAGAAAGAGGGGGGATGACATGCAGCAAAGGGCCACAGAATAGAATCAAACCCAGGCTGCTGCAGAAAGGACTCAGCCTTAGCACAAGGTGTGTGAGCTCTAGCAGGTGAGCTACCAGGGCGCCCCTCATATAGAATTATTAAGATGAAAAGTTCCTGACTGACCTCCTGTTATTATGAAAAATAATTTAATAATCCCAGATCTTTCACATTTAAAGAACATTTAGTAGAGCTGCACAATGAATCAAAATATTATAGAAATCGCAATATGGCCATGTGCATATTGCACAAAATTGGACTTTGTTTGATAAAGGTAAAATGTGACAAACAGCATTATAATGGTACTGTAGTTCTGCAGAGATGCCCTGGTCTACAAATCTTGTTCTCCAGATTAAAATCAGTTTGGTACAGACCCCAACAAATGTCACATCATGATTTCAATGGTTTATTCAGTGAAAATTCAATTTATGATGAAAAAATTCTCACACTAATCATAAATCATATTGTTCTTGTCAAAATAATTGCAATCTTATGTTTTTACCATATCATACAGCCTTAACTTTTAGTGCAAAAAATAATACAACATAAACAGCCATTTATATTATAACCTTAACTCGGGCCATCTTTGGCCCATAGGCCGCACTTTAGGCCACCCTGCACTAGACTTTTGGAAATAAACAGAATTAAGTCACATCAGATTGGAACTGATGTAAGAATATTGTAATAAACACAATTGTTAAAAAAAAAAAAAAGGCTCTCTCAAGTAATCTTTTCAATGTCAGGTCCTCAATAATTAAGAAAAAGCTGCTGGTGAGTTTTTTCACTAATGGAGCTGTTTCTAAAATGATCAGATTTTTATTTTATGTATATTTTTCATGTATCACTCTTCCTGTCCATTCCCTCAGTGGGCAGACTGAGGCAGATCATTGTACTAGTCTCAAGTCACTTGAATTTTTGTGAGAAGCTGATGTGTGTTGTTAACTAGTCAAATTATCTCACCATTGGCTGATTTAAAAAACATGTATTTTATAAAAAATATCTCCCTGTACCGTTACATCAGTCTTGCACTTGTTCCTGTCTGTGCTCTTTATTTTTGTGAAGACTACCCTGTGGTGTAGTGATATTTTAAATGTTAAATTTGGTGGTACTCTGTTTAACTTTTTTGTCAGTGTTAATAAGAGTATCTTCAGAAAAGTAACACCGTTGTAATATGTAATGGAGGCAGGTTAGTAATACACCTACTAAGCACCACTAAGTGAGGAACAAAGACAAAAGGAGAGAAAGTGAGAATCCAACAGATTTTATTTGTTTTTTCTGCAATTCAATCAATCAAACTTTACTTGTATACCACCGTTTATACAGTTTAGTGCAGTTCAAAGGGCTTCACAGATAACTGACATGATGATAACAAGACAGAATGGAATAAAAACTGAATTGGTAAATTTAAAAATAGAAAACAATCATAGAAATAACAATAAAATACAATAAACAGCTATACTTAAAGCAGATAAGCAGTGTTTCTCATCCTCTTTTTTACTTCTTCCTCTTCCTCCATTTTGTCCCCTTCAACCATTTTGTTTCCTTCACAGAACATTCAAAACAACTTTGTGTCAATCTCCTTGAGAGTAATTTGATTAAGACTGTTACACTTTGGGCTAAAAGCAGACCCTTTTTTTGAAGCAATGTGCAACTATTATGCTTGTATTATACATTTATAGTTAGACATTACAGCATGTTTTATGTCAATTAAACAGATTAGTATTTTCCTAAGTTAAGATGGGAAATAAAAGAAAGGAACAAAAACCATGAGATGAATCTTTCCTGTTACCCCAGAGCGTTTGCGTCTGAGGCAGTAAATCTGATGGACTCATGGTCTCGGTGTGTCCGGGGTGCGCTCTAGCAGCACATCATGTTTTGCAGATATGTGCTGAATCACTCCAAATCATTATGTGCTGCCACCGTGAGCCCTGGAATTTCCAGAAACACTGGGACCAGCTCCCAGTCAGACTTCACACATCTTCCCCCGCAGGAACTTCTTAAAGGTCAGAGGTGATGTGTGTGTGTGTGTGTGTGTGTGTGTGTGTGTGTGTGTGTGTGTGTGTGTGTGTGTGTGTCCGTGTGTGTGTGTGTCCGTGTGTGTGTGTGTCCGTGTGTGTGTGTGTGTGTGTGTGTGTGTGTGTGTGTGTGTGTGTGTGTGTGCGTGCGTGGGTTTTGTGTGTGTGTGTGTGTGTGGGTTTTGTGTGTCCTTGGACACGTCACTTCAGTGTTCAGGCTTGGGTGTGGAACATCAGGACTCTTTATATCATCCACATTCTCTGTGACAAGGTGGGTTTATTTAGTTCTTCTCAGTAAAAATGAATACACTGTTGAACTTTTGTGTTTTATTGTTAGTCTATGCTAGTGGTTCTGACATATTTTATAGATATTTCATATTTTATATATATAAATATATATATATATGTATGTATGTATATGTATGTATTAATAATTTTTGTCATATATACTAGGCTTCTTTTCTGACAAATTCAGTGCTTTCCTGTCCCTAAAGTTTGTGTAAAATGAGTAATTTGGAGGACTTTTTGAGCAGATTATTTCCTGTAAATATTAAGATGTTACTTTATTAATCTAGCACAGCAGCAGAGGGGAATGTGGTGCAAAGAGTAAGAAAATAGAATAGAATAAAATAGATTAGAAACCAACTAATACACTATTTACAATAAAACAGAATAGAATATCATACTAACTGAATCAGAGACAAGTTTTCCTGATATTTCTAGGAACTTTTATATTATTATACAATTTGGCCTGTATTATGTTTTTTTATTTTTAACACATAATTTGCTTATTTTTTGACAAATTCATTGTTTCCTTCTCACAGATCTTTATGAGTTATTTTAACTGCATATTTTTGTAATGCAGGATGAGGCTGTTTATCAGAGAGTGAAGGCTCTGTGAATATAACTTGTGCTTAGGTCTTCTAAGTTTAGATCGTGCAAATTTAGTTTTTTAGTGTTTTTCATAGAAATGAATGAAATGCTGACATAGGCCTACTGTTTATATTTTATAGGATTTTTTGACACCATTTAAAATCAAGAAGGCCTCACAACCCCCTGTGAAGCTATTGGTGTATACTGGTGTGTGGTATCAGTTTGTGTAAAAACTGAACAAACAAGATGTTCTGTCAGTGGGTTCAGATCACTCCACCAGCGCCCAGTTATAGGAGTATTTCTATAAATGAGTGTCATAATGTATTATAAAACAGAAGAAGATCAATTACTGCACCAGTATCAAGAAAGTAAAACTGGATCTGTGAAAATTCTTAAAATAGAACATTTGTATTGGAAACGATCTGTTGTTTTAAGAAAATTAGGTTGATGGAAAGAGAAAATTGACTGAACGACTCATTGGGGTGAAATCTGTTAGAGTTATGACAGGGTTCTGAGTTGTGTAATTAGTTACTGGAGTAAAATGCCACTTACTGTTCTCCTGTATAACTTCTGTTATAAATTAGCGCTATACAAATAAAATTAATTTAATTTAATTTAAAGTAAAACTTCTGCAGCATATATCTGGCATTCTGAATGAAACCTGTGAATCATATTTTTAAAAAAGGCTTTGCACAGTGTAATTGATTTGTTTTAAAGATATTTTTGTTTTTTTTATCCCTTTATGTTTGATAGGAAGGGGGAATATAGACAGGAAAGGGGGAAAAGTGCGAGGGGGGGAGGGGCCACTGCAATGAGAACTGCATGGGGTGCGCCAGGTGAGTTACTGTGTGCCCCTAGAATGTAATTTATACTCTGCTCTGATTGGCTCTTTATTGTATGCAGCATACAGGTGGTTTTGATGGTGAATGAATTAATTAATCCTTCCATCAGTTTTAATCTTCAGAGGTCTTCACCACATGAACACTCACATTAGTAACTTGTTGTCTTGAATTGCTTACGCTGTGGTCTTGCAATAATAATTTGCACACAGTACAGTTTAAGGAATATGGATCATTAAACAATGTTTTTGTCTTTGACAGCCACTATTAAAATAATGGAGCAAAGTATATACACCTATGTCCAAAATCAAATATAAACTGCGCAGCAAGAGCAGGGTAGTGTTCCTGCAACTATGTCCAATGTAGCATCACAACTGTATATAAAAAAAGTAGTGTTAGGGCAGGGGTCTCAAACCTAAACTGTCACTGGTGCCACTGCTGGTATTGTTATCTCATAGGAGGGCCACTTCACAGGTCAAGTCCTTCAAGAAAGTGAAACATTCTGAATATATTTTCATTATTAACATCTTACCTTTTCAATTATTTAAAATGATTTTAGAATTGTGTTTTTTTTTTAACTGTTTATGAAGGGGTAGTTTAAATTGAAATGAAACAACTAGAAAAATATCTCTGCATGATATTTTCGACATTATGTTGCAGGGAGGGGGATTTTGAGATCACTGATTATTTGGGACAGCGGTTGTGATTGCATGACAATTTTTATTCAGATTTATATTCATGTGTCTAGTTGCCATCAGTGGAGTTTCTCTGTAACTACTCTTACTCTGGTGCAGATGCAGACACAACAGTGCTTTATAAGCAGTTAAACACCACTCTGACCCCAAGAGTGTAGTCACTGAAGGAGTGTTGGCAGAGCATGTTTAACAACCTGTGCTACATTGGGTTGTTTTTGTTTGTTTGTTTCAGCAGCTGCATGTGTCAGCCTGAAAGATGTTGTGTAACTGGCTGTCCCCCTTCAGGCGTTACCAGAAGTATTAGAAATGCACCCAAATATGTACAATTTAACATCTATCCACATGTAACATTTCTACAGAAACAGTCAGTTATGGCTCAAATAAATGAGAATATGTTAGTACATGATGAATGATCCAGACTAAATACTGAAAACCACTGCAGCCCTGCTGTAGGTTACATGTGAAAGAGTACTTTCTGTGTGTGGACATCCACTTTGTATCTGTGATCATATGATTTTAGTTTAGTGGAGTCTTCAGCACACGCAGCAGTTTGTTGAAATGGATATGACACATTTCTGTATCAAATATACGGTTATACATAAACATGATACTCTACAACAATTTAAATCCATTTCTCATAAGAGAATGAATAAGGTTTTTAACCTAAAGCTTAAGCTGCAGTAGGTCACTTTTATAAAAATAAATTTTTTTTAAATATTTGCTGAAGCTTTCACTATATCCTGACAGTAGAACATGAGACAGATAATCTGAAAAAAGCAGGTTTCTGACTAAAACACTGTTCTCTGAATGCAGGGCTACTTGTGGTTCCTATAGTCTCAAAAAGTGTTTCCCATGATGCACTGAGCTCCTCTCTTCCTCTCTCTCTCTTTCTGCACTCATTCATGTCCCATTAATGCATGTTACTAACTTAACTCCAAACAAGCGTTTGGAATTTAAAATAATAATAGTAACAATAAAGGAAAACAATATTTACAACAAATTAATTATAATCTATACTGTTGGTAATACTGTAACTATGATTGACTCAATCACAGTTACCATCAATCAATCTCAGTCAATAAGTAATTAATTACAATCAATTAAAACAGTAATAAAGTAAAAGGCTACAGTTAAAACAAGTAGTCTGTTGTCAATATAACAGTAATAACAAATTATTAAATTTATATAATATTAAAATTAAATAGATAGATAAAACTGTAAACGTGTGTGTGTGCGTGTGTATTAAAGAACAACTAAAACAATCAATTATTTTATACATTTATCTGAGTATCCACTGGTTGTCCTCAGTTTGTGGCATGAGGAGACATATTTTGCTGCAATAATTTGACTTTTTGGCATTTCTCCCAGTAAATAGGAGAGTTCCTGTGTGTCTGCTAATAATTCGAATTCGGGGTATATTTGGGAAATGTTTGTGAATTGTTTTTCTCTTAAAGTTTTGAATTTAGGGCATGAGGTTAGAAAATGCAGCTCTGTCTCTACCTGTCCTCTGTCACACTGGGAGCAGAGTCTCTCCTCTTCTGGTAGCCAGTTCTGTCTGTGGCGACCCTTTTCTATGGCCAGGCTGTGTTCACTCAGTCTGTACATTGTCAACATTGTTCTTAATTTAGGACATTTTATTGTGGTCAGGTAATTTGCCAGTTTGAATTCTCTTTTTAGGGTCAGATAACATTGTAGCATTGTATTGTACTCTCTCTTCTCTCTCTCTCTCTCTCTCTCTCTCTCTCTCTCTCTCTCTCTCTCTCTCTCTCTCGCTCGCTCACACACACCCAGGCAGTTTTTCCTTGCCCTTGTCTCCAAGGTCTTGCTCATGGTGGTACTGTTGGGTCTCTGTAATTAATGTTATAAAGAGTTCGGTCTAGACCTGCTCTATTTGAAAAGTGTCCTGAGATAACTTCTGTTATGAATTGGCGCTATACAAATAAAATTGAATTGAACTGAATAGTGCTCCTAATGGTATTTGTGAGAATCCATCAGGCCTGGATGAAAGCAACCAATCAGAACAAAGAAAGATAGTTGATTGGTGAGTCCCAATCCCCAGGGTGACACTTTGGGAGCCTGGGAATCACATGGTCGCTCAGTTGGTAGAGCACACGCCCCAACGTAGTCCTTACCCCTGCGGCCCGTTGATGCTATCTCTTCCTTCCTGTCTATCTTTATCTGTCAAAATAAAGGCATAAAACTATCTTCAAGCCTCCAACCCAAAGCGTTTTTATATCTTTCTCAGCTCCAATTGGTTGTTTTCATTCAGCAGTACCAGGAGGAGCCAGAGGAACTAGATTTTTTCCGCAGATTATCTGTCTCATGTTCTTTGTCAGAAATTCACGCTGTTGTTACAAAGAACAATCACATCACAAAGGATATGATTTGTGGACAAAATAAGATGTTTACAGATAACATGGTCAACCGTTTTTGTAGTCGCACTGAGCTCACCTTGTTAAACAACAGGGAAAGTACGTCTGGAGATTATTTGATTCTGTGTGTGTGTATGTTAAGGCAGTGTGTCAGGCCGTAGCAGCACATCATTACTGGTAGTTCTCTGTGCATTGCCAGTATGATATGTGCTGCTTCCGCCAGACACACACCATCTCCCTCCAACAAATAAGGAAATCAATTTGTACCTGTTACACCTATGAAAACATTTATGTACAGTATAATTTAATAAATGTTACCTATGAGTTTAACATATTTGGATATGAAGGCTAATAGATATGTTTGGTTTATTAATAAAAGGCCAATATTTGAGAAACAAAATGTCTCCTTTCCTCTTTATACTAAACTAACAAAGGCGGAGATGCAGAGCCAGTGGGGGCCAGCTGCCAAAGACACTTTTGTTTTATTTCACTCAAGGATTAGGAACAGAGAGCATCACAAACTAGTTACAAATACTGTTACACTCCAAAAACAGACTGTACAGATTAAAATCAAGCAACTCAAATTGGATCATGGAGGAGAAGACTTCATTTTAAATTTTAAAAAAGGCTGAATATGATTGTGCTGTATACATTACTGCTGAACATTTTACAAGGCATACCATAGTATTCGACATTATTTAGACATTTTACTACCTTGCACAACTTGAGCATGATGTGCAGTGATAAATATGAATATTATTTGAAATGGTCATTTGAACATGCTGAGGTTCACAAATATTGAGCAAGTACACCATTATCTGTATGGTCAACTAGCTAAATCTGTTTTCATAGCCATGCTAGAAGTGGGTGGGGCTTAAACTGGAAGTGGGCAGGACTAACAGGAAGTTGTTCATTGAAGCCTGAAGTTGATATTTATCTAAAACTATTTACTGAACAGATTCTGGAATGAGCAGATAAAGGGCTGTAGATCAGCTTCTTTTGAGGGGAAAATTGGAAATCATGTACACAAAGAAGACTTTTATTTCTTCAAATCAGACACTACCTGCAGACACATGTAGACTGGAAGCAGATTTGTGAACTACCATCCAATTTAGAATGCTTTCCATGTTAACTGTGAATGGAGTGATAAATAAGAACCTGAATGAATGAGAAATTAATGGTGTTATCACCAACATGATGAAAAAGACATGTTTAGATTGACACAAGTTAACAAGTAGTCCTACGTGGAGGGAGTCCGAGTGGAAAACCAGAATTAGAGTTTTTCAGACTCTCCTTATGTTGATGAGATTCAGCAGCACCTCAGAATTCTGCTGGAGAGAACACGGTGAGGTTGGTGATCATACCCACATTTTCTTGGATTGTCCCAAACTATAGCAACACTGGAGAGATATTCAGGCAGATATCAAGAAAATCATGGGGGTCCACCTTCCTTGGGAACTGGCATTCTGTATACTGGAAGAGACCCCAGAGAATATAGATACCAAAGACCAGGTGTATCTACTTGGGATGTTGCTGCTGATGGCAAAGAAGATGATTACAGTGTTACGGAAGAATGTAAAGCCTCCTGCTGTCTAACAGTAAACGGTTAAAAGAGGTTAAAAAGTGTACCTTTGATGTTTTCAACACTGAGTGGACACTGGTAATACACTGCAAAAAAGGAATCTCAAAAAAGTAAAAAAGCATGGTTTCTGGGAAATTTGTCTTATTGTCTAAAAAGAAAAATAATTTTGTCAAGCATGTGCATTTGCATTAGAAAAATTATCTCTCGTCTCGCAGGTTCTCATGGATCCTGGTGGTGCCTCCGCCATAGTCCTGCTTGACTGCCATTACTAATATCACTGATATTATTGTTATTATTATTATTACTACAGATACTATTATTACCATAATCACTGCTCATTGTCCTCCATCGTTGTTGTTGTTGTCGTCGTCATCATCTTCTTGATGTTCATCAACATCATCATCAGTCACTACTATTAGTGTAGTTGTTGCTACTGTTGTTGCTGTGCACCTTTGTCTCTGTCTCTGTCCTTCTGTCATTACCTCTGTTCTCTCTCTTTCTTTCAGTCTCTCTCTGTCTTGCTGTCTCTCTCTCTCACCCCAACTGGTCGAGGCAGACGACCACCCACCTAGAGCCGGGGTCTGTCAGAGGTTTCTGGCTCTTAAAAGGACTTGCCACCGTCACCAAGTGCTTGCTCATGGTGGTACTGTTGGGTCTCTGTCAATATTGTTATAAGGAGTTCGGTCTAGACTTGCCCTATTTGAAAATTGTCCTGAGATAACTTAAGGGGGGGCTGTGGTGCAGAGGCAGAGCGGGTCGATTAGTGTCTGTTGGATGGGCTTTGCCATCACTGTGTGAATTTTTTAAAATCATACAGACTTAATAGCGTTCTTTTCGTACAAATGTAGTGTTTTCTTATCCCTGCTTGGCCATTGTACTATCAGACAATTTACTTTATTTATACTTTATTCAAACAGTTTATTTTACATTTAGAATACTTCACAAAAGTGAACCGGTGAAAGTTTTAGCAAATATGACAAAAAATTTATTTTCTAAATAAAAATTACCTAATGCAGGCATGTTACAGAGTAATCCATCCAAATCACTTCTTTTACACAAAAGTCTTGCAGTTCACTATTTGGATTCATACTGTTTTGAATACAATATGAAATATCTCACTTAGTCAGGGGTCATTAGTTTACTTTAATGATAGAAAATTCGCGCTATACAAATAAAAAATTGAAATAGAAAAGGGGCCACTTAAGGAAAAAGGTTGGAAACCAATGCTTTAGTCATTCTCATGATGACTTGACAACAGTAACACCACACACAATAATGGATTGCCAACTCAAGCAAGTTTAAAATGTGTTGACTTTCATACTTTACTGATGTGACTAAAGGTTAAAAATCATATTAGAGAATATAAAACTTACAGGATGCTAGAAAGTTGGACTGCTGTAATGTCAAATATACACAATTTTGTTAAATGCATCAATTGAGAGCCAAGTTTGTATATGCAATACTGACTGAAGAAACAAGCCAATCACTTTATGGCAATTTAACTTTCATAATTACATTTTATATGCACAGCTGGTATAAATATGGGTTATTGCTCATAGACCTCCACATGTAAATATAGTCAGATAAGACCAGAGCAATGTTAAATTTGACTTCATTATCAGACTGATATGATACACAACCAGTGTTCCCATTATGAATATTGGTTGACTAGTTACATGGTTCCTCCTTAAGTGCAGAAGAAGTAATGTTTATAACATTTTAAGACTATTTTGGTTCCTTATACAGTTAGTGATAAATAAATTACAGTCGTTATCACACTAGGTTTTTTTTTAAAGGGATAGTGTGGCATTTTGGGAAATATACTTATTTGCTGAGAGTATGCAGAGAAGATGGATATCAATTGCATGTCTGTGTGTCAAGTACAAAGCCGGAGTCAAGAAGTGGTTGGGTGGGAAAACAGCCAACCAGGCTGTATCCAGTTCAAAAACACACCCAGTAACACTAATACAACCCACAAACTGTTTATCCGTCTGCCCAGAATGTCTGTGCAGCATTTTGACAACAAGACTCCTGGAAATCACTGCTGCAATTTGCCAAAAATAGTCCCAGCACACGTTTTCTCTCTGAAACAACAAATTCTTACACTGGAAAGAGGAATACCATGTTAATCTGTGAGCTTTAGGTGTTAGATGTGTTTTTGAACTTTGGACAGAAAAAGGCTAGCTGTTTACCCTTGCAGTCTTTATGCTAAGCTAATCTAACTGCCTCTGTACTTCAAGCATAGACATGAGAACTGATATTGGTATTCTCATATAACTCTCAGAAAGAAAGTGAATAAGCCTATTTTCCAAAACTTCCATTGGACAGTCACTTGAAGTACATTTACAGCCGTTTGTAAAAGAAAGTGGAGACGTCACCTGCCAATTATCAGTCAATAGCTAAATTCAATTGCAATAGCTGGTTTCACCCACTAGAGGGTGGTCGCAATTCATTTGAGGGCAGCTGAGGCGCAAAGGCAGAGCGGGTCGTCCCCTAATCGGAAGGTTGTTGGCTCCTCCTGCCACATGTAGACGAGGTATCCTTGAGCAAGATACTGAACACCAAATTGCTTCTGATGCTGTTCATCGGTGTGTGAATGTGTATGATTGTTAGTTTCTGTTCGATGGACTTTGCCATCACTGTGTGAATGTGTGTGAAAGGGTGAATGTGGCACGTAGTGTAAAAGCGCTTCGAGTGGTCGGAAGACTAGAAAGGTGCTATACAAGTACAGAGCCATTTACCATCTGTATAGCAAAATATGTAGAAAGGTTTTCTGCTGAAAATTCCGTTTGGGGTTTTCCATACTTTATTTTAATTTGAATGTATTTATACCATTTTGATACCTCAGTCCGAAAGAATTTCACCACAATACATTTTATCTCACAAAAGTGAAATAATTATGTTGTTATCTCAAGACCCCACCCCTTAAAAAGTATTTGCAACTAATCTTACTGTTTATTGTTTAGTTGTCTGCATAACTGGAATGAAAAGAGTTGAGTGTATGATCCCATCTGACTGTGTAGCCTCTAACACACGTTGTCGTTTACTATACAGTTAACAGGAGGGGAGAAGTTGAGACAATTCACATTGAAAATATCCTGGATTCAATCACTCGGACATGAATCCAAAACTGTTCTAAATACTGTAATAAGTACTCTTATACAAACTGAGGCTTGTGTTAGCATCTGATACAATAATTTTCTAAATGTGGCAAGACAATCTTGAACATGAAATACAATCAAATATTACTGTTGAGACAAATATCTGTTTTCTAATCTCTGTGCTTTTGCAGTACAGGTGCATCTGACTGTGGAAGCTCTTGAAGGAAAACCCAAAAGAAACACAATCTCAGAAGAGCTGCCTCACCGCATTGAGTCTGTCTTGTAAATCTTTTGGACATTCCTACAAATACACATCCATGAGGAGGAGAAGAAATGTTCTGAAGTTAAAATGTCTTGAAGTGAAAAAAATAGTACAGTACAAGAAAACTTTATATGGCTCTTTTAAGTTTCTGACAGTGGCAACCAGTCTCACAGAAGTGTGATGCGTTGGTGTCCTCCATAACACAACACAGTACTCACATAGTTAGCTAGCTAATGTGTGCGGTCAGCATCTTTCACCAAGGAGGAGTTCAGTTTATCACAACTTATTTTCATAGTTTTGTCCATTATTTCTATGAAGTCCAACAGGAAGTGAGAGGTCAACGGGAGAGCAGAGGAAGGTCACCAGGATTCATTATGAGGCTCGAGTCCAGGTTCAGGTTATCTATGGAGACACAAACCCCCCCCCAGCATTTTTACATTATTGTTGACAAACTCCATGAAAACACCAAATCTGACAATGTAACACTTGACTACTGATGTCCATCTTTAAAAAATGTATCACAATATATAGTTATATGTTTTAAAAGGCTCAGTTATTTCATTAAACAGCTGGTCATTGTAGTTTTTATCAAATGATACTCTCAGATTCAGACTTCAGATGATGTTTATTCAGTAAATTCTGGTCCCATTTAGAGTGAAATAGACCATAAAGCAGGGTACACTTTAGGGCGGGGCTATTGACAGTGAGTCCATCCAGCTAAACGCACCAAACTCAGATAAACTGTCAAATTGGTGCTGATCAGATATGAAGCTAGATTCTGTTACTGCATTGACTATTTTCTCTCTTTTTTCTTCTCTTTTTCGTTTTACAAACATATTTTAGTGTACTGTTTATCTTGAATACAAGATTGTGTGTGACCAGGCAAGCCGCCATTGTTTCCTGTGACGGACGAGTCAAAACTGTGCAGCCAATGAGAGCAGATCAATTCTGCTGGCTCCATCTAACTGTCATGGCGACAACCATAATGCCAAACTTGAGGCTTCAACTGTGTGTATGTAAATCACGATTCATTCAAACTCATATAATAAATGATTTACAGAGACCAAACAGTTCCCACATCTAATAAAGTCCAAGGAAAGAATATGACACAATTATTAGGGACCGAGCCAGCGACCGGCAAGGTCCCTATTGTTTTTGCTCGATTTCTTACCTATTCTTATTATTATTTTTAGGCCACTTCGACTGCGTTTTTGCCCCCCTGAACATATACGAAAACTAAATTTTATTTGGCAAAGTTGTCAGGTCTGGTGAAAAATTTTATATTCTATGCGTCCCTTTCGGGTTGGCCACTAGGTGGGGCTACTATCATAAAAAATGCTTTTAGGCTAATAACTTCTGCATAGTTTGTCGCACAAAAAAAAACTCATATCAACGCATTCGGTGAATGGAGCTGAATCTCCCCATATAGACCATGCCCATTTCCGCCTATAATTTTTCTCCGGTAGAACGCGAAATGTCCATAAAATACTTTTCCATGTTCCCCCCATGCGCTTTGTCCGATTCGCACAAAATTTTTCACGTAGCATCTGAGGACTCTCATAATAAAAAAGTGATTAAAAGAATTTTACTAGGTGGTGCTCTTTTGGCATGATAAAGCACTGTGCGGAGACCGTAATAGTTATGAATATGAAATTCACAGGGCACGTGTAGAGTAGTGCCTGAAGCTCACATACCAAAAATCGTGTTTGTCATGTGTGTAGCGCGCCCTACAGGATAAAAAAACAGCAGTCCCGGCGCCACGTTTCACCGATATGTAAGAAACTCGGTAGGCACGTGTAACATGCCGGGACGTACAAAAAAGCCTTTTGGACCCATACCCGAAACCCCACAGGAAGTCGGCCATTGTGATTTAGAGTTTCATTTCGGCGAACTTTTCGCGTTGTATTTGAACGAACTCCTCCTAGGGAATTTATCAGATCTGCTTCAAAATTTGTGAGTACAGTCAAAAAATGGTTCTGATTAAAAGTTGTGCTATTTGTGCATGTACGTTGAAGGGAGTGTCCGTGGCGTGCCCTCAAAGTTGGCCATAGTGAATTCCATGCGCATTTTCTGTGAATTTTTCGCGTTGTATTTGAACGAACTCCTCCTAGGGAATTTATTGTATCTGCTTCAAAATTGGTCAGTACATTAAAAAAAATGGTGCTGATTAAAAGTTGTGCTATTTGTGACGGCACGTTAAAGGGCGTGTCCGTGGCGTGCCCTCAAAGTTGGCCAGGTTTAATCAAATGTCAAACTGTGATTCCATTTCCGGCATTTAAGGGCTTCTGTTTTAACTAACTCCTCCTACAGATTTTATCAGATTGACTTCAAATTCGATCACTTCAATCTACACACATTGGTTATCAAAAGTTGTGCTATTTGTGACTGTACGTTCAACCACGTGCCCGTGACGACATGTCGAATTCAACCGATTGACCATCAAACAGATATTACTCATATCTTCAGTGTACAGTCCCACCCTGAACACGTCCTCATAACTTCAGCGTACATGATCCAATCTCAATGAAACTTCACGTGTTTGATAACAGTCCCACCCTGAACACGTCTACATGACAATATTCAGACATAGTGATCACGCCACCTACTGGCAACAGGAAGTAAGCGCTGCGTGTCCATTTTGAGCTGATTTACGTGACATTTTCACGTTGTGGTCCGCACTTGACACGATGGCACGTGAAAAGTTCTCCCCCTCCCTCTGCTGCTCCACGGTAAGTTCTGTTCTGTGTCTAAAAATCACTGCCCAAAAGCACACAAGCAGTTGTTTATGAACTTCACCTTGATCAAAGTTGTTGAGTTTTTTAGAGTTGGATCCTTCACCCAGTCCCTCGATGTCCACAAGATCACTGTTGACATCTGAGTCATTTAGAGCACTGAGGGTCACATCTACACACACACACACACACACACACACACACACCAAAAGGATGAAAATGTGTAGAAAAGGGGTATTTCAAATATTATAAACAACATATGGTAACTTTTTTTCCTTCCCAATACCAATTCCTGAACTTTGTGTATAGGCCACATCTGATTGATATGCATTACTAAAAAACACACATTATTATGTTTAAACAAGCGAATACTTCTAAAAGGTTTCTCACTATTTTTAAGAAATCATTTTCCAGCAGTTTTCTTGACAATAGTCAAATTATTTACCAGTAACTTTCCACTGCGTCTCCAGCAACACTTTACTACAGTTTTCCTCTGACTGTTACATTAACTTGGCCACAGCCCATAAGTAACAGTTCAAACCAAGTAGATTTTTTTGGACAGTACAGATTATTTCCCCAGTAACTAGTAGTTCAACAAATTACTGTTGACAGGAAGCAAAGTAATAATATTACTTTTAAAAACACTAATGAGTAATAAAATAAAAAAAATTAAGTAACTAGCCCAACACTCCTTTTATAAGTGTAGTGAGTTTTTTCCACTATTGACTTTAAAAAAAAGATCTACTGGTTATTAGATAAAAGTGCTATAAGTTAATTGATTCCTTAATTGCTACTTCCTGGGGAGAAATGAGCTACTGTATCTATAAGCAGGAGATGAGGTTACTCCCAGGGTATTTTTTTTTTTGCCAGATGGTGAGCAGGCCACAGGGATTGTTAGCTGCCAGGGGCCCAAGTTTAAAAGGGGCATAGCCCAGAGCAGAGTTGATTTATCTGTTCTGAAGCCGCTAGTTATCGGTTTTCCCCATTTGTTTTCATTTTTATTGCAAATAAAGAAATTTGGACAGAGTGAACAGTTTAAAGGTCCCGTCCATCCTTCCTTCACTGCTCGACCAACCTTACAGTGCCCAAACTTTTGCACATGCCACAATGTTTTTATTTTTGCTCAATTTATAAAATAAAACAATGCATGAATGTTTGATGCAAATATTGTATTTTATGTTCCATAGCCTCAAGAGGCTGTTTTCAATTTCAATTTAAAAAAATCACCAAAATGTGTTATTTGTCAAGGGGTGGCCAAACTTTTGCATACAGCTGTATGTCTTAATGTCACTGTTTCTGTTGCTGTTTTGTAAATTATTTAGTTTTGTAAATATTCTTGTTATCCTCTTGTGTTAAAGAATAAATAAAGAACACATTTTAAAAAAGATTTCACATGCCAAAAAAAGGAAAGAAATTCACATATGTAAATAGGGATGCACCGATCCACATTTTTTCACTTCCGATCCGATCCCGATACCTGAATTTGGATATCGGCCGATAACGATACTATTCCGATACCAGAGCTCTGTTTTCTTTAATATTATTATTATCATTATTGTTGATTTTATATGAGATAATATGAATAAACTCCTCAACAGGCAAGTATGATATGTACGTATGTCTGCATGTATGTCCCAAAAGGCAACTTGAGGTAAGTATAAGGTCAGAAAAGGAAGTCAGAAAAACAGGAAATCCTGTTAACAGGAAAAATCCCATCCTGAAAACAAATATGCAACTGTAAGGGTTTCAAATTGATTGTCATGTCAATATTTATTAAATTCCCAAAATGTCAAATATTTGAGTCTTGAAATATAAGAAAAGTGCAATAAGTGTAAACATCTTACACACACACTATCAATAAAACAGTGTGCATCTGAACAACACAAATCAAGTACACTGGCTCTTGTAGTATCAATAAATCAAGGTTTTAAAATGTCAATTATCTGAAATATAAGAAAAGTGCAATAACTGTAAACATCTAACACACGCACGCACGCTCGCTCGCTCACTCGCACACACACACACACACACACTAATCCCTTTAGCTTTCCCGTTGTCTGCCTGGAGTTTAACTTGTTTTTGGAATGACTCCAGAAGTGATTCCTGACAGCTCACCTAAAAAATCCTCGTGCTGTTTCGTGTGGAGCTTTTTTTAAATGTTTGATTGCGTTCGTAGTGTTGTACGACGCGAGGGAGCTTCCACGTCTCTGAATTACGGCTTTGCAAACATTGCATTTTGCTGTCTTGCTCTGCGGTGTTTCCAGTGTAAAGTATTTCCACACAGCGAACATGTTGGCTAGCCACAATGCTGCTCAATGCTATCCTGCTAGCTGGCTGCAAACTGCAGAATGGATTTCCTGAGCGGGGGTGTGTCTCATAACTCTGTGTCTCATTGAGCCGCGCCTCCGTTCAGGAAATCCATTCCACAGTTTGCAGCCAGCGAGCAGACTGGCCGGCAGGAATCACTTGTGGAGTCATTTCAGCCGACAACGTTAAAGCGCAGACATGGCTCATGGATATCGGGAAATCTGCGCAGGTTGGATCGGGAAATTCCGATACGTGAATTACGCTGGTATTAGTCCCGATACCGATACGGGATAGGATCGGCCTCATCCCTATATGTAAATAATATGATGCTTGTGAAAATACTGATGCCTGATGGAGATGGAAACATTGTACAGCAACAGTCAATAAAACATATTGTGGGAGAGTAGTAGAAAGAGTGTGTGGATTCTCCCGTTTTTATTTACCCTGATATTTCCTGTTTGCTCCAGCACCTCTTGTGCATTCCTTTATTCTCAATAATTCACATTAAGGAAATTTAATTACACCTTTTCCTTACTCACCTGCAGTCTTCTGTTTCTTCAGGGGGGGGTGGCTGGAGGGGGAACCCTGTAGTCCTGACGCCACGACAACCTGAGCCGTGGGCACGGAGATTATAGTTGGAGTGCCCTGCGTTGCCATGGCTACGGGAGTGGCTTTCTTGGCGACCTTCTTAGAGCTGTCAGAGGTGGCGGGTAGAGCGCCGTCCTCGTATAGCTTCCTTTTCACCGTGCTCTTTGTCTGGCCGCTGGATGGAAGACGGGAACTATACTGACTTTAGTATTCATACCAGATTAGCAGCAGCATTCTTCTTTATGAATATGTTCAGATTCACAGCTAGGGTTTCTGCAGGTTTCAACAGGTTCTATTTAAGACTTTTTAGGACCATTATGAATACAATTTAAGACTTATTTTATGTCCATACTGTCAAAAAAGTACAATGATTCGTATCTCATTATCATGACCCATTTTGCCTGATGAAGGTCTAGGACCGAAATATTACTAATAAATGTTTTGCAAGTTAGACAGTGTGCAGGAATGTATCTTTTCTACTTTTTCAATACAGATTCTTCCCAAAAACACATTTAAAAGGTTGAAATGTTACCCTGCAGGACTAGAGTCTGCCACTGGGTGAAGCTGCATGGTGAGCTCTCCTAGTTTGGTGAAGGCAGCACCAGCCGCAGAGAAGATCTCACCAACCTGTGGAACACAAGCATCAGGACAGTTTTGCATCCACACAGACTGTCTGGGGAGAAATTAAGGACCAAAATAATAATTGGAAATGTAGTTCCCTGCATATGTATCATTCAACAGGGGATGGACATAATCACATTAACAGTGCACAATGTAAAAGACAATGTGAGAGAATGACAACCACGGAACAACGAGTACTCTTGTTAGATGTTTGCATTCTTGTTGCATTTTAATTCTGCCAGGGGAGACGGCAGAGCAAAGATCTTTTGTTTATTCTATTTAAGGCATGGAATTAAATTACAGCCTCATCTCAGTGGCCTGCACTTTCACTGGATCTTGTTATAGTTAACAATTTTGAGCTGATAAAAAAAACGTAATGTTAATGTTTTTCCTACCCTCTGCCATTAGGTTGCTACCTATACCGAGAACAAACGGACTGTATTTAGAACAAAATTATTTCTGCGTAATGATTTGGCTCTAACTTGCCTCAGTGAGAATCTTGGTCAACTTTCTCCTTTCCTGCATTTAAATATGCCATGTGCTAGCTAGCTATAGATTGATGTAGAATAGCTAGCGTTTAGCTTAATATAACATTAGCTAACTTCAGATGTGAATATACACTGTATGTCGCACCTATCTCTTAACCATCTTCAATATTTTGTTTCAACATAGACAAGCCTAGCCCCTAGCATATATAGGAAAGTTAACCAGGTACCTAAGGGGGCGGGGCTTAGGAAGGGTATGTTCCATTTAGTGTAGCACAGCCTTTCCAGTGAGCTATGCTCAAAAGCAATACCCTGACCTCGTTTGACCTGAGTGGAACGGAACCTTAATTAGTGTCATTGGTAACACCTGTTTACCTGCTAGTCCATGTCAAAATGATCTACTGTGACCACAAACTTTAAAACTATTTAAGTTAGAGTTGAGGACTAATTCAGGGTAAAGAAATTACCAAATAGAATCAGTTGTTGGGTAGCATATTTTCTCAAACAACTGGTCTAAACCTTTCCTGAATCCATCTCTCAGTAACGTTACGTTCCCGCGAGCAGCAGCGGGAAACCCACTGAGGGACTCGGTGCGTTTGTGTATAAGTAATAGTACACCGTTCAGAACGGGCTAACTTCACTCTGTGGCGACAAACTTAATTTGACTGGTTCATGTGGAACAATAACTTACTTTAGTGGAGGCTGAGGTCATTTTGCTGGTCTCTGTAGTACCATAGACTATCCACCGTCTATGAGTAGGACCCAATGATGCCTTCAAGCGGACGGCACAACTGCTAAGATGCTAGCTAACAGTGTAGCTAGGTAGCACGTATGTGCTGTAGCAGAGCGGCTAGAAACCTGCTTTTCCGCCGCTTTCAGCGTCGGTGCCTAGGCATTTAAACAGACGGATGCATAGCGCTATTGAAGCTGTATCTACAGTGAGTTACATTACCACCGGGGACAGACAGGTCCTACACATCCATGGTAAGCGCTTGCACTGAATACAACGAGATGGCTGGTGCTGCATTCACAGTCTCCTCGTTATTTTCACGTTTAGTAATATTTTTCCCCGTGTTTGAGAGATTACAATAGAATGAATGGATTATGAGGCGCTGGGGTTTCGTATTTCAATTTAGACCCTAATATTTGTAAACGTATGAGAATAAAGACGAACAGAACAGTGTTTTCCTTTTGCATGAACTATTATGAAAACCATAAATGGTCGATTGAATTATGCGTGAAGTTTAATGAATTAAGTGATGAATATCACTTAATGTAAAATATCAGATAGATGAAAACAGTACTGATTACTTGGAAGCCTATCATGCTTAAACGCCGCATGACGTGCTATTTCGCTGCGTTCAGGTCCTGTCGGATATATAACAATCTTCAGCCCACAAAGACAACAAATGGTAAATTAATTGTTTCTTTAATTTGTCTTACTTACTGAGTTAAAAACAAGCTGCAACCCCCTAGTCCAGTAAGGTTATTAAGGTTATAAGTAGTTTCAATGCATGCAATGCAAATCGGAGGCTGTGTTGTCATTTTATAGTACACTCTTTCACCATCTTGGGATTTTCCTTTTGACTACACCCTCACAGAATAAAAGATAAAAGAAGACATGGAACAATAGAAACATGTAATACCATGTACAAGCACAGAAATATGAGGCAGAGAGAGACAGAGGCACAGTAACAACTAACAATATCAACTATGATAGTAGAAATATGACTAATAAAAATAGCAACAACTAAGGAAATCCTACTTAGAATTCAACCTTCTCATGTAAAGAGCTGTACCCACAAACTTCCACGCTGGTAGACCATGTTAATTTGTCTTTGCCACATTATGTTAAATAAATACATGAAGCACTACAGTACGTATGTGGTTAGATACTTTGTGGTCCCACCGTGACCTTCCAGAATAACTTCAGTGCTCCTTGTTATAGATTATCCAAATGTGGATGGATGGACAGCATTCTTTCAAAAGATATTCCCTGATTTGGTGTTTTCATGGTGATGGAGAGCGTCACATGTTTGGAGACTTCTTTTGATAAAAGAAAATTGGCCCTTGGTGGAATCTACAAATGTTTTTTAAAAGCTTCCGTGCTTTGCAATCCCTTAAATGCTACACCTCAGAACACAGCGAGGCCTGTTCCATTTCTCCATGCAGCCTTTTTCTCTCTTTTCTTTTACCTCAGTAATTAAGAATGTGAGGGACCAAGCAGTTAGGCAAAAGGAGTCACAAGAGAATTTCCAAAAAGAGTTTTTATTTTAACAAAAACAAAAATCATTACAACAAAAGATAAAGTTTGGGCCCTTAAAAGAGGTCAAACAAACCAAACTTAAGCTCTGAACATAACCAACTCAAAAATACAACTGACCTACCATAAGACAAACAAATGGGACTTACATACTGGCTGATCAGACCAGGTTTGACACACAGGGGGAGACTAACACTAATACATAAACTACAAATAACAAAAACAAACAACTAAACACTTATTCCAAAAGAAATATAATCATAATTAACATTAACTGAATAAACATACTTAATATAATATAAATCAAATCTCAAAATATCTTGGGAGAAAATAAAGCTACTCCCCCAGACATAACAATTAGTGGTAGTGTCCAATTTGGCTACCTCCCCTATAAAGCTGCTCTTGTTCAAAGCACCACCCCTTTGGCCCAGCAGACTGTATGTATCCCCTTCAGGGTATGGAATCCACCACTGGTAAGCTCAAAAAAGAACAATCAGAAAAACAATCCAAAAACTACTAATTGTCAACTAAATAAAGTATATGTAAAACAAACCCAAGTGTCCTGTATGTTATTTAAACTAAATAAATGTTTGCAACAAAATGTATAATGTGTCTGAAAAAGTATATAAACCAATCTTAAGGAAAAACAGCCTGAACTAAGGAAAGTGTAAGTGTATGAGGTTACCGCTTTTAAGATGGCTGTGGCCATCAAAAAGAATAACTAATGAAAGAATTAATTTTTCATTTTGTATGTAACGTAGTGGCACGTCATGCTGTGACCATTCCTATTGTTTTAAACTGCAATCAGTAGGAGGTCAGTGGGAAAACCTGCTCACGTCTCCCACACATGGCAACAAACTGTTGACTGAATGGCTGTGTGCACTGCTGCTGACAGCTGTATCAAAATAAAACCCAGTATTAACACTTAAACAATCTATTTGTTACAGGAGCTGTACACTTTGTGTCTTGTTTCACTTTCTAACTAATTGCTACAAATATATATGAGAAAAGTAGTTACTGAGTTAGTTTACTACTTTTGCTATTTATGTGGTGTAACTACAAGGTTAGCAACAGGGCTACTCTGGAACAATGCATGGACACTACCTTCCTAAATCTATAAAAATAGGTTTTGTCATTATTGCTGGAATGACCTACTACAGCTTTAACATCAATCATGCCAGGAGTCAGCATAAATAAATAGAAAGTGACTTAAGTGAAAATGTTAAATTGGGGGCACAGTCTCACAGTTAATGTCTTTTCCATTTCTTTCTTGAAAACCTTAAAGTGAGGTTTTAGTTTTGTAAATGTACATTTTTATTATGAACTCTACAAAACAAACAATGAGATTGATTAAAAAAATACTCGTTTTCATATAGTATTGGTTCTTAAAAACCACATTTTCTAGTAGAAGCTCAAAGTTACAGATTATATTATCCAAGATAAAGGTTTTTTTTTCTTCCATTAACTTTATTAAGAAAATGGACATTCAACACATGAACTTCCAAACATTGTATACCAAACAATTAATTATATAATTTGCACTTACACTGTTTACTTCATAGAATTAAATGAATATTAAAATGAAAATAAGTTGTAAACTAGACTAACAGCATAGGCGTTCAATATGCTGATGCACACGTTTGCGAGAGTTTGCTTAAACATCACACTGTTGCTTTTAAGCACTGATAGTTGTCAGGTATAACCAATGGAAGCATTCTTATCTGATGCAGTTACTGCCAAATCAAATACAGTCCGTCCTGCAACTGTTTCCCGGAAACTTCCGGGGTTAATCACAGTCACCTGACTGAACCAGTGACAGAAGTTTGACCAGCGAGTGGTTTGAGGCCAGCACGAGCAGCTTCCTTCTTCTTCTTTCTCTAACAGAACAGACTGTAATAATGCGGGGCTTGATCTGTGGACCTAAACTGGCCGCGTGCGGGATGGTGTTGAGCACGTGGGGGGTTATAATGCTGGTGAGTGTGTCGTCATTTTCGATAGACCACAACATATAACACGACTCAGACCTGCTACGTCAGCCTTGAACCGCGTCCAAAGAAGACAACAGTTTGCCTTGGAATGAGTTTTCAGTTCAATTTCTACTCTGGCTGATATAAATGTGATGACAAAATATCACTATAGAATGGAACAGGACTAGGCTGGATCCAAACAACCTCCTAAATGACCACAAAGTTGAATTACCTGTGCCCAAAACGCTAAAAGCTCAAAGTGAATTATTGTAGGGCTGTTGAATTAGACAAATAAAAGTTAGATTTATTACTAAATATTGGACCATTTCCTGTCTACTGTTCTATCCACTGTGTATTCTTCCCAGGGGTGTCCTTAGGCATCTGGGGGCCTGTTTCAAGAGCTAAATTACGACCCTTCTTTGCCCTTCTCTGCAACTACTACTGTGCATTGAAAATCACTGATGTGTAGTTATGTATGCTTAAACAATTCCCTCAAATTAAATTAGCGACCTCATTACTTCATGCTCAATTGTAATCTGAGCAAGAGCTGACAGACGCTCCTCACACAGGTCAAGTACAGTGATCGCTCAGGTCTCAGCCAAGTGGCGAGCGCCCACTAGTGTTGGTTGAAGTGGTGTCCAGTGTGTCATTTGATCTTTTTTATAAGAAGTAACCACAGTTTGTCAGTCGCTATATATTTTCAAACAGTGGGTCACTGATTCAATTCTTGACTGTCAGTCGGGGACCGTTTCAATGAAAAAGGGTGAAGCGTAGCTAAGGCCTCCTCTGGTTCTTCTTAAAGCTGCAGGAGGTAACTCTCATATAAGTAACTGAGCCAGAGGAAACAGTTCTTCTCCTTTTTTTCACAGACTATCTGTCTCATGTACTACTGTCAGGATGTAGTGGAAGTTTCAGCAAATATCAGTCCCTCCAGAAGAGTTTTTTTGTGATTGTTGTGGGCAAAAATCCTTGATTATGCGGCACGTTTTCTTAAAAAACTCGATGGAATATGCGGGGTATTATGCATTTTATGCGATGAAATCGCAAAAATTGCGGCTTCATCGCGGGGTTTGCAGCTTTTCGATGACGTTCACGTCGCGTAATTACGTCACTTCATAACGTTCCCATGGCAACAGGGGAAAATGGCTGCTCTTGTGTGAAGTAAACGCATCATTTTTCAACTTTCTGCTAAGATATATGTGACTTCTTTGCATATTTTGCGCGGAAATCGGAAATTTAGGCGGCGATAGTGCAGCGAATTTGAAAAAATGCGGCCCCCGCATAAATATGCGGACTTTGGCTGACAATGCATTGAATTATGCGATCGTATAATCGCGTTTTTCTGGAGGGACTGAAATATGACCTAACGTTAACTATGTATTTTAATGACAAGTCTCCCTCCTCTTCCCCAGGCCATGCTGGGAATTTTCTTCACCACACATTCAGCAGTGCTGATTGAGGACGTGCCCCTGACAGAGGAGGACATCCAGTAAGGCTTTCACTGTCTCACTTCACTGCAGATCTGTCTGTACAGCTCCACTGATGTTTCATACGTGTCAGATTCTGTTAGACCCAGAATATATCAGCTGATAAAAGCATACTGGAAATAAAGTGTTTCCATCAATGTTGTTATTTTCATCCTCAGGCAAAACAATATTCAGAGGATCTACGACCTGTACAACAAGGTGGGCTACAACTGCTTCATAGCTGCTGCTATCTATGTCCTGTTTGGAGCCCTCTCCTGCTGCCAGATGAGGCTCAACAAGCAGAAGGTGATTGCATTTATTTGGCTTTTTCCGGTTTAATGTTATTGACTTTTGCTGAATGGCTCAGACCACAGCGAATAATGGTAACCAGTGTATTATGATGCATATAGTATCACCAGTTTCTCACCAATACGCAGCCCTCTTTGGAACTACTTTCTTCTGCAGGAATAGTCTTTTAAATGTTCATTCTACCGCTACGGGTCTCTTAAATCAATACAATGAGAAAAGAGGAGGTTTGATGATGATGTGAAGCAGCGTGGGATCATGAGAGTTGTCTTCACCCCCATTGCCGTCATTGCAGTCAGCTTCTTCCAGTTAGGATTCCTTCAGTGTTCATGGTTCAGGAGGTTTCTACTGGGAGCCCGATTATCCACAGAGGTCTCCTCCTCTCCAAAACCATCAGACCCACTGATTCAAAACCGCTAAAAACACTGAATAAAGCAGTTCCACCTTAAAAATCACTGTTTCTCCCACGCTGTTGGACAGACAAAGGACGTCCCGGAGGGGCTGCGAGCCGAGCTGCTGCTAACGTTAGTTCAGCTTGTTTCTCTGATAACTTAAGATCCAGACGTCCGATGACTAAAATCTTCCACCTGGTTCAAATCTAGAGTTAAAAAGCACCAAGATCTAAACAGTGGATGGTAACAATGTGCTTCAAATTGGATAAAACGTTTCTGTCCAGTAGAAGTTTAGCCAGGTTCAACTCTAAGTGTTGTGCGGCAGGGGTGGATCTAGAGAAATAGTCATGGGGTGTCCAGAGTGTGCCATAAGAACTTTGACTCTTCCATATACAGCTTTATGCTTGACCTTAACTCATTAAGTCCTTAATTGACATATACAAAACATCCTGGTGTGGTGGTCATATGACAATCATGTGACAGTGACAGGAAGTATCCTCTCCAAAATGTTGGTAACTGGTAAACAGAAATGAAGGAAGTAGCTAAATTAAAAAAGCTTGTTTTTTGTTATTAAGGTAAGTTTAAACCCATTTAACAATTATAATGCTTTAATAGTGAGTCCTGTATTGCATTTAACCTGTTCTGACCATATTTCCTGAACAAAATAATATAAAACAATAAAAAATATATATACGTCGCAGCAGGCTTTTAACCTTTAAAGTCGTCATGCAAAACCTGATGTGACGTATTTGTCACAATAACAAAAAAGGTAATAGGCCGTTTGACGCACAGTAAATATTTGATTAACTTTTGATCACCAATGTGTCTAGATTGCAGTGATCGAATTTGAAGTCAATCCGATAAAATCTGTAGGAGGAGTTAGTTCAAATTAAAGCCTTGAAATGCCGGAAATGGCATCACAGCTTGACATTCGATTCAACCTGGCCAACTTTGACGGCACGCCACAGACACGCCCTTCAACATACAGTCACAAAAAGCACAACTTTTAATCAGCAACATTTTTTGATTGTACTGTCCAATTTTGAAGTAGATTTGATAAGTCCCCTATTTATCTTGCAATTTAATACTTGACTTCCAGCGGTTTCCTACAATACTCCCTAGGAAATATGGTTTGTAGATGTGGCTAGTGGGAGTGGAGGGGTGTTTGTGTTTTATCACTTTGAAAAAAAAAAAAGTACATTGTATGAACATTTCTTTATTTGTGATTAAAATTAAATAAAATGTCTGAGAGAAAAAAATAAGTACCCTATGAGGAGTTTGTTCAATACAAAGCGAAAAATTCACAGAAAATGACCACGGAATTCAAAATGGCCCACTTTGACGGAAAGCCACAGATATGCCCTTCAACGTACAGTCGCAAATAGCACAACTTTTAATTAGCAACATCTTTTGATTGTACTGTCCAATTTTGTAGTAGATTTGCTAAGTCCCCCTTGAGGAGTCTGTTCAAAAACAACGCAAAAAATGGCCACAGAATTCAAAATGGCCAACTTTGACGGCACGCCACAGACACGCTCTTCAACGTACAGTCACAAATAGCATGGCGTTTAATCAGCAACATTTTTTGATTGTACTGTCCAATTTTTAAGTAGATCTGATAAGTCCCCTATGAGGAGTTCATTCAAATACAAGGCGAAAATTTGCCTAAAGTGAAAATGACAAACAAAATGGCCGCCGAGAGTGAAAATCAAAATAGCCGACTTCCTGTTGAGGTCGTGGGTCCAAGAGGCTTTTTTTTTTAACTTCCTATATATGCCTGCCAATTTTCACTCATGTCCCCTAAACAGGACGACGGGGCTGGTTTTTTGAAAGTTTGTAGGGGGCGCTATCGAGCCATTTTGACACACCCACAGGCAACAGCCATATGAAATGTAAAATGCTGCCATGTGGGATGTGTGTGGCAAGTTTCATGAGGCGTTGAGCCTGTTTAGCCCGTGTAAAATGCGATCCAATGTCCTGCTAGGAGTAGAACATGAAAGAATAAGAATCACATAGAAGTGTTCAAGGTGGTCGAAATTGGACGCCACGTCCACGCTGTTCGACGGAATGTCGTAAATAATTAAATTTAAATTTTATTTGTATTGCGCCAATTCATAACAGAAGTTATCTCAGGACACTTTTCAAATAGAGCAGGTCTAGACCGAACTCTTTAAAACATTATTTACAGAGACCCAACAGTACCACCATGAGCAAGCACTTGGCGACAAGGGAAAGGAAAAACTGCCTGTTAAAAGGCAGAAACCTAGGACAGACCCTTCAGCTCTAGGTGGGTGGTCGTCTGTCTCGACCAGTTGGGGTGAAAGAGAGAGAGAGAGAGACGCACACACAATAGTGCTACTTATAATTATGAAGGTCTTTAGATGGCTGTGTCCAAGCGTTGAGACGATCGATAAAATGCCTGCATGCAATGCAACGGTGAAAATCGCCAGAAATTACCACAAAATCCGAAATGGCCGACCTCCTGTTGGGTTTGAAGTATGGGTCCAAGAGGCTTTTCTGCTTCTATTATCACGATACACATGCGTACCGGTTTTCGTACATGTCAGCCTTACAGGTCTTGGGGGCTGATTCGCGGGGGTGGGGCTCCACAATTTGGTGGCGCCCGTGCACAGGGACAATTGCATACTGTTAGTTTAGAAATTATTGAATTTTGTGCTAATTTCCATCATCATTCGAGCATGTTTAGGCCACCAAATATGCATTCACCCAGGAGTTAATAATAATTCCTAGGATTACAAGAGGGACCTCACAGTGTTTGACACTGGCTCGGTCTCTAATTATTTAAGTATTAATAAAATATTTATTTACCATAAACGCCCATTGTGACTTATATGTCACATCACAGATCTTGACTTTTTAAAAAAAAAAAAAAAAAACATCGTAAATGTGTTGTATGAGTTCCACTTCAAGGAGAAATGGGTCTGGGTTCTTATGGGTTAAGTGGTGGCAGAAATATTCACTGATTTAATCACAAACAATTGCATATATCAATATTTGCTTGAAAAGCCCCCAAATGAAGATATTTTTATACCAAATTTTAAAATAATGTTTACTACAGTCTTGAATCTGTACTTACGTACATGTTGTTGTTCTGCAGGAGTACCTGGTGCACTAGGCCCACTTGCTGGACTGAGGAGCTCCCAGCAGCAGCAGCAGCAGCAGCCTGACAGCAGTTGGATGTTGTTTGGATGTTCACCAGGTCTCTGATCACTAACATCTGTCTCAGGGTTTCAAATTCCCAAACAGGAGCTGCAGGAAGGAGACTTGTTGCTGTGTGAGAGCAAATCATTGCCCCTCGTGTAGTTCAGAAGAGATTAATTCTACCTCACAAGTGCTGAAATGATTTGATTGTGATAGTTAAAAACTACCCACTGGAACTCCAACTGTTATAATGGTTGTTAAATTATTTGGTCCTGACTTGCTCTTTCATACCTACTGTACAAGAATGTATCTCTGATTATTGCCTGTGTTTCAATTATTATTGTATTAGATTAAGGTATTCATTTCTTTCATCGTCTGTGTGTCTGTGCAGTGCCTCTAAGAAATTATATTTTCAACTTTGTCTTTAAAATAACACCACTAGCTTTGCTGCTGCTGATCAGTTATGGAATCCAGTGTGTCACTTTATCAGGCTCAGGTACTGCTCTTGCAAACATGCACACATCATTTCAGTCGAGACACACTCTAGTTTTGGACCAGTGTGATTCAACGTCTCTGCACTGTAGGTATTTCAAAATTAAAAAGTACTGACATAACTGAGTTAGCTTGATTACATTTTTACTTTGTCTGTCCTTGAAGCTGTGATGTTTGAATGATGTATGTGCAGAGTTTGATACTGGAAGGATGTCTTTTTCACATTCATCTGCTGCTCTCTGTTTCTCACTGAAAAATCTGATTTTAAGGGGCAGGAGCCTACAAGCATGATTTGTGACATCACAAATAGTTTGGAAGTCAGTTCTAGTCCAGTATCAACTTGTCCAGTGTGATGTAGAAACTTGAAGCAACCAGTCCACATCCACTGAGAATGGACTTTACAGTGAAGGAGGAGACATCTTGTGTCCAGCAGAAAAACTTTAGAAATGAACAACATTTGTTTATTTAGAGTTGTAGCCCCTTCAGACCCGCCTTATGTTCCAAGGTTGTGAAAAATATAATAATGACTTTTTCCCATCCTTAATGAAACCAGAAATGAGAATCAATAAAAACAAGTTTTTAATCAAAACCCTTTAATTGTTATTTTTCTTGTCCATTTCAATGGACACCGGGTCCAAACAATTCTTAAAATACCAACATCATATGACAACATCATACCTATTTTTTGTCTGTTAAATGTTGCAAAAAGTAAAAAAGAAGCCCCTGTCAAGTGACGTCCATTGCAATGGACACAGGGTCTGAAGGGGTTAATGAGGTACAAGGAGTAGATGGCTTTGTAAGGATTTGAGTGTGAAAATTATACTTTTCTTGCAAAGAAAAAACATCAGACACACATTATTGTTCCAAGCATACTACTTGTATTGTGTCTAAATAAATGTCTGGAGGGGATCTTTGCATTTCAAACCTGCAAAAGTGAAGCTTATTCACAGATCACCTTTCAGCTTTTTAATGTATCAAAATCTGTCCACAATTTAAGTTTCATAGTTAAGTGTTAAATATATATATACATGAAAATATGTTCAGAATGCACTGTAAAGTAAAGAAGCAACCCAAGTTTAGTTCAGACAACATTATGTTAACCCAACATACGTGCTAGGCCTTCATGGCTTTCATCAGTTGACTCTTCCTAAGTCCTGCCCCTTTTTGCTTTGCGCTCCAGTAAAAGTTGAGCAAGCCTCAGTCAGAACCTTGGTTTGCAAAATGCTAGCTAGCTTATCTACATCACTCGTTAGCTAGCTGGTGACATCTGGTGGGCGGCTGTGGCTCAGAGGCAGAGCGGGTCGTCCTCTAATTTGAAGGCTGTTGGTTCGATCCCCAGCTCCTCCTGCCACATGTTGAAGTATCCTTGAGCAAGATACTGAACCCGAATTGCTCCCGATGCATTGGTGTGTGAATGTGTATGAATGAGTTAGTTTCTGTTCGATGGGTTATCCCACCACTGAGTGAATGTGTGACGCATAGTGTAAAAGTGACTAGAAAGGTGCTATACAAGTACAGGTCCATTTACCATTACCATATGAAAGCTTATGTCAATCGCTAGTCCACTATTATTCAGAATATGACAATATTCCGCATTTAATAAATGTAAACAGCATATACTGTCACTGTCTCTGTTGTCAAGGGGAATGTACTGCTTGATCTCCAGCCTCTTGGTTGAAGACCACCTGTTTTTACGCTTTCAGAGACAAGCAATTCTATGTCTTAAGCTTGTAATTCAGTAAAAAACAATAAATAAACCTTAAATGTATTGGTTCCAATGCATGCACACTTTACACGACCATATTCAGTGAACACTGGTGTGGCTGTGATGCAGCCAAACTGCTCCTGGTGGACATTCCATTTAACCCCTAGACCACTAGTGCACCCCTGACTTTTGACATATTGATTTACTATCTCAAAACGATGACTTGGCATCGCATATGTTCAACTTACAGAGTCAAAATGTATAACTTACTAACATTGACTTAACATCTCATTTTTAATCATCCCCTACTTTTCGTTAAAAAAAAGTCCTACAAATCATAAATTGTCTCATGGATAACAACATTTTTCACATTACAAAAAGCTATTTTCTCTTACTTGGACTTTTTCATTTTTTTTTTACAAGATTATAATTTTGTTACACGATCAACAGAAAAAAAGTGAAATCTGGTAGGTATGCGCCATACTACCACGTAACCCATAGTGAATCCTGTAGTTAGGCTTTCTATATGGTGATGCTGTTCTCTATGCGGCTGGGCAGGAGGAAAAGGTACGGAAGCTCTAGTCCTTCATTCTGATTGAGGATATGGCCCTCAATGTCTTTCAGTTCTCTTCTGAACCTCTCGATCAACTCCAGGGCCTCGCCCTCAGTGAAGTGCTCCTGTGTGTATTGGCCCAAAGGAATCTAAGCAAAAGAAAACAGGAAGCTGCTGAGTAAAGAGGAACTAATGTGGCTGGTGTAATGTCAGATTGAGGCAACAGCTCCACAGATTAACTGGGACAACTGGAATGTTTCTGGCAAACATTACTGAAATAACTTGGAATAAAAATGAATCAGATATTATGTATCATCCTATATAAATAAAGCTTTTTCTATGAGATAAAATGGTACTGTCTTTTACTGTCACTGTCTTTTACTGCAGACATTTCTTACAGTCTAGTCCCTATGAAAACAGAAACAGTGTGTCCTATGGATTATCTAAAGTACAAACAGGAACCTTGTTCCTGGAAGGACACACCACTGGGGAATTGTTTTCAGTATATTTTTCAATACAGTGAGCACCAATCATAAAAGTCCATTCACCTCCATTGTTATGTAGTGGGGGCAGAAAGCTAAGATGTCTGAAAACTGGGACACATGAAATCTAACTGTCTGCTTTAAAAAATACTACTAGAGGGAAGTGAGATAATATCATTTTACTGCTATTTGGGTCAACCTGACTCAACCTGTTAGCTTCTTAAAATGAAAGTCCTCATTTGATGTATAATGAAGCAGACAGAGATGGACTCACTGCGTCTGGCTGTGCTCGTCCCAGATGCCATGTGATGGCCATCTGCAGACAGGACTGGCTGACATCAGGAAGTGTGGCCATGATCATCTCCATGGTAACAGCATCTTTGTCTGTTGGTGGGGGGTGTCTCATGGTGCAGGGGGTGTTGGGGACCCAGGCACACCAGTCAAACTGGACAAACACCAACAGAGAGAGAGTCTCGGTAGGATGTCAACTTGTGGCAGGCCTGAACTGACAACTGTAAAGGTCACAGTGTGTGTGTAGGTGTGTGTGTCAGCACCTGTCCGTTGTTGGTAGCTGCATGCTGGGCTGTACTGGTGAAGATTGCCACTGACACCAGGGTGGAGAGTTCCTCTCTGGTGTTGAGCTTACTGGGCAGACCTGAACACACATCCACCAGCAGGTATTACATACACAAATGTATCACTTCTTCTGCCTGTGATAGCACTTTATGTCAATAAACCCTCTAATGTAGGTCATTTAAATCTTTGTATTTTTTTAAAGTTGTCATATTAGTTGAAACTATATCCTGACAGTAGTACACGAGACTGTGAAAAAATCAATTTCTTCTGGCTCTTCCTAGTACTGCTAATGGTGCAAGAATCTACCTGAACGAAAACAACCAATCAGAGCCAAGAAATACACTTTGGGTTAGAGGCTTGAAGATGGTGAATGGTAAACAGACTGTACTTATACAGCGGCTTTCTAGTCTTTCGACCGCTCAATGCGCTGTACACTACATGCCACACTCACCCCATTCACACACATTCACACACTGACAGCAGTGGCTGCCATGCAAGGTGCCAACTGCTCACCAGAACAGAAACTAATCATTCATACACACTCATACATCGATACACAGCATCGGGAGCAATTTGCTCAAGGACACTTCGAAATGCATCTAACTGCCAACCTTCCGATAAGTGGACTCTACCTCTGAGCCACAGCCACCCAGAAGATAGTTGACTGTTGTGTCTCATGCCCTTTAATGTGTGTCATCCCCCTTCTCTCTCCCCCTTTCCTATCACTCTTTAGCTGTCATATCAATTAAAGGTAAGAAAAAAAACAACCAACTATCTTTCTTGGGTCTGTTGTTTTTGTTCAGGCCTGGTGGATTCTTGCAAATACCATTAGGAGTACTAGGAGGAGCCAGAGGAACCGGATTTTTCCACAGATAATCTGTCTCAAAATATTGCATTATTTAGGTGAATTGATATTTTCTTACACCTCTAGATCATCTGCTTGGGAGCAATGGGGTTTTCCAGTGAATTGCAGCAATTAGATGGAACAGTATGTGTCCAAACTGTTTAAGTCTAGTCACATAATGTCATGGCACCTAGAAATGTTACAATACAGGAGTGTATAGTTTGGAGCAATATTCACCTTTTTATTGATGAAGCGTGGCCTAAGAGCCACTATTGTCTTGGTTTTTGAAATTGAATGCAAATAATTGTAAAAGCATGGTAAACGAATAATCCCCACACATGCTATTCCTAATACATATTGAGACATCACTTTCGCATGCAGTTGTAAAGTACCTGGTAAAATAGTCCATATTAATATTTTCTCACATAACACAGATGCATAGTGGTCTGAATTTTAAACTGTAAAATAAAGGCTGAAGATATTTGTAAGAAAGAGCAGGTGTGCTTTTCACCTGGATGGTAAGTATTAGGGAAAACATGCAAGATATTAATAACTGACCAAAGTTGGGGAGCTCTGTGTAGCCTTCCTGTGTTATGTCTCTGATCCAGGCTTGGAGCTCTAGGTCCTCCTGCACATCATGGTCTGACTGGTAGTATAGGCTCACCATACCTGAGACAAAACTGAAGGAAAAGGGACAGTTAGGGTTAGGCACAAATACATTGGGGGCAATATTACAGAAACTTCCTGTCCTGCTGGTAGATAGCAAGTAGGTAATTTTTCTTGTCATATTTGCTGAAACTCTAATCTGTGAAAATATCAGGTTCCTCTGGCTCTTCCTAGTGCTCCTAATGGCATTTACAAGAATCCACCGGGCCTGAACAAAAACAACCAATCAGAGACAAGAAATATAGAAAGATACTTTGGTTTAGAGGCTTGAAGATAGTTGATTGTTGAGTCTAATTCCCAGGGTCCTAAAGTATCTGTATTTGACGCCCTGGGAATGAGACTCAACAGTCAACTAACTTTCTTGGCTCTGATTGGTAGTTCTTATTAAGGCCTGGTGAATGCTGTCAAACATAGACATATATACGTAGACACTGCATTGACCAGCAAGAGACTGGCCTGTAAACAAATACAAGGTAATACAAATAAAGGTTATAATGGTTTCAGCAAATATGACAAAACATTTTTTTTTTTGAGAAATGACCTACTGCAGCTTTAAATCTCTATCAGAGCTACGCCTGCACGGTTTTCCATTTCATTCAGAAATACCACATGGTGTTTGTGATGTACCTGTGTATTGTGTCCCATAGCATCAGACTGTGTTCTCTGTAGAAATATTTTGGGAGCTCATAAACTCCTCTGTCAGTGAAGTCATTGCGGGGCTGGAGGGAGCGGTAGGTCAGCACCTTGTACTCCCTTTGAGCCAGAATCAACAGGCCATCACCACCTGTAGACACAACCTACACACACACACACACACACACACACACACACACACACACACACACACACACACGACCATCACCATGATGATGAGCACCATCTATGGAGATATTTTAGTGCCAGCACAAATTGAATCAGAATGTAATAGTTTTGAATTTGAAATGTTAAAACTGATTATATAAAAATTAATCTTGTGATTTGAAATCGAATTTAACTCATATTGCTTCCAAATTCAGCTCAGAATTCAGTTTTCAAATTGAGTTTCCCGAACTAAATTTGGAACTCCACCAAAACAATAAAATAATAATAATAATAATAATAATAATAATAATAATAATAATAATCACAAATTGAAAGCAATACAATTATAAGTTAAAATAAGTTCAATTAAATTTTTAATTTTTAATTTGAAAATCTCAATTAAATGTACTGTTTCAGAGTGAACCAGAGTCTACCCGTTTGAAGATGCCATTAGGAGAGATGAGCTGAGTGCGTCCCCTACAGTTGATCTCTAGAGTATAGCGCAGATGAGGGGCCAGGAGCTAAAGCCGGAAGACACAAAAACTGTTCAGGCTGCAGCAAAACTGTTACCTACAGCTTGTCAAACTATCATCAAACCATAATACCATACATTATCAAATAAAAGCTAATTGATTCTTCCTAAACAGGGAAATATCCAGAGGGAGGCGGCCCCAAGTGCCACCCTATTATCCTTACCTTTACCACTCTGTACTGTCGTTCAGCCGTAGCAGGTTACATTTTAAAGCTAGAGTGAAGATACTGGTATCACATGAAACTAGATGATCTAACATATCCTTTGGCTAAATAACACTCCAAATTTAGGCAAAATGTTTGCGATGTTCCAAAGGATTCTGACCTCAAGGGTATCCACAAGTCTCCCCTTTACAGACATGTCCACTTTATGCTAGCTCCATGTTCCAATTTGTTTTATTTACATGTGGTATAAATGTGTTTTTTTCACCTAGTGTATTTGAATATTTCTGCGAACTGGGGCCCATAAACAGTATTAGAATTGCACAGGATGGTAATGACTGGAAAGCTGAGACACAGACTTCATGCCAAAAAAGTGGCTATATGTAGCATTTTGCTAACATTCACTTTCAAATATTACTAGCTAGCTAACAATTCATGTAGATTAGTTAGAAAACTGGTCACCTAACTATCTCGCTAATGATTAATGTAGTGTAGCTAACTAGTTAGATTAGCTTTAGCTAACATTAACTAACTTAAGTTGCTTTCTTGAATTTGTGGGTGTTTTCATTGATGAGCCTAGCACACAGCATAAATAAGTACAGGAAAGGAGAAAGTTGAAAAGGGCAGGACTTAGGAAGAGTCAGTTGTGGTCTACAAATGTTGATTAGACCTGTAATCTAAAAGGTCACATGGTAAATTCAGTATAGTGAAATAATTCCTCACCAATAATAACACCAGTACAACAAGTCATGTTGTAGTGAGTCATGCAGCATATGACCTTTTTTGACTAATGTTAAACTACTGTCAATTATTATTAATAATGACCTTTGTCCTTTGAGTCAAAAGTGTCATCAATTCATTGTCTGACCAATATGATCATTCATTCTTGAGTTATGGCTAAAAGCATGCTTTTTGAGGTCACATTGCCCCCAGCCAAAGCTATTTGATTTGAATGTGGCATAGAAAACATCAATAACATTGATAATTGACATTTTAAAGGTCCAGTGTGTAACATTTAGAAGCATATATCATCAGAAATGGAATATAATATTGACAAGTGTGTTTTCATTATTGTACAATCACCTGAAAAAGCAAATATGTTTTTGTTACCTTAGAATGAGCTGTTTTTATCTATGTTTTTATTGCCTCTTCTGGTGGAGTCTGCCATGTTGAACCAACATGTTTCTACAGTAGCCCTAAACGGACAAACCAAACACTTGCTCTAGATAGGGGCATTTGCGTTTTTAACACATTTCATGGTCACCATAGTTCCTCCTACACTTTTGGAAAGGGAGGGTGAAGTGAAGGAGTTACAATCTGTAACATTGCTGCTAGATGCCACTAAACCCTACACAGTGGACCATTAACACTTCATGCAGAAGTCTTGTAATGTGAATGTTCTGGACACTGTGGTTCTTGCATGATGGGTTTGTCTGAGCTACCCAGTCGCAGTTCGATGACTGCAGCTACTATAAAGACAGGAAGCTGTGTTCATCAGTATTGCAATGTGACAATCCAGCTCCTCCATCGTTGCAAGATTGTTAGACTCATTGTCTGTAAGTTAATATGTTCATTGATGATATATTATTGTAAAGAATAGCACATTTACAGAAAATTGTTTATTTTATTAATGACTGAAATGACATTCTTAAGCTAGTTTCCAACTTAAGTTAATATCCTATGCTAAATTTATACTTAGCTGTTAGCATACTTTAATTCTTTTTACTGCAATATTTTATATACTTACTATATTATATTTACCTTTTCATGCCTGTAATTCCAATATGTCATTTTGTGTTTGTTACAGTTTTACAAAAAGTTCAACTAAAGTAAGTATTCAAGTACACTTTATAAACGGTATCCTGGTGGAGCTATTTAAGTAGATGTTTAAGCTGACTGGATAGCTAGGCACAGGAACTTTAGGCGAGGCCACAACATCTGTGCAGGAAGTGAAACAGTAACTTAGCAGCAACAAAAAAAAAAGACTGTCAATAGCAACACTAATTGTTTACCTTATATATAGGGTGCACAGCAGGTAGCTGTCTCAGAGTAGCCACACAAAACACCTCTATGACCAGATGAGTCCTGAGCAGGTGAGACAGCAGCTGGAACACTTGGAACTCGGAGTGACGCACCCATATCTTAGCCAATAGCCAGGCCAGGGGCGGGTCTCTGGGAAGGAATATGGGTGTGTCGTGGTCCGGAGTCTGTTCAAGCTGAGGATAAGGAGGGAAACTAATACAGGCATTCCTGTTCCACTACATAAAGGGAACTTAACATATATGTATGTATATATATATATATATATATATATATATAGAACCTGTCAGACCATTAAGTTCAGTTCACTAGTTTTACAGGTTTTTAAAAAGTAATTACATTTAATGTTGTCAGATTTTTATTCAGTCTTCTAAGGTTTTTATGTATTTTCTTACATTCAATAGTTTCAGGTTTTCACTTAATATTCTCATATTTTTCAGTAATCTCAGGATGCATCATTGAAATGTTGAGTTCATTCAGAATTTCAGTGTAGGTCTCTGGGCATTATGGATAATATACCTGTATAGCAATAGGTATGAGTCCTTCATCTGGGTGTTGGTACAGGAGACAGAGCGGAGCAGCAATGTACTGAGGTTTACTCTTGATTGTGTTGGTGGGAATCCCATCCATGATGGCATAGTCTAACAAATAGATATTCCCTGCCTGGACAGGAGAGAAGCAGAAAATGAAGAAGAATGAGGACATGGAAGGAGTAGAGAGTACGAAAATAATTTTGAGAGAAGCTACAATCTGTGGCATCAAATTAAAGTCTGGAGATTGTATAGACAGATTTAGAGCATTTCTCCACCTTGAGTTCTTTGTCCAGGTTAGTCCTGGGAGCCATGGAGCTCTGCACCATGTCTGAGGTGACAGGGAAGTTTTCTGGCAGCTTGTTGCAGCTCTTGATCATCCTTGGGTTGGAGCCATTCATACACTGGTAGCCAAAGAACCGGTCTTCCTTCCAATGCTCCATACAGTACTCTGAGTCAAACACACACATACGAGTAAGCAACTTGTCACCAAATTTGGTTCAGAACACCCTGGGTGAAGCAAGAAAAAGTGACTTTTTTTAGATTTTTGATATTCCATACAGTTTTGCTATAGCTGGCCCTCAGTTTGCTGAGGCAGGGTTTATATAACAAACAAATGATAATAGCTTTGTGCTATTGCAAACCCATCTTTTTTTGTGTGGGCATGTTTCCGTTCAATTTAAAATATTTTTCGGTAAAAGTTACTTGCGGGCCTTGGCTAATTTCTCAGGGAAAAATGTGTGCCTTGAGGTTGTAACTATGATATGGCATGAGTATGGTATGGGTACTTTGGTTTCCGCTAAGTACTGTATAGAATAATGGGACTGGGAGGATGGTGTAGGATTAAGTTTATTAGACAAGTACATATACACCAACAAGACAGTGTACAAGCATTGTCACAAGATAGTTTGTTTTCATTCATAGGCTTCATTGTCTTTCCATCAATACCTGGTGGGCCGGCTCAAAATGCCCGGGCCGTTTTTTTGTCCCAGTCCAGCCCTGTTTGATAGGGGTTTATTGTGTTCATTGTGTGGCATTTTCATTTGAACATCAAAACCACATGGGAGGTGTACAGTAATTGCCCAAAGCTAACAAAGTAGTTATTATCTACAAAATACTTATTAATACTAGTGCAGTGCCCATAAGGGGGTGTAGCTGTTTGGAGTGTGTGCCAGTATGAAGCAGGCAATTGTTTGGCTCCCGGAAGTGCTGGTTCTTTTTGAAAACCAATTACGCGATCAACTTCACACTTGGTGGGTGTGTTGCTGAGGATCCAAAAGACTGCAGTGCTGAGTGTGAAGTCAATCAGATCAGGCACTGCACTAGTGTTAACAAAGATAATAACTATTTTGTCAGCTGTGAACAACTACAGTACACTTCCCATGAGGCTTTGATGCCCAAATGAAAAAACACAACTCAAGCGCTGTTGAGAGCATACCGAACCAACAGCCAACCAGAACAGAAACAGAACCAAAAACTGAAATTTTCTTGCCATTCTTCAGCAACAACCACTTTGTTCTCAAAGTTGTCCCACCAACTAGAAAACTAACCAGGTCCAAAACTGGCAATGCTGCAGGTGGGGACTGTGTCATAGGAGTGTCTGATTATGTAGCAGGGACCACAATCAGATGCCTCTGTTCCTCAATATAGTGGAAGAGTAACTGTACATTTATATGTAAACATATAGAAAGTCCTGTTAGCAAGGTTAGAATGAGCACTATTTTAGCCATGTCCACCATTGCACGAAATGTTGCCTCATGTAAAAAAAAAGATAGCTAAGGCCGGAAATATATTTATCTTTTAACCACACTTTCGCATTGCAGGCGTGTCGCATTAATTCCTGAGGACGTGCACAACCAACAGTCCAAATGGATGCAACAATGCATCATGTCCACACAAACACACAGTCAGAAGCAAAGCCTCCGAGATAACGGTGCACATTCTGACATCACAAGTCAAAAACGTTTTCCTCTCTACATGTCAACACTGAAAATGGTGTTTCTGAATATATTCACACTGGAAGGAGTTTTCCAAAAGGTCCTATGAGAGAAGGAATCAGGTAAACTTGTGTTCTCTTGTTTGATGTGCAGTTTGCAGCATCTCTCTCCACTCTGTCTCACTAACAGCTGGACAGTGCAACTCTTGGTCTATGTGTGTCTTCCTGGGCTGTTCTGTGACTTTATGCCTGACAAAGTCACAGAACAGTCAGAATGATATCTGATATATCTGATAAATGCCAACAGGAAACTTGAGCTCGGAAGAGAGAGTGATGTGTCAACCGCTCATATGCACAAAACAGAAATGAAACTTGCGCTTTCTAGCAGCAGCAACAGATGTGGGAACCAGTCCAGATAATACATGGGCATGATTGCACTCACAGACAAACATAATTAAAAAGACAATAATTATCTAGTCTGTCAATATATACAGCTCTGTAATGGGAGATGGAAAGCAATGGGTTGATATTATCTAGACATTTTTTTAATCTATTGATTAAAAATTTAATTCAAACATGGATTAGCTCTGCATACTGGACAATATGGATCCACATCTCTCAGTAAACAATAACCATCAAGTATTCAATCAAGCCATTGTATAAATAATATATTTATATTTGAAAATGTACAAAAGGAAAATGGGGGAGCCAGTCTGAATGCAGGTATTTTGAGACTTAAAGCTGCAGCCACAGTCTTTAGACTGACATTTACATTGTATGGCCAAAGCTATTTGTATAATATTGTATGTGGTACGAGAAATGTACGTATTATATAGGTCCCACACATGGGCTTTGCAGAATGCCTTAACCACACCTCCCAAAATCAAGACACGTAAGATATGTATCAAAATTGGTTTGCATGTGTATCCTGAACAGACAAACAAAAAGTCTCAGACTTTTCTCCAATTTCTTATGTATATTGTTAATAGTCACTTATTTTAAGATTATATAGAAAATATTCCTTTGAATATTGTTTATTTATACCTCTACATAGAGCTACTAATACTTAGACTGACAGATTTTGAAGGAGGGAGGATTGTACTGGGAGCATGGGGGTGTCTGGTGTGACTGTGGCAAAGGCAAATGGTTTACATGGCTTACGGGTCAGGTAGAAGGGAGGTTAGGACTGGCTCTGCAAAAGCAATTAATAATCCACAAATAAAAGGTCTATGAATGAATTTCATTATGTCAGGCTTCATCAAGGAATAGAGTGTTTGAACATGGCATGTGATGAATAGTGTCATCTTGAATGCCAGTGTGGCAACACTGACAAAAAGAGCATTTGTGGGTGGGGTGTGTACCCCTTTTTTTTGCGTGGGCCCCTGCCCCCAAAAATGTGTGTGTGCAAACCTATGAATATTACATTCCATTTCTGACAATCGATCCTCCTAAATCTACTCTCTCTCTCTCTCTCTCTCTCTCTCTCTCTCAATAAATGTTACACACTGGACCTTTAAAATGACGTGCTTTTTGTCTTTAATATCTGAATAATTTTTTTTTTATTGTGACATGAATTTAACTTGTGTGTACACAGTGTGTTTGTAATTACCCACCAGCTATGGGGCTTCGCAGCTTCCAGAAGATCCGTTTAAAATCGTCCAGGTCACTCCAGGACTTCCCAAACCTGATGGCCAGCTTCTTCAGAGACAACTCCAGCAAGCTGATGAGAAGGAAAGGTGCATGTGTACTTTGGGCCGTAAAAGCCAACCTCCACACGTTTATCCATCTATTCTAGTTTCAAGACTATGGTTGGGTATCAAGAAGCAATTTCAAATTGAATCTGTGTGTGAGTGTATGTGTTTGTGTGCGCATACCACTTACGCATAGTGTAATGAATGTTCAAAGTCACTCCTCTTCTCATTGTCAAAGCGGACGTCTTGGGGTAAATCTGCTTCTGTTGTAGCGTCGATACATCTGGGAATCCCTGGAGCCCACGTTACCCATCTGTAACACACATTATGACAAAAATATTTATACATAGAAATTTTTAACACAACCATTCTGATAAGTGAAGCTGTATATTTGTGTTGTTGTGTGTATTGGACCTGTAAGCCATCCGTCTCTCCTGCAGTTCTGTCTTCCTGTGTGCCAGCAGCTGAGGTAAGGAGTCATCCCTCAGTGTCTTCGCTACGCAGGCAGGTAGAGGAGAGAGACAGGAAAATGCGCCTTTAACACTTCACACCTACATGGGCTCAGGCCCATTACCCCAAGGTTTTGGGGAAGTCCCTACACATAACATTTGAACCGGGTGAAGGATTTTAGTCATCGGATGTCTGGATTTTAAGTTATCAGAGAAAGAATCTGAGCTAACGTTAGCAGCAGCTCGGCTCACAGCCCCACCAGCGTGGGAGAAACAGTGATTTTTAAGGTGGAACTGCTTTATTCTGTGTTTTAGTGGTTTCAATCAGCAGGTCCGTTTGTTTTGGAGAGGAGGAGGCCTCTGTGGATAATTGGGCTCCAGGCAGAAACCTTCTGAACGATGAACACTGACGGAATCTTAACTGCGAGAAGCTGACTGCAATGATGCAATGGTGGTGAAGACTACAACTCCCATGGTCCCCCGCTACTTCACCACATCATTAAAATGCCTCTTATTGTTTTGATGTGAGAGACTCCCTAGTTACATACTGTGTGTCAGGTGTATCTTGAGATAGCAAGAAGAGGTGAAGTGACCTTTCAACTTGGTGGTTGGATTTTTGTCTTGTGACTGCATTTACACCAAGTAAGACCACCTCGAGATCTGGTGTGGCCAATCTGATCGAATTCAGATCATACTGCTTTCTCCTGCATTTGCACCTGCACAAACTTGTAGTTTCCAGATGCTCATGCAAATGACATGTTACGTGCCAGGTATGAATGGGTAACAGAGGAGGAAATGGGCAGTGTTAAGCTCCGTTCAGTATCCTACAAGACTATAAAACAGCTGAAAGGATGATCAGTCCACACAGCAGGACTTAAATGTCACTGGCCTTGTGCCAGCATGAAAACAGAACCCAATGCTCGATACCTGAGATTTAATCTGCCCCTGACCAGGTCCACTGGATCAGTTTGGAGTTGGCTGCCTTGGGTTAGGTTGAGGGTTAGGCACCATGACAGTACCTACAGCTACAGCTTAGTAAATAGTATTAGGAATTGATTCTGCATGCCCAGAATCTTACCTGTTCCCTCTCTTATCTCCACCTTTATGTCTCCAATAAGCCAGCGGTAACAGGGGAAAGTCAGCACTTTGTCTTCAGCTGGGGGCTCCACTGTGACATAGCGACAGAACCAGTTATCTTCCACCCAGTACCTCTGTTTCTCCAGTCTGACCAGGAGCAGGGAGCCTAACGGTGAAGGACTGGTCACCTTGTACTGATCCACCTGATGGAGATCGAGGGTTAGAGAAAATGAGAAAAAAATCATTGCAAGCTTTAAAAGCAGTCATGCAAATATAAGACAAATATTACTGCATTCATACAGCTGGACTCACAAGACTACAAGATCATGTGAGAATCCATCTTGTAAGACTTCAATCAACCACTACAGAGGTACCGGACTAATCTGGTACTGGATGATCAGTCCACACAGCAGGATATGAATGTCACTGGCCTTGTGCCAGCATGAAAATAGAACCCAATGCTTGATACCTGGCTATTAAGAAAAATTCAAATGACATCCTGTTTTCCATTGATGCAGATGCTGCTCAGGATAACTAGTCTGCCACTGACCAGCTCCACTGTATCAGTTTGGAGTTGGTTGGACCATGAAAGTACCTTTACAGCTTACCATTCAGATCCAGAGGTAAAAGTCATTTCATGACTGCATACCTCTTCAGATGCAATATTCAAGATTGAACAAACAGTGAATTTTATTGCTTCATTCAGTCAGGTCAAAGGTTGGCTGTCAAACTATGTAGTTGTGTACACATATCAGTAAATGATCACATCATCATTTCACACACACTTACTGCTCCTCGACAGAAATCCAGTCCAGGGTTGTCCAGCAGGGTACGCTCACTCTCGCCTTTCTCTCCCACCAGGGTCACAAAGATGTAGTTGTTGGTGCCTGAATACTCTGATGTACCAGTTGCTACTGTTACAGTGTAGACTTCCATCTAAGGATATAAACACACACAGCATGCTGATAATAACCAAGGGTTCAACTGAAAACAAGGGTGCTTGAAGGCAGTTGTTCGTAGAGAGAGGCTGTTGATAGGTAACATTTTGTTGCATATAAGTTTTCATTGATCAGCACATCAGATCACAATTTTAAAGCCTATGTTTTACATTCTGTTATACTGTGGGGCCTGTCTCACAAAGGGAGCCCAGCATACACTGTATCCAGGGGCCCCAATTGACCCTTCCTAAGTCAAGCCCCTTTTTGCTGTGTGCTCCAATTACAGAATTTCTTTTCCCCAGGGTGGCAAAGTAATGACTACTACTTTGCCTCTGATTGGCTAATACTCATTGCCTTCATTGGTTTCGTTGGTTAGGTTTAGGCATGAGGAGTGAGGTTGGTTAGGGTTTTAGTAAAAATGTCAGATTCCAAGTAGTGGGTTCACCGGCCTCAACCCATTGCTAACAGGTGCATAAAATCAAGCCTACTGCCATGTGGGGGTTGCACTGACAAATGTTTGCAGTGTATTGGTCATACTGAAAAGCTCAGTATTTCAACATGGCCTGAATACATCCTGCCAACTGAATTTCCTGGTTAACATCCAATTACTGTACATTTATGACAGTGTGCTGCCAGCTTTGTGTCAACAGTTTCTGTTTGTTCAGCCTCATAAAGACATGGTTTTCTCAGTTTGGTTTGAAAGAACTTGACTGCACAAGCCCTGACCATAACCCCATCCAACACCTTTGGGATAAAGTGGAATGCCGAATGGGAGCCAGGCCTTATTACCCAGTGTTGACTGTTCTGGATAATTGGTCTTACCTAAACTTACCCAACCATCAATCAACAGCATTACTATTTAGATAATATGATCATATCATATACCCATACATTTTTCCAGTAAATGTTTAGGTGATAATAACCTTTAGTCAGAAACACCCCTCACAAACTTGTTTTTACAGTTATTGCGTGTAAGCTATTGACTTGTAAGGGGCGGTTATCCTTGAGCAAGATACTGAACCCCAAATTGCTCCCGATGCCGTGCATCACTGAGTGAATGTGTGTGAAAGGGTGAATGTGGCACGTAGTGTAAAAGTGCTTTGAGTGGTCGGAAGACTAGAAAGGCGCTATACAAGTACAGGTCCATTTACCATTTACCATTTACTTGTCCGGCCTTTCATAGGAGTCAAACTCTTCATCCAAAAATGAATAAACTGTTGTTCTGTGAGGGCACGGACATGCTGATATACTTATTTCCTGGTAATAATTTGAGTATCATTTCAAGGGTAACCAAATTTATAAACCGCACTGATGCAAATCAGTTGATGAAACAACAAATAAGTTGTTTGAAAGAGCAGGTGTGACGGCCCAGGCACAGTAGTTGTGGCAGGATGTGACTAAGACCTGCTGTTGGCATCGTATAGCACTTATAACAGCCCTTGCTATGATATATAGGTACATGATTAAATATCTTTAAATTGGATGGATAAATGTTTCTATCACCATCAGCCGGTCAGAGCTGTGTATCAATTTGACACTATGGGAGTTAATTTAGACAGGAAAAGCGGGGGGGGCTATTAGTAGATTTCCCAGCATGCATTGTTTAAAAGATAAAACTCTCCTGAGACGCTTATCTTTAGAGCTTGAAGCATGTATGGAACTCACTGCGTGGCATTTTGAGATAAGTCGTGGTTTTTGTTTTCACAGTGTTGGAAACATTGCAAACTACAATGAAGGTTAGCGTTGAATTCAGTCCCCTTAAACTTAAAATCTAATCAATTCAATGGGAGCAGTTTCACATATTGTCTAAGTAGCTGTAAAATGAGCAGGGGTAAGTTCTTTGTGTGAAATAAAGAACAAACTCTTTAAACTAAGAAAATGTAAATGGTGTAACAGTTGTTGGTTCAAGTTAATATCTTAAGTTTACTAAATGTTTTTTCAAATTCAGCTTACTTAATTTAGTTAACTATTTAACCTTTGTTAAACAGACCTGTTCAGTTCATATCTGTTTATTTCAGTTAATTTCCCTCTTATGTAAAATATTAAAACAATACAAAGACTTACAGTGTGTGATTGTGTAATTTGTTTGTTGGCCCTTGGCACTGTGCATTTGGAGCCCAAAGCTGTAACTTATATTAGTCCTGTATTGAGCTGACACAGTGGATTTACCAAATACAGTGATGTGTGTGTTTCCATTGCAGTGTAAGTTAAAGAACGGAGTGAGAGCACACAGATCCACTGAGCAGATTCCAACACTTCAGAGTCAGAGCTCTCTGCACAACCTGCTTATAGTCAGCATCAATGCAATCATGGTTGTCTGCATCTGAACAATATTATTAATATTTTTACACAGGTGACAACATGGCAGGTGCGAGGAATATTAGGATTCCAATACGCATCCAATAGTAAATGTATAGGACAAATATTGAATATTATGGTAAATGGACCTGTACTTGTATAGCGCCTTTCTAGTCTTCCGACCACTCAAGCGCTTTTACACACATTCACTCAGTGATGGCAAAGTCCATCGAACAGAAACTAACATTCATACACACTGATGCACGGCATCGGGAGCAATTTGGGGTTCAGCATCTTGCTCAAGGATACTCGACATGTGGCACCAGGGCCGGGATCGAACCCACAACCTTCCGATTGAGGAACGACCTGCTCTGCCTCTGAGCCACAGCCGCCCATATTATGAGTTTGAAGGCATATGTGAAAGCTTGGAAATGCTCAAAGTTGAATACTGCAATAAAATCTCATCCATATAAGCTGAACCTTAGTTAAGTTTTTCCTGTCAGTGAGAATTGTCCAAAGTAAAAGGCCAAGAAACCACAGAAAATCACTCACCTTAGTCCAGAATGGTGTTCACAGCTGAGTATCAGTTTCCCCCTCTTCTTTTCCTGTAGATTCTTTGGCTCTGTCTGTATTCTGACACTTCCCTCTTTTTTTCCTCTCCCCCTCCGTGTCCTACTTATTTTCCCTTTCCCTCTTTTAAAAGTTCAACAGTGACCTGGTCGATGAGACATTCCAGAATGCCTCTGTTCCTCTAGGGCCAGCTTCCGTCTTTTCAGAAGGACTTTCAAACATTCACCCCCTAACTCTTCCTTCACAGCTCTACTGACTTTCTCTCTAACACTCCTCTCAGTCAGTCCTTTGTGCAGTCTCACCTTGCGCTGTAACACATAGTGAGTAGAGAGAGAGAGAGAGAGAGAGAGAGAGAGAGAGAGAGTTGCAGAAGGGAAGTTGGGTCAATATCCGAGGTAAGCAGCATACCAGCAACAGCTTTAAAGACTTCGTATTCAAAACAGAATATAAAAGTACATGAAATACAAGTTTAAAGGGGTAACCACTGAGTGATGGTAGCCTCTATGGAATGCCATCTTTTAGATTAAAGAAGATTAAATTAATAAGTACTACATATCCATAAATACATGAATAAATATGGCTATGAAATAAATCCTGAAATGAAGTTACGTAATACACCAAGTTTAAAGTAGTAGCCACTGGCTGGTGGTAGATTGTGTGGAATATCATTGAAGCCAATATTAAATAAATAAGGCATGGTGGATTCTTGCAAATGCCATTAGGAGAATTAGAATGAGCCGGCGGAACCTAAAGCAAAACTTTAAAATCTTCAGATGGTCAATAAAAAAAAATTTCACTTTTGAACCTAGTTGCTACGTCTTTTAACCGTTGACCATAGTCGCTTTTTGATCGTCTTTGGAATCAAAAAATGTTTCCTGGGTGTGTTCATTTGACAACATACATGCAGATGTTGGATTTTACCGCCTGGGAATTTTTGCAAAGTAGTGTATTTTTCACTTTTGATATCTTTAGTTGAGGACCAAAACTGGAGGAAAATAACATTGTGTTAACAGCCTCTGCAAATATTTGCTCATCGGGATAATCAAATCTGAAAATGAGTTCCTTTTTGTTGATGAATGGTTGGGAGCATCTTCAAACATTGAACTTAACTAAATAGTTATTGAGCTGTCATAAACAGAAGTAATTTCACAGACGTCAAACGTAGTAGTAAAATTTGGTAATATGGGAAGCTGGGGATGAGTTACATCATCCTGTCCTCCTTGTGAATATGTAACCAGTATGATGTAAACACAGCTGTGTGGTAACCCTAAAGACTGATTTTTAGGATGTACGTGTCTATGGGAGTGTTCTATTGAATTAATGTTGTGTTGAATATTCTATTGACAGTGTGAACGTTTGAACAACTGGTGACCATGAGCAGTGTCAGTGCTGTGGAAGGAGCAAAAACTCCTTGTATCTTTTTTAAAAAAATATTTTTATTGGGATTTCCTGTAAGATGGTGCAGAAAACAGACACATAACTTATAACGATGTCATTATTGCTGAAAGAACTACATAAATATGTCACATGAAAATGATACAGTTTTGGCACGTCCAGAAAAGGTGAGTCAAAGAGCCTTCTGCAGATTTACATACAGAGAGAAAAATGGAGAGAAATATTCTGTGCAGTTTGTTTCTAAATGAAGCCTCATGTTCACGCAACATCCTACATGGCACACTGCAAAAAGGATGTGTTTTTGCATTGCAACATACAGGACACACTACTTCCTGCATTGGTACTGAATGTTAGATGTAAATCATGAGGTACGTAGTTGTCCAGTGTGGACATGATTCTTTGATAGTAGGTTGTTGTTCAAATGAGCTGGCTCAGAGCAGATGTACAACACTGCAGACGGACATTAGTTTAAAGTCTAACCTGCTTAGGGGTCAGACTCTATGGAACTGAGTATAACAGGAGGAGTGATCTCCAATAACCTAAGATGGCGCCACGAACGGTCGCCTTGGTGTGTTGGTGCGCATTGTTTTTTCTTGTTAGTAGGGACTGAGCCAGCGACCGCTGGGAGGCCCTCTTGTATCTCTTGGAATTATTATTTGCTCCGTCTTCGACTGCATATTTGGCAGCCACAACATGCTCGAAAGGTCGCTGAAATTTGCACAAAATTCAAATGTAGCGAAAACACTCGTATGCATTTGTAACCCTGCACGGGTGACACCAAATGGCTAATCCCCGACCCCCCAGAATCAGCCCCCAAGACATGTAAGACCGACATGTATGAAAGTTGGTATGCATGTGTATCATAATGGGACAAGCAGAAAAGCCTCTTGGACCCATACCTCAAACTAAACAGGAAGTCAGCCATTTTGGATTTAGCGACCATTTTTGGTGATTTGCACACGTTGTATTTGAACTCCTCCTCATAGGGAATTGATTGGATTGACTTCAGATTTGGACACAGTCATTTAAAGACATCAATGATTAAAAGTTGTGTTATTTATGACATTCCGTCGAACAGCATTCCCGTGGCGTGGAATTTCAACAACTCGCCATGAAAGAGAGATTTGTCATGCGTACATGATCCAATCTCAATGAAACTTCACATGTTTGATAAGAGTCCAGCCCTGAACACGTCTATGTGATAATTTTCAGTAAAAGTGAGAGCACCACCTAGTGGTGAAAGGAAATGTAATTGTTTATACTTCCACGTTCTTCTCCTAGCAGGATGATAAGCTCTAGCTGAAATTTAGTCAGGAAATGCAAAACATGTTGTTGATGAAATTTCATGATTGTGGTGACAGTTTGTTAAAGGGCGTGTCCGTGGCATGGCTTCAAATTTTGATGTACCGCCAGAAGACACAAATTTGCTAAAACTTGTGTGTACATATACGTTGAGTGTACATTGTCCAATCGGCTCCAAACTTCACTCGTCTGATAAAAGTCCCGCCCTGAACACTTCAATGTGATAATATTCACTAATAGTGAGAGCGCCACCTGGTGGTGAAAGGAAATGTCACTTTTATACTTTTATTTATATCTTCCAGCAGATTGACCAGATCTAGCTGAAATTCTGTCAGAAGTTCCTTAGGACGATGACGATGACATCTTATGATTCTAAAGAATGTTTGAAGAACCATGTTGCCATGGCAACGCAGCGAAAATCGGCTGGTGTTAACATTTGAACACTTTTTGGGGGGCTAAACATGCCCAAAAACTCATGAAACTTTGCACAAAATTCAGTTGTGGCGAAGGCTAAGGTATTGTCTTGATCCTGCAGAAGGGTGTTGCATAATGGCTTAGCCACGCCCCCCAGAATCAGCCCCCAAGACACGTACGACTGACATGTACAAAAACTGGTACACGTCTATCATGATGGGACAAGCAAAAAAGCCTCTTGGACCCATAACCCAAATCCAACAGGAAGTCGGCCATTTTGAATTCCGTGTTATAATTTTCTTGGGTCATTTTCTGTGATTTTTCGCATTGTATTTGAACAAACACCTCCTATGGAATTTATCGGATAAACTTCAAAATTGGTCAGTACAGTCAAAAATGTTTGCTAATTAAAAGTTGTGCTATTTGTAACTGTACGTTGAAGGGCGTGTTGGTGGCGTGCCCTCAAAGTTGGCCAGGTTGAATCGAATGTCAAACTGTGATGCCATGTCCGGCATCCGGCTTCTTTGTTAACTAACTCCTCCTACCGATTTTATCGGATTGACTTCAAATTCGATCACTGCAATCCAGACACATTGGTGATCAATAGTTCAATCAAATATTTACTGTGTGTCAAATGGCGTGTCCGTGGCGTGGCGCTGAATTTCCACAGTTCGCACTGAAGAGTTTTGCACGGTGTCTGAAACACGTCACAACATAGAGCGATCTCCCTTGGCGTTGCGTGGCTGCGACGGCCGACCACCGTGCAGGCCCCGACGTGAGTGGATGGTGAGGTCCCGCCCAACGCTGCTTGCAGCTTCAATTTTGTTTGTTAACTCAGTTTTCGACTGTGATACCAAGAGCTCTTGAACATCAGGGGAACAATGCCAGCTGATCTCTTTCCCACTTTTCTTCTCTCTCGCCCCAACTGGCCGAGGCAGACGACCACCCACCTAGAGCCGGGGTCTGTCAGGGGTTTCTGCCTCTTAAAAGGAAGTTTTTCCTTGCCATCGTTGCCAAGTGTTTGCTCATGGTGGGAACTGTTGGGTCTCTGTAAATAATGTTATAAGGAGTATGGTCTAGACCTGCTCTATTTGAAAAGTGTCCTGAGATAACTCCTGTTTGGTGCTATACAAATAAAATTGAATCGAATTGAATTGAAATTCCATTGAATTATTGGACATTGTGGTCAAAAGTGAAACGCAGGAGGAGAGGAAAAGGTGCCGGTGCGCTCATGCGTCTCCGCCAGCGCGGACATTGCATTGTGTGAAATAAAGAACAAACTCTTTAAACTAAGAAAATGTAAATGGTGTAACAGTTGTTGGTTCAAGTTAATATCTTAAGTTTACTAAATGTTTTTTCAAATTCAGCTTACTTAATTTAGTTAACTATTTAACCTTTGTTAAACAGACCTGTTCAGTTCATATCTGTTTATTTCAGTTAATTTCCCTCTTATGTAAAATATTAAAACAATACAAAGACTTACAGTGTGTGATTGTGTAATTTGTTTGTTGGCCCCCGGCACTGTGCATTTGGAGCCCAAAGCTGTAACTTATATTAGTCCTGTATTGAGCTGACACAGTGGATTTACCAAATACAGTGATGTGTGTGTTTCCATTGCAGTGTAAGTTAAAGTACGGAGTGAGAGCACACAGATCCACTGAGCAGATTCCAACACTTCAGAGTCAGAGCTCTCTGCACAACCTGCTTATAGTCAGCATCAATGCAATCATGGTTGTCTGCATCTGAACAATATTATTAATATTTTTACACAGGTGACAACATGGCAGGTGCGAGGAATATTAGGATTCCAATACGCATCCAATAGTAAATGTATAGGACAAATATTGAATATTATGGTAAATGGACCTGTACTTGTATAGCGCCTTTCTAGTCTTCCGACCACTCAAAGCGCTTTTACACACATTCACTCAGTGATGGCAAAGTCCATCGAACAGAAACTAACATTCATACACACTGATGCACGGCATCGGGAGCAATTTGGGGTTCAGCATCTTGCTCAAGGATACTTCGACATGTGGCACCAGGAGCCGGGGATCGAACCCACAACCTTCCGATTGAGGAACGACCTGCTCTGCCTCTGAGCCACAGCCGCCCATATTATGAGTTTGAAGGCATATGTGAAAGCTTGGAAATGCTCAAAGTTGAATACTGCAATAAAATCTCATCCATATAAGCTGAACCTTAGTTAAGTTTTTCCTGTCAGTGAGAATTGTCCAAAGTAAAAGGCCAAGAAACCACAGAAAATCACTCACCTTAGTCCAGAATGGTGTTCACAGCTGAGTATCAGTTTCCCCCTCTTCTTTTCCTGTAGATTCTTTGGCTCTGTCTGTATTCTGACACTTCCCTCTTTTTTTCCTCTCCCCTCCGTGTCCTACTTATTTTCCCTTTCCCTCTTTTAAAAGTTCAACAGTGACCTGGTCGATGAGACATTCCAGAATGCCTCTGTTCCTCTAGGGCCAGCTTCCGTCTTTTCAGAAGGACTTTCAAACATTCACCCCCTAACTCTTCCTTCACAGCTCTACTGACTTTCTCTCTAACACTCCTCTCAGTCAGTCCTTTGTGCAGTCTCACCTTGCGCTGTAACACATAGTGAGTAGAGAGAGAGAGAGAGAGAGAGAGAGAGAGAGAGTTGCAGAAGGGAAGTTGGGTCAATATCCGAGGTAAGCAGCATACCAGCAACAGCTTTAAAGACTTCGTATTCAAAACAGAATATAAAAGTACATGAAATACAAGTTTAAAGGGGTAACCACTGAGTGATGGTAGCCTCTATGGAATGCCATCTTTTAGATTAAAGAAGATTAAATTAATAAGTACTACATATCCATAAATACATGAATAAATATGGCTATGAAATAAATCCTGAAATGAAGTTACGTAATACACCAAGTTTAAAGTAGTAGCCACTGGCTGGTGGTAGATTGTGTGGAATATCATTGAAGCCAATATTAAATAAATAAGGCATGGTGGATTCTTGCAAATGCCATTAGGAGAATTAGAATGAGCCGGCGGAACCTAAAGCAAAACTTTAAAATCTTCAGATGGTCAATAAAAAAAACTTTCACTTTTGAACCTAGTTGCTACGTCTTTTAACCGTTGACCATAGTCGCTTTTTGATCGTCTTTGGAATCAAAAAATGTTTCCTGGGTGTGTTCATTTGACAACATACATGCAGATGTTGGATTTTACCGCCTGGGAATTTTTGCAAAGTAGTGTATTTTTCACTTTTGATATCTTTAGTTGAGGACCAAAACTGGAGGAAAATAACATTGTGTTAACAGCCTCTGCAAATATTTCCTCATCGGGATAATCAAATCTGAAAATGAGTTCCTTTTTGTTGATGAATGGTTGGGAGCATCTTCAAACATTGAACTTAACTAAATAGTTATTAAGCTGTCATAAACAGAAGTAATTTCACAGACGTCAAACGTAGTAGTAAAATTTGGTAATATGGGAAGCTGGGGATGAGTTACATCATCCTGTCCTCCTTGTGAATATGTAACCAGTATGATGTAAACACAGCTGTGTGGTAACCCTAAAGACTGATTTTTAGGATGTACGTGTCTATGGGAGTGTTCTATTGAATTAATGTTGTGTTGAATATTCTATTGACAGTGTGAACGTTTGAACAACTGGTGACCATGAGCAGTGTCAGTGCTGTGGAAGGAGCAAAAACTCCTTGTATCTTTTTTAAAAAATATTTTTATTGGGATTTCCTGTAAGATGGTGCAGAAAACAGACACATAACTTATAACGATGTCATTATTGCTGAAAGAACTACATAAATATGTCACATGAAAATGATACAGTTTTGGCACGTCCAGAAAAGGTGAGTCAAAGAGCCTTCTGCAGATTTACATACAGAGAGAAAAATGGAGAGAAATATTCTGTGCAGTTTGTTTCTAAATGAAGCCTCATGTTCACGCAACATCCTACATGGCACACTGCAAAAAGGATGTGTTTTTGCATTGCAACATACAGGACACACTACTTCCTGCATTGGTACTGAATGTTAGATGTAAATCATGAGGTACGTAGTTGTCCAGTGTGGACATGATTCTTTGATAGTAGGTTGTTGTTCAAATGAGCTGGCTCAGAGCAGATGTACAACACTGCAGACGGACATTAGTTTAAAGTCTAACCTGCTTAGGGGTCAGACTCTATGGAACTGAGTATAACAGGAGGAGTGATCTCCAATAACCTAAGATGGCGCCACGAACGGTCGCCTTGGTGTGTTGGTGCGCATTGTTTTTTCTTGTTAGTAGGGACTGAGCCAGCGACCGCTGGGAGGCCCTCTTGTATCTCTTGGAATTATTATTTGCTCCGTCTTCGACTGCATATTTGGCAGCCACAACATGCTCGAAAGGTCGCTGAAATTTGCACAAAATTCAAATGTAGCGAAAACACTCGTATGCATTTGTAACCCTGCACGGGTGACACCAAATGGCTAATCCCCGACCCCCAGAATCAGCCCCCAAGACATGTAAGACCGACATGTATGAAAGTTGGTATGCATGTGTATCATAATGGGACAAGCAGAAAAGCCTCTTGGACCCATACCTCAAACTAAACAGGAAGTCAGCCATTTTGGATTTAGCGACCATTTTTGGTGATTTGCACACGTTGTATTTGAACTCCTCCTCATAGGGAATTGATTGGATTGACTTCAGATTTGGACACAGTCATTTAAAGACATCAATGATTAAAAGTTGTGTTATTTATGACATTCTGTCGAACAGCATTCCCGTGGCGTGGAATTTCAACAACTCGCCATGAAAGAGAGATTTGTCATGCGTACATGATCCAATCTCAATGAAACTTCACATGTTTGATAAGAGTCCAGCCCTGAACACGTCGAACACGATAATTTTCAGTAAAAGTGAGAGCACCACCTAGTGGTGAAAGGAAATGTAATTGTTTATACTTCCACGTTCTTCTCCTAGCAGGATGATAAGCTCTAGCTGAAATTTAGTCAGGAAATGCAAAACATGTTGTTGATGAAATTTCATGATTGTGGTGACAGTTTGTTAAAGGGCGTGTCCGTGGCATGGCTTCAAATTTTGATGTACCGCCAGAAGACACAAATTTGCTAAAACTTGTGTGTACATATACGTTGAGTGTACATTGTCCAATCGGCTCCAAACTTCACTCGTCTGATAAAAGTCCCGCCCTGAACACTTCAATGCGATAATATTCACTAATAGTGAGAGCGCCACCTGGTGGTGAAAGGAAATGTCACTTTTATACTTTTATTTATATCTTCCAGCAGATTGACCAGATCTAGCTGAAATTCTGTCAGAAGTTCCTTAGGACGATGACGATGACATCTTATGATTCTAAAGAATGTTTGAAGAACCATGTTGCCATGGCAACGCAGCGAAAATCGGCTGGTGTTAACATTTGAACACTTTTTGGGGGGCTAAACATGCCCAAAAACTCATGAAACTTTGCACAAAATTCAGTTGTGGCGAAGGCTAAGGTATTGTCTTGATCCTGCAGAAGGGTGTTGCATAATGGCTTAGCCACGCCCCCCAGAATCAGCCCCCAAGACACGTACGACTGACATGTACAAAAACTGGTACACGTCTATCATGATGGGACAAGCAAAAAAGCCTCTTGGACCCATAACCCAAATCCAACAGGAAGTCGGCCATTTTGAATTCCGTGTTATAATTTTCTTGGGTCATTTTCTGTGATTTTTCGCATTGTATTTGAACAAACACCTCCTATGGAATTTATCGGATAAACTTCAAAATTGGTCAGTACAGTCAAAAATGTTTGCTAATTAAAAGTTGTGCTATTTGTAACTGTACGTTGAAGGGCGTGTTGGTGGCGTGCCCTCAAAGTTGGCCAGGTTGAATCGAATGTCAAACTGTGATGCCATGTCCGGCATCCGGCTTCTTTGTTAACTAACTCCTCCTACCGATTTTATCGGATTGACTTCAAATTCGATCACTGCAATCCAGACACATTGGTGATCAATAGTTCAATCAAATATTTACTGTGTGTCAAATGGCGTGTCCGTGGCGTGGCGCTGAATTTCCACAGTTCGCAGTGAAGAGTTTTGCACGGTGTCTGAAACACGTCACAACATAGAGCGATCTCCCTTGGCGTTGCGTGGCTGCGACGGCCGACCACCGTGCAGGCCCAGACGTGAGTGGATGGTGAGGTCCCGCCCAACGCTGCTTGCAGCTTCAATTTTGTTTGTTAACTCAGTTTTCGACTGTGATACCAAGAGCTCTTGAACATCAGGGGAACAATGCCAGCTGATCTCTTTCCCACTTTTCTTCTCTCTCGCCCCAACTGGCCGAGGCAGACGACCACCCACCTAGAGCCGGGGTCTGTCAGGGGTTTCTGCCTCTTAAAAGGAAGTTTTTCCTTGCCATCGTTGCCAAGTGTTTGCTCATGGTGGGAACTGTTGGGTCTCTGTAAATAATGTTATAAGGAGTATGGTCTAGACCTGCTCTATTTGAAAAGTGTCCTGAGATAACTCCTGTTTGGTGCTATACAAATAAAATTGAATCGAATTGAATTGAAATTCCATTGAATTATTGGACATTGTGGTCAAAAGTGAAACGCAGGAGGAGAGGAAAAGGTGCCGGTGCGCTCATGCGTCTCCGCCAGCGCGGACATTGCACACCGTTACTGATGTTAATAATGTGACAGTGATCCGACCAGATACTGTGTGTGGAGCGGACTAACCCGGACTCTTTAGTTATTGTCCTTGGTGACTTTAACAAAGGAAACCTCATCCACAAACTCCCCAAATACAGACAGTTTATTAAATGCCCAACCAGAGAGGAGAAAACACTGGATCACCGTTACACTACAGTCAGCAGAGCTTATCCCGCCGTCCCCCATGCCGCAATGGACCTCTCTGATCACGTCATGGTCCGCCTGATTCCTACATACAGGCAGAAATTAAAGCTCGGTAAACCTGCTGTGAGGACATCAAAGCAGTGGACCAGTGAAGCTGTGGAGGATCTCCAGGCGTGTTTGGACTCTACTGACTGGGATGTTTTCAGGACTGCTACCAACAGTCTGGACGAGTACACAGAGGCTGTCACGTCATACATAAGCTTCTGTGAGGACTGCTGTATACCATCACGCACCAGGGTGAGTTATAACAATGACAAACCCTGGTTCACAGCCAAACTCAGTCAGTTACTGTTGCAGAAGGAACAAGTCGTTGATGGAGTGGGGACAGGGACAGGTTTAAGGACTCAAAGTACAAGTTAAGCAAGGCGGTGACTGTACGCTAAGAAACTCAAACATCAGTTCTCAGCCAACAACTCTGGTTCTGTCTGAAAAGGGCTCAGACAGATAACCAACTACAAACCTAAAACCCCATACTCCATCAACGACTTGCACCTAGCAAACGAGCTGAATGAGTTCTACTGTCGCTTCGACAAACAAAGGAACAGTCCTGACACTATCCTCCGTGACACCCCTCACCAGCCCCACCTCACAAGTTCCCCCTCCCCCAGCTCAGCAGGAGCAGAGGTGTGGAGTTGTGAAGTGGCCTCTGTCTCTCCATTCACCCTGAAGCACTGTGCTGACCAGCTGTCTCCGGTGTTTACTGACATCTTCAACACCTCACTGGAGACATGTCATGTGCCAGCCTGCTTCAAAGTATCCACCATCATCCCTGTCCCCAAAAAAACAACGTCCACAGGACTCAATGACTACAGACCTGTTGCCCTCACCTCTGTGGTCATGAAGTCCTTTGAGCGCCTTGTGCTTTCCCACCTCAAAGCCATTACGGACCCACTCCTGGACCCCCTGCAGTTCGCCTATAGAGAGAGAACAGGTCTGTAGACGATGCAGTAAACATGGCCCTGCACTTCACCCTCCAGCATCTGGACTCCCCAGAACCTATGCCAGGATCCTGTTTGTGGACTTTAGCTCTGCCTTCAATACAACCATCCCAGCTCTGTTACAGGACAAGCTCTCCCAGTTCACTGTGCCTGACTCCACCTGCAGATCACAGACTTCCTGTCTGACAGGAAACAGCAAAATAAAAATGTCTCTGTCTCTCAGACCATCAGCACCAGATCCCCCCCAAGGCGGCATTCTTTCTCCTCTGCTCTTCTCCCTGTACACCAACAGCTGCACCTCCAGTCACCAGTCCGTCAGGCTCCTGAAGTTCACGGATGACACCACCCTCATTGGGCTCATCTCTGGTGGAGATGAGTCCGCCTACAGATGGGAGATTGACCATCTGGTGACCTGGCCAGAACAACCTGGAGCTAAACGCTCTGAAAACAGTGGAGACGGTTGTGGACTTCAGAAAGAACCCAGCCCCACCCGCCCCCATCATCCTGTGTGACTCCACAGTTGACTCTGTGGAGTCCTTCCACTTCCTGCTTACCATCATTACCCAGGACCTCAAGTGGCAGCTGAACATCAGCTCTCTCACCAAGAAAGCCCAGCAGAGGATGTACTTCTTGCGGCAGCTGGGGAAGTTCAACCTGCCAAAGACGATGATGGTGCACTACACCACCATCATCGAGTCCATCCTCACCTCTTCCATCACCATCTTGTACACTGGCTCCACTGCCAAGGACAATGGCAGACTTCGGAGTATCGTTCGATCTGCTGAGAAGGTGATCGGCTGCAATCTGCCATCCTTCCAGGATCTGTATGCCTCTAGGACCCTGAGGCGTGCAGGCAAAATTGTGGCTGACCCCTCCTACCCTGAACACAAACTCTTTGAAACACTTCCCTCTGGCAGGAGGCTGCGGTCCATCAGGACCAAAACCTCACACCACAAGAACAGTTTATTTCCGTCTGCAGCTGGCCTCATTAACAAGGCCCGGAACCCCATTTGACACCGACTCTTATACCCACCCTGTTTCTATGCATTACATTAATGCGGCTGTGACGCAGAGGCAGAGCGGGTCGTTCCCTCATCGGAAGGTGGGTTCGATCCCCGGCTCCTGGTGCCACATGTCGAAGTTTCCTTGAGCAAGATACTGAACCCTGAATTGCTCCAGATGCTGTGCATCGGTGTGTGAATGTGTATGAATGCATTAGTTTCTGTTTGATGGGCTTTGCCATCGCTGTGTGAATGTGCGTGAAAGGGTGAATGTGGCACGTAGCGTAAAAGCACTTTGAGTGGTCGGAAGACTGGAAAGGTGCTATCCAAGTACAGGTCCATTTACCATTCCTGCACTCCCATTTTCTGATCTTTCTTATCTTTAATTATTTATATTTTAAAAGTACTCTATTCTTGTGTGATTTTGTGTGATTTGTATATTTTGTGCACCAATGCACCAAGACAAATTCCTCTTTTGTGTAAAAACTTACTTGGCAATAAACCTATTCTGATTCTGACACTGATTCTGAATTGTCTAAAACAAAACCCTGAGCTTCCTGGTGTCTTTCAGCATTTTCTCTCATTCACCTTTTCTCAGATCCCAGATCCAGCTGGGATAGTCAGTCCTCTACAGAATTCAAATATACTCTAAGCTTATGCGTTGGATGAGCACATTCCGTGTCTTTGTCTCACTCTTAGGAAAAATTGTGTTGCAGTGTTGTCTCAGCTGTCACACTGAAGTCTAAATACTCAGAGGCACTATTTAACTGTTCTTTGCTTTAAATCCATTGTTCCCCTTGTCCCAGGCCCTGATTGATAACAGATGTGTGAAGGGAGAGGCCTTTAATGTGAGCACCAGACAGAAACTGCAACACTAATACAGTTTATGCAGTCTTTAGTGAACGCTAATACAGTTTATGCAGTCTTTAGTGAACGCTAATACAGTTTCTGTGGTATAAAGGGAATCTGACGATTCTGAAGGCCTTCAAGAACCTTTAGGATGTCTTGCTGACACCTGCCTCCTCAGTTTATCTAAGATGCTGGGTCACTGTAAATAATGTAATAATTAGTTCTTTTAATAAAAATGACCTACTGCAGCATTAATTTTGGAAAGTACATTAGGAGTAATAAAACAATCTTGAACATTATTTCCACGTACAGTAAATTCCCTCCGACATTTAGAATTGTAAATAAGTACGGTCTAGACGGGCTATATATGAAAAGTGACCTGAGATAACTTGATGATTATATTATTGTTATGATTTGGCGCTATACAAAGCGGTCTTTAGTGAACGCTGAGGGGAAAAATTTTGGCAACGATTACCAGGCTTCTTCAGCCTAGTGTGCCAGGAAAGGTGAGCAGAAGCAAGCAACAAGCTGACGCTAGCAGCATCGTACTGTCTATCTGTTGCTTTCTGGAAACATTCACTGTCTTGGCCCAATCAACAACTCCCAGGTGAGATACGGGCTCAACCTGGATTGACAGCTCCATTCAGAACTTGTTATTGCCATCTAGCAAGAGTTGTTTAGTTAAGTCTTTTTCAAACTTCTGTAAAGTGTGGAAAAGGTAAAGGCATGTCGAGCTGGATTGCCCACAAACAAAGCAACTGACTTGGATCTTATTTCAGCCAGATTTCTGATGGATAGTGCCAGTGTGTTTTCTAGTGTAGATAGTCATATAGTAAATTTATCTATGAGTCAGGGTAAATTTCCCTGTGACGGAAGACAGCTAGGGTTGTTCCCCTTTTTTAAAAGAATTACAGGACAGTATCAGTAAAGAACAACCCTGTCGAAGGTTTTTGAAGGTCTTGTTTTAGAACAGGTCGAGGAGTACTTAGTAAAGAAAAAACTTTGAAAAAGGGAAATATGTTGGAATGATCTGACTGGCGAGAAGCTTTTGACACAGTAAATCATATTATACTGTTGTCAAAGCTACAATGCATGGGTTTTAAACATACTGCTGTAAAATGGTTCACTTCTAATCTTACTGGAAGAACTCAAGTCTGTGATGTTGATGGGGTTATATCATAACCTCTTAAAACTACATGTGAATTGCCCCAAGGTTTCATTTTTGGGCCTCTTTTATTACTTATGTATATAAATGACATGCCAGCAGCCCTTGACATGTAAGCATGTCACATTTTCTCTTGCGACATCTGTCCAGTAGTGATGGGAATTTATCCGATTTTATTAATACCAATGCTATTATCAATTCTGCCTACACAGGTCTTCAGCATCAATGCAACTGGTTAAAGCTGCAGTAGGTGAGTTCTATAAAAAAAAAGTCATATTCTCTGAAACTTTCACTATATCCTGACAGGAGTACATGAGACAGATAATCTGTGAAAAAAATCATCAAATCAGGTTCCTCTGGCTCTTCCTAGTGCTCCTAATGGCATTTGCAAGAATCCACCAGGCCTGAACGAAAACAACCAACCAGAGCCGAGGAAGACAAACATTACTTACCAAGAGCTCATAGTACCCTATTACCCCTCTAGAACACTGCGTGCTCTGAATGCTGGGCTACTTGTGGTTCCTATAGTCTCTAAAAGTAGAACAGGAGCCAGAGCCTTCAGTTACCAAGCTCCTCTCCTGTGGAACCAGCTTCCAGTTGTGGTTCGGGAGGCAGACACCCTCTCCACATTTAAGAGTATGCTGCTATAGGCCTAGACTGCCGGGGGATTTCCCATGATGCGCTGAGCTCCTCTCTTCCTCTCCCTCTCTTTCTGCACTCATTCATGTCAAACAATAACATCCCAGTTACAATGGATAATAGACCTGACTGCAATACTTCCTGTGATGTGGGGAACCCTTTTTTTTTATAAAAAGGTGAAAGCAGGATTATTGTTGCAATTAACCATAAAATCAAACAAAAATGTAATGTGACTCATGTTGATTTTACTTTTTCCTTATAACAAAGAATATGACAGTGATGACAAGACATACAGAGCATAAAAGATAAATATAAATCAAGGAAACCCCTTTGTACTGTTAACTGTAGGATACTATGTACTGCACACAAGAACAAAGGCATTATAGCATTCTGGGTAATGTTTCATAAAGCCTCACCTCCCTGCTGGGCAGCTGTGCTTGGGGCCAGAGAAAAACTGCTTCCTTTAGTTAAGGTAAAACTAGTCTTTACAATTACAAGCTCTGTGATGAGACAGTAAAAGGTCTGACTTCCCTTTCGCCAAATATCTCCATGCCCCACATGTTGTAACTTCAAGCTGGCAAGATTGTTAAAAGACAGACAGCAGCTGGAAGCCGCATTCTGCCAGTAAGATCTGAACACTGAAATTATGTAAAAAATGACATGAGAGTCGTTGTATGAGGTATCTAAACCTGGGAAATGTCACTCATGATCCAGTATCCTAGCAGTATCTATTGTATCCACGGTAACTTCAAAATCGCATCAGTTCAGGTTGGCAAATGTTTATACACGGTTTGATCCGGAGGCGCCATCTTCATCATCAGGAGGACAGGCGACAAAATCAGCCAACATGGATGCCATGGCATCGTCATCCAGCTGAGGGACAGACAGAGAAACAATTAGAAATGTGTCCGATGCTGAGGGAGGGAAAATCTATTCAGTCTGACAGGTGCTTCAAAATGTGGGATTATCTTGTATATTGTCTATGTATAGTTTTCTGATCTGATAGTGTTAATTATACAATGGCTTAAAAAAAATCTCAGGGGCAAGAAAGCTACTTGATTGTTGAGTCTCATTCCCGGGGGAGTCAAATACAGACACTGGGAATGAGACTCAACAATGCACTATCTTCAAGCCTCCAGCCCAAAGTGTCTTTATATGACTCTGATTGGTTGTTTTTGTTCAGGCCCGGTGGATTCTTGCAAATACCATTAGGAGCACTAGGAGGAGCCAGAGGAACCTGATACTGGGATTTTTTCACAGATTATCCATCTCATGTTCTACTGTCAGGATATAGTGACAGCTTCAGAAAATACAACAGAGTTATTTTTACAAAAAGGTTACCACCTGCAGCTTTATTTTTATTTTTTTTACCTTTTTCTTCTCTGTGCTTTGCCCTGCCTCTTCTTCCTCCTGCCGTTGCACCTCCTCCCTCTTCCTTTTCACTCCTTTTCCCTCTTCTCCATCACTCTCTCCTCCTCCTTCCGTCTGCTGCTGCTTTGGTTGTATTTTCTCTCCTTTCTCAGCATCTGTCTCCTCTTGCTGTTTTGTATTTTGGCCCGTACAGGTTTCAGGATCTGCTACTGCAATTTCTCCTTCTTGTACAGCCGCTAGCTGCTCCTCCTGATGGGTGGGCGGCTGCGTTTCACTCACGCTGGCTTCCTGTGTGGGTTCAGCTCCTGACTCCTGTTGAGTTGAAACATTGTAACAATGACTGCTTTATTTATCTGCTATTGGTGGGACATAAACATGGATAATGTAGGAGGACAGAGAAATACTCAGCACCCTGTTATATAAAGAAACATCCCTGACATTGAGACAGTTGGGACCCATCTCTTCAAAAAACAGGCCTACAAATGTGATGAATGCATGTTTTTTTCCCTCACAAAACATTTGAAAAAGTGATTCTTTTTTTAATATTTAGAAAATTGTTGTTTCATCCTAATTTACATCTAGCAGTCTTCTGCCCTGAGCTTTTTTTCAGGCATGTCTACCTTTTAGAGATTTCCGTGGAAAAGTTTTGATTGTAAGATTCACCACGATGCAGAAGATTCTGCATCCATGCAGTGACAGAACGTGACTGAACTGAATACAGAAACAGTTAAGCTGTACATACTTATTGCTGAAGTAGGATAGGTAGAGGCTTTATTATGAAGCCAAAGCATTATTTAAACAAGTAACAGTCTGCAGAGATCTAGAGGAATCAGTAGCTGGCTGTATATCCTGGTATGTGTTTAATACTAACTAAGGGTTTCATTTAAGATTCTAAAGTTTAAATCTGTCAGGTGCAGGTCTGTTCCTGCTGAACTCAACCCCAGATTCAGTAACAATCCAGGGTCTCTCTCAGAACGTAAACCACCTCAGTCACTGCTAATACAGAGGCCATCTGTTTGCCTCTGCATTCTTCGGACAGTGGTGGAAGCAGGACTGTGAGGAATGTGGAGAAAAGAATGATGTGTTTGGATTTCTGCCCAGTGTCAACATAAGACTCAATACATCTGCTCTGAATGCTTTATAGAACAGCACTGACATCTCTACAGGAATGGGCCTCAATTACAAAGATAACTTTTACTGTGGTAACAGTGTGAGTTCCATTAAATCCATCACAGATACCTGTATCTTATTCAGATAACCTTCTGCTCACCTACCATTGTTTCCCCTCTTTCCCTCATACCATCCCTTGTTCTGTTTCTCTTTCTTCCATTCTTTCCCAATAAGTCTACTTCCTAAACAGAATTTAGCTAAAGAAACCTCGACCCCCTTTAGTACACTTTTTTTTTTTGCCTTTCAGCTTACACAATTCAAAGGGCTTCGTCTGGTGCACTTAAGCTTTCTTCATTGTTAAAACTTATGAACATTTCACCTGCGTTCTTTGCTTGGCTTTCACCTGACTCACTGATTACAGTTTAAAAAGGGACAGTTCACCTCAAAAATCTTTAGTTTAATTTAGTCTAATCTTTAGTGCCATTTATCCATCTAGATTGTTTAGGAAATATTCATTTGACATGTACTTTGATCTTTTAGTTTGTCCCATCTGCTAACATGGAGCCAGCAGGCTTTATGACAAATACTGCAGTCAGCCACCAGGGGCGATCAAGATGTTTTGGCTTCCCTTTTGGACAGCCGTCATACAGGCAAGATCAGCTCTCTAGTCATCACAGGCAGTGTGGCTGCTCAAACCTGTTAACATGGCTGCGGGCGTGACGCACAAGCTGTAGTAGTAGTTAAGCTAATTCAACTCTTCTCATTTCTATCATCCTGCGCTCGTTTTTTAAGTTATCAAAGATGAGATTTAAATGGAGGTAACTACCTTCTGATTCTTATTGGTTATGCATTCTTCTGATGCGGCTATCGGTTCAGTCTCATTGGCTCCTTGCTCCCACAAGCTTGACTCCTCCTCCAGCCCGCCTCCATCTCCTCTTCCTGCTTCCGCCCCCTCCTCCTCTTCCTCCTCCTCCTCCTCAGCCTCCTCTCTCTCCTCCAGTGCTCCTCCGGTGACACACAGGATCTGTGGCATGGTGGGGTCGTCCATCCTTTCACTTTCATCCTCTTCTCCCACTCCCTCCACCGCCCCTTCCCTTGCCTCCTCCAGGACTCCAATGCTCTCCACCTCCTGTACCTTCATCCTGTCCTCTCCGAACAGTGTTCTGTTGGTCTGGATCTCCTCTATCCCTCCTTCTGCTTCTCCCTCCACACTGAAACCACCCATCCCTCCTTCGTCCACCACTGCTCGGAGCATCTTCCCCTCCTCTATCCCTACCTCCCCAGCCTTGTCCTCTGCTCCCTCCAGTGGAGGTATATCCCCATCGTCCTCCTCCTCCTCCTCTTCCTCCAGCTCTTCCCCCTCTTCTTCATCATAATCCTCATATTCCTCCCCATCATAAAACTCTTCCTCGGCAAAATCACTCACTTCCTCCTCCTCCTCATCCTCCTCATCCATCCCTTCTTCATCCTCTTCAAGCTCCTCATCATCCTCCATGTCCTCCTCTTCTTCCTCCTCGTCATCAGTGCTGTTGATGTTGATGACGCCGGAGTCTTCGTTGCTACCGGGTGGCGGTTGGTGCTGGTGGAGGTGCCGTCCCTGCTGGCTCAGCTGGTTCTGCAGCTGGTGCATCTGGAGTGGTAGACCCATGGGGCCGGGCTGGCCTGGCGTGGCAGGCTGCATCAGCATCTGCTGGAGCTGGGGCCTGCCAGACAACGAGTCCCCCAGACCAGGAGGGGCTGTGAGTGCGTTGGAGTTCAAAGGTGGAACCAGAGAGACCACCGAGGGGCCGGAAGGAGGGAAGGAGTTGATAGGGGCAGTGGAGGTAGTGAGAAGGGGGGAGGAGGTGGCAAGGTCGTTGGGGAGCGAGACCGCATCCATTGTTGTTGTTGCTGCTGTGGTGGGAACCATGGTGACAGATTCTGCTCCTCCTGGTAGTGAGACCGGAGCGCTTCCTGGTGCAGCAGAGGCCATGGTCTGAGAGTTTGCCACTGCCGACTCGTCTTGCTGGTTCTCGAAGTTAAGCATCCCCGGAGGAACGATGACCACACTGTCATCGGAGTCGCTGGCCAGAGAGATCTCCACATCCTCTGCCTCCTCCCTGTCGTAGCGCACAAATACGGGTCTCTGCCCCTCTGGGGGGCCCAGCCCAGTGGGGTCCTGCTGGTGGTGTGCATGCGGGGACAGGATCATGTCTCCTGGGGTGGGGGCTGGGCCCTGCAGTCCGGGAACCAGGGAGAGATGGTTCTCTAGAGAACCCAGCAGGGAAGTGGGGCCCAGGCCAAGGGAGTGGCGAGTAGGAAAAGGAGGACCAGGGGCAGGACCTAGGAGGGTTGGGAGAGTGAGTCCGGGGGTAGTTCCCTGGGAGGAGGGCAGAACTGGGGCGGTGGGGGTAGTTTTCAGGGTGAGGGGTGGCAAGGGGAGGGCAATGGAGGGAGTGCGAGGGTGAAGGAGGGAGTTACAGATGGTCAGAGCCTCACTACAGAATGTAGAGACCTGAGAGGGGGGAGAGACAAGCACAGAGAGTCATTAAAACTGACTGACTGATCGCTAAATACTCTCTCTCTCAGAGAGAGTTAACAACAGAATTTCTCCTTCATGTATTCAATTCACCTATGGTTACCCGCAGTTTAATATGTCTTTTGTACCCATTTAGGCCACATTCTAAAATGAGTACAATCTATCAGACAAATGCTGGTAACATATGGCAAAAAAACGGCAATATATGAATATTCACTAACCATTTGGCCAGTGGACAGAAAAGTTAATTTTGCATCTTGGATGAACAACAAACCCTCCCTTTACTTCAAGGAGACCACTGTGAAGACTCAGTAGGGATGCAAATGGTGGGGGAAAAATGTAAAACTGTCTCAGCCTTTAATCCCACTCTCTTTAAGAAATCATTTTCCAGGACATTATCCTGGAGTTTTTCTTAACAATTCAGGATAGCACTTGCCCACAAACTGATATAATTTAGAAGTAGGCCTAGCTTTGACTTTAACTCCAGTTTTAGGCTTCATTTTTTAACAACAAAGTGTCTCAGGTTCATTATGACGGCAAAAAGATGGCTCCAAGCACACATTGAAATCGCACCAAGTCCGTTGCACTCCGCAACAGCTGTGAACAGCTAGACTGACATGGCCGAAGAAGAAAAGGGAGCTTTTAAAAGTGGTTCTCTGTTCAGCCTCAAGTCTGGTTAACCCACTGTGAAGTGTCATACCTACCAAGTGGGGAGTTTCAAACAAAATATGCAACCAGGTTTATGTAGGTGATCTGAGGGGCTAAAATACAATAAACATTTTCCACGACAACCTAGATTATTTCCAGGATTTTTAAATCACTTACCAGGTTTTTCCATGACTGGAAAATAAGTTTTCAGATTTTCTAGGACATGTCGGAACCTTGTTTATGGTTATGGCACACACCACATGACTGCACCTTCAGTTTTCACTGCATTGTTACATGTCATACCCCTCTCTATCGCCCCATGTTTCCTATCTCTCTCTACTGCTGACAAATAAAAGCTAGCTGCTGAGATACACTGCTGCTATGTTCTCCACAGAATAGTATATTATCCTCTGTCCTCTATAGGATATGATGGTCTTCATACGAGCTAGCTAAATTATGCTCTGCGTCTGTTAAACAAGGCTGCTGCAGCTCTCCGCTTAAAAACTCATTCTGGAGCATCAGATGTTCCACTCGCCACTTGCTCTCTGCTGCAACCCAGTGGTTGGTGATCAGCAACATTCAGATATAGAGCAAACTGCGTTTGTACAATTTATCTCAACTTTGTCTATGGACAAAGATTTTCCCAGACTGAAATGCATGAATTTAGACATCATAGAACATTTTTAATCAGAATTTTGTTACAGATTTAAGCTGCAGTAGGTAACTTATATAAAAATATTTTTTTCATATTTGCTGAAACTTTCACTATATCCTGACAGTAGTACATGAGACAGATAATTTGTGATCTGTAATCTGGCTCGTGATCCTAATGACGTTTGCGAGAATTCAAACAATCAACCGGAGCTGTGTGGGGAATGGTGGGACGGTGCCATGGTGATGAAAATTTCAACTGATGTGTTCTACAAACTGGCAAACACTTGTAGCACTCAGCAGTCTCTCTCCCACACTCCCCATCAGAATCAACAGTCACCTTGAGGTTACGGTCGGTGCGTCCGTTGCTGAGGATGGACACAGCACAGGTCATAGGCGGAGGCCAACAGGGTGATGGGACCAGGACCAGAGCCAGTAATAACCTAAAAATACACATGAACAAAACACTAATAAGGACACATCTACGCTGCCAACAGTCTTCATTTTTCTCAAACTCTTAACCCTTTAAGCGCCAAAGTCACAGAAAAAAAAACAAAAATCATAAAAAACGCCTACTGTTTACATGAGTTTTGTGGTGTAGTAGTAGTTCTAGTTTACGACTGTTGGCTTACAATTTACTTTTTCCCTGTTTATTTGATATGTGGACAACATCACAAATGAATGGAGGGGGGTGAATCTGATGAAATAAGTTCAACTCTCTTTCAAAATATCAGGTATTTCATGGAAATTACATAATCCAATATGGCTGCTGCCATATGAGGTCAGAATATGCAAATTAGATGGGGAAATTTACTCCCTAGATAAACTTTAGGTCATTCTCAATATTTGTCTCATTTACACTTTGTCTCTATCTCAAACCACTTTCAAGCCAGAGCCTTCTGAAATTTAGATGTCAAAATCTAGTATTTTTAAAAATAAAACCCGGCGCCTAAAGGGTTAAAACATTTATTTTGAATTTAAAGTAATAACCAAAAATTTATCTTGGAGGTGAATGAAGGTGGTACCTGTACAGCTCTCGTCGGGTGAGGGCGCTGCTGTACTGCCCACTGGTGCCCCCTGCAGACTCACATGAAGTGCTGCTGCTGGACTGTTGCTGCTGGAGCCGCACACACAGCGGCAGCACCACGTCATGGAGACGCTGTGAGAAAAACAAATGGAAAACCACACGCTGACTAAAAGAGAATGAGGTGTCCATTCTGCAACAGAATCAGCAGTTATGTGCTGGAGAGAGAACGTACCAATTTTTTCCCTCAGGGTGGTGAAGTCATGACCTGCCTTTATCTGCCTCTGACTGGCTACTTCTTGTTGCCTTCACTGGTTTGATTGGTTCAGTTTAGGCATGAGGAGTGAGACTGGTTAAGGTAAGAATGATAGGGCAAGCCAATAAGAGGCAGAGTAGGAGAGGTCATGACTTCTCCACATCCTTAGAAAAACAAACTGGTGTCCTGTACTGAGATATGCGTGATATAGATGTGCTAGGCTCGTCTATGCTGAAAAGAGCACCAGATTTTGAAGATTTAAAAAAAAAAAAAAAATAAATACTTGGGACTACATACGTCTAAACCATCTTCAAAATGTGGTTGTCTTTTCAACATAAACTAGCCTAGGACATAGTATATCTGTTCTGACTGAGGCTTGCAAAACTGTTATTGGAGCAGAGAGCAAAAAGGGGCAGGATTTCAGAAGGGTCAGTTCTGCTCTCGGCCTTGCATTCAGATATTGATCTGTTTAGTTGCATTACCATGCAATTAAAATGTAACAATGACATTTACCTTGTGTATATCATCCTTCAGCAGTGTACCACTGCTCAGTATGATTTGTCGCAGTGCTGTGAAGAAGAAGAAAAAATCAGTCAGATTAGACCAGATTTACAAATATCACAAGCCTATTATATGATGTAATTACCCCTGAGGGCTGAAAGGCAAGTATCCTGATTGGCCAGAAGGTCTCCTTTCCTCTGGAGTGATGGTCCAACTGAGTCCGCTATAACTAATGGTTTTGTCCGCCGCGGGCCAGGCTTCCCTCCAGGAACCACATCTGCTGACAGACCAACCCGGAGCTAGAGGACGAGACACAGAGGGACAGAGGTGGAGCTTGAGACAATACTTAAATGCCGCTGCACCGACATAACAGTAGATATCTAAGCTAAGCAACTCTATAAAACTAGGAATTTTTTTAAATGTAAAATACACGAAATGCTACACAAATGCTAAAGACATTGAAACTGAACTAACCTTGACAGACTCCGCCCCTGGTGTGATGTCACCGAGCAGGTGGCTGAACAGGAGCTCTGAGTGACCAGGGCTTCCCTGCAGTATGCTAGCAGAGGCTCCAGCCACCTGCCCCCACAGCTCTAAGGTTCTGTACACTGACACCCGCAGTGCACTGTGGGGTGAGGGAGAGACAAAGACAAATGGTTCAGCTAACATTACCACATTATCCACAGGTGCTAAACAAACCCCCTTCTTCCTGTACTAATATAAGCTAGGTCATTTAGATTAAGGGCCTGTCCTCACGAATACGTTTTTCTCGAATCCGGATAAATACTTTATCGTATCGGCCTCGCGTCCAGACAGATATGGCGTTTTTCAGGGTGTGAAAACGGTATTTTTGGGAAACAGGTCCCAGAGAGGGAAAATCCGAAAACGCCGGATTGCCCGGAGTCATCTGGACGGTGAAAACGGATTAGCCCCGCCTCTCTAGCCTTTAACCTCAGCCGCCGCCGCTAGACGCGTCATAACAACAACAACAATGGTGGACTACTACTACTTGTTTGTAAACAGCGCATGCTCCATGACTTCTCTTCCGGTTTTAGTGTATTGGTGTGGCGGCGTCACAGCACCACATACAGGCCTGGCATATGTACTACAGCGTTTTGGGTCGTTTCAGTGAATCCGTGTGGACGCAGATATTTCTGGAAACGATGCCGTGTTTATGGAGATTTTTTTCTAAACATCGTATTGGGTGAGGCGTTGTGTGGACAGGCCCTAAAGTTGTTTGAATTGTAAAACAACAAAAGATTTTTAGCCTTCCAGACCTCAGCCCCTTAAAGCTGCAGTCAGTAACTTTTTTTTTCCAAGTATTTTTGGGGCTTTTATTGCCTTTATGACAGTGACAGCTGAAGACAGACAGGAAAGGGGGGCAGAGAGAGGGGATGGTCGGATTTGAACCCTGGGCCGCTGCAGCAAGGACTCAGCCTCAGTACATAGGTCGCCAGTCCATTAAGACGCTCCAATTAATTCAGAACGCTGCAGCATGAGTACTGACAGGAACTAGAAAAAGAGACCACATCTCTCCTGTACTAGCTTCTCTGCACTGGCTCCCTGTAAAATGTAGAAAAGAATCTCTCTAACCCTAACTGTAACCCACCTATAGTCGGGGTCTGTCTGAGGTTTCTGAATTGAAAAATTGTGTGGCTTCAGTAGGATCTTTGCAAACACAACGGCAGACCCACCAGCAATGAAAAAAAATGCCTATCCCTCCTCTCTACTTCACTTATCTTCTCTACAGCTTTGGTATAATCAGTTACCTGTAGGCTCTCTGCTGTCCCAGACTAGCTTCAGGTAGAGGCATCCAGGTGGACAGGGTTTGAGAAAACAGTCTCTGTAGTACAGCAGCGTACTGAACCATGCCGGTGCGTACACTGTAACACACACAGCACCACATTACCATAAACACAATGTTCAAACTGTTATATCACGTAGTTGCTGGTATCTTCAGAATTATTACACTATTGCATATACACTCTATGTCCATGGACTGAAAACCAATCTGTGTGTGTGTCTGTGTGTGTGTGTGTGTGTGTGTGTGTGTGTGTGACTCACGCTGTGATAAGAGCTGATAAGACCTCCAGTGTGTTGGTGTGTATGATGGGCAAGACCAGCAACCTCACACTTCCATCTCCTGCTAAATTCTGACACAGACACACACAGTCAACTAAAAACATTGATTATGATCAACACTGTTTGTTTGCACGTGTATTCAAATTGGCAGATTTGCCTTCTCTAAACATCTGTATGTCCCCCAATGAGATTTTACAAAAGGACAAGCTGTACAATCTCCCATAGGCAAGTGATGGTTTAAGTTCAGTTGTTCATTAGTGCTTTCATTAGAGTGTTAGTATACACGTGTGTGTGTGTATGAATGCTCACTATGCTCTTGGAGCTAACAGCGAGGGCTCGGCACACCAGGTTGAGTATTGGTCTGACGGGCAGACGGACAGCTGAGGCTGGATCCACCCTGTAGGACAGTGTACAGAGGCAGTGTGAATAAATACGAGTACAATAATGTAACTGAAACGGTCTTCTGAAAAAACCGATCACTGCTGGATTTGATTTAGATCCTTACATGCTGCAAAGAGGGGAAGGCCATTAAAGCTGAAGTAGGTAACTTTTATAAGAATCACTTTTTGTCATATTTGCTGAAACCTTCACTATATCCTGACAGTAGTACATGAGACAGATAGTCTGTGAAAAAATCCGGTGATCAGGTTCCTCCTAGTGCTCTTAATGGTATTTGCAAGAATCCAGCAGACAACCACTCAGAGCCGAGAAATATGTAAAGACATTTTGGGTTGGTGGCTTGAAGACAGTTGACGGCTGAGTCTAATTCCCAGCATCGATATATGACGAACTGGGAATGAGACTAATGGTGCTATCCATTTGTCTCGTAAATCCCCCGCCCGAGTTGGGAAGTGTAAATCTCGCAGCTATCTCGCAACACACTGAGACACACCCCCTTTTGGTCATAATATCAACCGTCCCACTCGGGGCTCTTCAGAGTACACCGAGCTGAAAGACGTACGACTTGCAAAACAAAGATGCGCCCATATTGAGATGTATTTTCTTTGTATTTGTACTACATTGGTCGTTTTAATGTCGATTTCAAATGCTCCTACACACTTGTTTACATTGTTGCTTTAGTCTGGTCACCAATTTATGCATTGCACAGTGGTTTGCTAAATAGGCTAATGTAGCTAACAATAACACTAGCCTGCCACTGCCACTGGTGGCTCGAGAAAAATGCCACAGCACTTGTTGAAATTGAAATAGGCGAAAATGGCAAAATATTATTGAAATGTAAGACTTGCAATAAGCAGTAATAAGAAAGCTGCTGCACTGGTGGCATGTTCTTTCCGACTCGTCGTGGTACAAGCCAGGCAATTACGTCACATTCTCGCGTCAGAGCAACTCGGGCAGGGGATTTACGAGACAAATGGATAGCACCATAAGCAATCAACTGTTTTTCCACCATTTGCGGGAATTTCTATTCATTTAAAAGACCCCCTCCAGACATGTAGGAAGACATTTCTATACAAATAGTCTGCTTGGGACAATAATGTGTCCGATATATGATATCTGAATTTCCAAACTAAAATCCTTAAAAAGTCATCTACTCTTTCTTGTCAATTAAAAATTCCAGAAACTATGAATATGCAAATGTTGTTCATTTCTAAAGAGGAGATGTCTCCTACTTTGCTGTATGTGCACTGGTGGCTTCAAGTTTCTACACACTGTAAGAAGTTGCATACTGGACCAGGAAACACCACAAAAGGTGAACTAAACCTTTAGACGGAGGATTTTGTGCGTGAGTACTGAGTGTGTGTCTCTCGTACCTGAGTGTGTGTTTGAGTGCCAGGCAGACAGCTGTGTATCTGTGCTGGAGCTGTAGCAGCAGCAAGGGATCTGATTGGTCAAGATGAGGAAAGGCCAGCTCCACCCCTGGACCTTCATATTGCACTGTTCCATCTTTAGCAGCAAACAACATGAGCTTTTTAGCAAACTGCATCATCAGAGTACAATACACATGCAGCATACATGTTGAGGTGTTACAACAAGGATTCAGACAGCATCCTCAGCAAGTAAAGCAGGCAAATGTTTTCCATACATCTATTGGCTGCTTTGTCTGCATGTCAGGTGTATAAATAAGCAGATCTATCGCCTTTGTAGCCACTATGACTGCTCTCCATGACAAAAGGAATTCGGTTACAAAAGGGGATACATCTAAAGCTGCAGTAGGTAACTTTTATGATATATTTCTTTTAAATCTAATTATAGGAAAACCTGTCACTAGACCCAAGAGGACTAAAATTAAGCTCTTATGAAAGACTATGTTATAAACTGATAGATAGACAAGATATCTTCATGAAAATTTGGGGCCCTTATGTTATGGTAACGTGATGTGCTGAAGAGTTGCACCCGTTCCTACAATGATATGTCATGTTTTTTTGGTGTTTTTTTTTAATGATCACTCAGTGATGGCAAAGCCCATCAAACGGAAACCAACTCATTCATACACATTCACACAACGATGCACAGCATCGGGAGCAATTTGGGGTTCAGTATCTTGCTCAAGGATACTTCAATCCGATTAGTGGATGACGCGCTCTGCCTCTGAGCCACAGCTGCCCGTTACATTGCATATACTTTTAGTACATACAGGTTACTACATATAACACTCTGTCTCTGTTATAATCCCCTGTCCTTGTTTCTGTCTTGTTTTAGTTGTAATATTTTGATGCATGACTTACACCTTACTGGCTAGGCTTGCATGTATGTTTTCCTTTTGTAAAACCAATAAAAAAGAAAACTACAAAAAAAAAAGAGAGAAGTGTACCTGCTTCAGATCCCTGATAGATCTGAGCCAGTAGGTCATTGGCTGAGGCCAGTAGGCAGTGAATCTGATTGGTCCAGCCTTCAGCTCTGCCAGCACCCACTCCTCTGTCCAACAGGCCCCCCAGGCAGGGCAGGCGGCCGTAACACTGACAGGCCATCTGAGAAAATGATAATGAAACAGAGTGAGATTAGAAATAGCTTTGGATCTTCTGCTTCACTGAACTGTGCTCTATATAAAGCTAGACCAGCGTAAAAAAGAGAAAGAGAGACAAGAATAAAAATGATTTATCAAGACATATAATGAAAGCCAAACATTCACCTCAGTGAGAATCACTAACCTCTTGTGTTTTCTTGTTTGTACTGTCCATTTTGGAGAGGAAATAAGCCCCCAGTTTGTCCTAAAAGAAAAAGAGACGGCTGAGGTTTTTCACTTTGTTTCCCTCAAACAACTGAAGTGAAATACATAAAGTTAACTAAAAGTTATTTATAACTAATATACGCCAAAGTTTCTATATTGAGAAACAACTCTTCCACTCCTGTCCATCAGTGTGTCTTACCCTGAGGGATCCACAGGCTCTGGGGTAGTAGGTCATACAGGCCGTCATCCCCTCCATGGCTGCCAGTTCACACTGAGATCACAGGAGAAACAATGTAGCAAAGGCTTCAACTGGTCACTATCATTCTGTGTGTATCACAGTGTTTCCTCTATGTTGATTTTGGAGCGGCAACCCACCGCTAGGGCTGGGCGATAAAACGATAACGATATCTATCGCGATAGACACGTCATCAATATCAATAGATAATACGTTCGATAGAATGTTCGATAATTTCACTTGAACTCCGTTAGAGAAAAATAGGAAGAAAACCCCGAGCCAGAACCGCAAGTCATTCTGGGGGATGTAGGCAGAGGAAGGGCTTTAGCCTCTCGACCTATCACGGCCCAGCTAGGCCAGGTTGGTGGCATCAACAACAACAAAAAAAGAACGGCGTGGAGTGAAAGGAGAATATGAGTGCGACAGCGCGAGAGGAAATTGTAGATAAAAAAGGAAAGGTCACGTCACCAGTTTGGCAATATTTTGGTTATTTTTAAGTCAGACCGATGTTGTCTACAATCTTTGCAAGGTCGTTGTCCCTGCCAAGTCTGGCAACACGACAAATTTATTTTATCACCACAGCCACTCTCATCCGCTGGAGTACAGCAGCCTCAAAGAGCCACAGCCACAGCCATCGACATCTGCCGGTACAAGTGGAACAACACACAAGTGGCAACAGACCACCATTGAGAGGTACACGGCAGCAGTGCCATACGACAAAACATCAAAGCGATATAAAGAAATAACGGATGCAGTGGCGTATCATTTAGCGAAGGACATGCTCCCGCTCAGCACAGTTGAGAAGTCTGGGTACAAGAATCTTATTCACGTGCTTGACCCCTGTTACATTCTACCAGGCCGAAAGCACTTTTTCAAGACGGCTATTCCTAAGCTTTACATGAAACAGTTTTCCTTGCAGTGAAACCATGTTGTTTTTGAGTTATTTTTATAATTTTATGCTGGTTTGATATTACTGTTTGTTACATGTCAAAGATGTTAGTTCTACCTCAGATGTACACTAATTTTTCATTTACAAAATACTTTGCACATTTTGTTGGCTTAAGTATTTATTTAATGTTTATATTTGCACATTGACCAGTATGTTTATTTATTTGACAGTTTTTCATAGTTGTGTTGACCTCTTTATAAAGGTTAAAGGTTACGTTTAAAATAAAAGTATTTAAACTCAGCCTTTTTTTCTCCTGGTCCTCACTTAGAATAGGTTAAAAAAACGAATCGATAATTATCGATATCGACTGATATGAAACACTTATATCGTGATACATTTTTCAGCCATGTCGCCCAGCCCTACCCACCGCTATTAAATTTCTGCTGCCACGGTATCAGAAATGGGGCAGACGCACAATGTAGTCACGGTTGCCTTTTAAATGATCCTGCCGACATAATGCACCCCCGTTGGCTGCCGCTCACATTGCAATTTAACAACAAGTAGAACTATTCAGAGGTTATTGGGGCTGTCCAGTTTAACTCCACATACTGTTGTGTTGATGTAGCTTAATGTCAAAACGTTCGCTTTCTTCCAAGTCAACTATTAAACTAACAGCTCCACCAAAAACGTCACCGCGGTGGGTCCGTTTTAATTGGACAACGTTCAACTTGTCAGTTCTCAGCTCAACGTCCTGATATCAAACATCTGGAAACATTAAAACAGTAAATATATTTGTTTGTGTCGCAGCGAAGTATCAGTTCTGTTTCATACGTAAAACGTTTGCCGGCGTGACGGGACGGGACGGGGGTGTTCGGACAGACCTGCCCCCACTGCTAAAAACAATCCTAGAGGAAACACTGGTATCACATTGTCAATTTGAATTGAATTTGTCATAAACAGTGTTATACAAATTTTATAAAGTTCCCCCTCTTTCAACAACTCTCAAAACTGTGCAATTTTTTAAGAGAATCTGGGGATATTGCGGTTTATAGTTCAGTGGGGAAATCAGTTGAAACCTGCTGCTTATCTGGGCAGGTAAGAGAGCCCAGACACATCATCTGCATTACAGTGAACCAAATACAAAGCAGCATGGTGGCTGCACCAGTTTTCACCATGTGCCTTATTTTTTTTTTAACAAATAAAACTAAAATAAGTAGTTGATAACTAATCCATTCTTTTAGTACTAGATAATAACAAGGATGTCTTGTGTTGTAGATACATAGTCTTTGTATGAATCTCAAAACAGAACTTCATACGGCTGGTTTGGTCAAAATTTAAAAACCCACATATGGCTTAGGATATCTGCTCCGTGTGAAGCTGAAGAGAGCGACTGAAACTGCTGATTTTATCATCTATGTTGGTGAATTAAGGATTTATTTCAACCAAACGAGAGCTGGTGATTGTTGGAACAGTGGAAAGACTAACAAATACTGTTTTATTTTGTTTCTGTCCACTTTCAATGAAGTTGTGATGTTACAATGATCTGCGAGGTAAAATTACTGTTTTTGTCTATGGAGTCTGGTGGAGAGTGATATTACAGCTGTTTCTCTGTAGGGATCCTTTCCATAACGTTGTCAGACAGAATAACAGTCGGAGTCTGTCAGTGGCAAAAACAACAACTTTAAGGTGATTCATTTCAACAGACATATGTGTCTCCAAGGATCATCTAACTCAGTCAATGAAGGGTTTACTTTGACCAAACAAGAGTTGGTGATTGTTGGAATGACTGTGGAAAGTTATTGGTGAGTCTGAAGCGTGTTTTATGATTATCTGCTCGTTAAAATGATTGGTTTTGTCAATGGAGTGTGGTGGGCTGTAGGTCCCATTGTTTTGGTCTGAGATGCTGGTGCTCTAGTGCAATCTGCCCTGTGCCCTCACCTCTGTCTTCAGGCCCAGCAGAGATGTAAGGATGCCAAGGATGGAGTTCAGGCCGACCTCCCTGGCCAGCTCTGCTAGCTGGGATGAGTACTGCAGCACGTCCTTCAGAATGTTCACTGCTAGCTGGATGGTCTGAATTGGAGCCTGAGACTACAGGATGGCACACAGAGGGGGAGAGAAATCAGAAAAGGTGGTGTTGTGTAGATTCTTAGGTTTCCAGTTAGTCACAGTTCACAGAGGAGGCAGACTGACAGTGTTACATGTATGTATCTTACCTGTATAACCTGCTGCAGGGAGCGCAGCCAGGACAGGCAGTGCTGTTGGAACAGATCACTGGAGCTGTCCTTAACCAGCATGGAAAGCAGACAGAGCCCCTCAAACCTGTGTCACACACACACACACACACACACACACACACACACACACACCAGATAGAGATTTTGTATTGATACTACCACTTAAACCTTCTCCTAATTAGTCACAATTTGGAGTTACCCTCCAAACACAGAGCTACCATACATTTGTGTCATATGTCATTACTTTGATCTGGTTTGAAAACTAGACCAACGTCTAACCTTTGAATGTTCAAAGATGTCAAAATGTAAATGCTATTGTCATTTCTTTCTTCCCAACTACAAAAATATTTATCTAAAATGTGTAAAATTAGAAAGACAGACTAAAGACATATGGTCACCTCCAGGGCAGCAACTAATGATTATTTTTTCAATGACTTGTTTGGTCCATAAAATGCCTTTCCAAAAACCCAAGGTGACGTCCTAAAATATCTTTTTGTCCACAACTCAAACATATTCAGCTTACGGTCAGAGAGGACTAAAGAAACTGTGCGATATGGGATTTTGTGACAAATTGCAATGATGTGACCAATCAAAAATGTTTTCTTACATCTGAAGAACAACATTTGTAAACCAGAGCATCTCTGCAGCACTACAATACAATGCGGTTTGTCACATTTTACCTTTATCAAGAAACTGCAGCTTCTGCTATTTGGGTATTGCACTTGCACCATTTTCAATAATATTGTAAGTAACTGTGCAGCCCTAAATCTGTTGATGATGAGAAATGATTAGAAATATGAGTTGTGATATCAAGGCACAATGACTTCAGTTTCATGATTACAACAAATATGCATTGTTGCACAGTTTATACCCTACCTCAGAACAATACAATAACATTACCGTTGGTGTTAGAAGTTTAACGGTAACTTGACATTGACAGATGACAACTATTCATTGCCTCACCTGGTCTTGCTCGAGGCCAGTTTGGCGTTGCTAAAACCCACGAGACCACCGACGGCGCTCGCGCCCTGCACACAGGAACAAACGTGTTAGCGACGGCAGAACATATTAAACAACAACAACAACAGCAGCAGCAGCAGCCCCGGTCCCGGTCCCGGTCCCACTGTATCTCCACATATATACAGCTCAGTGAACAACAAAGCGTGTAGCAGCTGCGGCACAGCGGCAGCAGGCACAACAGGTAACTAGCATCCGAGCTAACGCGCCCCTCCGGGCCGGACTCTACCTGTGTCGGGAACACTCCATGTTCTCTGTAGTTGGCCAACAGAGCTGGTAAATACTCTGGACGCTGCTCTTTCAGAACCGACACCAAACCCTCCGTTAGTCGCATAGCAGATGGGCCACGCAGCCATGCCGATGTAGCCATCTTTGTCTCTCCTCCGCCAGCCTGACGTCACCAGCGTGCGACTGGTGACGTTCATTTAGTGAGCGCTTTTGTTGTTGTTCAGCCTTTATGAGGTGTGGAGTCAAGTAGAGAGTTTCTCCAGTCTGCACGGAGTTGAGCTGTCTGAACTACACTGTGTGTTCATGTACAGTAGGACGTGTTTCTGTTGGAGCTAACTGTAGCTAGCTGTTTCCGGTCTACTCATGGCTAACGAGCGGCTCAGAGCTCTGGAGGATGTCGAGAAGGAGATAGCGACGATCCTGCAGTGTGCCGGTGAGGACGCATTTCAGCCAACAGCACAGCGACGCCATCATTGCATACTTTAGACTGTTTGTGTGCTGCTATGGTTCTTCTCTAACAGCTAGCGTTAAGGACCCGAACATTCCCAGGTTAACTGCCTGTCAGTTTCCTTTCCAAATTGGGATTACTGCAAATTAGTTTAAGAACGTGCACCATAGGTCATTTTTATAAAAAATAATTGTGTCATATTTGCTGAAACGTTCACTATATCCTGACAGTAGCACATGAGACAGATACTCTGTGAAACAATATCAGGTTCCTCTGGCTCCTCCTAGTGCTCATAATGGGATTTACAAGAATCCACCGGGCCTGAATGAAAACAACCAATCAGAGCTGAGAAAGATAGTTGACTATTAAGTCTCATTCCCAGTGAGTCAAATACAGATGTTTTGGGACACTGGAAATGAGCAATCAGTTATCTCTCTAGTACATGATATTATCTGTCTCATGTACTACTGTCAGGATATAGTGAAAGTTTCAGCAAATATGACAAAACGTTACTTTTTTATTAAAGTTCCCAATCGCAGCTTTAAGTAATTGTGTGTGAGTGTACAACCGGTGACTCGAATGTTTTACTTTCCCCGGCAGGTAATATAGTTCTGGAACTCTCCAAAGACAAACACAACGCCAGCCTCTTGGACAGACAGCTGGTCCAGTTCCAGAGTTCGGTCAACCGAGTGGAGAGTGAACTGAGTGCCCAGATCCGCTACTTGACACAGGTCAAACAGACAGTTGTTTTTATTTGTGCATTATAAGACCACTGTTTTTTTATCCCTCTCCGTGCCAGCAATAGCATTATGTTTTTGGTTTGTCTGTCTGTGAACTCAACTCAGTCAAAGTGCATCACATTGTGAGCAGCAGAATAAAGCAGAAATTCTCCCGTCCTTTCCCCAGGTAGCTACTGGTCAACCTCATGAGGGCTCCACTTATTCAGCCAGGAAGGACTGTCAGATGGCACTGAACAGGGCAGAGTATGCCAAGGTCAAACTGGGAGAACTGGGACGGACCTGTGAAGTGATGCTGGAGCAGCAACAGCAGCAGACATGAGAGCAGAGAAAAAAACTGGCTGGCTCGTGAAATAGTGATCACTGGGCTTACAGCAGCATTTCACTGTGATACCTGACTGTATCCCTCATCCTCCACTTCTACCAGCAGCCTTAAAGTCTTTTTATAGATTTTTTTAATTTACTGAAGTGGTGCAAAAAACACGAGGAAAAACTCAAAGAAAAAAGTGTTTTATACATTTTATTTTGCATTTCTGGGTATATTTTGTTGTTTGGTGGTCCCTTTTTCCTATTCATGTGCATAGCAGACCAAATTTGATGTTTCAAATGTTTCAGCATAATCTGCACTTTTTAGGGTCAGGATTCTCTCTGGACCGTATATAAGCCGGGGGGTCCGGGGGGTCCAGAGGGTGGCATGGAGACTTTAAGGGGTGGAAGAAAATTACAGTGAAAATTAAGTCTGAACTGTCCAAGACTATCATAATGTGCATCACAATGCTATATGGCCATTTTGGGCACTCACCAGCTCAAAAAATTAGTTACAGGAAGAATGTTGAAAATATTAACTCACTAGATGGTAGATTATCTTCTGAACACATTAAAGCTGTAGTAGGTAATTTTATGAAATACATGTTTGTGATATTTGCTGAAACTTTTACTATATCTTGACAGTAGTACATGAGACAGATAATCTGTAAGAAAAAAAATCAGGTTCCTCTGGCTCCTCCTAGTGCATTTGCAAGAATTAATGACATACCACACAGCTAACATACCACATAACGCACAAAAATTTGCAATTGCAAGCTTTTGTCACATTTTACATCAGTTCAAGATCAGTACACCCTCCATTTGACTGGTGGAAAAGTTTATTTTTACAAACAAGCAGCCTGGTAAAATGTTTTTGAACAGAATAAAGACATTTTTGTAGTTACAACACATTTTTATTTGTACATTTAATTGAGTAAAATAAGAAAATTCAACAGTGTCTTATGTTTTTTTTTTACTACATAGTTTTACTACAAGTATTCCTTTTGCCATGTAGCATTTTAAGTATTGTATAAATCTCAGGATTGATTATATTGGCAATAGCTATTTAGATTAAAAAAACTGTCTTATTCTAAAATAATACATCTTAAAACAAGTTCTGTATTTAACATTCTTTTTTTGTTATTAATCTAAATAAATGTGTTACAGCATTTGACACCAGGATGTCTTTTTACCCCTCTAGATGTATATATGGAAAACTCCAACAGAAAGAAGAAAATGTTATCAGTGACAGAATAGAGAGTTCACAGGGAGTACATCTTAAACGTTGAGTATCCTAATTTGGTGTGTAGTCTGAAATAGTTATTTACATCTCACAAAATCAATTCTTATTCTAAAATCACATGTACATAAACACAAGAGCCTGTTTAGAGACACAAACAGTGACACGGGAAAGACAGCTCAAATACACAGCTCAAATAAGATGAACACAAAGGGATTCTGTTAAAGCCCAGTGAATTTATGGTTGATCATCCAGCTAGTCAATCTAGATGTTAAATGACGATATAGTGTAGACAGAATAATCACGTATGGCTCTAAATCCAGGCATATATATATATCCAAAAGTAATGGAAAGTAATCAAGTTACATTACTTTAATATTGTGATACTAGGATTAGGTTACTGAATACATGTTTTAACAGGTAATTGCAAGGAATTATTTTTCTGCCTCTTCGACTGCATATTTGGCGGCCGCAACATGCTCGAAAAGTCGGGAGAAATTCAAAATTCAAACGTGAAAATCCACGTATGCATTTGTACTCGTGCAGGGGTGCCGACAAATGGCTAAGCCCCGTCCCCCCGAATCAGCCCCCAAGACTTGTACGGCCGACATGTTCAGAAATCGATATTCATGTGTATCGTGATAAAAAAAAAGCTAAAAAGCCTCTTGGGCCAATACCCCAAAGTAAACAGGCAGTCGGCCATTTTGGATTTCGTGGACATTTTTGGCAATTTGCACACGTATTTGAGCGAACTTGGGGGAAACTCTAGGGAATTTATCGGATCGACTTCAAATTTAATCAGCGCAATCTAAACATATTCATGATTAAAAGTTGTGCTATATACGACATTCCGTTGAACGGATTGCACATGGCGTGGCGTCCAATTTTGAAGCCTCGCCATGAAAAAGGAAGTACTCCTAACTTCAGTGTACATGGTCCAATCTCAATGAAACTGATGAGAGTCCCGCCCTGAACACGTCTACATAACAATATTCAGATATAGTAAGTAAGTAAGTAGCAAGTGCTGCGTGGCGATTTTGATCTGATTTACTTGAAATGTTCATGTTGTGGTCTGCACGTGTTACACTTGCACGTGATGTGGCCGCAGCAGTTGCGTGGAGTGCGAGGGCCCGTTCATCACTACTTGCAGTTTTAATTAGTAATTGTATCGGATTAAATTTAAATGTTACCCTCCCAACCCTCTGTATATGTCGCTTTTATCTTTAAACCATCTTCAAAATGTGGTTGTCTTTAAGATAGACAAGCCTAGCACATAGCATATGGAAATACATAGTAAGAAGGAAGTCAAATGAATTGAGGCTGGAGCACAGTGCAAAAAGGGGCAGGACATAGTATCTTGTATCCAGATAGAAGAGGATTTTTTATAGGCAGTTCAACAGACATGTATATATGTGTATATGTATAAATCTTTTCAATGTTAGTTCACCCTGTTGATATGTGGTAGGTACAACTTAAGATAAGGAAATATCTATTAGCAAAACATTTAAAAAATAACCACTATAGTAGTAGTAAAATGGTTCCTGGTTTGGTTTATTCATTTTACTGCACACTTGTTCTGCTCCAGATATAAAAATGCATTAGATTTATTTAATTATGAAAAGGCTAAAATTAATGAAAAAGAAGCAGCAAAAGTTAGAGGTTCCTCTGTTATTGCTCTTAATAATTTCACTGATACCTGAAGAAAACAACTGACCTATCGTCAATATAAAAATACTTTTATTCCTTTGTTTAAAGGCGCCTCTGCTAGAATAATAAATCCTGAATCTCAGCAGCATGTATAATACTGATATCAGCAGAATGAGGGGAGTCACTTCCACCAACATCTTACTGTCATCTCAGTTGCCACTTCCACTTAGGCAAGTGACCCTGCTGACGAAGGAGGTGGAGCTAACAGAAGGGATCAAGCTCATCTTTCATCCCTGTTAATCGCAGGCGAGCAAAGTCTTCAAACACAAAGTCATCGACCTGAGAGGATGTACTGAAAAGAGAAAGAATGTTATCACCTGCCTGGATAAAAAAAAACACATATTAGTAGAGAAATTAAGGCAAATAGGTTTGTGTAGATGCACTATGCTGGTTGAGTGTTTATGTTGGCAACAAGAAGTCTGAAGTCCTAAAGATCACAAAAGGTGTACCACAAGGTTCTATATCAGGACCTTTTCTATTTTTCATTTTCACATTACAACCAGTATAGGAGAGAACATTTAGCCAGCGAAGATTGGTGTGTATGCAGATAGTTATCTAAACCTGATGGAATTGAGTAAGAAAAACTCAAACTATATATATATATATATATATATATATATATATATATATATAAAATAAAATATAGAATATAGAATAGATAAGAGAAATTAAAGGTACCTTGTAGAGTTTTATTGTAAACAAACAAAAGTTTTGTTTACATGGAAAGTTTATTGTTATAACCAGGTGTTTTTTCAAGATATTTTCACATTATCACGACATACAAACTTATCACATTATAACAAAAACTAAAGTTATCATGTCACAGAAACATTTTATGTTATAACAAGATAAATAGTATATTGTAATAGTACTTTTCTTGTGACGTGATAAGTTTGTATGTCATGATAATGTGAAAAACGTGGTTATAACAATAAACTTTTCACATTATAAGGTGATACTGACCTCTTTTTCTTTTTCTGGCGTGGCAATAGGCTGCTGTATATTTTAATATATGCAATTTTAACCGGTGGGCTTCTGCATTATGTTTAGCGTGATAGAGAAGATGCTATGACATTTTTATGTCTGACCTCTGTTTATTCTGATAAACAGAGAAACAGAACCTGCGTGTCTTCTCTCTCTCTCTGTCTCTCTCTCTCTCACCCCAACTGGTCGAGACAGACGACCACCCACCTAGAGCCGAAAGACCTGTCCTAGGTTTCTGCCTTTTAACAGGCAGTTTTTCCTTGCCCTTGTCGCCAAGTGCTTGCTCATGGTGGTACTGTTGGGTCTCTGTAAATAATGTTATAAAGAGTTTGGTCTAGACCTGCTCTATTTGAAAAGTGTCCTGAGATAACTTCTGTTACGAATTGGCGCTATACAAATATAATTTAATTGAATAGAAAAAATGTCAATTATACTCTCCCAAAGACAAATTATACAAAAAAGAAACGACCGAGGAGGGACTAATTTAGTTAGTAGTTTGGTGGTCCATACAGTCACTATAATCAAATCAATTCTGTTTAATTATAACAAGAGCCACATATGAACCTGTTACACAAAGTTTGCATTAATGTTTTGTAGCATACAGTCCTCTTCCCTGTTCTTGCTAACAGTTTGTTTGTAAATGCTGGCTATCGTTCATCTGTGTATTTTATTTTGAATGTTTGACTTTTTTTTGCCATTTTTGTTAAGTCAGTTCTTCAATATGTGTGTTGCTATTATTCACGCCTTGTGTGTGAATATTTGTCGTGCAAACAAAACTCCACAGGGGACCTTTAACTTTACTAAATCCCAATGTAAAATACTCAAACACAAATTATTGCATTTTTATTTTTGTTTTAAGAAATATTTGCAACAAGAACACATACATCTGTAATAAATTAAGGTTATATGTAGTCTATCTAGCATTCATCCGTGTATTTTATTTTAAATATTTGATTTAAAGCCAGTCTTGCTAATATTGTGTTTTACTCAATGCAGAACATACACCGATCAGCCAAAACATAATAGGCCCTGACAGGTGAAGTGAATAACACTGATTATCTGGTTATCATGGCTCCTGTCAGGGGGTGGGATATATCAGGCAGCAAGTGAACATTTTATCCTCAAAGTTGATGTGTTAGAAGCAGGAAAAATGGGCAGCGTAAGGATTTGAGCGACTTTGACAAGGGCCAAATTGTGATGGCTAGACCACTGGGTCAGAGCATCTCCAAAATCGCAGCTCTGTGGGGGGTTCCTGGTCTGCAGTGGTCAATGATCGGCCAAGGCTTTTTGATGCATGTAGGGAGCAAAGGTTGGCCCGTGTGGTCCAATCCAACAGACGAGGTACTGTAGCTCAAACTGCCAAAAAAGTTAACGCTGGTTCTGATAGAAAGGTGTCAGAGCATCACAGTTTGTTGTGTATAGGGCTGCATAACATTATGACCACCAGGGTGCTCAGGTGCTCAGAATGTTACAGCTGATCGGTGTATGTAACCACTGATGAAAACATAGCATAACCTGGTGCCATTGTCAGCTCTCTAATTCAGCGACATGTACATTTTTTTTATCTGAACCCCTAATTGGGTCACTACAATATGTTAATACGTGATCAGAGGGCTTAATCCACCATATCCACTCACTCTGCAGTCTAAGAGTGAAAATATGGTAAAGAAATGGTTTAAGGCTGAGAGAACGATCATCTTTCTTTAAACACACACACACACACACACACACACACACACACACACACACACACACACTTACTTCATGTCAAACTCTATGAGGTTTGTATCCACAGCGGCACCAGCCTCTGGAGCAGCTAGAAGCAAGAACCAGTTGAGTAATTAAATTACACTCTAATCCTCCCAGGTCACACAGCCTCACTGTTAACTGTTATGAGGTATGAGTGTGTGCGTGTGTCCTACTTGACTGTGGTTGGGAGCTGGGTTGGTCTGCAGGTTTTGGATGCATCAGGACAAAAGGAAGTTCCACTGCTACATCCCTACACACACACACACACACACACACACACGGACACACACACACACACACACACGGACACAAATGCATCATACACAATCAACTATCTGAACATCCTTATTACCACCATATTAAAACTCCAATTTCCCTGGCTTACAGCTGTTTGTCGTCTCTTTTAAAAGTTATATTAGATAAAATAAATATAAGAGCACTCCACTGATTTAGCATCAGTCTGTGACAATGTCAGACTCACAATGGACAGTTTATACTACATCTATATTGTCGACCAAGAACACCCTTTTCAAGCATTTTTGTCCCACATCCAAATGCAATTGTCGCACCAAGGAGGTAAATTTAAAAAAGTTTCAAGATTTATTTTCGTTTTTTATTATCTTTACATAGAAGCACAGTAAATCCTTTGTTATTTTCCAAAAACCACTGCTGTGGAAAGCTTGAGGGTGTTCACCTACCCTGCAAGAGACACCACCAGTTTGATTTTGACTCTGTAGGAAACCAGGATGCCCATCATCTCCTTGTTGGTCCCTTCTTTTACTCTGCAACACACAAAATACATGCAAAAAGATATGAGAGAAACAATGACATGTTCTTCAGTATATGTATCCATGAGTTTGTGTGCTTGTATAAAAAGTAAATTCTTTTCTGTCATAATGCATGTGTATATCTCTGTGTGTACATGGTGCTGGAGGCCAGATTGGTGTCTTCATGCTTTAGCTTTCCATCCAGGGCCAGGCCTCTCTTTTCCCTGTTGGTACCTAGCGTGGGGGTCAGAGTGTAGACGTGGCAGGAAGTGGAGCTGGGGGAAACTTGATCACTGAGGTTGGTTGTGAGGGTAAGGTCAGAGAGAGAGGAGAAAAATGGGACAGAATGATTCATTAGTTATTTTTCTTGTTACACACTTAAAGCTTGCAATAAGTTATAAAAACAAAATGAGAATAACCATGAAAGTTTATTCTTGACTGCAAAAGACTGCACTTAGCAGTGTGTGTGAAATATGTGTGAAATATACATACATACATACATTTCATACTTCAGGAGGTTGGTAAGATATATTGGTAGTATTTAAATCAATGTTCAATTGTGCCTGCATTTGCACATATATGAAATTAACAGAGCTAACTTATTGATATAGAATTTACAAAGAACCTAAAATAGATTCCTGCGGTACTCTTTGTTAATGCTGAGTGCCAATGTACCCATAATCGACGTATGTGCTGGCCAATAAGTGACAATTGCAGTAGAGGAATGCAGTAGAGGAATGCCAAACTAGGTCATTTAGATTAAAATTTATAATTTATTGTTGGCTAAAATCAATATAATTTATCATTGTCATAATATACAAGTTAGTATCATGGCTTCATAAAGTAATTTTGCAAGCTAACAGTAAATGGTCCATCGAACAGAAACTAACATTCATACACATTCACACACGGCATCGGGAGCAATTTGGGGTTCAGTATCTTGCTCAAGGATACTTCTTCGACATGTGGCACCAGGAGCCGGGGATCGAACCCACAGCCTTCCAATAAGGGAACGACCCGCTCTGCCTCTGCACCACAGCCACCCATAAATAGTAGCCAATTAAAATATCCACTTAGTACTTTGCTAGCGATAATAGTAGTAAGCAAGCATGCTAAGGTCTACCATCTCGACGCAGATACAGGACTCTTGCCTGTAAACGTGCTCGCTATGGCAGGAGTTTTGTACCTTCTGTCATAGCATCTCTAAACAAGGCATCCCGGTAACCGCCGTGGGTGGGTGCTACCCACAGGACGAGGGGGGGTGTGCTAAATGTGCTGCATTAAGTGTTTATTCTTGTTCTTATGTCGTGGTGTCCCTATGTATCTTGTATCTATGTATGTATGTCTGAAATCTATGTACAGACTGCGGTGACAAATTTCCTGTGAAGGACAATAAAGTATCTATCTATCTAGCCAGCTAGCCAGCTGCAACCCAGCCTCACGGAATAATGTTATCTGGTGCCGACTGCCCCATAATGCCTGCCATTAAAGCCTGCAAATGGCAAACCACTCAATTTACTAGCCTGATTAGGCACAGCATGTCTGGATGAAGCTAGCTGATAGTATTTTGCAATGTTAGCTTTCTTAAAGTTAGCTTAGCTAAAACCACAATATCACAATATATTCCACAAGCTCTGCAGTAATGTTAGCTTTGACTTTGGACTTTGTACTCTGCATTGTGCTGGGTGTTGGTTGTTTGTTGATGTTAGCAGAATCTAAGCTAATGTTAGCTAGTGTTGCACACTGTACAGAGTGGAGAAGGCACTTGAGCATAAACACCAAACCTTTGGATTTCAATGAAAATCTGACCCTCATCTCTACTTAGAAACACATATAAAATCAGTCCACAGGCAACAGAGAAATTTCAAGAAAAGAAATCTAATATTTTATATTTTTGTTTCTCAAATATTCTCAAATATTTGCCTTAAAAATCCAATATTGGTCAGGCAATATCCATAATTCTTGTGGATGTACAACATCAACAACATGGTTATCAACTCTAGAAAACACAGTTTCAAGGGAATAAAAATGAAGCATGAGTGAAAAGGAGGATAAGAGCATAGAGAAGGCACTCACTCTGCTTCAACCTGGGCAACTGGACACTTATACTGAGCCGTGGAGAACAGACAAATATCAGCATACTGACGAACTGAGAGAAGGAAAGGAGAATGACTTTATTACTTTCTTTAGCTATAATCTGTCTTCCAAGTCAGACTCAGTGACAATAAATTATGTTTCTTTCAGTTGTTGAAGGGACAATAATTAAAACAAATGGAAAGGGCAGGTGGAGTTACCAGATATCTTCACCCTCTTGACAGTCTTGGTGGAGTTGTTGGTGACCTGGACATTAACACTGATGGGCTCCCCATGGTAGTACAACTAGAGAGGGAAAGGGACTTAGCAGTGTGTGTATCTCAGTCATCAAATAGCAGATCAAAGTGTGTGAGTATGTTACCTCCTTATCCAGTGAGGCCTCTAGGTGTAGAGATCTATCGGACATCAGGAAGCTGCGACTGGTCTCCACCATTGGCTGTGGACCTACCTTCTCTGGGGCGTACTGAACCTTCCTGATTGCCAGGTGCACCGAGTTCCTACATACACAGCAGGGTCATATACAAATATATACATAAAGGCAACATGTCTACATCCTCCACAAGCCAACAGCACAATTAGTAGAGACAGAGACTACAGTACAAATACAGCTTTTCCACCAAGGCAGTTTGACGGCTTGGTTGCAGGTGATGCCTAATCTTGAACCAGTTATTTGGGTTTTGACAACCAAAGAACTGGCTCTTGGCCAGGAAACTGGTTCCAATGCAGCACCACCAATTTGCTAGTCTAGAACAAGTGTGAACCTATGGTGAAGTCACCCACTGGTTTGTGGAGTACCGCTTTGAAGACTCCAGTTCAGCGTTTTGGCTGCCACCATGACAGTAAAACGGAGCCAGCGCGAGCCAGCAGACGTGACGTACGGCGAGTTGATCTACGCTCATTGGCTGAGCAGTTTTGACTTGTCTGTAGCCAGAAACAATGGCGGCTCGCCTGGTCACACACAATCTCGTATTGCAGCTAAACAGTACACTAAAATATGTTTCTGAAACGATTTTAAGCAAGAAGTAGGCAACACAGTACCAGAATCTAGCTTCATATTTGATCAGCACTGCCTAGTTTGACAGTTTGATCTGAGTTTTGTGCGCTGAGCTGGACAGAATCGCTGAAAGTGACCTGTCAATCAAAAGGTAGCCTCGCCCAAAAGCACACGCTGCTTTATTGTCTATTTTGAATTAAATTATGCATAATGTATTGAATAAAAAGTTAATCTAGCGCCTGAGCCCCTAAACTCATCAGGAAACTGTTTACTGAGCCAATAAAGGAAGTGTCAAGTCGGCTCATTCTCCATTCAAGTGAATAGGATCACTGTGTTATTGCAGCCAACCGTGCTGCCACCTGCTGGAATTTACATAGAATGCAGGTTTAAGACACTTCAGGGTTGGCTTCACTCTTCAGGCCCAGAAGCTCTGTCCATTATATATATAGTCAACAGTCTAGTCAAGTGGTCTAGAAACAGAAACCACTTACAACAGGGGCTGAGGGTACCTTGTGGCCAACCACCTATGAATTTATTTACTGTTTCGCAAGCTACTATTTACCTTGGTAACAATCAATTCAATTAAATTCAATTAAATTCAATTTTATTTGTATAGCGCCAATTCATAACAGAAGTTATCTCAGGACACTTTTCAAATAGAGCAGGTCTAGACCGAACTCTTTATAACATTATTTACAGAGACCCAACAGTACCACCATGAGCAAGACCTTGGGGACAAGGGCAAGGAAAAACTGCCTGTTAAAAGGCAGAAACCTAGGACAGATCCTCCGACTCTAGGTGGGTCGTCGTCTGTCTCGACTAGTTGGGGTGAGAGAGAGAGAGAGAGAGAGAGAGAGAGAGAGAGAGAGAGAGAGAGAGAGAGCGAGAGACAGACAGACAACAACAGTATTGGCAATGGCAATCTAGGAGGACCATGGCAGGAGGCTCCACCAGGATCGATAAGAACCTGCGAGACGAGACAGCACAAGAACTCCGGGGAAGAAGTGAAGTTAGTAACATGCATTAATGGGACATGAATGAGTGCAGAAAGAGAGAGGAAGGGAGGAGCTCAGTGCACCATGGGAAATCCCCCGATAGTCTAGGCCTATAGCAGCATAACTAAGGGATGGTTCAGGACTCACCTGATCCAGCCCTAACTATAAGCTTTATCAAAGAGGAATGTCTTAAGCCTACTCTTGAATGTGGTGAGGGTGTCTGCCTCCCGAACCACAACTGGAAGCTGGTTCCACAGGAGAGGAGCTTGGTAACTGAAGGCTCTGGCTCCTGTTCTACTTTTAGAGACTATAGGAACCACAAGTAGCCCAGCATTCAGAGAACGTAGTGTTCTAGAGGGGTAATAGGGTACTATGAGCTCTTTAAGATATGAAGGGGCCTGACCATGAAGAGCTTTATAGGTGAGGAGGAGGATTTTAAATTCTATTCTACATTTTACAGGGAGCCAATGCAGAGAAGCTAGTACAGGAGAGATGTGATCTCTTTTTCTAGTTCCTGTCAGTACTTGTGCAGACGAGGAAGGAGAGTAGAGGCGACAGAATGGAAACATCATCATTTGAAAGATGGACATTTTGAGACATTTTGCATACTGCTAGTACTGTAGCCTTGTTCTGACACGTTTATCTGTGAAATGTTTCTTGAATTAAAGAGCATAAAAAAGATTGTGTGCATGTCCTCTTTTTAGAATAAAGATTCATGCTGATTTAGGCATCTTGTTTAATTTTATAGTGTTAATTGGCAATTAAGGTATGGTGCATCTCAGGTGATGTCATGGAGTAATTTTTTTTCAGTAACTACCCCAACTCTAACATTGGAGACGTACAGTGATGTAATGATGTGGCCCGTGGAAAAGCGACCTGGGACTTATAAGGTTGAACCAACTCTGAACCAACACTAGCAGTAGCCCAGAACTAGCACTAAGTTTGGGTTGGTGGAAAGGGGTAAAAGAGAACTGGGCATTCCAAATTGTTGCAAAATATCAGCTATTGGCAGCTAGTTTCAAAGTATGTCATGCAAATGGAAAAAACATGCTCATTGTTGGGTCTCTTGTGTTTCTGAGGCCCCTTTTTTTTACCGAATTAGTTTGGATTTTCGAGCTACTTCCATGCAAGATTTAGCCTGCATATCCGCCAGTTTTGAGCAAAACCAGTATAATCAGATTCATCATCATCAGAGGATGTTGCACAATGCACAACAAACTGTAGAATATGACACGCCCACTTTGGTTCCCAAGGAAAACCTGCTATTGTTTAACTTTTCAGGTTCTGGACCAATTTATTTTTGGTCGAACTGCTCAAAACGGTGCAAAACTATGTGCTTGAATGGGAACAAAGCTGGTTCCCTGTTGGTGGAAAAGGCCTATTAGAGAACCACACTCTAGGACTGTTAGTTTGGTTGTAGTCTCAGGTGTTGAACCTTTGGTGGATCTTCTCCTCCACAGTCTTGGCACAGAATGCTCGAAGCTCATAGTCCACACCACACGCCTTCCCAGTGTCCTCTGGGCCTGGCTGGAGGGTCACTGAGCAAGGCAGGTTCTGGGGGATCTAACACCCAAACACACAAAGGAAAATCTAAATGGCAGCTTTAGTTTAAGTTCTTTAATGCCATACGCATAATTACAGTGAAGCAGTCATTCGCAATGTCAGGTTCCCTCCATCATTGGTTACAGATATAACAGCATCAATAACAAATTGTTATGTTGTTGTAAATTGTTGTTCTTTTGACTTTTCTCTTTGTCATTAGTGCAAACTCTGACTGTCACATTTACCCCCAAATTCCACCAGGCATGGCAGTAGGCAATGGCAATGCTTGAAATTCCACTAGAAGCACCATGGTCCCAGAAACATCCCAGAAGTGTCTTTCCGCTCTGCTCTGCGTAGAATACGTGCCCTGTTTTTAACAGAAGCCGTGACCCACCTAAGTAGATCACACTGGCAGGAAGTCAAAAACAGAGACAGCATAGAAAATCCAGTCAACTGTCAAAATAAAAAAACGTGTGCAGATTCTGGATTGAATTTCATGCTAGACAAACACTGCCAGAAGTCAATCAGTCAGAAGCATGTCAGAGAAGATTTAAAGCAGAGGAACGCACCATTTTGTGCGATGTTGAGCAGGCAACGTGCTCTGCTTCTGAAACGCTCTCGGTGGTCAACTTCAAGATGCACAGATCACAAAGCCAAATTGAGTCACACGTCACAAAGCCATGCCAGGTGGAATTTTGAGGTATGTCTTCTTAAAGAAGTCTAATTGGCTGTAACATCAGAGCGGATGATGGTCTTATATATTCTGGTCTATGGTAAGTCTTACAGTGAAGTTGAAGGGGTAGGCATTCTGACCCAGCTTCTTCAGCAGCCTCTCCTGCAGGCGGCTCAGAGGCTTCTTTTCCTGCTGCAAAGGAGGGAACGCCTGGACGGTGCTGATGTACAGATCCTTCCGGAAGGAAAGGCCCAGGACGTCCAGGTCCTCTCGACCATAACGAAATGCACAGGTCAGAGTCACAAACACTGAAATGAAGATTTTGATTAAATGGATGGTTAATCGGTCGTTTAGTCAGCAAATCAGGCAAATTAACAGACATCTTTCTACAAGGTTTCTTACCTTTTCGATCTTTCAGATACTGTGGGTCTAGAAGGAGGACTCCATCTAGAGAACACACAGACAGACACACACATTCATACATTATATGGCGTTTTTCAGTGTGTATATTACTTGTCTCATAAATGTCTCATTTCAGGCTCAAACGCAACCTTCTTTTTTCCAAATTTGGACACAACCCGTGTGTCCATGGCAGATCTCAGCATCCCATAATCCAGTGTCCACCAGTGTGTTGAACTGAAATGTCACAGCTCTTAACATAAAATCTACATCTAAATCATGAGGCTTTAAGTCTTTAAAGGTCATGCATTTTTGTAGTATTTTCAGTGATGGTCTTCTGAGCTGCATGTGTGCAACTCACCTACTGGATCCACGTGGTTCAAGTGATCAACAAAGTCTCGCTTCCCTAGATAAACTGTGAGCTGCGGAAAGAAAGAGACAGGTAGATGGGGAAGAATGGAGTGATAGTCCACAACAGGAGACATTGGAGAGAGGTAAGAACCCCTCCTCATACACACATATCCTACCTTGGAGTTGGGGCTGGACTTCTTAAAGACTCTGCAGAAAGAGGGAGAGAGCACGTCTTGTTAACAGAGGCTGTGTAGGTGAAAATTATTATGTTGTTTTAAACGTTTTAAACAGAAGATGCTGGGAAAGCGTCACTTGTGAATGAGCATATTCATCCATGAAAAAAAGTCTCCTCAATATATTATCTTTAAAAACACACTTAGTGTGTGAAAAAATAGGTATTTTAAACTATTTCAAATTTTAATCGATATGTCGGTAACAGGGTTGACAAAACACACATGTGCATGTTGAATATTTCCTGATATGTGCATATCCTGAGAGTTGATGATCTAAGGGGCTATAAAGTTTAAAAAATAAATCAAACAATTGGAAATGGCACATTTCGTATAATGACCCATCTGCAGTTTAAAATGTACTAAATGTGACTTTTGCTGTTTTGCCCCTTCAAAGACATTAATATCCAAAGACTGCAGTTGATACAAAATTCTGCTGGCAGGCTTTGAACTCGTTCTAAGAGGAGTGACCACATTACACCAACCCTTGCACCCCTTCACTGGCTGCCTCTGAGGTTTATAATTTATCTTAAGATTTTGCTACATGTTTTTAAATAGGTCCTGCCTACGTCTGTGATTTGCTAACCCCCTACCTGCTTGAGATCCTCTGGCAAGGGCCTACTTATGTAATTTGTCGAAGTAAATTATCTCATAGAACAAAGGCAACACAAGACAACAAAAAATATTGTTGAAACGGATTACATTGAACATTTTAAGTAACACAAACTCAATTTTGTAAGTTAAAAAAACATTCTATTTGCACTATAAATTCTTTTGTTTTCACAATACAAATAGAAATTAAGAAATGAAGTCAGTGTCACTTAAAAGCTACTTAATCAAGAATGTTTCTATAGCTTACAGAATTGAGTTAGTTTTAATTAAAAATGTTGATGTAATCAGTTCCAACAATTATTTGAAATAAATGAACTTTTCTGGTTTTACAGTGAAGTAAGTATGTATGATCGTTAAAAATGGTAAAAAAAAAAAAAGTTCCGTAAACAGGAAATAATCTGCTCAAAATTCATCCAAATCACTCATTTTACACAAACTTCTTGTAGTTACTGAGTTCACTAATTGGGTTTATTGTACAGTTTTGAATATAATATGAAATATCCATAAAATATGTCACTTAAGCAGGGGTCATCAATTTAATAAATGATAACTTAAAGGGTCCCTTAAGGAAAAAGGCTGAGAACCACTAACCTGACTTTTGTTGTAGGCCCCTCAGTTGATCTCAGGCAGCCAAACTCAGTATGTTCCTTTAAATCTCTAACATTGCCCGCACATGTGCCAAAAACTACCAAACCTTCACTAATACTCAGATCTGAGGCCTCTGACTGCATATGTTGATCACATGAGCCCTGCAGAGACAAATATTTGTCCACATACTGCTTATGTTTCAGAGTAAACAAGAAAAATCTTAAATCCGGGTGTCTGGGATAGACAACAACAAGCTGTTGAACTAGTGAACTGTGGCTCTCATTACAGTCCAATACACACCAACGGCACAGTATAATCACCTCATATTTCCTGTATTTCTCTCACACACACACACACACACACACACACACACACACACACACACACACACACACACACACACACACATTGTAGCAGTAAATCAAATCTTGAGTTTGGTGTAAACAAAAAGTGAGCTGTTATAAAGCAGCAGTGATGGCTGACGACACAATGACCTGCAGGACAGGAAAGTCGTCATAAAATAAACGTGTACTGCAATTTGACATGTCCTGCATGACGTTTTATCTCATCAGTCTCTATATGTGTAACAGAACAGAGCACATTCAGTCACAATATGGGTGTGTCTATGACCATGTGTGCCTGATCAGACTATACGGTATGGAACATTTCTAATCCTAAGGGAGACATAAGTCATTACAAACTGCAATAGCACTTAACAAAAACAATAGCAATACAAAGCAGAAAATGTTTTAAGAGAAACACACTTTAAGGAACCATTTCATCATTATGTTGGTGAAGAGTGATCTGTGTCTATTTCCACCAATATGTCTTGTATGGGTTTATAAAGTATAGGCTACTTTTAACAATGTGTTTGTGTGAGCATGATGGCTACCCATGTCTATCCAAGTAGACTTGTTGACTTTTTGTTGATCGTTTTCGTAAATTATAGTGAAAACCTTTTTACCAAAACCTCTGAAGCGATCATAATCATCATGTTAGTTGTCAAATTTGCTGAACAAAATCTCAAGAGAAGCAGCAGTTAGAGTTTAGTTTAATTTTGTGCTAAAGGAATTAAACGCCCAAATAGATGAATTGTGGAGAATCTATAAACGGTAAATGGACCTGTACTTGTATAGCGCCTTTCTAGTCTTCTGACCACTCAAAGTGCTTTTACACTACGTGCCATATTTGCCCTTTCACACACATTCACACAGCGATGGCAAAGTCCATGCCTCTGAGCCACAGCCGCCCTAAGTATAACTGATCTGATGATGTGGAGCATGTACATATTGACAGAAGTTTAAACATTTATATTTGTGTAGGAGATTGAAACGACTTAAAACTCGCTCAAGCGGGCGACCCTGTGGGTTTTAAGAGGTTTTATACATCAAGATCATTTCTATAAAATCCAGACCAGGCCTCTATTGGAGACCTGCGTTTTTTGTCAAAACGTGTTGCCACACCAGACTTTTAAATGAGACCTGCGTCTATTAGGGACCCTGCTTTTACTGGAAGTTTTATGGTATATTAGTCTGTAAATTTAGCCTACTACTACTTTTTTGGAGTAGAGTTTTACTCTTATATTAAGTATTGCATTTAGATTAGCGCAGCAAGTCTAAGTCTCAGTCCATTTGTGTTGACTTGTCTTGTTTAGCTTTACAGAGTTTGGGGAATTGAAAGTCAATTGAGACCTTATCAAGCTGTGTTCAGCTAACTCATCACAGGAGACGGTTGCTATTGTGGAGTTTAAATCTTCTCCAACGCACACACAGAACACTTATAGCTTTATTAACAACAAAATCCATATGATTTTTTTTATTAGGGAAAACCACTGCTCATATAATTCAACTGAGACTAAAAGTTGGTCAACAGTAAAGCAGAGAGAAAAGGGCTTAGTGTCTCCACTGAAGCTAAACAGGAAGCGGGTGATGTGTATTCCAGGAAATGTGGCTAGTGTATGCCAGTAATGTGTATGCCAGGAATTATTTTCTGACCATTGTGACTAATCTGCCAACCATTATTTATTATTAATTATTTTAACCAGTATTGAAGAAAAAGACAAAAGTCAACAAAGTCAAGACCCTTCAGGCCGTGTCAGCGTCACCAGGTTTATGCACGCCACTGCAGTTTTTAGAACATTAGCATGGCCCTGTGCAGGAATGTGCTGCCTTTTACATTCTGAGGGAAGACAACAGGGGCAAAGAACTAAATTCACATCCTCATTATCGACAAAAAATGTCATTTACTTCCTTAACACAGGACATGTGAAGGCTTCCCTGTTAACCCTTTATCCTAAAGGCAAAAAACCATCATAATGATAATAAAACCCCTTCAACAGGCACTGAGGACAGGATATATCCCTGCTGAACTAACCCACAATGTTATTTAAATATAAACACTTTCACACTAGGGCTGCAACTAACAATTATTTTCATTATCTGTCTATTATCTATTTTCTCAATTAAAATTACAGTAGGTAACTTTTATAAAAATATCTTTTTGTCATATTTGCTATAACTTTCACTATATTCTGACAGTAGTACACGGGACAGACAATCTGTGTAAAGATGCTTTGGGTTGGAGGCTTTAAGATAGCTGATAGTTGAGTCTCATTCCCAGGGTCCAAAAGGTCTATATTTGATGTCCTGGTAATGAGACTCAACAATCAGCTATCTTTGTCGGCTCTGATTGGTTTTTCATTCAGGCCCAGTGGATTCTTGCAAATGCCATTGGGAGCATCAGGAGGAGCCAGAGAACCCTGATTCTGAAGTTCTACTGTCAGGATGTAGTGAAAGTTTCAGCAAATATGGAAGGGTGGCCTACTGCAGCTTTAATGCCCCTATAAGTGGAATCGTTCTGTCTTAGGCGACTCCTAGTGGTACGTTATAGGAAGACACCTGTAAAGTTCTCTATCTCCACTGTCTGTCTCTCCTGTATTCATCTTTCGTATGTTTTAGACTTCTGCTTTGATGATTATATTCAAGTCCAGACTCATCTGATGTAATACTGTAGGCTAAAGAGAGCTCATTCTGAATGTTACAATGTGGCCAATGGGATGTTGAGTTACATAAATGTAAGAATTTCGGGAATGTCTTGAAAACAATAAGTGCTGTCACACACCTGTCGGTCTGAACAAAATTGAACTTATTTCTATTGACTTCAATATGTGACTCCAATATCACACGTCAAAGCAGAAACGTTGATCAGTGAGAGGCAAACACTATGGTTCCATTCTGCTGGCGGTCAGTACCGCAACGTCCCGTTCTCTTCTATCAGGAAGTTACGCCAGACTCCGTTTAAAAATGTGTACATTTGGTGGCAATCTGACGCTACCCTTCTTACAGTCAAACAGCTGCACATATAGCAGGGGTTTGGTTTAAACTTCACAATGTTTTTGATATTCTCTCTTAAATCCGACATTACTATCAATCCACATGTGAAAACCACTGCATACAGGCTACTATCGGCGTCACCACATATGTTTAAATAGTCCAGTGTATAAAGGGGCTTGGTTTGGATAGTTCCCTTTTTCTCCTCACGAGTTAACGGAACACTGTTTTCACTCTTTGACAGCACACATGAACCAACTGGAGGGTTCTCTTACCTGGTCCCTGCTTTGTCCCCCATCCTCAGTCCTATGTGGACAGTATTTCTGGTATTATTGTGCTCGTCTGTTGCCTGTGCTGGTCCTGCTGTCCGCTGCTGCTGCTGCAGCTCTTTGAGATCCTGCAGCCCGTTTCCGCAGCTCAGGGACAAAAACCACGCCTACATAATACTGGAAACCACAATCACCAAATGGAACTGAAGCAGCTGCAAATTAGACTGCTAACTCTCTACTACCAGTCTACTACTACTGTGTTAGTGACAGGAAAGAAAACATTGATAGAAGATGGGATAGAACTCCGGCGCTGTTTAGTGAGCCAGATCATTTGGTTCAGCACAATAAGAGTCGGCTCTTTCGGCTCTCAAACGGCTCTTCAATTAAGAACCATTTTATAATTCAGCCAAATTTAACAATTTTAATTGAAGAGACACTAAATTACAGTAACAGCATGAGTGCCCTAGCTGTGTAGTGTAATAACACAGCTCGGCATTGATTTAGAGTCTGTGGGTCAAATGACATGGAAGCTATTGAAAAAAAAAAATCAAGATTTTAATATATAAATATTAATATAAAATAGCAGAAGCATAAAAAAATGCATAAGCTAGCACAGTTCAGCATTGATTTTGGTCCCCAGGTCACATGACATGGAAGCTATTAATCAAGATTCTTCCATATACATATATGAAATAGAAGAACCAATAAAAGTGGATTAAAGAAGTTTTTTCTAGGTGTGTACTGTAAAAACATAGTTCAACATTTATTTGGAGACCCTGGGTCACAAGACATGGAACCTTATACTGTCAATGCATTGAACGTCATGAAAAACAAATCAATATTTTTCCTATAAATATTCCTATAAAATAGAAAAAGGTTTAAAAATGCATAAAAAGAGATGTGTACTAGTTGTGTTCGTAATTATAACACATAGAATAACACAGTTGTAGAATAACAGCATTGATTTGATTTTTGACCGTTTTTGTGTCGACCATGAAAAAACGTATTGGTCAATCCTTAATAAAAACCTTGGATAATGGAACAACATAATATGTTTATGGAGGTTTTCTGTATGAATTATGTTTTGGATGGTGACCGGAGCGACACTCAACTGTCTCCCTATGCTTGGGTCTTAACGTTATTACAAAAGTGATATTTCTGGATTGTATTTAAGAAAGTACTGTAGATCTACATCATAGGATCATTCCATTATTCTGTATTGTATTGATTTATAGAAAGAAAGAAAGACAGAAAGCACCTTTAAGTGTTTTTCAAAAACTGTCTTGAAAAACATGATAACATTTTCTACAAGACAGTACTGGAAAATGTGAAAAGGGTATTTTGGTTCAGAGTTTAAGGTTTAAGTCTGAACTCTGAGTCTGAGTCTAACTTTGAGTCTGACTGAGATTCTGACTTCAAACTTCAAAATTGAATTGAATAGAATTGAATATGTTTGCTGATTTCTCCACTATGTTTGAAACATTGCTGTGTTCATTTGTGTAAGCAGACAATGTTATTGGTGGGTGAGCTGGTTGATAAGATAGTTGAAAAAGATAGCTTTCTGTTATTCGCCCGTTTTACTGAAGTGTCGATGCCACTCTAAACAGAATCCAGTGGACATTCAGATTTCAGCAAAAGCAGCAAAATGTCATGGTATGACGAGGTGAAAATAAAACTTGATAAGCTGAGTTCTCTCCATTATATGACAGCTGTCTGCATCTGAAGCCGTTAGAGATGCATATGAATTTATAGTAAATTATCTTGTGCCCACAAGATAAATAACTTGTGCACACAAGATAAAAAGTATTTCCTTTTGGGGACTTTAGGGGCTCCTACAAAGGTAATACATGTCAGAATTAAAAAGAGGATTAGGGGCAAATGTTTATTTGAATTCTGAGTTTGCAGTTAAAAAAGTCAAAATCCTGGGAATTAAGACAACATTTTTATTTTTTTCTCTCTCTTCTTCTTCTTTTTTTTTTTTTACTTACAAATATTTCTCTTCCGTACAACCGTGCTATCTACGCAACGCCTCCGTTTTGAATAGAGGGTTTTATTGTGAAAGGTGTGGCCGGAAGTGGCACCGTGTGGGAGTGTCACAGAGTGCCATATTGAACGCCTTGAGTGCGGCTTTCCAGAGAGGCTGAACGGCGACCTGTTCGTTATTTCACCGCTGTTTGAATCGCTCGTACCGGGTGTTTGTGTCTGTGGGGACCGGGGCCATGGCTCGCCGCTCGCTGTGCTCTCTGTGCTCGCTGTGCTCGCTGTGCCTGCTGCTGGCGCTGCTGCTGCCGCTGGAAGGTGAGGCTTTGTCCCGCACACCTCAGCAGATCCACATGTTCTGCCTTTTGTGCCGCACTTCGCTTCGAGGCCGAATAACGGTCCGCCGGCCTGGAAGTAGACGTTAAAGAGATATATTATATTATACTACATATCCACTCAGAGTAATCACATTTTTTTATTTGTTATTACAGATATTCATGTTACAGATTTTATTATTGAAGCTGGATTTAGTTATTGTGACTCTTTTACTCTCAATCCAGATATTACAGATGTTAAGCAGCTGTAATCGATTCAGTAATACATTATTACATAAATGATTGTAAAGAATGTGTTCTATAGGTGCAGTAATTGTAGATATGTTAGATCAGATTGATGTGGCTCCACCCACAGTAACCTCTGTATGTCTGGATTGCAGCGGCATATGCCATGCTGACGATGATGTCACTCTCAGTGATGAATATGAAAAGTTAGTCACTTAAAGGTGAATCCTTTAAAAACCAGTGATTTCATTCTGTGTTAAGGTAGCACCTGTCCACAAACCCCTGTGGTCTCCACCTCACATCACAAACAGATGCAGAGACATTTGCACATTTTGTTGCATTGTTGTATGCACATTATATTTCTTTAATTCACATTTAAGGTATGGGCTGACTGAAAATGCAGATGTAGAACAATAGGGCTGCAGAATTAAACAAAATATGATCAAAATTACAATATGCACTCTAAGAAATTGGTAATATTCCAGCAGCTGGGGTACCAAAAAAATACAGTAAAATAAAGGAAAATAACTGACTTGTCACATACAATAATTTACTAAAAGTTAATGAAAAGATAAAAGAAAGACAAAGATTATGTGTAAATACAGGTGAACACTGCTTTAATACAAATGATCAGGCAAAAATTTACAGAAGAGTGCTGTTATTAGATTTTTCTTATTTTAATCTGAATTCTTATAAAAGTAGCCATCTGTGAAATTACATTACTTGCGCTTATATACATATATACACTGATAAACAAAAATTATACAAGATATCTGTCATTTAATAAACAAAAATTATGGAGCAAATCCGTCTTTTTACTGTTAATTGTCACTAATTTTACATAATTTTAGAAATGTATTTGAATTGTCACTTGAATTGAACAGTTTAATCTACTCGAGGCGGGGAGTGGACTGGTTACCGGTCACTGCAAGACCCACCAGATTCATCTGTGTCGTTTTCAAAAATGCAAGCTAAAAAAAATGGCACAATCAAATGACAAAATTTCAGTGTGATGCCCTGCTGTCAGCTTCTAAGTAGAAGAAAATAGGTTTAAACATAATCTAAAGAGTTTATTTAATGAAGAATTTATTTATTTTTTGTTTGCCTTCAGTGTAATTTTATTTTTATTTTTATTTTTAAAATAGCCCTATTTAGAGCCAGTATTTGGTTTGTTTTGGGCTATTGTAAAAGGTGGTGGTTCAACATGGTGCACTCCACCAGAAGAAGCTTCCTCTTTAGATTAAAATGTCTCATAAGGTAACACAACAATTCCTATAATGTGTATAAAGTGATTATAATGAAAACGTAGCTATGAATATTATATTCCATTTCTGCCAATAGATCCTCCTAAATGAATTGGGCGGCTGTGGCTCAGAGGCAGAGCGGGTCATCCACTAATCGGAAGGTTGTTGGTTCGATCCCTGGCTCCTCCCGCCACATGTCGAAGTATCCCCGAATTACTCCCGTCCCGATGCTGTGCATCAGTGTGTGAACGTGTATGAATGAGTTAGTTTCTGTTTGATGGGCTTTGCCATCACTGAGTGAATGTGTGTGAAAGGGTGAATGTGTCATGTAGTGTAAAAGCGCTTTGAGTGGTCGGGAGACTAGAAAGGTGCTATTCAAGTACAGGTCCATTTACCATATAAGTGTTACGCACTGGACCTTTAATTAATTGATAGAACACAAAATTCAAATGTTTTTTTCGGTCTGGAGCTAATACATGTAGCTGGAAACCTTTATCATAACCCCTTTTGCTCTGTCCCACAGTTTCCTGTCTGTCTCTGCTGTCTGTATTTATTAAGGAAAAATGTCAAAAAAGAGGAGAGGAGGAGCAGTTTAAACTGCCCTACCATAGATAGAACGCCAAAGCAGGAAGGTTAGACTGAAGATAAAACTTTATGGATCAACAGGGGAAACAGTGTTACAGTAGAACAAGAAAAAGACCAGATACAAAAGATAGCTACAGAGCAAAAGAAGAACCCATACAGTAAAGAATAATACTTGTGAAGCAGTTCCTGGAAAATAAAAATTGTCCTTACTAGGATTTTGTAAAAACTTTATTGTAGTTCCAATGAAAGTCACTCTACAGTAAGAAAACTTCCCTTGTCTGGGTTGGCTACAACTGCCCAAAACTGTTTCTTCCCCCCTATTCTCTATAGACTTTATATGCACATAAAGATAGTCACCAAAAATCACTTTTTTAGGCAACATTTACAAATATTAAGTCTTCTTGGTTTAAAAATCTATAAATCTATTATAAAATCTATAAACTAGCGAGTGATAATGAGATTTTTATAATGTCTATAGGGGAAATTCTTTTTGGGCTGTAGGGGAGTTTTTAAGTTGTTGTCCACAGGGTCCAATGTGACCCTGTACAAGAAAAAAGTGTCTATAAGTCAAAGATATCGGTTACATACCTTTAAAGGTCTGTGTAACATTTAGGAAAATCTACTGTCGGAAATGGAATATTATTAGTGTATAATCACCGGAAAATAATCGTTGTGTTCTGAGTCCACCATGTTAAACCACTAAGTTTCTACAGTAGCCCAGAACTGACAAACCAAACTCTGGCTGTAGATAGGGCCTTTTGCGTATTTTGCGTGTTCTGCGGCTGCTGTAGTTTCTCCATTGTACTTGGAAGGGGTGAAGTGAGTAATTTGCACTGTTACTTGACTCTGTCTGTTTTTGTGTCTAAGTAACTAATGGGGACAACTAATTTTGAAATTGGTCCAGTATTGGTGAGAAAGTACGTCCACTAAGAGTGGTTGTTTTGCCACTGACAGGCTCAGATTGTTATTCTACAGGTCTGACAACATTACGGAAAGAGTCCCTCCAGAGACAGAAACAGTTGTATAGCTATGTTGAAAAACCAGACTCCTTTGACAAAATTGGAAGTTTTACCTCATAACATCACCACACCATGTGTTTGTGAGTGGCAGCTGGTGAGGTGAGCTTGTGCCTGTTTGTCTCTGCTTTTGTGTCCTTTGTGGTAAATGATCTCTGCTCTGCAATCCAGACCACAAACAGAGGGGATTAGTGCACTGTCGGCCCAGTTTGGCACCAGGGTGGGGGGGTTGTATCTGTGTGACACAGTAACACCAGCAGGGCCTGGAAAACTGATCACACCTCTACAAAATATAGGAAGCTTGTGTGTGTGTGTGTGTGTGTGTGTATGTGTGTGTGTGTGTGTGTGTGTGTTGAATCCTGTTTGGTTTTCAGTGGGTTTCAGTGTAACCTGTTTGTGTCCTCTATCCGTCCCTGAAATAGTCCTGTCTCAGGACTTTGACCTGGCCGATGCTCTGGGTGGTGGCGATGACAGTAAAAAATGTAAGTACAGTAGAACACCACTGATGCTTTAAATATTAAGCATGTATGTATGTAAATTTTCCTCTCAGAAATGGGTATTAAAAAACAAGTCCTTTTTCTTTTTAATGGTCAAAAAGGGATGAGCAACATTTTAAAAATTGTTAAATTTTCATTTTCTGTTTCGTATAATAGTAAATAAAACCACTACGGCCTTGAAGAAAATGGAATGAGCAAAAGATGCACTGTCCCCCTGCACACCCACACGTTTTTTAAATACATTTTTCATTAATTTGCATCAATGTTACTTTATGATCATTGTAAGATAATATTAAATGAATGGAAACCAGTTGCTGCTTGGACCAGTAAGAAAAGCATGTCCTAAAATCTAAAAATGCATAGCATGGATTCAAATGAGGTTGGTACACACATACTGGTATGGTCCTGCTGTAGGTAATTTTTATAAAAATATTTTTTGTCATATTTGCTGAAATTTTGACTATATCATGACAGTAGAACATGACACCTGATTTTTTCACAGATTATCTGTCTTGTGTACTACTGTCAGGATATAATGAAAGTTTCAGTGAATATGACAAGAGATTATTTTTTATAAAAGTTACCTACTGCAGCTTTAATCATGTAAAATAAGGGATAAAATAAGAAGGATATAATGGTATGTCACGCTTCGTCATGACTTCTTCCCAACTATAGTTCACTGTAGGATATCCAATATTTTCTTATGAATGAAGCAAGTTCAAGAATTACCTTTAATTAATTAATCTTTCACTTTCACTACAGCAACCCCTTCACCAAAGCCAGCAGCACCAGCAGGAGGAACAGGAGGAGGTACAAGAGGACACAAGGAGCACACAGACACTCCTGATACATAATTTCATTCTATGCCCTATAATTAGTGTGTGATATGATAATTAAGCAGGGACAGTGACAGGAAAATTTTTTGGGTGTGAACCAGTCGGAATCAGTGGTTCCCAACCCCCTCAGTTCAGTCCCATGAACTTCATAAACACCACCATTTATGTTCCATTTAATTAATTTCAATTTCTAGATGTTATTTAACTACTTAAGCTGCAGTAGGTAACTTTTATAAAAAAAACTTTTTGTCATATTTGCTGAAACTTTCACTATATCCTGACAGTAGTACATGAGACAGATAATCTGTGAAAAAAATCACCAGGCCTGAATAAAAAAAAACAACCAATCAGAGCCAAGAATGATCGTTGATTGTTTAGTGTCATTCCCAGGGTCCCAAAGTGTTTCCCAAGTGACTTGGGAATTAGACTCAAAAATCAGCTATCTTCAGGCTACCAACGGAATGTTTATTTCTGTCTTTCTTAGCTCTGACTGGTTGTTTTCCTTCAGACCTGGTGTTTTCTTGTAAATGTCATTAGGAGCACTTAGAGGAGCCAGAGGAACCTGATATTTTTTCACAGATTATCTGTCTCATGTACTACTGTCAGGATATAGTGAACGTTTCAGCAAATATGACAAAAGGTTTTTTTTTTTTTACAAAGGTTACCTACTGCAGTAGTAGAATAATAATAGATAATGGATGTGTATTTATTGTCAGTATTTTCCAACAATTTAACTGTCAGTTTGATTTGGTCAAGTTAGCATTCCTACTACAACCATATGGAGCTTTTTATTTAATCTCCTCTGCTCACTTGCTAACAAGTTGTCATGCACTCTCAATTGCAATAGCATCTAAATTAATTTCATAGCTGACTTAATATGTGGATTTATTTTTTTAAATCAAATCATTAATTTAGTTTTTTTTTTAATTAGTTGAGCTACTCTACAGACTACTATGTTGTCAATGTTCTCTGCAGAGCTCGATCTGGCGGATTTCTTTGATAGCCCTACCACCACCACCACCAAAGCCCCACCCAAGGTTGTGCCTAAAGTCCCTGCAGGCACCAAGAGCCCCTTCAAGCCCAATCCCAAGCCAGGTGAGAGAATCACTTTACTCTGTGTTTGTAGCCAGCTCTCCATCTGAGGCGTGTGCCTCAACTGCAGAGAGCACCAGATCATACCACCAACTCACCTTTATTTCCTATTTGTCCTGCTTTATATTTTAAAAAAAAGTTTTCAGATACTCTTCTGTTTTAATTAGCAATCCAAATTCAGTCAGTTAGTATGATGTAGATTTCCACAGCAATTCCACCAGTTCAACATTTACGAGTTCTGTCATGGATGTCAATGTCTAGTTGTAGCAACTTTTCTCCCATGCCAACTAGATGCTGCACTAGGTGAAACGTCTTTCTCTGAGTCAGTGTTCGGTAACGGTCAATGTAGTTTAGTTGTAGTATTAATAGAAATAGAGTAATTGACTCTCACTACACTCCAACCTTCAATAATACATATGCTCAGCTGCTGCAATAGGCAGCAACTCTTTACTTACATAATGGTCTATAGAATCTACAGTATATGTGGGCACAGTTCAGTTCAGTAAAAAATCTACATAGCCCACATAGACAGACTGGTCCGACCCATTGACAGCCCGCACAGCCCACTTATTGTACACTTGGCCCAGATTTATGGTCCATATGTGGTATGTAGCCACATATGGCCCATGACATAGCTAACTGTATGACCATAACTGGCCCTATGTTGGACTAGACAAGTTTCAGCACTGGTTCCAGATGTCAGTTCCAATTACCAAAGCCACTTCTTGGATTGGTGGCTTGAACATAGTCGATTGTTGTTGGCATCAGTATTTGACAACCTGGGAATGAGATTGGGCAATCAACTATATTTCTCGACTGTGCCAGATCAATTTTGTTGAATTTTGAGGAAGCAAAAATTTCACAGTGTACTCAATTTCACCTTGCTTTTAGGAAACACTTTTTATTGTGTTTGATTGAGTTTTTTTCATTACCCTCTCAGTTTGCAGTAATGCTTTTTTTAACTCCTATTTGCTTTTATTTCACAATAATATTGATCCCTGACCTTTTGACCTCCACAGCTGCCGATGACTTTGACCTGGCTGATGCCTTGGACCCCAACAATGACATTGGTGGCAAAGATAAGAACAAGGGGCAGGGAGGTGGGTGGGAGTGTCTCCTATAAGATAAGCATTAGTTTGGTAAACACTTTAAAATCATCATTATTTATTCAGTCAAATTACTTTTGACTGTATGTTTCATGTGGAGTTAAAGTCACTATGTGCAGATTGTGACATTTGGCAGTATCAAAAAAGACACTAATAGACAGTAGTGCAAGCTGGTACTCCCACCAAACACTAATTTAATGCTCTGCACATACAAGTTCTACACATAGGGGCTTTAATAGAAAGTGAGTCATTATCTTTATGATTTATCAGTGACGTACTGTACAGTACAGTTGTTTGGTACCATCCTGAGTACTGGCACCAGATTATAAGGGACCTTCTTCATTATGAATCATAGTTTAGAATTTCTTACATGCCACCTGATTCTCCATTCTCCAACTCAAACACATACATCCTTTAAAAATGTAGCCTTTTTTGCACAAAATACAATCGGACTGCGCCAGATGGTTTGTTACACCGAACAGTCTGGGAAGTTGTCTTTAGAAACCACTGACAGTATATACAGCATAATGGACAGAGCTTCTGGGTCTGAAAATCTGCATTCTATGTAAAGGTCAACGGGGGGGGGCTCCATTGGCTGCAATAACACACTGATACCATTCTCTCTAATGGAGAATGAGCCGACTTCTCACTTTATTTATGAGCTCAGTAAACAGTTTCCTAATGAGTTTATGGTCTCAGTCGCTAGTTTAACATTTTCTTCAATACATTATGATGTTCATTTACTAAATTATGGTCCAATTTAGAGTAAAATAGACAATTAAGCTGCATATGCTTTTGGGCGGGGCTACCTTTTGAAGATTCTGTTGCTGCCTTTTTCACTTAAAATCTTTTCAGAAACATATTTTAGTGTACTGTTTAGCTGTAATACGAGATCGTGTGACCACTCGGCTACGAACGAGTCAAAACTGCGCAGTCAATGAGCTCACCTCGCAGTACGTCACCTCCGCTGGCTTGCGCTGGCTGAAAGGCCGAACTCAAGGCTTCAAAAGGGTACTCCACAAACCAATGGGATACGTTCACACTTATTAGAAACTTTGTTAAAGGGCAGGCAACTAGCCTTGGCAACTAACCTTGGGAGGCAGCTGGACTTGCGAGATCATCCGGGAATCCGTCTTTTCTCCACTTCCTCACATTTTACAAAAATTAAGCCAAAATATTCTGGATAAGGCTGCTGCCATTTGGGGTCTGCGCAGTAGCAATCGGGGTTGGCACCGTGGTATCAAGATCCATACCCCCAGCTGACTCAGTCACAAGCAGAGCTCAACTGTCATTCATGGCATGAAACGAAAATTCTTAAAGGAATACTCTGCAGTTTTCTGGTTTTGTCAAACAGCTACCCCTAGAGTCGCTGCGGAGTACTTGTATTTAACGTTAACTGTCTTAAATACCACTCACCAGAGCCGTCTCTATATACGGCTCTGCGTCTCTGCACTCACGGTCTGATCCCCTCCCGCCTGTATACCGGTACTTGTTCAGTAGGATGGAAGCGTCGGACATCGAACAGGCAAAGATAGACTCCGAAGATGTCTACTGACCAGGTAACGTCTGAGTGAATGCCTGCTGGTGTCTTCCATTGAGGCTGCTTCTTATGTCGCTGATGTATGTGATGTCGCGCCGTAAAGCAATTTGTGATTCTCGCGAGATTTGGCGGGACGCCACCTTTCAGACTTGCATTGCTGGTTCTGCCAGCGGCATTCCTCTCCAGCTTTGCTATCAGAACTGGAGAGTATTTCTTCATTAAAGGAAGAGCAAAGAACGGCACTGAAGGCTTTTCTCTATGGAAAAGATGTTTTCTCTCTTCCCCCAACTGGCTTCAGTAAGAGTTTGACTATGTTATATGTTTCATTGATCTGATTGGTTGAAAGATGGTGACAGGCAGATGGTTCATCCAATCACCTGCTCAGTATTTTTTGAAAGTGCCTGCCTTTTTCCAAACAGTTTCGAATGACGACTTCCCAGATGGTTCTGTGTAACAAACTATCTGGCACATTCAAACACTACAACGTGGATAAAATGTACTACAGGTCATGTTTCATTTTATGGCACGAGAAAGATTAACCTTTAAGTAATGCCCATTTACTTCAAATCTGTAGTCAGTATGGAGATATCCAAGTTTAATTAGTTTTACATTATTTCTCAGATTCTCCTCAGTAGACAGTAACTGTAGCTCCACCATCAGGACAATTCTCCACAGTGTCATATGCATTCTTTGGGGCTGGACCAGAATGCTATGCAAAATGTGCTTCATGGAAGTCATCAAGTCATTTCTCTTCAAGAGAGGGAGCTCATTGTCTTCATCTGTTACTCATCCTCCCCTCCCACTGACACTGTCCTCTGCTTCACGTTAATTGTATTTGAGTGTAACTGCTGAAGACTCAAGTATAGTTTCAACGTTTTTATTAGTTGAAGTCCATCCCCGTATGCTTTTAAAAATAAATCTGTATTTCATTCTCTTTTGATATTTTATGTTTTTTTCTATATTTATTTAATCAAATAATCATTGTAGATATCTGAAAATATCTTGATTATTTTAGTTAAATGTATTATTATTAATAATGTACAATCATACAATAAGCTTTAAGACCGTGACGATCAACCTCTAAAGCTACAGTAGGTAGTTTTTATAAAAGTAATTATTGTCACATTTGCTGGTTCAGAACTGGTTCGAGATTAGGCACCAGCTCCGAACCCACGCTCAAACTGCCTTGTTGGTATTAGTGACTTCATTTTTGACCCACAGTGTGGTGATTGTCTTCCTCTCTACTCTTCAGGATTATCTGACAGTGATCTGGTTGATGTTGGTAAAGACGATACCTACAAACCTGACAAAGGCAAAGGTAATGTCTGTACCTTTATACGAAATCCATATATTCCCTGTAGCAGTGGTTCAGCCTTCCAACCTGGGGGTCTGGACCCCCACTAGGGGTCGCCAAAGCTTCACAGGGGGTCGCAAGGCCTTCTTGATTTTAAAGTTTACTCGAAAACTGAATATAAAATAGACAGTATACACAGTAGGCCTATATCTCAACATTCCATTCATTAATTACACTGTAAAATCAGATAAGTTCAATTAACTCACACAATTATTGAAGCTGATCACATTAAAAATTTTAAGTTACAAACTTTAATATCCAAACTTTGATGACTTGAACACAAGCTGTAGAACAATGTCCTAGTATCAGGGAGAAGAAAACACTGAATTAGTCAAAAAAAGCAGCCTTTTAAGTTGTTAAAAGTAAAAAAAAAAAAATAACAGAGAGGATTGTATAAAAACTAAGAATATCTGAAAAACTCATCCATGATCAATATTCTCAGGAAATAATCTGCCTAAAATTCATTTAAATCTCTGGTTTTACACAAACTTCCTGCAGTTATTGTGTTCACTGTTTGGGTTCATTGTACAGTTTATCAGTTGTTATGTATTTGTTGAAAATAGTTGGGGTTGTCAATTTACTCAATGATAGATAAGGAGTTCCTTTAGGAAAAAGGTTGGGAACCACTGCTCTGTATGTAAGATATAACCCTGTTGTCATAGAAACACTGCATATAGATAGATGTGAACAGGGGGCTGTTACTCTGTTTCCACAGGTGGACATCCCAGTGGTGACAATGATCGGATTAACCAGTATGATGACAACAATGGTGGGTTTTCTCTCTTTGTAGTGTTTGTTCATAAATGCATGTGTGTGTGAGCCCACTCTATATCTGTGTGTGTGTGTGTGTTCAGAAACCACAGCAGAGGTGGGCACCATTGCAGGGATTGTCAGTGCTGTTGCCATGGCACTGGTGGGTGCAGTCAGCAGCTACATCTCCTACCAGAAGAAGAAGCTGTGCTTCGGTATACAACGTAAGGCTTTTGCATTCCAGTCGTGTGTTCTAAAGGGAGTCAGTTCCTGTGACTACTGCTGCTAGTACAGCTTAAAATGACAATACTAAAGCTAGTTCCTAAGTGGAGACCAAAACGGAACTAGCACCAGAGTGTAATTTGGATTTAGCTTCATCAGGTGACCACAAACATACTCCAAATGGTTAAAGCTGTGTGGCTCTTTATTGGCTACATGTGTAAATTATTGTGTCTGTTTGCTAACACGTCCAATTAACAGCCTTTTAAAGCTGCAGTAGGTCAGCTTCCTAAAAATAACTTAGCTCAGTGGGTAGAGCTGGCGTCCCATGTACTGAGGCTGAGTCCTTGCTGCAGCGGCCCAGGGTTCGAATCCGACCTGTGGCCCTTTGCTTGGTGTCATCCCCTTTCTCTGCCCCCCTTTCCTGTCTGTCTTCAGCTGTCACTATCATAAAGGCAATAAAAGCCCCAAAAAATACTTAAAAAAAACCAAAGAACTTTTAGTTGTATTTTCTGAAACTTCCTCCTAGTGCTCTTAGTGGTATTTACAAGAATTCACCGGGCCTGAATAAAAACAACCACTCAGAACCAAGAAAAATATTTACCAGGTTGTCAAATACCGATGCTGGGAACGAGACACAACAACGTTACGCGCCCAACAGCACCACTGATGTAAAAAAAAAAATTTAGGGGAAACCCAGCAGATACAGTAGCAGTGGTTACAGCAGGAGAGACTCGTATTTGCTGATGCTTACTAAATTTGTTGTTTTGTTCTGACAGAGAGCCTGAATGCTGACATGGTAAAGGCTGAGAACCCGGAGGCTGTGGTGGCTACAGAACCACAAGGTAAACATGTGTGGAATTGGATGGGATGATATATGATATTATCGTGTATTGCGATGAAACCAATTTCCATTATCGGGATAATCCTGAATTGTGACAATTTCCAATTTAAGTTAGCGCACACTACCTGTAGAGGGAGAGTAATGGGACAGCTGTGGCTCAGAGGCAGAGCGGGTCGTTCCTTAATCGGAAGGTTGTGGTTTCGATCCCCGGCTCCTGGTGCCAAATGTCGAAGCATCCCTGAGCAAGATACTGAACCTCAAATTGCGTGCATCGGTGTGTGAATGTGTATGAATGTTAGTTTCTGTTCGATGGACTTTGCCATTACTGAGTGAAAGGGTGAATGTGGCATGTAGTGTAAAAGCGCTTTGAGTGGTCGGAAGACTAGAAAGGTGCTATACAAGTACAGGTCCATTTACCATTTAATGTCTGTTGTCATTTAGCTGTGTGTATAAATTTAAATTAATCTTTTTTTTTTTCCTCTGCAGTCCAGCAGACACTCCTGGAGCCACCTAATGCTGAACCTCCCACTGAAGAGAATGCTGTGTAACACACACACACACACACACACACACACACACACACACGCACACACACACAAAGCCCCCACCCAACTACATGCACTCTTTCCCAAACACCCCCCACCTAAAGGAACCCCCCAACCACACGTGCACACACACACACACACACACACACGATTTATGAGAACTGTCTATTGTGTAGCATGTCCTTGTTGAAGAGGTTGGGATTTGTAGTCCTGTGCTGAATGTGAACACGGATTTATTTTATTCTCTGCTGTAAACTTGGCCGACAGTGTATCCAACTTTGCCAAATGTATGTGTATATAGTAATTTATTGTTTACTTTTCGGACACCACTCACTGACTAAATGTTGGTTTTCAGTCATCCAGCCGTCAGCATGTAGCCTATGATTCCTCTGCAGTGAGCCGCGGCTTTAGTCGTAGCATTATGCTGAGCTCCAGGCACACAGTAAAGTTGGAATACTGTGTTAAAAAATACACAAAGCAGTTTTATCATATTCCATGTTGGAGAGAAACTCTATGGGTGTGTCAAGTTGCTTTAAGTTCACATGGAGTCAGTCACTGTTTGGTGATCCGGATTTCAGATTACTTCATTGATTGATTTAATCAATAACTTTATTCCAAGGCAGAGCCTGATAATGGCTTCAAGTGAGCCGGGGAGTTTTTTTTCTCTCTTGATTGAAAGTCTCATTATATCCTGACTTTAATACAGCAGTTCTGTTATCCCCTTTTGATACACAGATTATTTGTCACTAATCGTAGCTGTTACCAGGGACGTGCACAAGGCTGAACCAAAATTTCCAGAGCAACTGCCCAAAACAAATGCATAAATAATAATAAAAAAAGTATAAATACAAATTGAATCACCATATCATCCAAACTTTAATCACTTTTTTGACACATTGGAATCACATTGCGCAATATTTCCTCATATCATGCTGTCACATGAACCAATCTTAGCTAGCTGGCTAACATTCCGGAAGCAGGCTAGATGCTTCTCTGGAGTTATGCATGTAACTCTTCTGGAGTTATCATACGTGTAGAGACATGTAGAGGAGTTATTATGTAAGTTAGTGTACGTGTTGCATGTAGGTTAGAGCAACAGTCCCTCAAAATGTCTGTGCACGTCCCTGGCTGTTAGTTTTGTTGATGCACAATGATGGGAATCAAATCTAAACTGGAACAACGCTTTACAGAATTTTTTTATTTTTTATTTTACAGATAGGTGATTGTTCATTGCTCATTCTCAGATTGTCAAATACCAACACTGGGAACGAGATTCAACAATCAACTATCTTCGAGCCATTAACCCAAAACTATCTTTCTCAGCTCTGATTGTTTTTTTTCCGTTCATAATGATAATGATGTTGACTGACAATATGAATTTCTCTTATTCCTACAAAATGTGACATTGTTATTTAATTTATTACATTTTCAGTTTATTATATTGTCATCATGAGGTCATAATCAGTTTTTACTATAAAAATGGCATTTGTTACATTAATAATTGGTTGGGTCACCGAAGTTTCCCCAACAGGTTTAATTACATTTTGACCCACATGGTAGATGTGTTGCCCTTTAATGGGCTCCACTATTAGCTAATAAAGTCCAATAGTGGGTGAGGTACATACTCATAGAACTAGAGGCATGGCAGGTAACTACTGTTTACACCATGTGACAGTTATGTAATTAGTTGCTACATGCTTCTCCATCTACACCCTCCTCATGTTGTCTATCTTGATGTACAAAGTTGCCTTATTCACATTTGGATCTTTTTGCAACGGGGTCAAATAAGGCGTCTAAACATTTCTGTCTACTTACAACCTGTGACTTTTTATAGTGTAAATAGCCTAATATTTTAAAAAATAGACTGTTTTCAACTAGCCTTTACTGACAATGCCTAATGAAGGAAGTCTGGAGAAGCTTGGTTTTCCAAAGTGGTGATTGGTAAAATAATTTTCATTAGAACAGGTAGTGAACCATCCATCAGTTTCTTTGTATCAGACTAAGTGGTTGACAAGGAAAAAGCTAAAACATTAGCTGAAGAAGAAAAACAAAGTATTAAAAAAAAGTTCATCCCTGTAATGCTCGGTGTTCAGGGAATTCACAGGACTTGCCACATTTGATGTAGCATAAAAATGATGCGAGCTAAATCGGTTCCACTGCAGTTAGAGCTTAATATTGCACAGCGCATACTTCTCTTTGCTCTGTGGTTAGCTGTTTGAAAAAGAGGAAACCTCAGCAGGCAGTGACGAGGCTTGTGGACAGACAGAAAATGTGTGAAATGTGACTTTTGTTAAAGATACAACAAGCTAATATTGTTTGTACTATGTTTAATTGTGTGAGTATTGAGGCGCCAGTATGTGCAGTAGAACTATGAATTTATCTTTATCCCATTGTGGCCATTTTGAATTAACATCATTATGGGGAAGATTAGCTTGCATGTTGACATAATGCTAGTTTTATACATTCACCAAACTGATTTTTAGATAGAGACCAGACAGCTATTGGTGCTAGCATTTGATAAAGACAAACAAAGACAACTATTTAAAGAAGGATTTTTTAGTTAAGAAACACTAACATCTAGCCTTTCTTACACAAATATAATGTGTATCCTTGAGGCCTAACAAACACATGTCCTTGTTTATTTGCTAGCTATGCATATTACATTTGTTACCGCAACCAACTGTTGATCAGTGGACTAGCATGAATCTGTTAGCCGGAATGTGTAGCGCATAGCCTGTATGCATGAGATATTAACAAAATGGAGACACACTCTTAAAAACATTGCTCCTTAGCACTACTGTAGCCCAAAACTCCATGGCGTAACCTTAGGCTGGGCATACACTGTGCGTTTTTAGTTTTATTCCAACTCCTACTGTACGAGTAAAAATTGTCTGCAATGTAAAGCCAAAGCTAACGATTTATGTGTATGTGTAAAATAGAAACTAAAATTGCTCGTTGGCCCCTGTGGAATGTTCTGGCTATTGATAATCGTCAATAATGTTTCATTTGAAAGCTCTGAGGCAAGTAGAAGTTTGTTTGCTGGCAATGGCTAACAAACGTGTTGCTTTTGATAATCCTGTGTGCCAACTGTTGAAACTTCTGTATGGATTTTATCTTGTTCATACCGGTCTGATTTTCCATTCACTGTGTCGCTAATGCACCTCTGTTTGCCACTTGACGTGACAAGGGTGCGGTGAGAAAATAGGCACAGACTTTGGGGAACTGACTTGTGGCTCTGCTATAACTGTACAGGAGCCTGTCAAAGGCTGCAGTTAAAGTTTTTTTTTGACTGTGTCCTAATGGCTAATCACTGCACAAAGTGGGCGTGATTGACAGACTGTCTGTTTCAGGATATTGTCTGACAGTGATTGCACGGTCACTTTGCTTTGCCTTTGGTAGACTTCAAAATGGCCACCAATAGGAAAAGATTTTCAAGAGTGAAAAAGTGGTGTTTGTGAAAGGAAGGAGTTTGATACTGGTTGAGATAATTAAAAAACTAGAAGTCTGCTTTAGCTGTGTAGATGAAGTTAGCAGCATTAGTTAGCTTTAGTATTTTGAATAGTGTCATGAGTGCTTTTGGATGGTTGTACATATTACTGTGAGCAGTCCTGTGTTTGTACTATTAGCAGTGTGTAAGAGCATAATAATGCTCCGTATTATACTCTTTAGTGTGTGTGTGTGTTCACACTCTTCACCTGCTCTTTTTACACTTTGTACCCGACTTGACTTTTCCTAATAGCCTAACCTTTGTAGATAGTTCCTGCTTTCTGGTGAGTGAGCCTTTTCTGTACTGCCAACGGTTTATTGTTTCCTAATGACTCTTGGAGTCTTGTATGTTTCCGAATAAGAAAGCTTTTATTTGGGAGACCTGGGCTGCATCTGAAACCATTCACTATTTTCTATACTGTCTGATATTAAGTCTGTCTGTCGTTTTATAGCACTGCTCAAAGTGAGGATTATTGAATCCTATGTAGTGGACATAATCCCACGATTAAATTTAAATCTTAGTAAATAATGCCACGTTCAGGCCATGTGTGATGGAAGGTAGCAATGGGAAAGATTTGCAACTTTGTCCGACAACAAAAGACGATTGTATGACTGAAAAATACTGCACGTACAGCACTCTATCCATTGAATTGGTGTTTGTTTACTTTGAATTGCGGAATTTAGCTGAGTTGATATGCTTTTCCAGACACGTTTTCAAGTTGGGTATAATTAAGATTTCAGAAAAGTGCTTGCAAGTCACAAGTACGACTTGGTCTGGTCTTTACTCTCTCATTTGTACTTCTGTAAATCTCCATGATTATGTGATTTCAGCTAGTGCTTGGACCCACATATACCTCTTGAAATGCACATGGTTTCAAGCCAATTATTTCTTCTTCTACCCCTTTAAAAGCCAACGAACGTGGCATAAGCAATGATCGGTAACCAACTACCATCATGCATTGTTAATGACCTGAGTAGTGTCTGATAGAATAGTCTGTATCTGCAGAGGTGAATGTGATTTTAGATCTCGGCTCTTGGCCTGCATGAGTTCTCTTGTCTCATCCTCATTTCAGATACTGAGGGAGTATGTGTTGTATGAGCTATAAATAGTGTTGGTGTTACATATCTGACAGGATGCAGCACAGTCCTACGTGAGTACCACACCCTGGTCTACTCTACGTTGCCTTGGAAAAGCAGCCGCTACTACCCAAAATCCCTTTGTGTTGCTCCTTCTCTAAAAGTCCTTGAAACACTCAAGCTGCTGTCATCATCTCTGTAATCAGAGGCTGTTTGCACAAGGATATGTTCTTGTCTACAGCAAACTACAGATTGTGAAACAAACCAAACAAACAGAGGGTTCAACATTCAAACAAGTCTTTCCATTTTTTCTGTTCATAACCCATTTCTTGAAAAGAGGCCATGCGACTCCAATGACTAATATCTCGTAATCAGAATTTTTAAATTCTCAAATCATGATAGTGGTGTCAGCTTCAAATATACAGTGGAGCTCTGTCTTTTTTTAGGTATTTTATGCCTTTATTAGCAAAGATTGGAGAAACAGCAAGAAAAAGGTTCTCGGCCAGATTGAACCGGGGACATTGCAGTCCATGTGTGGCATTGCAGGCGTAGCTCCTAACTTCTCACATCCAAGTTCCATTCAACGTTCGTAACATTGATTTGAGAAATTAGTAGCTATGCTTGTCTTGGGTAATGTTTGCTGACCAACAGCTAGCTAGCCAACTAGTGTTACCTTGGTAACAGTAGCTATGTTGGAGATGTATACAGTAGCTTAATTATGTGGCACTATGGTTTGGAGCTGCCTCTTGAACTTGTCTAGTGTGTGAGTGTTCGGGGACTTTGAGCAGTTGGAGTAACAAACTTTTCAAACTTGTAAGAATGGATAACCTCTCTGCCCTGTCAGCTGTAATTCAAACGGTGCTTCTCTTTTTGCCTTATATCCTGCACAGTCCCACAGGGACATGCCACAGTATTCATCTAAGACCCTGTAGTTGCACCTGAGCAAGAGCAACACCCACGGCTTACAGCTCCTTTGGGTGGTTACCTTGAAAGGGAAGCACCCAGAGGACTGAAAGGTACGGGTGTTTCGTCAAGCTCAGGCAGCAGAGAGCCGTACTTCACACAGATAAAACACAAAATAACAAACCTTTCTGTTTACTGAATGTATCAAATATCTAGCAAAAACCTTTGGCATGTAGCAAAAATACAAATTCACCAAAGATGTTGCATTGATTGAGATTGACTTTGCCTTTGGGATTAGATTATCTGTTTGTAAGAAAAAGGTTTGGAAGGAATTGTGAGGGGAAAGGTTGAATCAGGCCTTGAATCTAAATGTTTCACAGACGTCTTTGCCCTCTCAGGTGGAACATTTTAATTAGTTTGATGGATTAGAATGAAGAGTGCATGAACATTTTTTAAGTCCATGAAAATATAGTACAGATGTACCTGATATCTTACAAGGAATGTGTACAATGCTCACTTAGATACAAGATGTGTGAATGACTCTATTATTGTCGACACTGTGGATGTTGATGCTGGGGCAGTTGGAAGGTGTATGAAAAGAAAGGTCCAAAGAAGCAGCAGTTGTGTCATTACAGTAAAAAAAGGTGGTCCTGTTTGTCAGTGATCAAATTGTTGCTTTAAAATTCCTAGCTCCCCCTCAACCTAGGCGGAGCTGATTGTCAGAGCGATGCAGATGGGAAACAATGCTTCACTTTGGTCTATAAAAATCAGTGGTGCGCTCCTTTAAGCCTGTAGCAGACTTGGCTTTATCTCAAGAAATTAAGCCTGTTAGCTCGCTTTGTAAAGTGTCCCCCTGGTCTCCAATCTCTATGTTATAAGACAGCTATGCCTGACTTATTCTGCAGTGAAGACACCTTGTGTGGAAGCAGTCACACTGACCTCTCCAAACACTCTGCTCCTCTGGTAGACCTTTTCCACCAACCGGTTCAAGCACCTGGTTTGAACCTTTTAGAGAATTTCGAACAGAATTAGATCGGTTCAAAACCTAAAAAGTCGGTTCCAAGCTTGAACAAAAAAATAGCAACCACAGTGGACATGTCATATATTACAGGTCGTGCATTGTGCAGCGCCCTCGGTTGATGCATCTGATTACACTCAAAACTGGTGGAAACACTGGTTTGCTAGATAGTACCAAAGTTCCAAGAATGTTTAATGGAACTGGTTCAAGAACCAAAACTTATTTGGTGGAAAAGGGGCCAGACTGTCCTCTCATTGTACTGCACTCTAGTGCCTGTCACCGTGTTATGCAAAGAGTCACAGTAAAAACCACAAGAGCCCAGCAGGCTATCAGTGATTTGATATTTGAGGGCTGGCTTTGCAAGGCTACCTGTCACATACGACACATACACACCTCTCCAGTATACTTTTCTCACACATATACACACTTTGATGCATGCTTTTCTCTACATACTGTATACACAGGTACTTATAGCTTAACGAGTGTTGGACGGTCTTCATTGCTTAGAGTGTAATAGTGAACTCTTCTTTCTCACTTATTGCATCTTATTTGCATCTTATTGCAATGATAACTCTCTGGCAATATGTTACGGATACTTGTTACTCATATGAACCAATAAAAAAAACATTTTAAAAGACAAAACAGCGACTGGAGGTTTGAATTCTTCCTTTTTTATTTTTAAAATGGAATGTCAGAAGTGATAATGGCTCATTAGGGGTTTTCACATCGTTAGACACATTACACACATAAAAAGACACATTACATGATCACATGCCACAGGTAGACAGGTTATAAGTTACGTTGCATTAAGAGGGATGTCATTACACTGTACAAAATACACGGATGAGACAACATTAAGGCTTAGCTAATCCAGGCTGACATGTTTTTATCCAGCTAAATTGGTTTTTGGAACACAGGGTTTTATTAATTTATTTTTTTAATCTCAGATGAAGTTAATAATAACTAAATAAAGGCAACACGAGGAGTCGAAACCATGATCAGCACTCACGTTAGTGGCTGAGTGCTGATCATGTGATTGTATTCGTAACTGGCTGGCTTGGCCCTACTGTTAGTAGTCACTTTAAATCTCTTAAATGTATTATAAGTGCAGAGGAACCTGATAGAATCTCTCAGAGCACATTAAACTTGAGAGATTAAATAAATTTTATGTAGAGCATATGAAATTGATTAGTTAGCCAACTATTTCTTATTATTAATTAAAGTCATTTCTTTTAGACAAAATAACCAAATTCTCTGATTTCAGCCTCTCAATGTGAATATTTTCTGCTTTCTTTAGTCCTCTATGACAGTAAACTGAAAACCTTTGGGTTGTGGACAAAACAAGACTTTGAGGATGCCACCTTGAGCCTTGGGAAACAGTCATCGAAAATTTTCACCAATTTTTGACATTTTATGGACCAAACAACTAATTCATTCATTGTTGTTGAGTCAAAAGTGACTAGTTTTTATTCTGTATCTCACACTCAGTGTGGATTGGCAATTTTTTTTAAAGTAAACATTTTTATCATGAATAGGTATTTTTCTCTTTATTGTGAAATCTGAATTTTAATAAAACACAATATCTTCAATATTTTACATTTTCAAAATGATAATTATATTAACATTATTGATGCCTGTAATGCAGGGGTCTTCAACTACATTTATCCAAGGGCCAAAATGTTTCTAAGCAGACACTGGGGGCAGGAAATTCATTATTCTTTGATATTTTCACTTTCTCTGAAAATTAGAGTTGGCTGCTTCATCTTGTTCCATTCCTTGAGGAAATATTACAAACTGAGCTGCTGTTAAAAAATGTCAAAAATGAACATTGAACATTTCAGATGAAGTGTCAAGCTAACCAACAAACACATTGAATTTCCTGTGACTGCTACTTCATAATAAAAGTCAAAATGTCAACAAAGTTAATGCTTTTAATGTGAAGCTGCAGTGGTATCAAATGTTCAGTCTGCATTACCAGAAACTTAATACTGCATTTTTCAGGGAATGTTGTACGAATACTGTAAATGTATAAATGCTTTCATCAGTGGCAATTCTGTGAACTTGATGTGGCCTGCCAATTAAAGACGCCTACTATAATGAAAGGACTTATTGATTCGGAAAGGACTTATTGATTCGGCTAACTCTGCATGTGACTGGTTTAAAAATCCAGGCTTGTGTCAGATGATAACTAAAACTAACTGCAATATCCATCTATCCACTCACTGAGCTCAGAAATATTTGCAAGGCTCTATGAAAAATAACACAAATGGGAGGATGTTTCTTAACCTCATCTATACCCTTTTCACAGCAGCTATTTTTACATAAGATAGTAGGGTAAACACAGGTGTTACCAATGACACTAATTAAGGTTCTATTTATCTTCATTTTGTGTAGCAGAGCCTTTCCAGTGAGCCAACCAAGCAGCAACAACAAACACTGCAGTTCCTCTAACGGCCACTTGAGGCTGGCTCCAGCAGTGAGTCAATCTCCATAAGGCTCCATATTAAAATGCCCAACTTTACAGCAGAAATAAACATGTTTATAGACTGGTCTCTAAAGCTAATTTCCCTGTTCATGACAACTGTATGTCCATCACATCCACACAACAGGACATGCTGATGCTTGAACATGGTTCTGAAAGTGACCCAATCTTCTTTTAAACTGCTTTCAGTCAGTGAAACCACACAGTCAGACATTTACAATTTAGGACCAGCTCTACATACACAGACCTTCGGTTAATTTGTGAGATTAGAAATTCAAGTGATTTTAGTAGTAAGTAAAGGACAAAGTGGCTGGCAATGTCAGAACAGAAGATCACACTTTTGGAAAACCAAATGAAAACGTTATTTTGTTATCCAAATAAAGAAAAACATTTACAGCGAGGCAGTGTCCAGGTAATGGGAAGGGAAAAAGCAGCCATCCACTATTATTCCTATTCCAAAAATTATTATTATTATCACTTATTTTCATTTTTCTCCCACTTCAATTAGCTCATAGCAATGTTGATGAAGAGGACCAACGCTCACTGACAAGGTAAGGAAGAGAGGATGTGAGGGAGTGTGCAGTGATTTTATTTAAAACACTACAGGTAACTGCAGGCAGTTGTTACATGTTACTGGCAGCCATGTGCAGTGGTGTGAGACAAATAGCCCTGAGAGAAATAGTAGCAATTCTTTGTAGAAAAATAAAAACACTGCAGATCAAATCAGATAATTTATGAAAGTGAGGATGAAGTCTGAGTGAGATCGGATTCCTTTGTCAGTGTTTAAATAGTATAAATAAGAAGCACAGGAAGGTTCAATTAGGTCACTGACAGTTGTTTCAGGCCAGTTTTAATACTTTCTTTAAATACTTTTTTTACATTTTACTTTGCTAAAAACATTAATATAAAATTAGGAATCTCTCTCTTTGTGAAGCCTTGCTCACATGGTAAACACCGTTATCCTCAGTATAATATAATAATAATAAAAAAGTATAATAATGGGCTAAAACATGCATTAAACTGTGTGTGCGTGTGCGTGTGTTTGTGTGTGTGTGTGTGTGTGTGTGTGTGTGTGTGTGTGTTTAGCAGGCAGTGATGTGTAGGGGTGTTTCTGATGTGTGCGTTAGACAGCGGTGTGCAGTGGAGTTCCTGTGGTGTGTGAGGGGGAATGTTCAGAGGAGGAGGACAGGGAGTGGGAGGAGGCCTCTCTCTGTAGCTCCTCCACCCTCCTCTGGAGCTCTGCTCTAAGGATCAGCAGCTCCTTCAGGGTTTGGTGCACCGGCACCTGGAACACACAACATACAGTCACATTGTCAGACCTCTACAGGGGTAATCCAGACAGGTGGAACCTCCTTCCCCTTGGAGGGAGATTACCAACATCCAGGTGTGAACTGGCCTTACATATCCAAGACTGGTTTCTTTAAAGGACCAGGACTATGGTGGCCACGAAATGTCTCTTGGATAGATATAAAGGGCTCATTCTAAGGTAACGAAAACACAACAATTCTTATTTTCAGGTGATCAACACTAATGAAAACATACCTATGAATATTATATTCCATTTTTGACATCAGAGCCTCAATGTTACACACTGGACCTTTAAACAGGGATATCTTGTTGGCTTTCTATCTTAAAATATTGTAATATTTTAAGAAATTTTTTTTTGACAAAAGCTATATTATTCTGAGGATTGAGATAAGAGATGAGAGCTGTCAGGCCTGAATGAAATTAAAAGTTAGAAAGTTAGCTGATTGTTGAGTCTCATTCCCAGGGCGTCAAATACAGATGCTTTGGGTCCCTGGGAATTAAACTCAACAATCAACTATCTTCAAGCCTCCAAACTAAAGTATCTTCATATCTTTCTCAGCTCTGATTAGTTAGTTTCATCCAGGCCCGGTGGATTCTTGTAAATGTCATTATGAGCACTAGGAGGAGCCAGAGGAACCTGATTGTTTCACAGATGATCTGTCTCATGTTCTACTGTCAGGATATAGTGAACTTGTATAGCGCCTTTCTAGTCTTCCGACCACTCAAAGCGCTTTTATACTATGTGCCACATTCACCCTTTCACACACATTTACACAGTGATGGCAAAGTCCATCAAACAGAAACTAACATTCATACACATTCGCACACCGATGCATGGCATCGGGAGCAATTTGGGGTTCAGTATGTTGCTTAAGGATACTTCGACATGTCCACGACCAGGAGCCGGGGATCGAACCCACAACCTTCCGATCAAGGAACAACCCGCTCTGCCTCTGAGCCACAGCCGCCCCCACTGGTAGCTGGAGAGGTGCCAGTTTCACCTCCTGTGCACTGCCGAGGTGCCCTTGAGCAAGGCAACCTAAAGGAACAATTTCCCCTAGGGGATTAATAAAGTAAATCTTCTTCTTCTTAATGCTTAACTAATGCATGCAATATGAATGGGGATGAGGATGCATCATGTACCCATTTCTGACAACTGGAATCCTTCTAATTTGGTTACATATCAATTCATGTATGAATGATAAAATAGATTATTTCCTATTTGTATCAATTTCCAGGTTTCCATGACGATGTGTGGGATCCGTCACTGCCATCAGTGTATGAATGGGGTGAGTGTGGCATGTAGTGTACAGAGCATTGAGTGGTCGAAAGACTAGAAAGGCGTTATACAAGTACAGTCTGTTTAACTTCAGTCCAGACAATGAAACATTAGTGGATCTGAAATTATTCTGTTAATTTCACACATGCTTACTGCTCAGTCCTTTTCTTTCTTTGGTTGTTGATTTATTGTTTTACTGATCAGACTGACTTCCTGTTTGAAACACTGTTTTGTTGACCAGTCCCCTCTTTTTTCTCTGCTAGTGCTTCTTTAAATGGTCATACTGGGCAGTTCTCTGCCGGTAATGCTGGCCATGTACCTGTGGTCTCATGCGTGGGTTCCAGCGGGCATAGTAGCTGCTCCACAGCTCCAGATGTCTGGAGGAGACCAGCGGATACAGGACGTGGTGCTCATAGTTCACATAGAAGGGGTTGGTGAAGTCCTCTGGCTGGCTGTTGGGGGACAACATTCAACAGTCAGAGAATCTCTCCACTCATTCACTCATATCAATGTGGTTAATATCTTACCTGTTAATATAGGACCACAGGGACACCGTCTTGGTCTGCACCTCCTGCACAGGATGGAGGAGTTTAATCTGAGCCTTCAACCCCACATCACTACACATCACTGCCCGTTAACAGGAGAATGGTACAAACCTTGGCTGCCCTCTCCTGTTCACTGTTATAGAGGAATGTACCAAACAGACAGCTGTACAGGTGGTCCAGCACCGTGATCAGGAACAGCTCATTGAACTCAAAGGCTGCTGGGAACTGCAGTCAGAGGAACAGAGGTGATTATGAGAAGAGAGCTGCAGCTTCTAAATGTCTATGACTGAGCCCATGTGCACATGAATAGGCTTATCCTGATTGGCTGAGCAGTGTGTATTTTCAATGTGCTGCTTCAAGAAAATGAGAAATCCTGAGTATACTGGTTGTAGCATGTCTGCTGTCAGTGGTTGTTAAATCAAAGAGGTAAATGGACATGCTACTCCTGATGTAGTACATTTATTAGACATATTTAATGTGAAAAAAATTAACATATTGTTTATAAAATATATATGTATGAGAATGGAAACTGACCTGTCGAGTCATCTGCCAAACACAGTCGATGAACTGGACGAAGAGAGGTGAGCGCTCTGAGTTAGCGTGGTTCTCATCACCATGACCCACACGCTACAACACAGAACATGTGATATGTCATACATACATATATGTAGGTAAGGTAGGTTTGTTTGTGGTTGTACAGTTTCATGGGGCTGTGCTATCCTAGAGGTCACAACACATTTATACTGCATAAAAAAAACTGCATGGGGTAAGCAGAGAGTTGCAGGTTTGTATTGAGGAGACTCGTGGGTGCCCATAGAAAGTTGTTGAGGTCAGAAGTCAAGGGATCCATTAGAAAGACCATTCCAGTTTTTCCATCACTGAAATTTAGCCTAACTTTGGAGCGTTATTTACCCCATTCTCAACAAACTAGCATGACGTGGCTTGGTACCTATGGATGCCTTAGGTCTAGTTTCATATGATAGCAGTATCTTTACTCTAGCTGAGCCCGCTATATAAGTCCAGAAACCTATAAGGTAAGTCTTTAGTCAACTTGATAGTTTAATGAGTGGAAATCTAATGTAATTTATATTATTTTTCATCACACTGAATAGCTCACTCACAATAATTGAAAGTGCTTTAAATTGCCACAAGGGGGAGCCCAGATATTTAGAAATATTTATCTAAAAATAACATACTGCAGCTTAAGGGTGATGTAATGGTAGTTTTACAGTGCATTAGTTCATCAGCAGTAAGAATATCATCAGTTTAACTCTTGGTTCCTTACAGCAGCAAACTTGTGTCCAAAACTAATCCACTCCTTCTCCACCAGAACCTGTAAACACAAACACACATTTCCTCATTCTGTTGCACAGATGAAGACTGTGGTATGTAGTTGATATTCATACTTTGCACGTGACGTCACAACTACTAGCTGGCGGGCAAGAACATCGTTCTCCAGCAACGAAACCCAGTAAACTAATCAAGGATCTTGCCAGGACGTCGCCAGTTTTACTATACAAAAGTATATATATGTATCATATGTATGTGATTTGATATGATATGATGAGAAGAAGAATACATGTTACAGTACACACGTTACTGTTGTACTGCGTCTACTTACTTACAGTTACTTTGCATACATACTATGGTACAGTTATTACTACTACATTAACGTTACAACCTAACAGATTGCTAACAGGATTAAAGGCATTTTGCTGCCCCAGCTGCTCTTGTCTGTTGTCTGATGCTATGTGGAGTGGATGAGCAGGTAGGCTACAATGTTTGACATCCTGTTAGCCATATATGATACAGTCTAGTTGGCATAAGGTTTTTTTTAAACTAACGCTACTTATCAAGCTGTCATTGGCGGCAGGCAGGATGTACATATTCAGATGAAGACTTCATCACACGACGGAACAGCTGTCACTTTGTGTATAGCTACAAACATGCAACGTTAGCGGGTAACGTTAGCTAAGTTAGCTAACTAGTAACACTCACGTTAGCTTTGATTATGAAGATATTCCTGTTCTTCACCTCCCATACGACAGCGTTGTTAACCCATCCACTCTTGAAAAAAAGATAGCTATCCGTACTTTTGTAGGCTTTCATTCTTTGTGCGGTGTAAGGTGACGGAGATATGTAAATATATATGTTTCTTGCCCGCCAGGTAACCATGGTAATCACGTGACTGCAAAGTATGAATTGTGATGTAGTGTCTGACCTCGAATCCTCTGAGAGTACGGTAGTGACTGTCCAGCATCAGCATGGCCAGAGAGGTGAGCTGAGCAGTTCTGTCCCAACCGTCACTGCAGTGAACCACCACCGACGTCTTCCCGGACTCCAGCTTATCCGCTATCTTCGCTGCTCCTGCTAATAACAGCTACACACAGCAGACACACGCAGTGTGTTAATGATACACCCTGTGCAGCTCATGGGTTGCTCAAAGGGGCCGTGTTTGTGATTTACCCGTATGTACTCCAGCCAGTGTGTCTGGTCAATAGCAGAGTGCCAGTGGACTTCATCTATGGTGGGGTAAACCACGTCCTTCATCTTCCTCAGAGACTCCCTCATCACATGAATGTTGGGGATTTCAAGGAAATTCAGCTCGACATTCGGGTAGAAGCTCTCACTTTCATACCCTCCATCCTTTGCCTGAATGTGTCAGAGGCAGCAGAGGTGAGCAGAGAACAAAACCGTTATTTATCTTTCTGTTTAACCGAGCCTGTGTCATACCTTGTTGGTGTCTGCTACACTATTCTGCCGGGCGTCAAAGATGGTGAGCTTGTGGGACTGGGCATTGGCGTCCATGATGATTTGGAGAAAGCGTTCATCCTCTTTACATCGGCGGTCCGAAGGTCCGACTAATGGCTGGCTGCAGCGTACAATGGTGGCCTGAGACTCCGGGTGAATCCAGGACAAGACCTGTAGGAAGAGCAGGGGGACCAGTTCAGGACCACCAAAAAGAAATCATGAGCCACACTGCTACACTGGGTGGTGTTCCTTCATTGCCATGACACAATCCCACAGATACTGCCCCAAAAAGTCACTACAGCACAGACTGTGGATTAATCCGCCACTTAAAATAGTCCTCATCAAAGGCCCTATTTCCTCCTGTTTCAGTAACAGTACAGTGGTCAGCTGTTTTAGGACATCTGTGAGCTGCTTATATAGATTTACTGCAGTAGGAGACAAAGGGTTTGGAACGAAGAGCCACTGAGTCAGAAAGTATTGAGAGACACTTTGTTGGTTTTGGACATTTCATTAAAATGGTCAGTGGTCATCATGTGCACTGAATGTGGTCCTCAGACTGACCGGTATGCGGTGCTTAGCTCTGAACACAGCCACTCGCTTGATGTCTTCATCTGTGATGTTGGTGGGGATGACCAGGGTGGAGGGATAGGTGTCACACAGCTCATAGGTGCTGTTCATCTTGCTGAAGGTCCAGCTTTCATTGGGGAGGCCCTGATGGAACACATGCAACCCAAAGGGATGAAACATTAGAACAGTGGTTCCCAACCTAGGGTTGCCAAAGATTCACAGGGATCTTATGTATTATGTAATACAAGGACGAAATTGCAAGCAAGATGGAGTGACAGCAGGGACGGCCAATCACACAAGAAATGGCAGAGCCAATCGAGGAGCTTGTGGGCGGTCTAAACTAAGGGTAACAGGCTTTAGCTTGAGCAGCCGTTTTCCGCTTGGTCCTAGTCTCTGTTTACTATAGCGTAACATTGTTTTTGGACGGTAAAAACAGCAGGGGACCAAAACGGCATGTCCCCTGTGCCCCTGTGCCCCCCCCCCAAATTACGTCCATGATGTAATATCTTGTAACACAAACTTCCTGCAGTTTTTGTGTTCACTGTTTGGGGGTTGTCAATTTACTCAATGATAGTCCCTTTAGGAAAAAACATTGCATTAGAAGACAAGAAAATATTGCTATTTGTGTTATCACCATGCAAGTACCTTAGCAAACTTGTTTCCTTACATACTGTAAATACTCAGATACTGCAAAGGGCCTTTATTTACCTTATTTGATCTGATTACTTGTTTATGGGTGGTCTTGATAAATGCATGCTAATCGGCTGTTGCAGATGTCACTACTCTGCTGCTTTGTTTGTCTTCTTCTCTTGCAGCACACCATAGAGTTTGTGCAATTATGTTTTAGCATCTTAGAAATATTTTTCAAAATCCAGTCCTTTTTAACTTTTAAACTCACAGAGATTTTACAGAGAACATTTTACATGCCACCAAAAGTCTATCGACTGACTTAAGACTGTACAGAACTCAGCTGCCATGCTTTTAACTAGAACCAAGAAAGATGATCACGATTGATGATGATTTTGTGAAGCAAAAAATATCTAAAAATAAAAATATTATTATTATTTATAGTATTATTGTTATTAATCTCTAACAAAAGTACTTATGTCATTAATTAATTATTTACAGTTGCTTCCATTTTGTAGTTTTTTGCAATACTTTATTTTGTGTTATTGTATTGATTCTCACAAACACTGTTTTTTATTTAAATCCCCGACCACTAGATAGCAATGTTGTTAACTGAGGGCTATGATGTTGGACATTACAGCAACTGATGAATACAAATGCATACAAAAGATTTTATAGAACCTTTTATACTTAGACTGTATGCATATGGTGGTGTGTTCTTCATACTATCAGTTTTCCTAAAATTAAATTGAAAAAAAAATATATAGCCTTGCTTACAGTATTGCGAGGTGATGGAATTAATGAGATGTGTATATACACTGAAGAAATCTCTAATACCTTCTCCTGAATCATGAAAATCATCATTGCAAAATGCCTTTATGTCCATACCAACAACATTCTATCAGGCTAAATTAGTTGAAGAGTTAATCAAATCAAAACAGATTTTGCTCCAGGACAAGTCTACCAAAAAGATAAAGAACATAAAGATGAATCTAAAAATAATACAATATAATAGAAATATCAAAACTAGAGTGAAAATGAACAATGGTTTCGGTGTTGAGTGCACACACAGAACAAATGAAACACTGAAACAATATAACCAGTTAAGTCTGTGTATTCACTCAGTGTTGCAGTTACCTGACGTCTGTACTCTGCTGTCGGGTCGTATACCTTCCAGCCATCCACAGGAAACTGCTCCTTGTACAGGAAGGCAAACAGGGGCTGCCAAAAGATATCCCAGTAGCAATGTTAGCATTCAGTCACTATTAAACTTCTGACTGTTGCTCAGGCATTTATACGCACTTAACAAGCTGTAGTTAACCTCAGAAGATTTTCTCTAAATACATCATATTGAAGGATTTTAAAAATTGGAAAACGTCACACAGACACTCCTTTTTGTCTGATGATTAGTTTCATTAACAAGTAACATAGTCACATATTTCCAATAACTGATCAATAGTTTCCTGTAGTATCCCATCAAAACCTCCCAAAACCCTAAATTATATTTATTTTTTCTGGACCACAAGTTAAAAAGGTTATTTGTTCACAATGACAATGACATACCAGTTTCCCACCAGTGAATACTGCCAATTGACCCTGTCTAAGTCCCGCCCCTGTTCACTCTGTGCTTCCATAAATAATAGCTGAGCAAGCTGTCAAAGTCAAATCAAAGTTTTCCTTTCCTGTACTTACATATGCTATGTGCTAGGCTAATCTGTGTTGAAAAGATAATACAATTTTAACATATACAGTTGCAATCTATAATAATCCTTAACTTGCTTCAGCTGTGATGCATATATAAAGGCCACCCATGAAGGTATTGAAGGTGAGTTGCCAATCATGGGAAAAACAAAGGAGCTTCCACAAAAGCTGAGAGAGGAGATTATTTCATCACACCTGAAGGGCCTTGGGTATAAGAAGACTAAGGGCACTTAGCAACTTAGTCAGAACACTGATAGAAACCCCTGTGTGACTGCAAGACACCTACAGGATGACCTGATGAAGGCTGGTACAAGTGCTTCAGTGACAACTATAAGACGTGCACTGAATAAACAAGGACTTCATGGCCGGACTCCAAGACGCACTTTACTCTTGACCACAAGGAACATCAAAAGTCGACTGCAATATGCCAGGAGGAATTTGGATAAGACCCCAGAGTTTACGGAGACTGATGAAACCAAACTGGAACTGTTTGGACATATGGACCAGTGTATGTCTGGCGTGCCCTGGTGATCATTGGACTTTGCAGCAAGAGAATGATCCCAAGCACACCTCCAAGTTAACCCAAAGCTTGGTTGAGAAAAAGATCCTGGAACGTCCTGGAGTGGCCTTCTCAGTCACCAGATTTAAATCCGATTGAAAATCTTTGGTGGGATTTAAAGCAGGCAGTTGCAGCACGGAAGCCATCAAACATCATTGAGGTAGAGGCTTTTGCACGTGAAGAATGGGCAAAGATTCCGATCGAGAGTTGTAAAAACCTTGACAGCACACCGAAAATGTTTGTTAGAAGTTATAAAAGCTAAAGGATGCTCCACAAAGTACTGAAGCTGTGGGTTGAATAATACTGCACATGCACATGTTTAAAAAGAGTTACATTTTTCATTTGGACTTCAAAGTCAACTTCTGTTGTCAAAACAACTCAAATATGTATCAATAAATATTTTTTGTTTAATGAGGTTTTTTCTCATTTATTGTCATTATTTTTCATCCACATCACTATAATGTCTTTTGAGGAGAGGGGGTTGAATATTTCTGATTGCAACTGTATATAGTTACATATTAAGTCAGCTAGTGCTAGCAAAATGTCAGCTAAGTAGCTAAGTAGTAAGTAGCTCTGTAGCAGAAGGCTAAGTAACTAGCTAAATAGCTAACTAACGATTGATGTAGATTAGCTAGATAGTAATTGTTTTGCTAACATTAGTTAACTTAAGATGTGAATATATAACACTAAGGAACACATTCATATTAGACTGACCAGGTTGTGGGAGAAGGGGAAGGCATGTTTGGCCAGAACCTCCACCACATCCGGATGGCTTTCCTCTGTCTTATAAGCAAACCTGGGACTCCTCATGTCCTGAAGCAGAGACAACATCAGAAGAAACCCCCAAAATAACCCCCCAACGGAAACTGCACACTCATCACTCATAATTATTGAAATTATTAGTTTATTAATTCATTCTCTGATTCCACCTTCACCAATGTGTGAGAGAGTGTGGTACCTTGCAGACTAGCTCCAGTCCTTTGGTGTTCTCTCCCTGGTTGGGAACAGTGATGGTCTCCAGTCTGCTGATGACTCCCAGGTTCACATCAAGAATGAATGGAGAGTCCTGGATGTACACACACTGACATTAGACACATACAATACAGAGAGACAATAGAGCTGTGGTTGTGAATAAAAGCTCTGCTGAGATCTTCAGTACCCTTTCCACACTGGTGAAGTAGAGCTTATAGTCTGTGATGGTCAGGGTCCCATTAACCAGACCACTGAATGGACAGATGTACATCACATCCTTGACTGCCCGCCAGTGCACACACAAAAAAAGATATGGATTAACTCACAAATAAGTAATATGCACATTGACTGTTTTAAAGCTGGAGTAGGTAATTTTTATGAAAAACATTTTTTGTCATATTTGCTGACTACTGTAAGGATATAGTGAAAGTTTCAGCAAATATGACAAAAAGTTGCAGCTTGAAAACTGATAAAACGCCTGATACTGTCATGATGAATTTGGATGAGAGACAGATTAGTTGAACTTACCTGAAGTCTGGATGGTCTCTCCAGGTAGCAGAGGAACCTGGTTCTGGAACATTTTGACCTGTGCCCCGTATCTCAGAGCTGGAAGGTTCTGTACAGAATACAGACCAATTAGTGGGACCAAAACACCCAGCATACAGCAATAATCATCACTGTGAACTAAATGAGTACGCTTCCAGGAGTTCTTGTTGAACGTTTTTGAAGGACAAAACATAAAGCATGCCCTTTCAGGTATGACAAGACAATACATGAAAACACGTGAATGACCACCACTATTCAAGACTTTTATTTAATTATCATCTTTTGTCAGTGGAATCTCTGCTCTTTTGTTTTTTTTCTTACTGTACAGAGAGCGACAAACAACAGTGAGATATCTTAATTTTTAGTTCCTAGTATGGGTCAAGCTCCAGGAAATACTGGATCTCACATTTCCCATAATGCAAATCAACAGAATCTTTCATTAGACCCTCCCTGTCTCCAAACTTTATTATTTGCTGTCATTCCTTGGGTTTACAGAGCTGAAGGAAGCTGAGATGGAAGGAGTTAACGAGCGGAGTGAGGCATGCAGACCAGGACAGAGTGAGGAGGAAGGAGAGAGGACAGACAGACAGAAAGAAAGAAAGAAAGAAAGAAAGAAAGAAAGAAAGAAAGAAAGACTTGCCAAAGCATTGGAAGGGTGCTCAGATTCACTTTCTCCATGGTAACAAAGCCCTTCATCTTGTGAATCTTGCTGCAGAGAAGAGCCAGCATGGAGAAAGTGAGAGAAAGAGAGAAAGAGAGATTATACAGTAAATAAACATTATTCTACAACTCTTATTGTCACTCCCCGCTCTCTGCTGAGCTGAGATTGGTGCGTTTCTAGATGCCAACGCTGTAAGTATTCACATTGTCATATTTATCACAAAGCCTTTCTCAAAATGACCCACTCCTGTGACCTTGATGGCTGCTGACATTTCAAACTCTCTTAAGCATACAATCGGTCATTTCTGCCACTCGACAAAACAATAGGAAAAGAGAAAGTTTAATGATGTGGTGAAGTAGCGTGGGATCATGGGAGTTGTGGTCTTCACCACCATTGCCGTCATTGCAGTCAGCTTCTCCCAGTTAGGATGGTTCAGGAGGTTTCTACCATGAGCCCAATTATCCACAGAGGTCTCATCCTCTCCAAAACCATCAGACCTGCTGATTAAAGCCACTAAACACACTGAATAAAGCAGTTCCACCTTAAAAATCACTGTTTCTCCCACGCTGCTGACAAAGGCCGTCTGTTGGACAGACAAAGGGCGTCCCAGAGGGGCTGCGAGCTGAGCTGCTGCTAACGTTAGCTCAGCTTGTTTCTCTGATAATTTAAGATCCAGACGTCCTATAACTAAAATCCTTCATCTGGTTCAAATCTAGAGTTAAAAAGCACCAAGATCTAAACAGTGGATGGTAAAAATTTGGCTTCAGACTGGATAAACAGTCAATGTATGACAGCTTCTGGTAGACAACCACAACCCCCGCCGCGGCAAAAAGGGGAAAAAAAAAAAAAATAAAAAAAAAATTCCTCAAACAAAAGGCAAAGGAGGGGGAAAAAAAAAAAAAATTGTTTTATGACCTAAACCTAACTATTTATTATTTGAGCTTTTTTATTTTCCACTGATGGAGTTTTTGTTTAGTGTACGTTACCGTTTGATTTTATATCTAATTTTGTTTTTGTTAGTCCTTAAATCGATAAGTAATTATTGTGGTATTTTAATATTCATGTGGATGTTGACAATGACAGCCTTAGTAATGCATTTATATCATTAATAGACTAATTGGCTTCTGTCAGAGTGTAAATAAACCAATATTGTTTTAATCACACTCTTGACCTTGTTTTATCATATGGCATTGATATTGAACATTTAATAGTCTTCCCACATAATCCTTTCCTATCTGACCATTATTTAGTAACTTTTGAATTCATACTATTAGATTATAAGCCATTAGACAAAACTTCCTACAGAATTTTATCTGACAGTGTGTAGCTAAATTTAAGAGAGATTCCTTCGTGTTTAATTCAATGCATGTTAATTTAACAGAGTCCTATAACAACTTTAGTCCCTCTGAAATTGATAATCTTGTCGATAGTGCTACAGGCTCACTACGATCAACATTAGACTCTATCGCTCCTATAAAAGGAAATTATTAAAACATAGGAGACTAGCACCTTGGTATAACCACCAAACCCGCCGTTAAAGCAAATAGCTAGGAAATCTGAAAGGAAATGGCGCTCTTCAATTATCGAATATCGCTCAAATTGGCAAGATGATCTTAGATTTATAGAAAGGCCCTCCGTAATGCCAGAGGAGCCTATACTCAGCACTAATAGAAGAAAATAAGAACAACCTAGGTTCCTTCAGCACTGTAGCCAGGCTGACGAGAGTCACAGCTCTATCGAGCCACATATCCCCATAAACTTAAGTAGCAATGACTTCATGAGCTTCTTCTATAATAAAATTATTACTATTAGAGAAAAATTAATCACCAACTGCCACAACAGTTATCAGTGGCTCTCAAAGTTCAGGGATTTTTGTAATGTTTATGTATATTTACTTTTGTTTTTGTTACTTATATTTTAGCCATCACCTTTTTAGACCATCACTAGGCTGTTAAGAAGTTGTCCTTATTGGCACTTCTATATGATTAATTTTTTTATTATCATATGACAGTCTTTAAAGTAGCTGAATTAAACCCCTTTAAAAAGTCTACTCTTGACCCTTTTGAACTATAGACCATTTAACCTCCGTTCCTCTCTAAGATTCTAGAAAGTAGTAAGAGTTTGTGACTTTCTACATAACAATAGTTTATTTGATTTGTCGATTTGAGTTCATCATAGCACGAGACGTCTGTTAAGTTATAATGACCTTCTGACTGCTTCTGACAATGGACTTGTCTCTGTACTTGTATTATTAGATCTTAGTGTGCATTTGACACCATTGACCATATATTTTTACAGAGACTTAGCATCAAATTGGCATAAAGAACTGCCTAACCTGGTTTAGTCATACTTATCGATCGTACTCGTTGTACATGTTAACGATGAATCCTCCATAAATACTAAAGTTAGTCATAGTTCCCAGGTTTGTACTTGACCAATACTATTTACTTTATATATGCTCCCTTTAGGCAACATTATTAGGAATCACCCATAACTTTCACTGTTATGCAGATGATACGCAGTATATCTATTTAAACCCAATGAAATTAATCAATTATCTAAATTACAAACATGTCTTAAGGACATAAAATCCTGGATGACCTGCAATTTTCTTATGTTAAACACAAAAAAAAACAAAAATTTTTTTTTTCCCCAAAAAAAAAAAAAAAAATTATTATAAAAAAAAATAAAAAAAAAAAAAAATAATAAACCCCCCTAAAACAACACAAAAAAAAATAATGGTTTTTTTTAAAAAAATTTTTTTTTATAAACCAAAAAAAAAAAAAAAACAAAAACTCCCTTTTTTTTTATTAAAAAAAAAAAAAAAAAAAAAAAAAAAAAAAAAAAAAAAAAAAAAAAAAAAAAAAAAAAAAATTTATAATTTAAAAAATAAAAAATAAAAAAATATTTTTAAAAAATAACACAAAAAAAAAAAAAAAAAAAAAAAAAAAAAAAAAAAAAAAAAAAAAAAAAAAAAAAAAAAAAAAAAAAAAAAAAAAAAAAAAATCCCTTCCCTAACCTACACTAAAAAATAAAAAAAAAAAAAAAAAAAAAAAAAAAAAAAAAAAACTAACCAAAAAAAAAAAAAATAATAATTAAAACCCTAAATAAAAAAAAAAAAAAAAAAAAAAAAAAAAAAAAAAAAAAAAAAAAAAAAACTCTTTAAAAGGGGGGTTATTTTTAGTAAAAAAAAAAAAAAAAAAAAAAAAAAAAAAAAAAAAACCCTCAAAAAAAAACCACCCCTGGGGGGGGGGGGGGGAGGGGGGGGGAAAGAAAAAAAAACCCTAAAAAAAAAAAAAAAAAAAAAAATAATAAAAAAATATAAAAGGAAAAAGGTAGGAAGGGAGAAAGGAGATAATAAAACAACAAAAAAAAATAGAGTAAAAAAAAATAAAAAAGGGGATTTCCCCCATGGCCCTACCTACTTCCTTTCTCCCCCCTCCCCCTACCCCTTAAAACCAATTAACCAATTTCCTTAATACCCCCCCTTCTCCCCCGCTTTCGTGTTGCCCCTCCGGGGGCGGCCGGGGCCCCGGGGGGCGGCCCCCCCCGTTGCCCTTACTGCCATTGTTGGTAACACTGTTTTTGTTTTGCTGCTGTCTCTCTCTCTCTCTCTCTCCCCCCCCCCCCCCCCCCCCCCCCCCCCCCCCCCCCCCCCCCCCCCCCCCCCCCCAGACGCCACCACTAGAGCGGGGATCTGCTTTTCGCCTTTAACAGGCAGTTTCCTGCCGTATGGTGGTACGTTGGGCCTGTAATTAATGTTAAAGAGTTCGGTACTTTTTTAAAAACCAAAATTTTTTTTAAAAAAAAAAAAAAAAAAAAAAAAAAAAAAAAAAAAAAAATTACCTGAATAAATTGACAGATTTCTCTGAGTTTGAACATTGTTGGAAACATTTGGGATAATGGAAGTACACACCTCAATTACATATAGAACATAGAGCTAGAGTTTATACATATTCCCTACAAGGAAATTGTGAGTTGATTCTGGTGGCCCCTGTGGACAAAAGCGGTAATGTTTCTACCGCCTTCTTTAATTGATTTCAACAGGAATCTGACCAATTAATTAAGAATAACTATATAGGGGGTCACGTGGGACCACAGGGAAGATGGCAGCACAGCTGAAGAGCTCCTCACAACCATCAGCTAATTATGTAAATTTGGAGACACACTTCGTTCTTAGTCTGAAAATTGAGGCCCTGTGTTAAAAACAAGAATTAATACCAGTTTCCGACCAAAAATTTGTACTTTCCCGGCGAAATGGTGATCAACAGCAAAGCTAACTTTTTCAAAGGCGCGGCGACGAGAAGTAAGCTAGTCTCAAAGACCAGTCCAACACCTGAACGCACCTCGCCGACACCGATATGTGACAGCGACCCTAAACCTGGAGGAGGGTTTGACGATAAAACAATGTTTGAGGAAATACAGAAAATCAGTACCACTCTTCAGGTGGTGGCGGCGGATGTTGTCTCAATTAAGGACAACGAAAGAGCTTAAAGATGCGGTGGAGAGCATACAAGTGAGGCTGGGAGAGGCAGAACAACGGATATCGGACGTGGAAGAAGTAAACACACGAATGGAGGAAAGCCTGGAGAAGTGTGACAAGAGACTGGAAACACTGGATGCGCGTGGAAGACCTGGAAAATCGCAGCAGGACGAATAATGTAAGAGTGGTGGGACTGAAAGAGGGCAAGGAGGAGACGGGCAAAGTTATTCAGTGTGTGGAAAAGATAATCTCTCAGGGGCTCGGGCTGTCCGGCAACGAGTTTGAAATTGAGCGTGCCCACCGTTCTTTGGCACCCATACCGGGCCCGAATCAACCGCCCAGAACCATACTGATGCGCTTCCTACGTTCATCGGCCCGAGACAAGGTGCTGCAGGTGGCTAAGGAGGGACGTGGAATCGACTGGGAGGACTGTAAACTGTCCTTCTATGAGGATGTGTCAAGAGAGTTGACGGAGAAAAGGAAAGCCTTCACCCCAGTGAAGAGACGTCTACATGAGCTAAATGTGAGACACAGGCTGGTCTACACTGCAACGCTCATCTTCACA